CTATTATCCCCGTCTATCATTAGCATAAAGAGAAAATGAAAAGAATAAAAGAAAAAGGAAAAGAATGAAAATTCAATACTTTTCCCAAATCTAGGGATCTAGGGAGTAATTAAATTAGAAAAAATTGTTTTTATCAAAATCGAACAAAATAGCTAAGTAATAGAGGTAAAATTGATTGGTAAATCAATAATAAGATCATGCCTTCGCTTAGAAGATTTCTATAAAGAAATGTTTAATCAGTGAGCTAAAAGTTTTTTTTGCTAGCATTTCAGTTTAGTGTTGACAATTGTTAGAAGAATTAGGCCTAGTTTAGCGTTTTAATCTCTCCCTATTTATCCCCTGATTTATTCTTTCTTCCTAATCTTTTCTTTTTCTCTTTTTTTTTCTTTTAGTAAATATTACGTTATTCTCTATAATTCTTTCATTTATTTTTGTCAAAGTATGATTAATAGGCCTTTGTAAATAAGATTTTAATCTTTCTACCTTGTTTTCTCATTTTAAAGTCTGTTTTTTTTACTCTCTCTATCTTTATGATTACACGTTTTCTCTTACGAAACTCAATGATTAGAAAAAGAGACGCACAATAGAGAAGAGGATTTTCTTGCACTTCTAATTGATTAACAATTCATACAGAAATTTCTATATGAAAGAGGGAAAAATATTAATTTTTACTTATTTTAACTTGTTTGTGTTTTTTAAATGCACATATACACACACCCCGCTTTTGATTTTCTTTGAAGTTGTTCCCTTTTCCATAATGTTTTGCAGAAGAATCGACCATTTCAGAAGAAGAAAGAGATAAATTAATAAGTTCTTTGGATTTGGACCGTTGTTCTGAAAGTACACTTGCAAAAATACACCAAACTAAGCTGATACCGACTGACAGCGTTGCTACAGCCGCTTTAAAGCTATGCGCTAAATTGAGAAAGGATTTGGATACAGCTCAAACTGTAATTGGAGCGCAGGATCAGCAATTAAGGAGATTTGGACACCTTAGCAATGGCAGTGGTCATTTAGGTAAATAAGTTACAAGTATATAAATAATTATAGGCTGAAGGGATCGACTTATTAATCCAAGTAGGCCCTTGATTGATTTATAGTTACATTTTCTTATTAATCCATAGGAAAACTTTTATATTTATATATTCTCTATTTCTTTGTATGAATATCAATATAGCTATATACTAATATATATATTCTAGCTTCTATATATCAGTCTTTATGTCTTTCCTTATCTTCCTTCGAATAGAGAGAGCGTCGTCGCTTAGTTCGAAAACCAGCAACTTTGGTGACGGCCTTGATGATTCGAGCGTCTCCGGCAGTTATCATGACCTATCAGCCGAAACTCCATACAGATCCTTCTACAAGCCAACCTACCCTTTTAAAAAGTCTCCTACACTCAACAGATCGAAATATTCTTCCTATAGATAAGTCTTTAAGATGATTTTTTTCCAAGGAAGATGGCTTCTTTTTCCATTTGCAATTATTTTCTGAATTATTATTGTATTATTTCTCTATTTCTGAAGGAAAAAAGATCGGAAATAATGATATAGTTGACTAAATTGTAGAGGTGCTCTATGGAGATTTTTTAATGGGCCTATTCGTTCTATCGCTCTCTAGATTATTTGAAAGTGAACAAGTTATTTAATTATTTTTTTTTTAAATATGCATTTCGATCCAACTGTGATATGTTTTACAGATTGTAGAATAATAATAAAAATACACAAAAACCATATTTTTATTCTTTTTTTTTATAACAAAATAACATTCTCTGCGGTGTTCTATAGAACAAAAAACAAAGCATAAAGTCGCAAGATAAAAGAAATTTGGAAGTATTTTAAAGTTTTCTCTATGACGTGTTATATCAATAACTGATATTAGTACTCATGTAATCAAAGTACTTTTTTTAGAAAAATGTTTTTTTGCACTGTATAATTTAGGTATATGCGCTATAAATGATAAGGCAACAGATTTATTCATATAGCCTATGATAGTTTAGGTCGTCCACCAGTTTTCGAAATGTATTTCAATAGATCATGTGATCAAAACATTTTCACTGTTCTTCGGAAAAAATAATTTATAAAATATATACATTGCCATTGAAATTAGCTGTTTACTATTGAAAAGAAATTGCTAAAACAAGACTTAGATAGCAAATATATAATTTATGTCAAACAATCAATACATGTCTATGTATTAATAATCTATTTTCTCCCAATACCGAGCGATAATAAGAGAGGATATTACTTATGGCTGAAGCAAAGGAAGTTATCGGAGATGATTCTATAAATGAAACAACGGAGAAATTAAGCAGTGCATTTCTAAAGGAATATGTAACTCCTTTTTCAAATGCTGAACTTACTCTAACAAATCTATTGTTAGTTTAGTATAAAATACATACTACTAAATTATTATTAAAAAGGAATATTTATGCTATATTTTCTTCAATAAATCTGTAGGAGAAGTCAAAGAATAATAATAGAGAGTGTTGAGCAAGAAAGATCCAAACTGGATGAAAGTAAAGCTTCTCTAAGAGTCCAAGCGTTGGTTGGTTATTATTATATATATTTATATTCAACTAGATTTAATAAGAGTTAATCCAACTGATTAATTCATAAGTAAATATTAGTATGTCAATGTTATTGATGAACCACATTATTAATAATATTTTTTCTCAGGCCAATAAAGTGGAATTTTATCAGAAAAAGCTTTCTCGACTTAAAATGGATATGCGAAATTTGCAACAAAAGAGCGCAAATTTAAAGGTTTTTAATCGATCATTCAATTAAGTTGGCCCCATTTATATTCACATTATTGATTTTTTTCTTTCTTTATCCTTTTCCATTAATTTAGAAAAGGAGTAGAAAATTGCAAAATTTAAAAGAACAAGAAGCCCTAGAAAAAGAGGAAGAACGACTGAAAGAAGAACTTTTAGAAAAAGAACTCATAGCAAAGCCCCTTCCAACTAGCAAATAGATTAATAATACTAGTGATAATGCCACCTTTTTTGCTAATTGATTAAATGTTATGTTTGATACGAGATTTAATACAATTTTGTTCAATGTTTAAGCGAGAGATGGCGCCTTTGAATTGGTCGTCTGCTGTTTGAACTGACCCCAAAAACAGCGATCTTTGATCAGTTCAAAAACAATTGCCAAAGCATTGTATACAGTAATTCTATGTAATAAATATATTGATAGCACATAAAAATGGAGTCGATCGCAAAATTTATAATTGCTCCCGGTGGAATTGAAAAAACAGCCAGACTTTTATCTTTTGGTTGTCTTGGGTTGGCAGGAAGTTGCAAACCAGGCAGCTTATCTCAACAAAAGTTTGGGATATTTGCCAAACAATTGTCATCCGCGAGATGTACATTCAGATTGTTTTTGGATTTGCCAGTTCTACTTAAAACTCTCAGATATGGTTTAGGAAAACATGTAAGCTAAACAACAAAATTGAAATCATTGAAATCTATCCTTTTTTCCCAATAAGGAGAAAGATCCAATTATTCGTATGTTGGATCTGATAGCAAATTTAGCAGACCAGTTGTTCTTTCCACTGGAGCATATTGCTTGGGCGAGCGACTGTGGTTTAATTAAGATACCATCAGCCAAATTTTGGGCAACTTCAATAGGATGTTGGGCCGTATCTCTTTTATCTGGCATACTTAAGTAAGATATCTATTCCCAATGCAAGATCCTTCAATCCTAAAATCTTTTACTAACATTTCTTTGTAGATGCTTTAGACAAATATCAAAATTGACATTATCGGAAAGAGCTCTACATCAGCAATTTAAATTAACAGGAAATGATATAAGGTAAGATATAAATATAGATTATTCAATTATTCAAATGTATTAATATTATATACTGTTTATATATACACACTTATATATATATCTCTTAAACCTTTGTAGCGATCAACTAAATGAAATTAGATTTAACAAAAACCTTTCCCTGATTACTATTGCTAAGAATTTAGCTGACTTAATAAATGCTATTCATTGGTTGCCTGCTAATCCTTACTTATGGTCTGGAAAATTACCAATGAAATATGTCGGTATATTTGGAGTAATTTCAACAGTTTTGGGTATTTTATTGGCTAAATATCAAGCGCAACCACCGAAACCTAAAAAAGCAGACTAAATAATCGATTTTGTTAGTAATAACAAAACAGCAATAACAGTAATATCAATTACGATTTAATTTCTTAAAATTAGCCTCAATAAACAAAAAATAATGACATTATGCTTGATTTTTTTATGTTTTCAATTGCTAAACCTATAAATATATATAGTATAAAGATTTATTATTAAAATTAGCAAAGATTATCTTCTGTGCTTTAGATTTCTTTATTTGTTTCTTTTGTTTTTTTTTCCCTTCCTTCTAAATTTACACGAAAATTTTATATTTTTAAAAGAATACTGATTTTCCTTTTCAATTAATATATCATCATTGATAAAAAGTGAGATAAAGCTCAATTGGCAATAATATTTTAGAGACATTTTTATGACACTTATTGCATAGTATGAGACATTTTAAGTTTAGGCAACAGTACGTGATTTTTCAGTTAGTTGCAGGCGTTCATGAACTGGAATATTTCTCGGTCGTAGTCTCTCGCTGATCAAATGATAAGAACGATAAGAGTTTATACGCTTGGCTTTAATGTTAAAGTTACTTACGAAAGGAATTTAATTTGCTCAGAATTAGGTCTATTAACGCGACACTTAAATGCTGATGTATGCCCCTTTTTACCGTGACTTTCTTCAAAGCGCTGAACATCGTAACGTCCAGGTCCGACATGATTCTGTAACATTTAATAAAATGTCGAATATAGTTCAATAAGTTTTAATTATTATTTAAATATTTACGTAATTTCCAGTAAAGAACTTAACAGCTCTTTTATCCATTCTCAAACTACTAGAATTGAAAGCTGGATGATTGCCTTTAGTTTTTAAAGTATGTTTTTCTACAGAAGTAGGCTCATAGAATCCAGGACCTGGATCAGACTCATCTCTTGGCCACTGACTCTGCGAAGTAACGCTCAAACGATCTGCTGGTTTTAATGGTCTAGCTTCGCCTCTCAAGAATCGACCATGATATTTCTTATCACGAGCGTTAAGTTCATCTGTTTTAGTCCTTTCGTCGACAGTTTCGGGCGGCCGCAGATAACTTTGATTTATAATACCTGGCGATGCTAGATGACCAGTTTTAATTGGTTTATTTCTGTCTAATGAAAAACAGTCGTAAGGTCCTCTAGTTCCTGTCCTCTTCGTTAGTAACTCGTCTACTCCGCTCTTAAATTCATAAGTACCAGGAGCTACCTCGCAACCCTGAAGAAAACTTTCGAAATAGGTCTTTTAATAAAAAAAATGTTTATCAAAATACCGTTATTGGTAGACCACGATTTTTTGGGCCCATGTCTAATAAACCTACACTTCCGAAGGATTCTTTGCTCTTTTCTTCAATTGCGGAATGGGGAATCCCCCCATTGCCATACGTTCCAGGACCAGGAGTGACCAATTTTGTTTTTTGATTAAAGCGCTTTTCCAAGCTATCTACAATACCTCTTGTACTTCTTGGTTTATCGTCTGTCAGAAAGTCCCGATATTCGTACGATCCCGGACCTAGTTTCCTTACTAACTCTTTTTTAAGCGAATGCTGTTCTCGATTTAAAAGATGTGGCATAGCGGCAAGTTTTTCTGTCTCGTATTGTCTCGCCCATCCTGGACCTCTAGCTTTGATTTCCATTGATTTCAAATTAAAATCGCCTACTTCGACATCGTAACGTCCAGGTCCCAATAGAGAACTCTAAAAAGGCGAGTTAATACTATTTATAATAATATTATCTTACCTAAGGTAATAGATTCTGTAAACTCTTTATAAGCCTACTTTTGTTTATGATATAGCGGATCTATTATAGATCTATTTTAAGTGTTTGCAGAACTAATAACAATATGATCGATTAAATATTCCTCCCGTATACACTTACAAGGTAGCCAGCATTACTAGATATCTGTGTATATGTTCCAGGTTTTAATCTACTGGGATGGATTCCATGGACTTCAAATCTAATTAAATATACAACTTTATAAGCTAATTTTAATTAAAATTAATAATTTTACTATATCGCTCACCTTGGGGCTTGATTTCCAAACGGGGCTCCCTTAAAGCCCTTATCAGCAGTCATTTTTTATTATTTTTTCTATAGTCAAGTTAAAAATAAGCTTGCTTTAATTATTTGAGATTTTTCTCATGCGAGGTTGACTGTTTGATTCTCGATACTCTCTGCCAGTTACCTTAGTAACAGCAAGCAAACCGCTCAGAACAAATTTCGATTTGTCTGGCACCTTGTTCCAAATTTATAATTGTCCATTGAAATTCGATTGTGATAAGTTAGCCATATTCCACAATGAAAAAGAGCGGTTAAAAGCAATTTAAAGAGAAAAATATAAATATTTATCAGAATAATAGAGCTATTTAAGATTAGAGAATAAAATATGCCTAAAATCCTATTAGTATGTGAATCTTTAAAAGAAAAAAAATCATTCCTTTTTAAATGATAAAATATTAAATCAATAGGATAAAGCAAAGAAAATCGTAAGATTCATTTCGTTTCTTTCTAGATTAGTTCTGCTAAAAAATTCAACTTTCTATTAGCTCGTAACAAAGACCGATAAATTAAATATTACAGTTTGGTCAAAGGAATATTGATGCTGTTAATGTATAAGATTTTCCCTTCAAATAAATAGTAATTATCAATTGCGAATTGAAACGCTAAAAGTTTAATTAATATATTATAATACATCATATTGTAGATATTAATAAAGAGCATTGTTAATATGTCACCTCTTTGAAAACTTTATTCTTTTCTTCATCTAAAAGATTTATTAATCTATCAGCAAATTGTTATTGAATTAACATTCATTGGCCAAATGTTTAAGTATCGAAAAAAAACGAACATGAAAACACATAACGGAATATTTAATTCTGCTTAGATTTTTCCTTTCTTCTTAGAGCTGATTTTCTTGCTGCTAACATTTTTCCCATTACTTGTTTCTTTGCGAAGAAGTCTGGAGCCATGGTCTGGAAATATCCCAACAAAGCATGAGACCAATAACCAAATGTAACATCTTCTACGCCAACTGTTCTTAGTGCTGATTTTACATATGCCGTTGGTGAAGGGACAAAAAGGCTAGGTCTCTTAATTCCAGTCATTTTAGTTTGAACAAAGTATGGTAAGACCGATTGTACAATAACATTAGACTTGGAAACTTCCTGTTCAAGACCCTGAGAGAAAAAGTTAACGAACGACTTGCAAGCTGAATAGGCTGTAGAATAGATATTTATAATTAAAGAAACTATAACGTAAAAGAACAATGTAATAATAAAGGAATTACCTGTCAACAAAGGTGTTGGATCATTAGCAGAAGCAGAAGATAAGTTAATTATTGCGCCCTTTTTCTTTTCAACCATAGTTTTAAGGAAAATATTTGTAACTTGAAGAATTGACATACAGTTAGCCAAAAGTAATTTTTGTAATACATTTTTCGAATCATCCATTTCAGCCATAAACTGTGGATATTCATAAGACATTCCAACATTGTTGACCAGAACTCCAACATCAAGTCCTTGTGTTTCTCTTTCAATTTTATCATAAATTTCATTGCCTGCTGTAAAATCAACGGCAACTGTCTTGGTTTTAACGTTATGTGTTTTTTCTAGAAAGGAAATATTATTCTAAGATATTAATAATGACGTTAAGCTACACTAAATCTTTACCAATTTCTGCTGCAACTTCCTCAAGTTTCTTTGGAGTTCGACTAATCAGGCATATATTCAATCCACGTTTGGCAAACTGCCAAAAGAAAATATTTATCAGTCTTTTCTTATCATCAACACTGTAACATTAAATAATTTGCTCTATATTTAATTACCTCAAAAGCATAACATTTTCCAATTCCATCGGTTGCTCCCGTTACAACTATTTTGTAAAAATGAATACTATTAACACTCTTTTATCAAATATTTTATTTAACAAAGTTATTAATATTAAGAAAAATTTACCGGCCCATTCTCCTAGTTTTCGAAAATTGATTTCACTACTTAAAACGTAAGCTTTCAAGCCATTCCAAATTGAGAATAGTAATCTTAGAGCTAAGTAGCCAGTGATGGCGATGCCTATTGTCGAGAAGAGACAGCAAGGAGAAGATTTTGCTGCAATATCAACCATTGCTGAAAATTCTGTCGAGTGAAGGTCAAGGTCAAAAAGCGTAACTATAGCATGATATTATTTTCACAAATATCAGAAATTTTTAGTTCTTTATAAAGTATGTTAAAAATTTACAGTTAAATTAAATAACGAAACTCATAACGTAACGGAAAGATAAGATTCGATATAGACATCGTCTAAAATAATATCGTTTATTAAATTCTTGCAGGTTCTCTATAAAATCGGTTATTGTTACTAGATTAATCGATTGAAATCGATTTTAAACTTATTATCAATAGAAGCCGGCAAATTTAAAAACAATTGTCTATTTTTTCGTCTGCTATATTTTCTCTTTCGATTAACATATATATTTAAAATATGTAATTTCGTAACAAGAAAGTAGCCAATAAAAGTAGTCTAACATAAATTAAAAGTGCACTTTTCAATTTTAATATTCAGAATAAAAATTAAAGATATACATGTAACATGCAATATATGGATCTATTTATTCATTAATGTTTAAATAGAATTACTGAAATTACTTAACTTGTTAAGTAAATTTTGATATTTTTGAAAAGAATAAATATTTAATTCAATTTATTGAATAAAACTGTTCAAAGAGTATCATTGAAATTATATAAATGAAAACTTTATAATTTAAATTCAGGGTTTTATTTGAGAAAGTTGGACTTTGTATGGACTACGTAATTTTAGAACAAGTTTCCCTTCAGGTGCGAAAGTGACTTTATATTGTAAATGTAAATATCGGCTGATAGTTTTTCCTGTTTTATATAAACTTGCCATTATTATGCTTGGGTATGTTGTTGATAAAACCCATACAAAACAGCGATCTGGCAACACTTTTTATCAATTTAAAAGACAGTTCTCAATATTTGGCTTAAGTGGTTTTATTGCCTTTATAATACCGGTTTTACATATAGGTAAAGAATAATTAAATTCTTTTTTAATTACCTTTGCATAATTATCATCTCTATAAAGCTGGATACTACTATATATGGACTCCAAATAAAGCACCGGTAAACAAGCGAAAATGTCAATGCTCTTGTTTCGATACAGTATTCAGAGGTAAGAATTTCAAATAAAAACAATAGGTGTCAGCAGTAGTTGTTTGAACCAAAGAATCGTAAATCTATCACTAAAAAATGGAAAACTTTTTCTAGGTCGATATGAATCTATTCCCGCAGGATATAAACATGTCTATTTCAATGCCTCTGTTGAAAGTGGTAATGTATAGTTATATAGATAAATCAACTATAGAAGATACGATTGCTGTTTTTTTTTTTTTTGCAGTAAAAATATGGGCAGGATGCTTAATAGGAGTATTGATATTGTACGAAGCTTGCAAATATTTATTTAATTTGTACTGGAAATGTTCTCTTCGGATTCAATATTTATGCTTACTTTTGTCGTCAGTTTATTCGCATTATTATGGATGGTGGAACTTTTTCAAGTAAAAAAAAAAAACATTATTTTTGTTAAATGTTATTTATCAAAAGAGATTACATTTGATTAAATAAGCTTTAATCTGTTAAATAATTAACATAATTTTTTTTAAGATATTGAAAATATGTAACTAATTTTATCAATTTTTTTTTTATATAGTTACTGGAACGAGGATTTTTATTCTCAATTCAATCATCAATTATTCTTCACTGTAACTGAAATGATAAGTTCTGCTGTCACTTTGAACCTTACCAATTCAAAAACTCCAGTAACGCCAACAAAGCTACTTATTATTCTAGTGCTCAACTCTGTTCATATTTCTATTGCAAGTTATGATCAATTTGTTAATAATTTATTGTATGGAAGAAGTAGATTATTTGAGGGTCTTCGAGATATATTTCTACTGTTGGCTGACGTTTTATATGTCTGTTTTTGTTTTTTTGAATTAAGTTTAATAGCCCGAAGACGGAGTTTACCAATGCATCGAATTTTTTTTCGAGAAGAACTTGTTTTAAGCGTAATTGTAGGAATTTTATTGACCCTGTTTGCTATCAATATTTGATTTTACAATAGATCTCTTTGTTATTTTCTCTAATCTTAATGATAAAGACTAATAGGCTAATAAGAATAGACTGGTAGACTAGCTCAACCACGCAATTTAATTAAACGATTATTGCTTTGGAACTGAAATCTGTCTATAGTTTCTAAGCGACCAAAACCACGTGACGACAACGGTAGTTAACCGTCTCACCTTGTTAATCAGTTGTCGGTGACTCTAATCAAAATGCATAAGAGTTATCAGTCAGTCTTACCTAATACAAACAAACTACTAAAGAAACGATGGGATGATACGTATTATAACGAACATAGAAAGAGGGTAAGTTGAGTTAAAAGTACTTTTAAGTAAATAAATTTAAACGAGAGTGCTAAGTACTTGTTTGTCTTCTTTATCTGAACAAGATTACTTTGCTGGTACTTTGTCACCAAAATTTACGGCTTTTTGATGATTTAACACTATGTTGAGAGCTTTTTAATCCTCTAGTGGATATTCAATTTCAACTTTTTTTATAGGTGGAAATGGCTGGTCCTGTCGTGAATACGAATCCTCCTCCAGCCTACATTCATTTACATTTGAAATTGAAAAAGCAACAGGTAAATAATAAAGCAATGTAAATAAAAGCTACTTTACACTCCTATTATTAATTACCCTGTGTATTTTCTATTGGACAAAATGAATTACCTCATGCTGATTCCCCAATTACGCCTATAAGTCAATTGGGAAATGTAAGAATCAATAAGGTTTTTAAGGTTAATATTTGATATTAATTTAGTAATATTATTGCCAATAAAACTCGTTGGAGAAAAGGTGATTAAATAGATTAGACTTAATTATAATTTTGAGTGAATGTCAGAGGAAAAAAGGTATTATAAAAAAAAAATTACTTTTCCTGCTTGAACGGTATTTATTCAAAGTCACACAACCATCAAACATTCCGCATGAATTATTGCTCTTGATTTTATTGATCTGTAGAAAGGAGTAGTAAGGAATGATCCTGTTCTTAACTAAGGCCTTTACACTTATGAAACGATTTCTACCACTCAAAAGTTATTTGTAGTGGCATTGTAGTTCGGTAATGAAGTAATTGATTGGGTAAATCAAAAAAAAGAGCCGATTGAGAGACTTAGAGAGATCGTGTTATTTATTACACATATACCTATTTTGATTGTAAATACTAATCATAAAAGATTGAAGAAGAGCGCTTGGCAACAATTGAAAGGGACAATCGTATTCTTTTAGAAAAAATGAGTACCATAATGAGAACGAAAGGAAGAGTCGATAACAGGAACGATTATGAATACAAAAGGTGTTTAATTCGAAAAAAAATATCGATCTTTAAGCTTAAAAACAATCTGTTAAACAGCTTGAACAGGGAAAAACGAAGTAGGGAATTACTTCGAGTCATGAACGAAAATCAAGAGATATTAAGAAGAATAACTTCTAGGAAACCCCAATACGACCATATGAAGTGGGAACAAGATTGGAATGAAAATCTAAGATATATGGACTCAATTTCAGCCTATCCTAAAGATTGGTGGAAGGTAGTTATAATGAATAATCAAATAGATATTTTATCATAAACGACGCATTTACCATAATAGCAAACTTCGAAGAGCAGTTCTCCTACTTTTAGTCGTCAACCGACTACCATGAGTCAGAGAAGCAGCCAAAAGAAAAGTAAGAAGAAGAGTGCTTCTTCAAGTGCCGAAAAGGACTTATAGACAAATCGTTGCCACGGAATGAGAGATTAGCATAAAAGACGATCAAGGGATTTTTTATTATCATCTAAAGTTTAATTCAACATTAGATTATTTGGATTTCTATTAAATTGTGTTCTAAATCGTATCAAAAAAAAAGAAAGTATTTGTAACATTCCATCGGATTTAGAAGATTAATATATTGCATAATTTCCTCAATCAGTATTCTTATGTTAAAAGGTATTTGTGACCGTTTCGTGTCTTAACGTCGTGACATGTTGTTTGCCAGATATGTGTATAATAAATTATTGAAACAAATACTTAAAGAATTTTCAATCGATTAAATTACTATGGAACAAAATTCATAATTGATTATTATTGTATTAGGATAATTCATTGTATTTGAAGACTTTTATAAATAAGACGTAATTATTTTCTATTTGACGATAGATGACAAAGCAGTTTGTGCTATATTACCAAACTGAGGTTGCTTCTGGATAAATTCATTAAGCTTTTCGCTGAACAGTTTACTCTTAATAGGCTTATTTAATTCGCACTCGGGATCTCGAATAGCATATTCTACAAAGACCTGTTTTTAAATAAGAAAGAAAATTATTGATTAATTCCAATATACTAATCCTTGAATAAATATAGTATATATTTATATATTTTAATAATTGTTGGAAACGATTAAGCATTTAATAGCAGGTATGTAATAGATGGAGCCACAAGTTGATTATTAACTTTCATTTCATAATTTTCATTAATTGTTACTTACATCTTTGTAAAGTGTGTGCATAAGGAATCTTATATCTCCTTGAATTTGTAAGTCCGTTGTCATTATGAATTTCAAACCACTGGGAGTTTCATAAAAGTGCAATTTATATTGACTTGTCTTGAAACTTGTAAAGCCTATATTTCTGTCAGTTTAAAGAATAAAAGAATAAAAAATATTATATATGTACTGATATAAAAATATTTAACATACGGATCAGTTGGTGATATTCGATTGCAGAAAGACTTTAAAGAGAATGTCATGCCGTACATCAACTTAAAATCCTGTTGATTTAAACCTTTAGCTATTTAAATCACTTAAGAAATATACTTCTATTTATATAGCATAATATAATGCAAGATTAATTATAAATTGAGTTTTGCATGTGCTTGATAGTCAGAATTGACAAGAATAACAGAATTTTATGACTTAGAAAATCTTATTGATTTCACTTTCAATTTAAATCATTCAAGCATTCTTATTACCTCTTCCCTGGAAACGTCAACTTGTTTTTGCCGATTCCATTCATGATAGAATAGGCAAGTTCCACTGCGATCGTAAATGTATAAATTGAATATCATGCTGAGTTTTCCTTTTTTATCGCTCGGTTATATTTAATCTCTGCTAATTCAATAAATTTCCTATACTAAATGGCATAAAATAAGAACTATCCAATATTCCCTAAATAGTTACGAAGCAATCAAAAAATGGGCAAACACTAGCTGTATAATTTTTGACTGCTGTAAGAGAATTTTTTATGTTACGCCACCATCGAATGCATTCCCTTCTCTAAGAGAAACGATGTCCATGAATTCTCTTCCAATCAAATTATGAATTTGGAACATTTCCTTTGAGTGGAGATTTTTTATTGTGTGAAAAAAAAGATAGAAGACTATTTTCGATATCAAAAATAGAGTTTACGAAGAGTTTAACTTACAAAAAAAGACTATTTAAAGATATATGCGACTTAATTTCCATCTTTTTTATCTTGATATTCAAGGATAAAAATTAAATACGTAATTGATCTATAAAAGAGAAAGATAAAATTTTATTCAAGTAAAACATTTCTGTACAGATTAAAAAAAATTGTTCTTTATGTTAATAAGAAGTCACCGAGTTGATGGGAAATTTCCCTATGTCTCCAAGTTTATTTCCTTGAGTGAGGGTTTTTTTAAATACGACTATGAGCTCCATCTATTGGGATAAGACGGCCTGCGTACCCTCTGCAATAATGGGCACTTCAGTCATCCACGGAGATCTTACTCGGCCGAATTGAATATCTGTTAGCGCCTTGTTTAGTTGCATACAGATGGGATAACTTTGCTCCATTGTTGGTATTTTGTACCATTCTTCTTTGTAGAATATTTTATCAACAGGGCTCACAACACAAGCTGTTCCAGCACCAAACAATTCTTCTACTCGACCTTCTTTGAGTCCTTTCAAAACGTCTTTCATAGTTATTACTCTTTCTGATACTTTAAATTCATCCTAAAAGATAAATATTGATTTTTTGAAGATATTGTTATAAAAATTAATACGAATTAAATAGTCTTACCTGTTCTCTGGCCAGATCGAGTAATGAAAGTCGAGTCACTCCTGGTAAAATAATACCTTGCGAGAGAGGAGGTGTTACCAATTCACGTACTGTAAAAAAGAATTATTTTATTATCGGCCATAATGTAATAATATCTAAATATTTTTTTATCTTTGAAAGATTATTACCTCCCTCTTCGTTTTTCCACATCATGAAAATATTCATTGTTCCAACTTCGGTTAGTTGCTCTTCTTTACCGTAGAGCCACAAGATTTGCTGGCAATTATGCTTTTTCGCTGCTTCAGATTGAAGAAGAATTGTGGGAGCGTAATTGCAGCCCATTTTAAAACTGCCACATCCACCTTCCCATGCTCTGACGAAATTGGGATCGGCTAAAAGTGATATTGGCTTAAAGCCAGTTGGATAATAAGGACCCACAGGTCCAGTTATAACAAAAAGTTTAGCTTCAGTTGGAGGACTAACTCCCAAATGGTTATCCGTTCCCATTAAAGTAGGTCTGATATATAGTGTTGAAGACGTGGAATGTGGAACCCATTCTTTGTCAACACTAATCAGTCTCTTAATACATTCAATCAACTCTTGCCCTTCGAAATCAGGCAGATGACTACGGACAGCAGTGGCCTTCATTCTAGCCATATTTTTATCAGGTCTAAATAAACGAATAATATTATCTTCTCCTCGATATGCTTTCAAACCTTCAAAAAGTTCAACAGCATAATGGAAAACTTTTGCAGCGGGATGCATCGAAAAATTTCTCAGTGGATTTATCTTAGGGGTACCCCAGCCATTATTCTTAGACCAATCGATTTCTAACATGTGATCCGAGAATTGATGACCGAAAACCAAATTGTTAGGGTCGGGTTTCGGTAGAGGATTCTTGGTTATCTCAATTTCAAGTTCTGACGCTCTGAAGCTGCTCACTCCTGAGAAAGATCTTGTTGACCTTGACAAATGTCTTAAACCTGCCAAAAATTTCATACTTGCTTCTTCAAAAATTGAAGTTAAATTGAGAATTGCCACTAGTCAGACTCCCCTTTTACTTTGAAGAGATAAAATATGCAAATGATTACTATTGAATGATAACTTCCTTATCAAGTATGATGTTTATTCATATCCGCTATTATAAATTTTATTTGAGTATGTAAAGGATATTACACTTTAGAAATATCTGAAAAATCAGTTGTATAGACACGTGCTTCGTCTTCCTAACTCTTTTTTTATTTAGAACGCTCTATATAGGCTACTACATGATTATAGCATAGGCTGATTAATGTCATTGACCTACTTTAAGGAAGTCTTCTATTTCATTATTTACATAGGACTAAAATAGTCACTTATGCTAAATTTTTATCCTACATTTACTTTTTTAGACTATAACTAAAATTTAGTTTAACGATAAGTTATCGAAAGTTAATTTCAGTACGTACAGATATTTTCAACATCCTTGAACTTAATTTGATTCTCAGATTTTCAAATTAAATTTATGATAGAAGCCCATAGGAAATATGATAAAAAATAATTAATAACAAGTTTTCAACTGCTGCGCAGTTTTTTGTTGATAAATAAAACAATTAGTCAAAAAATTTAACTACGCAATTAATAGAAATAATTTGAATAATATTAGAATATATTAATAATATATTTGATATTTGAATGATGGGAAAAAATGAATCAGTAGATATTTCTACTAAGTTTATCAGCTATATCAATTGTTTCCTCCTAATGATAAATACGAAACTTATGTGAGAGATAGCATAAAACAGTCGTATGATAGTCAATATGTTTTAAAGCTTACATGATGTACGACGTACTAGTAGTATAGATAAGATGTCTGGCTTGTAAGTTAGATCGTCCCCAAAGCTTTACTTTATCGTTGAGCTTATATAATTTTACTGCAATAATGATAAATGTTTGAAGAAAGTTTCTATTTCCTATCGTGACGAGTGAAAAAGCAGGTTTCTTACTCATATCCTGTTTAACAAAAGTTGATAAGAAAGGTTTATAATTTCTATTTACAAAAACCAAAAGTATGGAAAATTCTCTGAAATTTGTTTATTAACGATCTCCTTATTGGATGATACCTCTATCTAGGACAATGTCATATAAAATAGTATTCAGTAGTAAGTTTTACGTATTTAATATGACCGCTCGATAAAGTGAACTAATTTCACAATTAAACTATAGAAAAGTTGTTTTTAAGAATGATTACTTATTTTTCTATTATTGTCTACACAAATTCCTTGAATTATTCACGGAAATTTTTCATACTGATTAACCTTTTTTTAATGAATATTCAAAAACCACTATAGCAATAACAATACTCTATTTTGTTCGAATAAACTTGAAAATTTATAATAAATATTCATTTTCTCAAAGAAGTATTTGAAGTGAATTAATCCAGGCAAATAGAAGTATTTATCTGAGGGAACATTGCTGCCATCTGATTGCCAATGATTCTTGTCTCGTATCTAGGCGATTTTAAATAGAATAAAAGATATTACAAGCGATTTGGTCACCAAACTTCATTTTATCCATAGAAGTTTTCTTGCAGCTGTAATCTGACTTTTTCTTCCTGAAATGATAAGAATAACTATAAGAATATCTGTTAATCCAATATAAATTAGGCTCCCTTATCCTCTTGAGTGTATGAGTATTCATTAACTTTCTCATTACTATCATCAATATACTAAAGACTCCCTATTTTCTTTAGAGAAATAGTAGTATTTTCCATATGTCAATGCAATTAAGCTCTTGGACCCTTCTTAGTGAAATTAGTTTCCGCCTAATCCCCCTTTTTCAAATTTTTTTTTTCTATTTACCTTTCCCAAATACAATAGTAATAATAATATTGCTCTTTTATAGACTCATCCTTTGACCAAGTTTTCTCATCAGTTTTATGCAATTGGCGCATAGAGAATTTGTTTGTCCTTATCTTAAGCCATAGAACAAAGTGACGTATAGATACTGCAGAGACACTCAAATGGCTTTGAAGCGCTTAAGCTGAAAAAAAGGAGAAATTACTAGGAAAATCATTCGATTAAGATTCCATCATAACCTGGCATTCATAAAGCATCGGAAACATTCTAGAGGCAGTGGATATGAAAGAATGGGGTCGAATATTGTGCCCAAATTGAAGTAGACGAAAAATTGGAAATCTGCAAAGTCTTTTTGCTGCCACAACCAGACTGCAAAAATCTATACTGAACTCAACGTCAAGAAGTTGTCGTTTATACAAACGATAGATCTAATGGTATTTTCTTGTTGACATTCAAACACCATTGAAAAATCACGTTTTTCCTGTATGCTGGAAAGAATTTTATGCTAGAGGTTAATTGAAAGGAATAAAATAACCTTACAATCTAACTTTAACACTATAATCTTATTGTTTAGGATTAAAGCGAAACTATAAGTTAAAAAAAGGGCCATTAGATCGACTTTCTAACAAAAACTCTCAATGCTTTATTTCCCCGGTGCGCTCGTCATATAAAATATTTAAACAATGTAATTGTGATACGGAAGGCAAGCTTTCAACGAATCCGAAATCCTTCTTTAACTTTAGTTCCGCTTTCCGGTTCTTGGTATAATTAAACGTTACCATTAGCCAAAGTTTTTCTTTATCTTTTCTTTGTAGGACCTTCGAGGGGAAGGACAGTAAAATATACAGCAGTTTTATGTATCCCTTATCGAAGATTTAAGTCTTTTTCTGCGAATGGAACATAAAAATACTGTAATATTTTTGTGAAATTATGCCTAACGATACAAAGATAAGACAGAATTTGAGTATTACTTCCGAATCATTTTACTGATAAATTAAATGTTTAACATTGAATAAATATGTATCCGTTTTTGTTTAGTAATCTGGTTTTATTGTATCTAATTTATATTAACCTAAGACAATAATAGTATATATAAATATGCTAGATGGAGCGTCTTTAATAAAACTGTCGACGTCACAGGGAAGTAAGGTCACGTGATTAGAGCGTCTATATAATAAATTCTATCAGAACAGAGCTATGTTAAACGACCAACCATAGCATGAAGAGCCGACAGTCACCCAGTCCCGGGATTTCGATTTTTAATTGATCCAATGTAGAAAACGAGGTAAATAATATATTAAATTATTTATTTCTTATATACATATAGTCTAAAATCTAAAGTAGTTTATGAATTTTATTTGTTCTATTCTCACGAGAGAAACTTACGGAAAACTTTCAAGATTTATGGCTAGAAAATTGCAAATAAACTGACATAGAAGAGGTTATAAATTTCTTTACAAATAACGGTTCTAGAGACGGCATCGTAAAGTCGTGTATTTTCCATTTGAAATTAAGTTAAAGAGTGCATTAAATGCATAATTTGGTATTATTACAAAAGCTTATGTCAAATTAGTCTAAAATTAGTTCAACAGGATTACTCTCTATTATACGTTGCTTGAGACACTCTGGAAAAAAAATAAAAATGGAGTAGAGAAATAAAATTTCTTAAAAAGTAAAGTAATATTTTACCTTGCTTTCTGCACAAAACATTAATTTTGTTGCAAATGTTGCTTAAAAGTCGGTACTTTTAATGGCAGTCACAACTAGCAACAGATGCCTACTATGATTAACGACAAACGTCTAAAAGCGACTATTGGAACCATTTGTTACGCCTATCGAACGGTAGATAGTTAAAATGTGACATTTAATTTCCATGATTTGTCTTAAAAATTTTGCGCGGGACTTAAATGTTCCATTTTCGAATATCACGTGACTCAGTCACATGTTTTCTTCATGGAAAAGTCTCCCGAATGATTTTAAATGATTGCTTCTCATATTGTATGCTCTGCTCGTGGAAGGAAAAAAAGAGATAAAATAGGTGTTGATTTCGTTCTACTCGTAACTACCAAATAAGTGAGAAAACTAGGAATAAATAAAGCTATAGAGACAGAATTTTTATGGCTTTTTTAGCTTTACGACACGCTCGTCTGATTATGGGCTTTGTTTATATAGGATTTATCTTAATTATCGTTCCCATTACAATTCACCGCTATTCTGTTTTGTTAGTTATGTCTCAGAGGTAATTCCATGTCAGAATCATTTATCCAGACTACGTTTTTTATCAATGTATTATGCGCTTTACGAATTTAATCAGAAAAAGTATACAAATAGTAATTAACTTATTATAAAGATAAAGTTGATGCGATCTATGTAAGCTGTTTGAAGATGTAGTTACAAATTCTGACACGGCAACTAGCGAATTGTTCAACTGTGAACGTAGATGTCTGATAGTCACGCTCTTACGCCATGTGAAATTCCAGATAATCGAACAAGTTACTGTTAATGCTCTAGCAATTATTTGAGTGGGAATTTCTTTCGATTAATAAAATTACTTTCACGCTATTCTTTCATAGCTCTATAGACCCTGATCACTTTTTTGACGTGGAGTAAGCCCGATGCATGAGATATACAAATGCGCTGTGCTTTCGTTTAAAAATTAGTGATTAAAAACAGTTGTTTTTGTCTTTTACATTCGTAATAACCAGTAATACATATTCTTTTTTTATTTAAATTCTCTTAGATCGCATTTAGCTACAGTTTTTTTTGTTGTAAATCGTGCTGTTTCACTCAGCCGTCAGATAAATATATAATTCCCAAATCGAAGAATCGGTCAGAGACATCGGCAAATCATCAATTTCCCCTAAGAAATATTATCGTTGCATCGCGCATGATTGACCAAGTCGGTATAAAGGCGGCTTTTATAATCTACTACTGCAATATTCGATTTGGGAAAGGATTTATCTCAAATTTTTTCCTAAATTTTCCAATTTTTAAGCTTTTTACGCTCTTCAATGTCAAATTTTGACGCTTTTTCGTAATTATAGATTTTTTATCGTCTATTGGGATATATAGATATATATATATAAATCTCATATTATATAGTTACTTATAAAATATATATTTATATCGTTTATACAGTATATTTTTTATAAATATATATGTATTTGTAAACGGATCGATAAAATCTTAGTCTAAGTCAAATAACAAAATATAAACTGATAAAGCTGACTTGTTGTTCAAAGTGCTGATCTTAACAGGTGAGGATATAGAAAGACAGAGGAATTTTCAATCAAAACATTTCTCCTCAATCTATATGGAAATTCTAGTAGTGAAGTGTAAGCTTCATTAAACACATAAAAAATGGCATCTAACTAGACCTTCTATTTCATGTCTGTATTAGTAAATTAGTCGTTTTTATTTACAGATAGGCGAGTAGTATAATTTATTCATGTAATTTCTCACAGACTGATAGAATTTTTCACTGCGTCTCTTAATAATAGCGATTACTTAATCATCTATCTTGTAATTAAATTAAAATAAATAGTGTAATACTGGGCTCTAATTACTCTTAAATGCTTTATTTTTCTGATTACCTATTTTATGCCATTTAGAATGAAGAACTAATTCCTTCTTTTATAATTAAGTTGTTTAGAAATGATAGATAATACTTATAGTGAACTGTGCAAATGAAATTTAAAAGATAAGAGATTTTTAAATTTTTATTTCCTTACAGACTACGTTGACCCGATATATGTGACATAGAATCATTGTAGATAAACTGACTAGATTGAAAACTATGAAAAAGACGAATCTCTTTGTGGTTTTGTCGATTTTTCTACTCGGCATGTTTCAAGAAACTACTTCATCCTCTTATACATTTAGGAGTAATAAGGATATGTGTGTCATATATGAGCCAGATTTCACTTATGCAAAGCAGTTTTGGGATATAGAATTCGAATTTAAGACTCAAAAAAAAGATGGTTTCCTTTTGGAGCATATTGTTACTTTACACAATCGATCTTTAAATGTTGTTCATATATTGTTAGTCGAAGGTCGAGTGGTGATGAAACTATTTGACATTGGATCAGCTTCAAATAATGTAACGGCGATAATCCACAGTGAAGAGGGTAAATATTGTTCAGAATTGTTACAATTAGTTTAATTTCACTCTTAATTCTAGTAATACTAAAACAGCCGAGGAGCATAAAATTGATTCCTTCCTCCGGCAGATTGATTTATTTATTGTTATGACTCTTTACAGATGCTTCGTATGACCAGTGGAATAAGGTATTTTACTCGCTAAGCACGCGCGGAAGTAACGTTTTTTTTAAAGTAAACGAAAAACGACGTCAACGTGTAAAATACAATGAGAAATTCCGAATATTACAAAAGTGGCATAAAACATCCATTACTATCGGTGGTAGACGAGGAATCAGTCACAAAGATGACAAAAAATTTGTTGGCTGTATGAAAAGTCCCATTTTTATACAAGATACGGAAATTTACGAAGTTAGAAATAGTGACAGAAAAAATGTAAAAGCGGGATGCATAAATGCATGTGATGACCTTGGCTTTAGATGCAATGATGGAATCTGTATAAATCGTTATGATCATATAGAATGTGATTGTTTTGGAACAAAATATTATGGAGATACGTGTCATATTTCAGGTTTTTTTTCTTTTATTTCAAAATGTTTTTTACGTAAGCTAAAACATGAAATAAATTTCTTAAATAGATTCCCCAGCTGTTACTTTGACTAGTCAAGATTTCTTATTCATAAATTTGACTGAGGAGCGATTATTTAATTTAATATCTTTGGAATTTAAAGTAAAAGATACTATCTTCTCTAATTTAATAAATTTCTATGAATATAAATTTTCAGACAGTAGAAAAGAACGGCGTAATATTCCTCGGTTTACTAGACCCAGGAAATTATTTAATAATTTACTTATTGAACGGAACGCTCCAGGTATCTATTGTTTTTAACGATGAGTCAAAGGAAGAAGACAATAACGTAGAACTTGACTGGAATACTCATCTAAATGATAACCGCTGGCATAAAATTACTTTAAAGTATTCGAAAAAAAGGATTGACATTATTCTAGACGGAGTGGAGGAATCTATAGATTCAAAAATAGTAGAAATAAAACAAATATATTATGGAGCCTCATTAAATAATATAAATCATGCTAAAATGACTACTAATTTCACTGGATGTCTAAAAAATTACTTTTTTAATACATTCAATCCCTTATCAAGTGCTGTTCAGAAAAGACCCAGTCAAATAAAGAAAGGTTGCCATATTAATCAAAATTCTGTAAAATTTGTTGATAAGAAAAGCAGTTTTTCTTATGGTAACGAAGTTTGGAGCGATGATTTGAAAGTAGTTTTTGACATTAGAACATTTAGTGAAAACGGATTGGTACTTTTTAATCAATATATTCTGGATTTTGACCAAGGATTTATACAAGTAATAAAGTTATACATGTCTATTTTTCATTCAGTTTGTAATTATTTAAAGTAAAAAGTACTATTATGGTGTAGGGATAGCCTTAGGAATATAGTATTGTGCATAATTTATCAAACGTCAAATGCATTTTGCATTAATTTCTTTTTTATACAGCTTTTAATGCAAAATGGAATGCTCTTTTTAGAAAAACAAACTACGTCGGGCGAAAACATTAGAAAACAGCTTCATTATGATAAATTAAATGATAATACCTTTCATGAAGTAACGATGATTTTCAGGAAAAAGTGAGTTTAATACTAAATTAGTGTGTTATGAAAAACAAATTGCCTATTTTTTTCCAGACAAGCTATGTTGGTCATTTCGGTTAAAAAATCTATTACTTTCTTTAAATTTAAGAGCGGGGTAAGATTTCATGAGAGAGTGCACCTAGGCAATTGGGCTCAGTCAAGAGGCGGAGGTATCTATTGCAAAACTACTGATAGTTTTACTTACAAATATTTATAGTTATGAGAAGTAATGAAGAAATTTTTTCAGATAGCTTTATTGGTTGTTTATCAGCTGTTTCACTGAATAAATACAACTTGCAAGAAAAGGACTATGTTGATCAAGCATTTAAACATTTGGAAATAGGGAGTTGTAATTTGGAAAATATTTGTTCCAAACAGTCATGCATTCATGGAAATTGCATTAGTCTATTTCATGCTATAGAATGCGATTGTAGTGGAACGTTTTATAATGGAAAATACTGTCAATTTTGTGGGTATATGCCTGTCATTCGTAATAAAATGTGGGAATATTAGTCTTCATTTTCAGCTCGTTTGAAAAGTTCGTGCCAAGAATATGCCGACATTGGGTTAAATGAGACAGGATTTTACTTGATGGATCTTGATATGAGCAGAGCTCGTTCACACTTAACGACTTTTTGTAATATGAATAACCCAAGTCAGACAGCTATAAAAGAAGAGTTAGCTTCCGAATATTTAGTCGAAAAGGATCAACCTATCAAATTAGATTATCGGTAGGATAACATCAATACGTAACATTATCATGTAGAAATAGTGTGCTCTTACGTTCTTCTAAGTAACTTTTGCATTCAGGAATATATCAATTGCAACCATTGAATCTCACATTAAACAATTCGGAAGTTGTAATCAATCCTTGTTAATCGAATGTTCTACTAATGATGTGATATTACAAGCCGCTAAGAATTCTCAACCAAGAACAGTCTGCAAATCTATACTTCCAGGTAAAAGTCAGAATTATTAAGAAAAAGCCGAAAGCAAAGTTTTAATTACGTTCTCTGTTATAATCTTGATTAATTATTTGTGGCTAGATGAAGAAGAGAAGACTGATTATATTTCATTCAAGACAGAAGATTTACCTTTAACAGAAATTATTTTTAAAAATGTGAAACGACCTCTTCGAATATTAGTTGGAGATTTAGTTTGCCAAACAGATGGTAAAAAGCTTTTTAATATACAGTATATACAGTAAATATACAAATACATAAAGGACCGTCCTTATAACATCTTGAATAGGATTGGCAAATTCCAATAAATTTTCTTTAAAGGTTTCTAAAAGAGCTAAACAAAGTGTATGACTGATAATTCTTAACTATCTCTCAGCAACTATATGCGACTTAAAATCTTTTATTTATTGAATATCGATGCAGAATCGTTAATTGGGCTAAAATTCTCTTAACAGATCGAATCATGTCGTTCCCATCGGCAAAAAGCAAATATCTCAAAAGTTTACCGCAAATTTTCACCACCCTCTCGTTTTATTTCAAGGCAAACAATCGTAAAGGAATCATTTGGAGAGGCACTCAAAAGAAAACTGAATGGATTTTATCATTTGGTAGGGAAGCTCACTTCACTTGCTTTACCGCACTTAAATTATAATCTTTAAATAATTTACAGAAAATTCAAGAGTAACTTTAGGTATAAACTTTAAGGATGTAAAAAATCTTACTCTATCAGTTGAGGCTGATGGCTCAGTATTGAATTTGAGATGGCACTCGGTAGTCATTAGTATGTCAAAAGGCCAGATAAGATTGGAAATTGATAACCAATATAGTTACGGAAATGTTCCACATGATATGGAGTAATTATAAAAATTTATTTTTTTACTCATATATTAATGAATCATATACTATATTTAAATTGATCAAAAGCAATTACGCAATCAACAGTTTTAAGCTATTTTTCACAACTTGAATTACTATCTATCTATAGATTTTAGTTTTTAATGTAATATTTCTGCTCTAGGTTTAAACAAAACAATTTCCAAATAATTTTTGGATCAGCTAGCGAAGACTATACTCCAGTTTGTTTTAAATCTATAAAAATAAATGGACTTCTTCTTTCACCTAATGAAGTTTATACAATGTAAAATTTTCTTTTTTAAATCCTTAAATATATATGCTTACGATAATGAATTATTATTAGCGGCGAGAATATAGCTACAAAATGTCAGACAAGTTCAGACAAAAGTGTAACATTAAATGGAAACTCAAAAACGTCTTATATTAAAATTGTTAAAGAATCAGCAATGGATGCGTCCGTTAAAATACAATTTAAATTTCGAACGTTAGAGCATGAGTACCTGCTACTCAACTTGAATGATTCTCTAAATAGTTCTTTGAAGGTAAGAATTTTTATAATTGCAGCAGGTATTATATTAATTTTTTTTTGTAGATATTTGTTTCAAATAATACACTTTCGGCCAATTTTAATGGAAGACAATCTTCACTTTTTTATGGTTATATAATCATAAAATTTATTTAAATTCTAAAAGCAATTAACAAATTAATTATCTTTTAGTAACACCTAGTGATACGTGGAAACAATTTAACTTTCTTGGAAAGGGTCTACTGAAGGTCGACGGAAATAGTGCTGACTTGTACCATCACATAGGATTTAACATCCAAGGTAAAAGTTGTCCGAATATAGTAGCTTTGTAGATATTATGATTTGATATATATGGTAGTAGTGATTAAAGGAGAAAGTTTTTTACTATTAAAAGTCATCACTAAAAGTCAAACAAAATTGATTTATACTATTGATTACGATTTCAAATCGTGGAACGAACAACTAAACAGTAGATTTAATATTTTAGAGCAAGATATATCAGATATCAGCGGAGATTTTGATAAATCAAATTATAATGAGCCAACAGAAACAGAAACATCTGCGAGTTCACTAAAGAAACTCTATAAAGGTATAAAATTAAAAATAGTTATAAAATTGGAAGTTGCTTATCCCACCATTAGTTTTTATTATTATAAACGGTCATGCAATATTTCCTGCGACTTGCAAGAATACACGACATTTTCTGAAATTATATCAAAAGATGTAGTTAGCAGAGAAGGTTCATAGGACAACTTTTATTCCTCAGAAATGAGCTCTTTTCCCACGCTCCGAAAGCTTATATTAGTATTGAATATTATTTTATTCATTATTAAAGCCATCATGGCCTGGATACACTTTATAAGCGTCAGCTTATTTCTACCTTAATAAATTATATTAGAGACCAGATCATTAGATTTGTCCCTATTGAAAATCTATGTCATGTTATCAATATTTATATATTTTTACTATAGATGCTGATGTGGTAGTGTCAAAACATAAATCCCCCACCTTATGGATTTTTATTGGTGGTCATCCATTATTCAGGAAGAATCCCAAAGATTTTTACGGGTGTATAAAAAGTGTGCAAATAAATCAAATAGACTACGATATTCACTCTTATGATTACTATGAAGGTTTGAAGCAAAAAACGTCTAAGTCTTGTAAAAGCCTAATACATTTTCGTATCAATCATTTAAGGTGTCCATTTCGGCTGCTCCAACTCTTGTCAAAACTCTCCTTGCAATGGAGGAATCTGCAAAAATCGTTATTCTACCTATCAATGTGACTGTAGCAGTACTAGATATAGTGGTGTAACTTGCAATTCAGGTTTGTAATTTAAATAAGTAACAGTATTAGTTGTCAATCGCTCAGTTTTCCAAAAGAACACACAACACGATTTAACAAATCTTCTCTTATTTGGAATTTAACAAGAAAGGCAGCACTTGGAGAAAATTTTGAATTCTCTCTTAACTATGCTCTCCCTGCCAACAGCTCTTTCGTCATCGAAAAATCATTATCAGTAATAATCATTCATAGGTAAAACGATCTATATACATTTACCATGCTTGTTTGACAATAAATACTTGAATACTATAAAATTCGTAAACAATATATATTTTTCAGCGGAGAAAAGGATTTAATGAGTTTGAGATTCTATTGTTTAAATTTGAAGAGAAATAGTAGCTGTGCATCATATCGTCCTATTTTAATTTGGAAGGGAAAAGAATTACCCTTAAATATCACTTTAGAATATAACGGAAATCCTCATTTTATTTTATTCACCTTAAAAGAAAATCAAACGGAGTTTAAGGTTCGTATAATTCGAGTGTGAAAGCATAGTCAATTTGGACTAAAGAAGGAAATCAATTATGACCGTTGAAATACGGCAAATATAGCCTTGATTTTAATATATTTCTTGCCCCTGTTTACATTCTCTCAGTTGCCAGAGCGCTTTCAAACTTCTATTTATTTTAATATATTCGGGTCGCTGATATTTAAATACAAATCTTAATTTTCAGGTTGGAAAAAAAATCATCTCTTATTCGATGCGATCATGGGACAAAAAAAATATTAAATATTGGATTGACTCTATAACTATAGGAGATTTGCAGTTCACAGGAGATATATCGAGTAAGAAATTAGTTTCACATATAATGTGTTCTTGACGTAAAATTTATTGCACTTTTCAAAGACGTGAAAATTAAAACGGGAACGGAAGTTATCGAACCAATAGCTGAAATTTTCGAAAGACGGAATAACTTTGAAAAATTGAATAGCTTGTACTTTATCAATAGAAGCCTTATTGAGGAACCAATTCCTTTCTCCTCTAAGATTATGCTTGAGCCAAATCTTACATCAGTAACTTTATTTATTTAATCTCTTTCGAAAGAAAATTATTATTAAATCCTTCAAGAGTTTGTCGATATTCTATATCATTATTTGCAGATTATATTTAAACGTCCAATTTCCTCCAAAAATAAATCCTTTGGCGAATTCTTGATTCATGCAAATAAAGCTTTGAAGACTGTCCAGTCTGAAGGTAAAGCTCAAGATGGTGTTAAATTTCACTCCGTTATTGGTAAGTATTGAAACAAGCTATATTTTTACGAATAAATTTGGCGCCTTTATAATACGTTTGTTTCTTTAATGAATATGCTTTGAATACTAAAAAGTTAACACTAGCCTTGTATTCAAAGAACTAGATTATTTGTACCTTTATATTTTACTACTATTTGAATGTTTCATGTCACATTTATCGCTTAAAATAGGAGTGGTGATATGTGTATCTACAATTGGCGTACTTGTTGCCATTCTCGGATTTGTTATCTATCGCTCTCGGCCAAGAAAACCAAAATATTGCAATACGGAAGAAACTGAAGGACTTATCGTTATGAATAGAACATTTAGAAGTAAGGAAAAGCTTGACGATCGTAAGTATGCGAATTTATTTTCGTACCATAGTAAATGTTAGTGTTTGATATTACTACCAGAAGCAGAGTGTGACTCGAATAGCGATGAGCCAAAGATAATTATATGTCCTAAAGTTCCAGGAAAACTTCCATCTTTCTATCCCGAAATAGAAAATTTCGTAAGTAACAATCTGAAATAAAATTTAATTCGCATTATCTTCTATCTTATGAACAATATCAATAAAATTTGCAGCCAATGATAGATGAAGACGTCATAAGCCCTTTAATACCATCTAACGCAAAACAAAAACAAGCTGAAAGTGATTCTATAATCTCTTCTGAAGGACAATTAGAGTGGGACAACTCCTGTTTAAGTAAACCTAATCAGGTTGGCACTAATAATTGATAATAGAATCAAAGGGAAATTTTCAAGTAGCTACATATGGAGCGCAGAACGTTATCATAAAAAAAATTGCGATTGATAGTTATTCGTTTACGCATCTTTTAAAACTAAAAGTACTTGCCAGTCAGCTTATTGGAAATATCAAATCATACATTAAATATTCTTTCTATTGTTGATTATTAGACTATAATAGTTGTAGAATGCTTATTTAGTGCTACATCAACCATGTGATATGTTTTCTGCTTGGCCTATTTCAAATGATTATAAATCACACACACTTTGCTCTACAGATTGATCCAAATCTCTGGTGGGATCCTTACGCTTTAGAGCAAGATCACCAAGTAAGTTAGTTTGCTATCCTTCACTGTTCAATTCAAAGAAAATTTTTTTTTTTTTTTGATTTTAAAAGATGATTTAAATGACTTGTAAAATTATTAAGTTTAATTTCGTATTTCAGAAGATGGACATAAAAGACAGTAGTGATAATATAAATAAAGCTATTCCGATGAGGGATATTGACGAGGATCTCTCAGATGGTTTTCCATCCGTAAGAAATTATATTGGGCAGTTTATATAGCTAACTAATTTTTTCTTTAGCAAATGAAATTATTTCCTGTTGAAGTGGAAGTTCATTGTGAGCTTAAATCTATGGGATCTACCAATTCAGATGATTCCTGTCATTATGAAGAAACTGCATCTAAAGTATGACTACAAAATTGCATATTGCACAAGATTTAAAATAATTTTATTGTAGGATGTGAGAGACCAATATATGCTGGCAGGAAAATACAGTTCATCGTCAAGTAGCGAAGAAAGCTTGTTTGAGAAAAAAGGTGAAGCCAACTTCCTTGATGACTCAGCAAAACTCGACAAAGATACTCTCGAAAAAATAAATGCTGAATTTAATGAGCACTATTCAGATAATGTGCAAAATGAAGACAATAAACAAAGTGAAATTGAAGATGCTAATATACGCTTCAACTCATACTATTCAGACGACAATGCAAAATCCATAAACGACCATCAAACAAACGGTGAAATTAGTAAGAATGTAAATGAATCTACAAGTGGAGTACCAATAGATAATGATGCTATGGAGAGGAAAAGGCTTCGTTTTAAGTAGCAGTGTCATTTAGTTTTCTTCTTTCTGCCGAATTACATGTTAAAGGGAACAGCTAATTTATAATATATTGTAATATAATATATACTCTGCTGAATAGTTGATCTTGACCGTTTATTATAGATATTTAAATAAATAAGTATATAAACATTATGTACAAGGAGTCAATATAGATATTTAAAATTAATTGTAAAGTTCTATCGAACGTCAATAAAAAGACAATAGCATGGTACAATAGTATCTTTGATCATTCTTTACATCTCTACCTGTGCAAGTAATGTTTGATGGATATTTTTCCATCAATATATAAATATTGTTTATTCTGTTGGAGTAGGTACAATTGGGATAAATTAATCTATCATCAATTGCTTTGAACATTGGTGGCTTGAATTGCCTCGAATTATTATTAACGCGTAGGGTATCGGGACAAATTTCATTTTCAGGTACTGGGCCATCATATTGACCTACAAACAAGAGGCGTGTATGAAATTTGATAACAAATAAAGAATATGGAAAATAATACTATAACAAGTATCCAAGTCATTTCCAGAGAAAAGTAAAGTATCGTTTATCATTTCGCATCGTCGTACTTCGCAGCAAGATTTATAATCAAGAGGAACAATGAAAGATTCTTCGCAAGTATAGAAGCAAGTTTCGTTCGAACCATGACCGGAACAATTAACATATCCATGCCTTGGTTTTGGAATTCGTTTACAAGACTTTGAGTTTTGTGAGAAGCTCACTAGAAATTTAAATAGAAATCGTAAAGTCAACTTATTCAAAAGAGACGTACTTGTCCTTGCTGCTATACTTTTTCTGATACTTGTTGAATAGGGGGCATAAGTTGTCCGATTGGTAATAAAATCTATAAAATTAGACTTAATTGTAGATCCTTCTGCAGCCATTTTACACTCAATATAACGATATTGATCTCTTAAAAGCGGAGTTGTGTGAAGTTCCGAAATAATTTTCCATTCAAATTGATATTTTCCAAGGAGGCATTTGATGCGAATTCTTCTTCGATTCTTTTTATAATATAGTTCAAGTTTACCTTTACAGAAAGCCTCGCATTCGGAATTAATTATATATTTATTCCCACAATTAAAATTTACTGAACCATGTTTAAGTTGATTAGAAGAACATTCACTATGCATATTAACTATAAATATTTATATATATATATATATATAATACAATATACAGTATATTCAATCTATGATAACTTGATCTGCAACTATATACGTATTGAAATATCTTACTTTTTATTCCAAATTTTATAATGCAACTATTTTCGTAACCTAATTTATCGTAAACTGACCAGATAGAATAATAAATCCACGTATGACTTCCTTGATGGAACTCAATGGATCTATTCTTAATGAAATTAGGCTTAAGATTATTATAAAGGCTATTAGAGCAAATTCTCTTGGAACCAGCTCTATAGGCAGGTTTAAAATATTTTCCTTTTTGACAGGATTGTTTAGGTATAGGATAGCATCTCATTTTAGAAGAGTAAATATGGAAAAAAGTAACGTTTGATGGACAAATATAATAATCATCTCCACCTGAATAGAATAAGAAGGATAAGGAGAGAGAAAACAAAATTAAGAAGATTAACTTTAGTCTAAAAATATTCCATACATAATTCCTTGTGTCCTTGAATCTCTTCTTTAGAAATCAACCTAGACTTTTCAACACCTGTTTGTATTACTATAAAAAGAATATGAATTTATATATATATCTAATATATGCATATAAATATTAATTTGCTTACGTATTGAAATAGTTATTATAACAGATACGGCTGTTATAAAGGTACTAAAGTAGGTTACACAATCATTGAACTTTGCGTAAAAATTATTATTATCCTTATTTAGCATAATTTCAAAAGAAAGAAAGTAAAATATTCAAATTATTGAAAAATAATAACAAAATAAAGAAAGAAATAAGTAAAAAACAAATAAAATGAAGTCCTTTTTTAGTAAATTGAAAAAAGGTTTCAGCTCTAATTATAGATCTTCTGAGTTTTGGATACAGTACTTGGTCGTAATAGCCCTATTTCTCAGCTTGGTGTCACTAATTTCACGTATTTATTATATTATTATTGTTATTAAAAATAAGAAAAAGAAAGATATAATTGTCCTTCTCCCATTTCCTCTCTATTTCCAAGGCTTTCTAGTCGATTTTGAAACGGAAAGCATAAAGTTTTGTGACTTTAAATGCCCCAAACAGCGTCTAAACGTCGAGATTGACAGAGAGGCGTGTTATGAAACGCCTAAATGCAATTGCTGGTACGTTTCTCTTCTTCTATTGGGATATATTTGTGAAAATCACGTGATTGAGGCCCTCATACTTGTGCCTTAATGGATCGAAGGGCAAACTCAATAATCCTCATAAACCTATATATAAACTGTAGAGCAGATAAATACAAAAAAGGTTTTGAGGGGAGGGGTTTAAAAAAGAAAACAGTTGCGTGATGTCCACTAAATATTTCCATCAAAAGAAGAAAAGAGTACATCATAGTATATTTTAAAGGGTAGTAGGAAAATGGAAATGACAAAAAAAAGTGAAGTAGGCCTATTATGATGTTCATTTCAGCAAGTTAATGGCATTTAAGTATGGTTTAAGGCGTTGTGAAGAACCTAAACAAGATGGAATATTCCAGAGTATTTGGCAGTACAGATTAGAAGGAGATTACAAAATTCACGAATGCATAATTGAAATTTACGTAAGACGGCCAAAGTATAAGGCAATTTATTCGTCAAGTATGGTTAATTTGTCGACAATTCATACAACTTTATTACCTGGTAAACAAATTAAATTCATTTTGAATAAGTAAAAAGAGATAAAAAAAAATCATGTTAGACGCCTCCCCCTTTTTAGACGCTTTTTGTTTTCTTTTAAAAAAAATTCTGTTCTCTTTATTCAATTTTGTAAATAAGAACATCTCGCTTACTAATTTAGTTAAACTGTGCAAAGAACCAAAACCTATTAGAAACGGCGAAGTCGAATGTCTCGCTAGTAGAAGGGGAGAGAAAAATCAATATGAAGAAGGTACAAGATGCTTATACAGGTGCAATAAGAATTACAAATTATCTAGGCTTAAGAAAGTTAAACACTTGGATTTTATTGAATGTAAAATTGACGATAAGAATAACGATCGACTGGGTTGGAGTAATGAATTAGACTCGAATGAAGCTGGTTGTGTTCGTATGTATATTTAGGTATTGAAAATCTAGAAGTCTTTTTCAACTTTAATTAAATTATAGAAGTGGAAGACTTTCCAGTTTGCTTCCAAAATTGTAATGCTAATGAAATAGTAAATAAGAGTATCTTACAAGGTTTTACAATATCTGAAAGAGAATTTTTTAACAAAATACCCAAGTTTAAAAATCGTCAGAATAGAACTCTTTCAACCAGATGTAATCCTCTACTGCCTAAAGAATTTCACAACAATCAATTTCTTCCCTACTATTATAGATGTTTCGCGGAAGACGACAAGATACAATCTAAATCAATTGACTATTGGATAACCCTTTATATTTATCGTACGAACATTTCTATTTCTTTTCGTTATCCCTTATTCTCTTCTCTCTTATCTTAAAAAGTTATATATAATATTTTTGGCCTAATTTTTACCCTTTCTTCTCCCTCTTTCTCCTACTTTAGCTATAATCTGCCCTAATCCTAAAAGTAGTTTGATTACTAAGGAGCATGGAATTAATCCAGTTGTCAAATGTGAAAGTTTATGGGATATTAATAAAGGCAATGCAAAGCTAAATCATTATCCTTTAAGAAGACATAGGCAATGTACCGAAACGTGTAGTAAGCAATATCACGTTTCCTCTTTTAGACATACTAGAATCGTTCACATATGTACTGATTATGGAAAGTGGCGCCCAAAATTTAAGAATGTTTTCTATTGCATGAGTAAGTTAACTAACTAACTAACCTCTCGTTAAAAAAGAAACACGAATAAGATAACTATAGATGGCGTTGTATTATTACATTAAAACTCACATTTCTGTTTGTTTTCTTTAGAAAAGCATCATCCAAGAATTTATATAGTAAATATGAAAATAAATAAACATAGCCATTTAAAAAGCAATTATTGCGGTTCAAAACTGGAACTTAAAGAAACTAGAAGATTAATTCTAAAATTATTTAATAAGAATATTATAAATAGATTTAAAACAATAAAAAAAATTGTAAAATGTGTAAAGTCTACAAATAATCTAAATTTAAGGATAATATTTAAAGTATTTATAAAATATTCGATAATACCAGAATTTAGTAGAATATACTTTCTAATGGAACATTTTATTACTTCAACTTTTATAAATCATTTAAATAGTATTGAAAATAACTATTGGAATACAGGAAATAGTTCTTATGAATTTTTAATAAAATGCGATAAAAGGTTGCAAATTAACTTAAAATCTAAATATTGTAGTAAGTAATTCAATAAATTACTTATTCTTTTAATATACTATATTTTTATATTTGTTAACTGTTTATAGTTGGCTGCCCTAAGGGTCATTTCTTTGATAAAGCTCAGTTGGAGTGTAAAAAATGTAAAAAGAATTATTTTCAAAGTGAAGATGAAAAAGGTTATTGTACTCCTTGTCCCAAATACTTTCAAACTGAATATGAAGGTTCTACAACATGCGTTCGAATTTAGATTATGAAGTATTCTTTTCCTCATCTTCTAATTAATTAATAATAAGATTAGTTTTACTTATGATACTTAATACTTTCTAATTATAATTGTAATAGTTTCCCTATGATCTTACTCTATTTATAGACTAAATCCTCTTACATTTAAAAATAAATATTACTGTGTTACTTAGATGTAATTTTTACATTTTTTTTCATTATGTTTTTTTTAAATAAAAAGAATAAAAAAGTTCTTTTTTTTTTATTAACAAAAAGTCTTTAATAGTTTTTTCCATGGAAAAAAATATCAACTATAAAATTCCGAAGACAAATATACTAATTTAGATGTCAAGGTCTTAGCTGTTTTGTAATCATTGTTAAATTCTATTAAATTTTCTAGTAAGTTTATCGAAAAATTATTAGCAATTTTTATATGTAAAATATTGATATTAAATATGATAAAAATAGTTTAGATTAACTTTGGAGAAACTATATATAATATATATGTTGCCTATTTTAGAGTGATTCTTTAAATTTCGTTTCATACAGACTCCTGGTTATGACATGCTAAAGGAAATTATGAGAGGACTTGAAGATGATGCTACCGCTAGGCTAGCTAGTATTCGGTGCATGAAAAAGTGTATTAAGAATATTCGGGATGGACAGCCTTATCCAGCAAGCATGTGTCATGTTCCAAAGTACTACAAGTATAAAATAGGGCTCTTGGAACAATCTCAAATTAAAGTATACGACGCTCCAGAAGGACAGGAAATAGATACATTACGCTGCTCTTCCACTTCTGTTTTGTACATTGATGGAGACGAAGTTTATACTAGCTCAGGCATTTATGGGAAATTGATAAAGGTATTCGATTTCAATATCAGAAGAACAACAAGAACAAACTTTCTTTTCAGTTCAAATTATCTTCCACTGGTACTATAGCTGAGATCGATGGTTTTGTACAAATAGTTAGTGTTGACAAGGACACAAAGGCAACAGAATCTAATCTACACATGGTAGTAAAAGATGAACTAAGCCCTACTCTAAAAAATGTCTGCCTTTTTTTTAAATGCAAACATTACAGGTACGTTTGGCTTTAAATACTATAAATGTTATATAAAAGTATGTTGACTTTAAATATCTGAATATTATCTATTTAGTTGGCAGAAGGCTGTGGAAAACGAATTTTCGTGTGGCTCTCCTAAAGTCAACAATATGATTGAAAGTCATGAAGAAGCTACTACTGCTTTAGAAAAGTATCCCGATGGTTGGACATACGATCATGATATTGAACTTTTAAAATTTTTGTCTGATCCTGAAGTTTTGAAATACTGTGGACATGCTGAAACAACGAGAAAATCCATAAAAAATATAGATGTCTCCTCATATAGTGACAGTTATAGCGATAAAGATCATCTTATAGATGATAATCCTGAAACATTTTGGGAGAGCGACGATTCTTCTACTCATTGGATCCGATTAACAATGGAATATAATGTTATTATAAAGTAAGATGCCCATATTCCAAAAATTACTTCTTTTAAATTCATTGAATAATAGATCCTTATCGGTCATGGTTGCTGAGGGTGACGATAATTACTTTCCTAAAAGAATATGCGTTAAAGTTGGACCATCATTAGAAAAATTACAAGAAGTTCGAGAAACAAAGCTAAATTAGTAAGTCATCATAATCTATGCAATCATAATAATATATACACACGCAAACTAAACATAATCTGTATTAACAGCACGTCAACCGTCGGAGTTCGAGAGGTAACAATTCTTGGTGAACAATTAGAATTCCATCCTATTATTCAAATTGAAATTAAAGAGTGTATGGGTATGTACTAAATAATAATCACGTAATGAAGTTATCTTCTCTTGTTAAAAAAATGTAACATTTAACATTTAGAAGATGGTATTGATACTAGAATTAGGGGTATTAAAGTAAGAATTGAAAAGAAGAGAAGTCAAGAATTAGCTGTATATACATTCAAAGACATTATGGAAGTAAAATTTCCCAGGCTTATAGATTTTGACCTTGCTATTTTGAGACGAAGGGTACTGCTATTAACGAGGTGAAAAAATTTGATTATAATCAAAATGTTTTTTCAACATCTTCATGTTTTTTAAAGACTGGTAGCTCTATTCGAAAGTGTCGCCAAGTTCTTAATACCGAACTGGAATAATAAGCCTACTGAACCCTGCAAATTGATACAATTAATGAAGCCTTTCTATTCGCTATCGGTAAAAAGATTAGATATTGTTGAGGAGCTTCTTCACCTATCCGAATACGATAATTCAAATGGCGAGTGCCCATCTCTTCATATTAATAGGCTAAGTAAGACTGAGCATAGAGCTGATCCAAGAGCTGATCCTGAATGTCGAAAAACGGTATTTGTTCAAGTGTATGATGGCTTATTGAAAGCAGATTTAGAAAATTTCGATTATAGGTAGAGTTTTCATTAGTTATAATATAAGTGCTTTATTAAGCCTTATTTCTCTTTTTACTATAGATGGGGATCAAATAGTAGATCCCAATGGTGGGAATGCAAATTTACTCAAGAAGGAATTATTGATCAAGGAGGAGGATTTAGAGATAGTCTATCTGATATTGCTGAAGAGCTCTGCCCTCCCGCTGATAGTCCTGATTTACTTCCACTGTTCGTTAGAGCTCCAAACCAAAGAAATGCGTCAATGAATATATATAAAGATGCCTTCGTGCCTAGTCCCTCTTGTACATGGTTTAAACGTTACGAATGGTTAGGTAAATTAATGGGAGCGTGCTTCCGTAGTAAAGAGAATCTTGTGCTGAATCTCAGTCCCTTTGTTTGGAAAAAGCTATGTGGAGAGCCAGTCAGCTGGAACGATTTCGCAACTGTTGATGATAGTGATGTTAAAGTTTTAAATTCTATTGAATCTATGAGTGAAGAAGAATTTCAGGCTTTTTTCGGAGGTGAAGTGTATTGGACGGCCATATTTAGTGATGGAAGCGAAGTTGAACTTAGTTTAGATGGATCACATACTCCTGTAACATATGAGGAAAGAATTGATTATTGTAACGCAGTTAAAAGAGTAAGAATGGCGGAAAGCGACAAACAAATAGATGCTATTAGACGAGGTCTTCTAAGCGTTGTTCCTCAATCGGCACTTGATCTTCTTAATTGGGAAGAAGCTGAAAGAAGGGTTTGCGGTGCTGCAGAAATAACTATGGATTCCCTAAAGAGTTCTAGTAATTTTTTCTATTATTTTTTTTTACTTTCAATTAATTAACATTGTAATTGTTTTCAAAAGCTCACTTTGAAGAACTTATGGAAAATGATTCGAGAACAAAATATATGTGGATGGCTCTTGAAAATTTTAACGATGATGAAAGAAGCCGATTCTTGAGATTTGTTACTGGACGAAAGCGATTGCCCGCCCCGGTTTATATATGTTCGCTCAAAAATGGAAATGAGGAAGATATCGACTCTCTTCCAGAATCTTCAACATGTTCAAATACACTTTATTTGCCTAAATATTCTAGGTATTACTAAATTATTAATCAATAATTTTTTAATAGTTTTCAAAACTTCTTTTTTCTCTGTATATATATATTTCTATGTTTAACAGCTCTTCCAAATGCGAGGAAAAACTACGATATGCCATCTACAATTGCTTGGCGATAGATGCTGATATGATGCCTTATGATATGGAATAATTATCGATGGTAATATTTTCTACAAAGCTGTATGCACTCTCATTAAATATTTCAAATAGTCAAATCTGGACAAATGAATTTAAATCTCAAAATTAATTTATTTTAAAATATACTTTGATATGATTATTTTTGGGCTCATTAATGCTGGCATACCAACAAACACAATTTTATTTTATCTATACGACATGTAATACTTAAAATTTTATGCCATTCAAGTTATATATTGTTCTATATTGTTTATTGAAGTAATATTTTAATAAATTACTGAAATGAAAACTTTCGTTCAATGGGTTCGATAGGAATATATGGAATACGTAACCATATTTCGAAATAGTCAACGAATCACTTTTCTCCACCTGAAGATAACTAAAATGGAGGCTATGCGGTGTATTTTATTTTTTATCACTGTCACAACAAGTATTTACGCTCTACCTAAATCAAAAGAGGTTATTATATAGTTTATACGATGCTAAAATAATACTTTAAGTAAAAATAATGCAAATTATTGTTTTCTTGAATTTTTAGTTGCACCTCAACGATAGGGTTCAATCGCTATTAGATTGGAGCAATCGAAGACCAGTTATTAGGCTAGATGGAAACAAATTTCGTCAATATGTACGACAAGGACCTAGGAACTATTCCGTAGTTTTGATGCTTACTGCTTTGGCTTCTGAACGCCAATGCTCTGTCTGCAGGTAAGCTTTATTCTTCTGATAATAAAACCATTTTTATCTTCCTCTAAAAAGAATAATCTTATGGAATATTAAAACAGTCAAATTAGCTATAACCCATACATATTTTTCCTTAATATTGAATATTTAGATAAGAGCCATGCAAAAGATCCATAACATTATTTCCTTATTTGCCACGTTGATAATAACGCTATATAGCATTACGTATAAAAACAATGGAAGAACAAAATGGAAAATTTTTTTCCAACACTTTCTCACAATGCAATTAATTAATTAAATTTTTATTTCTCTGAAAGACATGCTAATGATGAATTCCTAATTGTTGCCAACTCTTGGAGATATAGTCAAGCCTACTCATCAAGGATTTTCTTTGCTATGGTTGATTATGATGAAGGAGCTGACGTATTTACATCTGTAAGATTTATTTATAATGTCTATGTTCCTTTTTATCATACGTTTATCATTACATTTTTAGTTAAAACTTAACTCTGCCCCAACTTTCATGCACTTTCCTCCCAAAGGAAAGTCTAAGAAAGGTGACACCATGGATTTAAATAGGTAATATACTAATAATTTTTAATAAGAAAGTAGAATCGTTAATCGTATATTCAAAAACTTGTGTTTTCTATTTTAGAGTTGGATTCGCAGCTGAACAGATAGCAAGATGGGTTCAAGAGCGAACAGACGTTCACGTTAGTTTATTTTATCAAGCTGAATCAACCGTCTTCTTAAACATAAAAATACTTTTTCTAAATAGATTAGAGTCTTCAGACCGCCTAGTTATTCCGGAACTCTTGCTTTAGCTTTACTCTTTTCTCTGATTGGTGGCCTCTTATATTTAAAGAGAAATAGTTTGGACTTTTTATACAACAGAAACTCGTGGGGGATTGCTGCTCTTGTAAGCCTTAGAATTATCTAAAATATCTTTAAATTTCATAAAAAAAATTTTCAGTCAATTATATTCGCAATGATTTCTGGTCAAATGTGGAATCATATAAGAGGACCTCCTTTCTTACACAGTAATCCTCAAACTGGTCAAACAGTAAGTATCAGAATACGTATATTTTTTTAGTTAAGAATTCAATAAGCCAGAGTCCTTAAGTTTATTTAAGTAATAATAAATTAGATAGTAGAGTTTTGTAAATTGGTTTGAAATTAACATCAACCAAATGAGAGAAATTTCGTATTACAGAGTCTTAATCTTATTCCTCCATTTAATGTGACTGAAAAATAATGTTAAATGTTATATAACCTAATGACATATTTATTGTCAAAGAAATTAAAAGGATCATACACTTTTCAGCTCTTCATTCACTCTAGCAGTCAAGCTCAATTTATTATCGAAACCTACATCGTTATCGTATTATGTATCCTTCTCACATTTGTTATGCGTATAGCTGCCATATTTTTAGGATGCTAGCTTTTTGTGGTAATTTGGTTCATATATTGCTTCTCTATAGCGCTTAATTTTTTTTCGCTACTTAAAGCTCAATTAGCTTGGCATGATAATTCTTTTATTTAAATTAATCATTTATTTAATATAATTTTTTTAACATTAAAGCACACATTAGTTAGTTTCTTACTCTTTAATTTAATTATAATAGATTAAATTGTTCCATCCTTTTTCTTTTTAACATTCATTTCAGATGTATATTGTACGCGATTCTGATTATCAATTTATTTTTGAGACTTTAATTGTTGCTGCACTGTGTATCCCTTTTTCAATTGTTTTAGTTCTAGTAAGTAGAAACTGCTTTTATACTTTTTATTTCCCTTCCCTGTTTATTATTATTATTTTTATTATTATTATTATTGCTATTAATTTGCCTTTTCTAGCATTTATTGAAGTTTCATTGCTATATTATCAATTTAGTATGTTAATTAAACTATATAAAGGTTATATAACAAAAAACAAAAAAAGGTATTCCTTAACAAAATTTCAAAGATTCGGCAGTTGTAATTGGAATGATTGTACTGAACGAAGCACCAGAAATGAAGGTTGACGCTAAAAAGAGGAAAAGTTAGTTATTATCATTTAACTGTTATATACAATACTTAATACGTTGATGTATATATTTTGCAGTTATGTGCTTTGTTGGATTGGGTACAGTGGCTTTCTTCTTTAGTATAATTCTTTCTATTTTTAGAGCCAAATACATGGGATATCCGTACAGGTTTATATAATAAAATTATTCTTCCTTCTGTAAGCTTAATATTTGAATTTTTTTCATTCAGTTTCTTACTAAAGTAAAGAAGAAAAAGAGAAGAGAACGTATGATAATTGACTATGAATTTTTAAATGTAATTTTCCTATGTTAATTGTCCTGTATTATTATGTTGCATAAATAAATTTTTCTTGATGAGTTTATTTAAAGATAGATGAAATATAACAAGAAAACAAACAATTAATGTGACTAAAGTAACATCTCTTTTAAACTGAATTGTAAAAAATAAGAACGTTAACTTGATGAGTGAATATAGAATTTATTTTTTATACGCGTTTTAGACCAGAGCTTATCAGGGGGTTTCGTAGTGTAGCGGTTATCACGCTCGCCTCACACGCGAGAGGTCCCGAGTTCGATCCTCGGCGAAACCAGTTATTTTTGATAATTTTTTTATTTGAACTATAGACTTGTTTACACAACGAAGCGCTATTGAATCTATTTACTTTTTCTTTTCTTTGGCTCCTTTTCAGATAAAACCTCTTTAAAAATATTTTTATAATATGCACGAAACAGCCGGTAGATGTCACCAGCGCCGGAATGGCGTCGTGCCCGACTTGCTTTATTAATTTATCTAATTCCGGATAAAAACAGTGTTAATAGTTACAGTTTGGCTAGTTTATGGTCTATAACAAATATTTGAACCAATCAGTCATTAGTTATTTACGGTAGTTAGATAAGAAAGGCTCAAAATATGTCAAATTTATTTCGAAAGGCTCGAAAACCTGGAAAACAAATTGAAGATTCTCTGAAGAAAATTGTGGAACATTTTCAAAGGAAGGGCCTTAATTGCTACCACGGTAGGATAGATCGAAGTACAGCCGAATTCCGACTACTACACGACGGTAATGTTACTAATTGAGTATTAGTAGGCTTATATTCTGCTTACATAACAAAAAAGTATTACTAATACATTCCAATCATTAGGGAGAAACGAAAATGGATTATATTTGATAAGAAACGCATCGAATAGCAGCGGAGATTACGTATTATCTTATACATCAATAGATGAGCTATCGGGAAAATTGGGGTGTAAACATTTGAATATTTTACAAGTGATTGTCTATGGGCGAATGGTATCTCAATATGTTTACGGAAAGAATACATTTTTCGGTTTGGATGATCTACTAAATCGGTTAAAGAAGAACCAGATTATTAAAAAACCGGTCAACTTTCAAAATTTTAGTAAATGTCTTCCGTTATTTACAATTGGAGCCAGTCTTACAACTTGCCTACACTCTTCTATACAATCGGAAAATTACGAAGAGGCAAATTCCATTATAGATCATCAAGAATATAGGAAGAGAGATTTACTGATTTTAAGAGATTGTGATGGAGAGTCGGCTATACACTTAGCAGCTGAGGCTGGCTCTTTGAGCGTTGTTAAAAAATTAGTTGAAGCTGGTGCATTGATTACACTAAGAAATAAATCCGGATATACTCCGCTCCATGTAGCCGTTAAGTCCAAAAGATTAGCTGTAGCTGAATATCTTATTGAAAGGGGAGCGGATGCATTCGACCGTTGCTTAAAAGCCCCATACAATTCTTGTTTACACGACGCTGCCGCTACTGGACAGATGGATATGATTGATTTACTAATTAAGAACAACGCTCCTCCGTGGGTATTTAACGTTAGGAAGGAAATACCAAGCGCAGTTGCCGAGAGAGCTGGTCATCAAGAATGCGCTAAATATATAGGTAACATAAGAAATTCATATTTTCAAAGTGTAAAAACTATCAATCTTTCGTATTGAAAATAGAGAATGTACAATTGCCTCCTGCCAGTAGCCAAAGGGATAATTGGTTTCATCACAATTTAACAAGACAACAATGCGAAGAATTCTTTACGAAATACGACTTTGAGGATGGTCTCTTTCTTATTAGACCATCTACTCAACCGTTATTTTTATCATTATCTTTGTGTTTTAATAATCTTCCTCATCATTTTAGAATTATGGCGGTGAGTAACTTATAAACAGTAACACAATGAATGTTTCTTATATTTCGTATGAAATTAGATTGAAGATAAAATGTATCGAATAGAGCCGGATGGTACAACTTGGCCGACTTTAGAGCATTTGGTAGACCATTATTCTGGAAGAATGGATGTATTACCTTGTTTATTAACCACAGGAATTAGTCCTAGTGAGTTATTTTTAAATAGCATTTATTTTTAAAGAAAGTACCAACATTGCAATTGTTCTATTTGTTTTTTAGTAAATTTTAAGCCTATCGCTGTTCAATGTTCAATGCCAAAATTAAGAACCCTTACCGCTAACGAAAATACGAATGAAGGATCGATAGGAAATCATAATTCGGCTTATTTAGAAACTATTATTGAGAATAGACAAGCAACGTATATAACCACTGCAAATAATCACGAAGATCATGAAACGGTAAGAAAGCTAAATAATATTAAATATTTGAGTTTATTCGTTAATTACTTGTGTACTTTTATATTCCTTTGAATAGGCCCATAAAGTAAAAACGTTATTGGAAATAGATAAGAAGATGATCACACTAGGTCATTCATTGGGTAACGGAGAATTTGGTGTTGTATTAAAAGGCACCTATTCGAATGATGGAAAGAAAAAAGTAATTATAAAGTTTATTAATATTTGACTATATAAAATAATAAATTAAATCAATATTTATTATTAACTTTTCAATAGATTGACATTGCTATAAAAACTCTATCAAACGTTGGAGATAATAACCAGTCAAGCATAGATCAATTTATGAGGGAGGCACATATTATGATGAATTTAGATCATTGCAACATTATCAAACTAATTGGTATTTGTCGTGATGGTACGACAACTATGATGGTACAGGAATTGGCTAAATATGGGTCGATGCTGGATTATCTATTAGATCATAAAGACTCTATCAATCCTAAAAAAGAACTTTTATTATGGGCTTATCAAGTAGCTTGTGGAATGAGATATTTGGAAGAACAACGATTTGTGCACAGGGATCTAGCGGCAAGGAATGTTCTATTGGCCAATAATAAGGTAGCTAAGGTCGGCGATTTCGGTCTATCCAGAGCCATGAGTGGTGGTGATAATGTATATCAATCGGCCGAAGGCGGTAAATGGCCTATTAAGTGGTACGCTTTAGAGGCAATTATTTATGGAACGGTAAATAGACAATTTTCACTTTCGAAAGCGACATCTATTGATTCTTTATTTAATTAGTTTTCAAGCGCTTCCGATGTATGGAGTTACGGCGTTACATTATGGGAAATGTTCACTTTTGGTAGTCAACCATATGGAGATTTAAAAGGATCAGCTTTAGTAGAGTTTATAGAATCAAATGGTAGATTAAAAAAACCTGACAAAGCTCCCGAAGAAATATATCGCGTAATGTCTAAATGTTGGTCTGAAGAACCTGAAGATAGGCCTACTTTTGAATTTCTAGTCACATTTTTCGGGAACATGGACTTCGTTAGATCAAAATTGAAGAAAAAATCATAATAAAACCCACTGAATCGTTTTCAAATTCCATTTTATTTATTAAAAAAAAACCAAAATTATTCTAATTCATTTTTTTTTCTATTCGAAAGAAATATCTCTCTCTCTCTCTCTCTGCATTCTCCACTCAGAATAAGAGATAAAAACAATTTTTTACCGAGAACGGTGCTAACATTTTCAAGATTTTCGTATAAAAATGAAAAGTAAATGACACACTTTTAAGAGCTGTTCTTTTTTTTCGTAACAGACTTTTCTTCTTTTTTGTTTTTACAATAAATGAATGCAAAATTAAATAAAAAAATATTAAGAAAGTATGTTCTTTTTTGTTTTTTAAAAAAAAAACTTTAAAATGTTCCTACTTTTGTAAGACTAATTCTTTTTGTAATACTTTGATGATTTGTATAATCATGCGATTCTTCAAATTCGTTGTTTTTGTCAAACCACTCATCCGTTAATTCGAAAGCTAAATTTTCATCAATCTGTATAAAATGAATTATTTAGTGCTAATTTCAAGTAGAATTTTTAAGGAAACAGCTTACTAAACAACTACAGCAAGCATGAGCAGCAATAAAGCTATCCCTTGTTAATCTAATAACGTTGGAGCAATTTTTTAGTATAATCTTCTGACCCTATAATAAAATATAATACAATATTTGAATGTATTATTTATTATAAACAAACCTGTTCAGCTCCTCTTTCAGATCGATTATGATCATTTTCCAATTTAATAATAACTTTAAGTTGATTTAAGACGGTAGGAAGACACTCAATAGTAGATTGTAAGTCTTTGGCTAATCTAAATTTAAAGGCATTGTTTAGATGTGAAATTAATAAACGATAAGATAGTTTACCTATCATCAAAACAGTTCTTTAGTATATCCCTAAAGAATTCAAGAACTTCATTACAATGTTCAACAATTGACAAAGCAATTTCAGAAGTATTCTTATAGTCTTTATTATAGATAAATCGCCTTAAATCTAATAGAGATGATTTCATTAGATAAAAATTATCTAATTGAGTTATTCTTTGTTTATCATTCGTTGATTTCATTGTCATAAAATGACGTTTTGGAAATCCAGTTATTGGTGTTGAATGGAAATTCTGTTTAAATCTATCGTTAACTTTTAACGATTCGTCACTATGAAAATAATAAAAATATGATTGTATAGATAATACATCATTGATTAATTAGTGATGGAAATAAACATACTTTTCATTATCGCTAAGTATCTTTGAAAAGTCTAATGAAAATGTATCGCATGATAAAAGTCCAGTCATACTAAGGGAGGAATAACATACATATACAGTTAGAAGTTTGATAATAATGGCGAATATACCTCTTAGTAAAAGTATTTAGAGCGCTATTCACGGCGCTAGATGAACTACCGGCTATTAGATCGTGTCTTAACGATTCTGTAAAGCCAGCGAATACCTTTTCCTTTCTGGCGTCGATATCTTCAATTCTTCTTGGACTCATTTTAAATTCTGCAGAATACGTAGTAAAATAATGATATAAACAGATAAATGGAATACATACCTGATATATCAGTATAACCTTTAAGTTCATTGAGAACTCTACTAAACAAAGATATCCATTCGTATTGTAATTTTTGTAATAATTTATTACTTTTAACAAATTCTTTCGTATTAAATGGATACGAGTCTGGTTCAATAATTTTTAATAGTTCAATAGTTAATTTATCCAGCCATTCGGAGAGTTCAATAACTGTACGCCGTTTATCAGTTGGTAAACTTGATAAACAATCTGATATTTTAGATTTAAGAGTTGTTAATTTCTTCTGAAATTCTTCTGATATACAATTTTCAACTTCTAAAAAGAATGGAAAAAATGAAGGAATTGTTACTATTATATCCTTATTTTTTTAATTATTTATTATCTTACTTGAGGGTGAAAATGATAAGCTAATAGAACGGAACGAATCGGCCATGTTAGCTAAACATGGGAATATTTCTTTAACTGCTTCATCGAGTATATTACTGGTATCATTCATCTAAAATTAGAATAATAAGAAATACAGTATACTGTATATTGATTGTACAGTAAAACTTACCACTTTGGAGAATCTTAAGATATTTAAGCAGAGCTTTAAAGTTACAAATGGATCATCGTTACAATTAATTAATAAATTATAAGATTCAGTTAATTTTGATTGTTCCATATCTAATAGTTGAGAGGATCTTCTAGCTTCTATTGCCAAATCATTTTGTCTGTTTACAACAATAATATAACTGATTATTATAATAAGACGATCCTTAAGAAATATACCCAGTAATAACGGGTTCCAACCAATTTTTTATCTTATTACATTCCGATAGACAGTTCTCGTATGCCAATTTCCAGCCATCTAAACTATTAATATCCTTTGGTATAGATATTTCAACGCAAGTTCGTTGAATATATTCCTTAGATACATTTATCAATAGTAGGTTTATTACATGAATTTTAACTTTCCATGTATTTAATGCTTGTTTTAATGCATTCTTAGCTTGAATTGAACGTGATCCAATAGCTAAATCGGCGTACGTTGATATAGTTGATAATGTATTTTCAAGTTCATTTTCTTGTTCATTAATTAAACCGTCATTTATAGCTTTTGTTTGGTTAATTATCCATTTAATATCGGCAGATATTTCTTGGCATTTGTTCGTTATTTGTTCCAAATATTTTAACTAGATTGGTTTTTATTATTTAATTAGTTCAATTTCAAAGATATTAATAAGCATTTTTTTTGTTTTTCTACTTTACCGATGAATTAATATCTTTAACATTTTGATTTTGTAAAGCTTCTATTACAATTTCAACAGGATTTGTCCATATTTGTACAATTGCCGCAATAATATTCTCGCATTTTGTTACCTTTATCGCCCAAGTACGACAATACTTTTTAAGATCGTCAAAACGCGCTGAATCGTCTAGAACAACTTTTCTAGAACTATCAATAACGTTTATACTTAAAGTAGTTATATCCGATGATACATCGTGTAACATTCTATTTATAGAAATTGAAAAAGTGATACTTTTAGCCTATAATTAATTTTAAATTAAACTAGTAAACGAACCGTTTATTTTGTTGATCAAATTCGGCTAAAGTTGTTGCGTTGTCAACAAGAACATTACTATATGTAAGTAGGTCGTTGCAAAGAACATCTACTTTTTGCCTCTTCGAAGAGATTGCCGATAATTCAATTTCATCCGCCAAACGTTTAACATCGGAAGAATCGGTTAAAAGAATAGAAAAATCAAAATGTTCATCATTAGAAATAGTTTTATCGCCTTCCATTGTCATTTCAGAATTATGAAAACGATATTCGACAGCTGTAAAGTTTAAATATAAAAAGAAATTATTGAATATATATATATATGTATTTATACATTACTTTTATTCATATCTGCTAATATCTTTTCATGATTTTCTTTATCTAAACCATCAGCTAAATATCTCATATTTTGATGTAATATCTCACATTTTTCACTAAGTATACTAAGTAGTGTATCGCAATTGTCGGCTTGTTCAATTTGATTGATAACAGTTCTTACTGATGGTATACCTTAAAATAATAATATTCCTTAACTAATTAGCATATATTTAAATATATTAGTGAATAATTTCATTAATGAAAGTTTTTTGTTTACATTGTAATAAATTCTTTAGAAATGTTGCTAAATTTTTATTAAAATCGTTAGGCTCCGATTGATTTATAATAGATTTAGCAACGGTACAAACTCTCCCAGTTTTCCCGAGAACAGCCTTAACATCTGCCAATAGTTTGAATGAAATTTGTGTGCATTTACAAATACTATCAATTTCATTATTTAATTGATTATCTGAAAGAAAAATGCAAAGAAAGAAGAACATTAAATGCTAATAAAACAATAGAATAAGTAAACTTTACTTGTCAATAAGATGAATTTATTTGGATCTGTTATCTTATCAATAGTAATGATAAGATTTTTTACGCAATCCGACCATTCATTCCTTAGTAGTTTAATTTGCTAGATGAAATAATAAAAACAATATTGTATATATGGATAACCTAAAATAGAACAATTTTACTAGAATTGCATCTTTATTCTTCTTATTTGCATGGCAAAGTAGTATTGCTGGTATTAATTCTGGATCCAATGCTTCCAACTGTTGAACAGCTGTTTGAATTACTTTAACCTCTGTAGTGTATAATGAAAATATATAATTGCTGATCGTAAAATTACTAATTTTATGGCACTGTAAGATATTTACTCGATGTATCAGGACAACTAGCCGATACTAGTCTAGACGCTTGACATATCATATCAGAATGACTATGGAAGTTCTCTATTAAATCATCCAAAGTATTTCCGGTTGGAGCATTACAAACTGAAATCTATTTATATATAAAAAGATTAAATTATACCTTATAAACTTATTAGAAAAAAAGACAAACTTCGCTCAATAGAACTCTTTTTATAACTCTATCAAGAGGTTCGACGCTTTCTTTAAAAGCGTCAATAATTAATCCAAGTACTGCACCATTTACTTGTCTTTCTAAATGCTGAAGTCCTTCTTGAACAATTGCTTTAATATCCGGTAATTTGTCTCTATAATCAAATATATAATTAAGTTGATACAAATATTGCATTAAAAAAAAGAAAAACAATGTTTGTAACCTATTTTCAACTTCTAAACATTGCAGATATTTATTTTTAGCTTGTAAAACAATTTGAGAGATTTTTTTAATAGAATCTTTAAAGCACTCATTTGCCGCATGACCAACAGTTAATGAATGCCTTAATATACTATTAATTTCATTAGTTATATCATCATTCGTCGATAACCTTTCCATAGCCTTTAAAAATGACAATGAAAAAGATATTAGTTTGTTTACATATATAGAATATTAGAATTTATTACTAGATCGATTGTTAGAGTAAAACAACCAGCTTCTTCGACGTTAATAGAATCATTATCGTCATCTTCATTAATTAGATATCGTCCTTCAATCGCTTTTCGAATTTCTCTTAATGATTTTTTCATTTGAGCAACAGCAAAATCTTCTGATAGCTATTGATTGGAAGAAAGATGCATATTATCACATTTTATCATTAGGAAATAATCTATATTTATCGATATATCTTTTACTTGACGTTTTAGTTTATCAGATGAAGATTTCCGGTATATCGCGCGTAATCCTTCGCAAAGTAACGGTATATTTCTTTTAAACGTTGAAATAGATACATTTAAAGCTTGCTTTTGTTTAGCTTTGCGTAAATTTTTCGTTCGATTATCGCATAAATCCACCATTTCGATAGAAGTTTTATAGATTTTCTTTAAAATATAAATAGTATTATATTATAGACATTTTTAATAGATAAAAATATATCAACTTTTAAATCGGAGGCTAATTCTTTCTGATGTTCTCTCGATAGTAAACTGTTCAAGTCCTCTTCTATTTGTTCAGTCATATTCACTATTTTCTTTATATCTCTCTCATCAGCTATCAAAAGGACTTTTATTAAACTTTCTACAACATCTTTTATTGATCTTGTTAACTGTCTAAATGAGCTTGTATCTTCCAAACTATAGGTTAGCTTCTTTGAACAGACTAGAAAATTTTCAGAATTCTCTGTTAAAGTAAAAGATGCCGCTTGCAACTTATTCTTTAATGTCTAAAATTATTAAAATCGTATTAAGAGATAGACTAAAAGTAGAATAGAGGTAATTTTGAGAACATACCTCATCACTTATAGATTTAGATAGCTTCAAAGCTGCTTTCGAAGCCGCTTTACATTTTGCAAAGAATTGGCAACCCTTCTCTTCTATGTATTCAGCTGAACAACGTCGAGAATTTTTCTCCCCTAGCAGGATCAATTGAGATACCTATAAAATTTTTTTAAAATTTCAATTGTACCGAGCGATAATATAAAATTGTTGACAAAACTCTAGTTTCTAACAATACGACTTACTTGTGATAGTATTGGAGCTATGGATTGTTCAATTGATTTAGTTGGTACTCGATTCGATACTAATGCATTTATTTCATCCATTTTGTGATGAAAATATTTAAAAAAATTGAAAAAAGAAAAAAACCGCCAACTGTTGTTAAATCCCAAAGTTCTGTTGCGTTACCTGTCTGCGTTTACACAATTTTGGATAGCGCCCCCTGTCGACATAAATAAATATTTACAAAGACACGACTAAACTTTTTTTTATATACATATATATACGAAAAACAGTTGTAATCATCATAAAAAGATTCATTTAAAATTTTAAATAAAATTCTAAAAAAGAAAAGAAAAAAGAATAAAAACAACAAAAACCGCAAAAACACTGTAATATTTTCGTTTAAATGTAAAATTGTTGAATAAAACAGAGAACAATGGAAAATAAAAGTCTGCATATGGAATTAATAAATGCTATGAATGAGATTATGTTTAAAAGAGATGAATTAAATAGGCAAATTCAAAGCGATGATGAAGAAAAGAAGATGCTGGAGAACGATATTACAATTTTACAACAAAGACTTAATTGTGTTCAGCAAAGATTAAGATGCAATCAAGAAGTAATAGGAAAAATGAATAGAATATTAACAGAAACCGATATGGCTTATAGAAAAATACAAGAGAGTTCACAAGTATTAGTCTCTGCTTTGAAAAAGCATTCTCACGATGTTTATTAATGAGAAATTTTCCTAATATACAATATACAATAAAATAATTACAATAGCAAGAAGAATTGCTTGAAATGATCATTATGCATCGTTATTAAAAGAGGTAAACTTAAAGGCAGTTTAGAAAATCAAGATATCTTAAAAAGTCACATACTTTCTCCATTATATCCATAATTTTTGCATAAGATAAGGAGAAAGGAGAATAGATACTATGCATAGTCAAACATTCTTTTTAAATCATCTAGAAAAATAAACTGATAGCTTATATAAAGTATACAGTACAATATAACGAATATAGCAAGTATTAGTAGTGCTTTTGACAGTTGGATTGAGATTTATTTTTTACTCTTTCTCTTCTTTTTCTTCTTTTTCTGCAGGCCTGCTCCAAGTTTCTTAATTAGAGTAAAGGTATCGGCGGTTAGACGATGTGTTGTTCTTAATTTCATATTTGGTAATTTTTCTATGAAATATATTTAAAATTAAGTTTATAACTATAATTAATTATCTTATCATTTATTTACCTTCTTTTCTTATTTCCAGTCCGAAACATATTTCTCTTCCAGCCAAATCACCTATTAAGTTATCATGAAGATCAATCTCTTCTAGGCACTTACTTGTTGAAATTAATCTAAAAAATAAATATAAATCAGCAGCCAATATGGTAGTTTTTAATAGAACTAACTCTCTTAATTGTTGCATACACTCCACTGGTGCCATTTTGTCTTGACCTTCCAAACCATCGATTCCATTATCTGCAATATGTAATTTATGTATCCATGGACCAACAAGAGGAGGTGGAGGTGGCTGTTTTGATTTCTTTTTTTTCTTTTTTTTCTTCTTCTCTTTCTCTTCAACTGGAACTTTAAAATTGAAAAGTTACAAATTAGGTCAAATCAATTACAAATCCAATTGAGGGTAATAAATAAACAGGGAAAAAAAGGGGGAAACGATAATGGGTCATTTAATAATGGTTTGTGTTTAGGTAAAAAAAAAAAACAATAATTTGAATGAGGTTGATATGTTTCTTTTTTGTTTTTGGTGATTTTAAAAATTCTTCTCTTTTGGAGAGTTTACACTCTAATAAGACAAATAAGACAAAGTGCTCTCAATCAAATTTCTCTTGCATCTAAAGGAACCACCTGAATTGCATATATCTGAAAGCGTGTTGGCATCCTCATCTATTTGTATTGTAGACTTTATTATTAATTAAGTTTTTTTTATCTACTTAACATATATTATGAAAATTTCTGTAGATTAGTTTATATATGCTTTTTATATATATATAATATGATTTACCTGTATCTGCTACTGGCTGAGGTGGAACATAGTTGAGGTCATCTAATCTTCGGCGTCGTTCCTCTTCTGCTTTTTTAATTTCTTCTTGTTCAAGTTCTTTTTTTTTTCGCTCTTCTTCTTCTCTATTGAACGCTTCTTTTTTCGCTTGAACTACAAATGGTTCAATAAGATCTTGAACACCGTGACACTGTAGCAAATTACCATCTAAATACAATTCCCTAATATAAAAATTGACTCTTGAATATAATTCATGCTTAAAAAATTGAGAAAAAAGATCCTACCTTACAGATGAATGGGCCGATGCCCGAGCTAAATATTTACCACTGATTGATGTTAGATCGCAGAAACATAAACTCACAGATATTATGGTTTTGCTTAATGCCAAACCATCGCATAACTTTTTACAACCTTCATCTCTAAATCTATTAAGATTCACATTAAAAACTTATACAATAATTTCGTTTTAGAAATATCTTACTCATTGTAATCGAAAACAAGTGTCGAGAGAAATAAATTGTTTTCAAATGATCTGTTCAAATGACAATAAAGTGCATAAATCAATAAAATTAGTCAATAGACTGTTGGGAAACTTGAAATAAGTAAAGAAAATCTTACTGGCTTATTCTGCCAACTTGTTCTGAAGTCATAAGATTGTCAATGAATTCTAAGTGTTTTATAGGATAAATCATCTTGTCTAAAACTTGACCCTGTTTATTTATTAAATGTTTATTTATAATTTTGTGGCTGATTTTAAGGAAAAAGAATAGGAACAAACCACTGCTACAGCATCGATGTAACGCAACGTCAGTGACCACACGTATAAAGCTTTTATATTAGTATAACGTTCTTCTCTGAGAGCATTCATTACAGGTTCTAACTGGACAATTGGATCCTCTATTGTTTGAACCGGTTTCGGTTCTAATATAAATTTTGTCATGTAACTTTCGTCCTCTTTACATTTGTTCATAATAGCTTTCAACGATGGCGCAGGACAAGTATTAGTTTTATTGCAATGAGATTCGTAGCGCCTCCAATAAGAGATTATTGTTGATAAAATCTTTTTTGTTAAAGCTTCATTTTTCTTCTTCTTCTTTCCACCCTTCTTTCCTTTAGCAGGCATGTTCCTTTAATTTTTAATATTATGGAACTATGTGAAAGTTAGAAACAACTCTTAGATTTCACTATAAAGCAAATGCCTAGATTGTAAAAACAAGTTAAAGCTGAAAAGGAATTTTTTCGCAGTCTTTTACTTCACGGTGGCGATATATTATCCTCAAACACATATGATAACTTGTCATATCAATAATGTCTTTTCCGAACGCTAGTTGTTTACATCAAGTTGTCGTGGTTACAGTTGTTACTACTGGTGAAAAACAGAAATTTGATCTTTTAAGTCACCTCGTAGTCTTTTAAAATGTGTAAAGTTGAATTTCTATTCGTAATATAACTTTTTAACTATTACCGGTTTCTTAAAAAAATCTAAACGGTTCTCTCAACAAAAATATTGCGGGTGATTACTATTTCCGGTTCCGGTTTATAGCTTTGAACCTACTCTGCCGACAATTCTGTGTTTCTTCAATTACTGCAAATGTCGTCAAACTTATTGCATAAAACCGTATTTATTCTTGATCATGGTGAATCAACTCTTCAGAAATGTGGAGAGAAAGTCGATTTCGATGGGGTTTTCAAGCATAGAGCAGCGAAAAACAGTAATATAAGTCCTCTTCCGCCGATTGAAAAAACTTTGTGGAGTTGCAATGTGGAATCGGTTGTAGAATATTGTAGAATAGCCTACGATGTTTTGCCTTATTATTACTTAATCCGGGTGCTAACTTGCGATGATACTTGTCACGTTTTAAACGATTGGAATGAAAAGGAACAGAATACTACATTTCTCTTAAACGGTCTTGCAAAAGTTAGTGTACCTAGAGAGAATCAGGATGCAAATCTTGAAGAAGGTGTCCGAAAGGCAATGGAACTTATCTCACAGCCCTCTCCACTTCAGTTAAACATGCTGGAAAAAGGAATGAAAATTGATAATACTGGAAGAGTTATCATTTTCTCCTCTTCTTTAACGCAAGATAGAATTGACCACTTGGAGGATGTAATGTCTAATCTATTGGGCGAGAAAAATAGAAGTTCTATAAGCCCGTCAAAAATCAGAATTAATCACATAGATTTTGAATTTGTATCAGTTCGTCCTGTTAATGAAAAAATGGGAGGCATAAAAGAAAGAAGTGATGTTTTGAGTAAAGATCTCAATAGGACGATAGTTTGCACCGAAAGTGGTCAAAAATTGGCCCAAGTTGTTGTTCAACGGTGTATTGCTCATTATGATCTCGGAATAACCTCTGTTACTGGAATTCCTATGAAGGAAGAGCAAAATGCTGCTTCCTCAACAAATTATGATGTTGAATTATTGCACTCGAGAGATGCTCATTCCAAATATTGTACAGAAACTCGGTTTGTAAGAGATTTCTTATAAAAATTAAGGTTTATAATTTATATTTTTATTAGACCATCTTTTGATTTACCTGGCTCGGAGGTCGTTGGATTAAAATGGGTACCACCAAAGTCGTCTAGTCAAATAGCTGACGTTCAACCTTCCAGGGTAGCTTATCGAGTAACTCCTGTAGATGTCAATAGCCGTCCATCATCCTGTCTCACAAATTTCATTTTATCAGGAAGATCGGTCCTATTAGAGCACACGCACAGTAAACAGTATCCTAACTTTTTCTTGGCCGCCCATTCTGGTGTCATTTATATTCATTCTACCTGCAAGTGTCCTGACATTCCTGGTAAGTTTACACTTTATTGCACAGTTATTTTATATATAATGATAATTTATCATTAAAAGGAATATCCGAAGGAGCAGGAGGTAGATTAACTGATTATCGTATTCATGATTTCGGAGAATTTATGATGGGAAGTCGATTGGTTCCTGAATCAGAACAAACAGGTCTAAAAAAGTCTTTAGAATATATGGACAGATGCCTAAGATATTGGCCTTTGACACAATCCGAGTCACTATTAGCTCATCAATCGATAAATCAGTATATAAATCCTCTTCAGGCTTTATTAAGCAAAGCGAACTTAACTCCTGATGTGAATGCAAACTGCTTTCGACTCATTACACAGTTATTTCAGGTAAATGAAATATCTTTTTCATCAAATTAATAATATACTCGTTGCCTTTTTCAGTTGGAAAGTTCAAATGAACTAATACCTCAAGGAGTTGTGGCTAAAGGTAAAAGAGAAGAACAAATTAAGCAGTTTTGGTGCCAATTCGAAAAAATGCTTAGATGCTATTCATCTATAAGCGAGAATCATAAATCCTTATTAGACAAGTTTCTATCGGTGAAAGGCAACTGTCTTCAAGAGCACGAATATCCAGTTTTTGAAGATAGCGACGATGTTGATAAAGATGTTCTCTTGTTGTTTGAAAATAAAAAAGAAGTTACTCTCTGGGATGTTTACATGACTCAAAATGCTCCAAAAAATAAAAGATTAAAATTTGAAGGAATACTAGATAATGGAAAAGTATCTAAATTATATCCAAGTTTGCAGGAGAAAGAATTAAACAATATTTAAATCATTAAATGCGGCCCTTTTTTCTATTTTGAATATCGAATGGCCAATTTAATACAAGTAAAAAGACCGGCTGAAAATATTCTTTCAGGTTATCGGTGTTCTAATCAGTATTATTAAAGAAGCATGACAGTTGCAAAGAGACATTAAGATGGAGATTTTAATAAAACTATATAAAAAATATTATAATTTGTCATATATATTATATTTGTTCACTTACATTGTAATAAATTATTTTTATAAAATTATTTTTTAGAATAATTAATAATTTGATTATTATCTCGCCCGGATGTTTTCGATATTCCTATCAGAACTTTTATAAAGTATAGGACTACAACGATATTTAATAGCGGTGATCTAGTCGTTCTTTTCACTTCTAACCAGTTTTCACTTCCGAATAGGGAAAAGATTCGAAAACTTGAATCGAGGACTTTTTTCAAAAACTCATAAAAAATGGCAGATCAATTACGTTTTGATGGAAAAGTTGTACTTGTTACAGGAGCTGGTGGAGGTACGCTACTATTGAGTGCATTTTTAAAGTGGATTGCATGCTTATTGCTCTTTTATTTAGCCTTTTAACTCTTAAGTCTGCAAAGTCAAAAAGCGGGTCATGTTGTTAAACTATTTTAAGGCAATAGAATAGCTTAATATAGTTGTCAATTTTTACAGTTTATTTCTTAAAGTGTAATTTAATAACAGAATTTTAGTATTTAAGTAACAAACAATGTATAGTTTCTTGTATTTCTGATTTACTTAACATTTTCGAAGGTTCGAAGTATAACTCAAAATTTCTCACTTAGTTATTCAATTAAATAGAGACATTTAAATAGAATATTCTATGTATTTATTTTAAGATAATTAAAATATAATGCTTGTTAAAATTAGGTTGAAAAGAGTAATATTTAATTTTCACAAGTTTCAAAAAGGAGGTCAATTTTACATTATTCTATTTTAAATAGGTTTAGGAAGAGAGTATGCTTTGGAATTCGCTAGAAGGGGAGCATCTGTTGTTGGTAAGCAGAATTATTAAATAATTTTTAATCAGCACATGTTGACATAATCAGACTACCCCCAATAGTAAATGATTTGGGTGGCGATATAAAGGGTGGAGGCAAGAGCTCTGTAGCAGCTGATAAAGTCGTTGATGAAATTAGAAAGGCAGGAGGAAAAGCTGTTGCAAACTATGGTAAATATAAATAATATATATTTGTAATTAAGAATTATTTAGAAGTATAAATAAATTATGATTTTACTGGTAAACTAGAACTTTGTACTTTAAACTTTTAGATTTTAAAGATAATAGTAATAAAAAATGTTAATCCATCGATACTGTATACTAAATGTGAGGAGATAATAATGTAGTTACATAGATTAAAATCTGTATTGCATACAGGTACGAATTCTTGGAAAAGTATCTATATCTTGATTATTTTCTTTTGATGCTTAGATTCTGTTGAAGATGGTGAAAAAGTGGTTCAAACTGCATTGGACCATTATGGAGGCATTGATATTGTTGTTAACAATGCTGGTATCCTTAGAGATCGTTCTTTCCTCCGTACTAGCGACGCCGACTGGGGTCTGCATCTATATTCTGTATTTTTCTTTTTATCAATTAATAGTCTCTTTCATATTTTTTCCAATCAGATATTGTACACAGAGTTCATCTCCGAGGTGCATTTAAAGTAACTAGAGCTGCTTGGAGTCATATGAGAGAAAAGAAATTTGGGCGTGTCATCATGACTTCTTCTGATGCAGGAATTTTCGGAAACAGAGGACAGGCTAACTATAGCGCTGCTAAACTAGGTTTATACGGATTCAGCAACACATTAGCTATTGAAGGCGCGAAAAACAATATTTATTGTAACACAATTGCTCCAACTGCTGGATCTCGGCTTACAAAGACTGTAATGCCTGATGGTTTGTTGATAATTTACATGAAGTTTTCAAATAGATGACATCTTTTAAATTCATTTTTCTGTAATAGAAGTAATCAATGTACTCAAACCGGAGTATGTTGCACCTCTTGTTATTTACCTATGTCACGAATCATCCCAAGAAAATGGCGGACTATTCGAAGTTGGTGGTGGATATGTTACAAAATGTATGTACTATACTTTAAACAGAAATTTATCATCTTTTTTAAAACATTATCCAATAATAGTAAGATGGCAGAGAGCTGGTGGAGCTGTAGTAAGAAAGAAGGGTGTTCAAATGACTGCCGAACAAGGTAAGTTAAAATTTAAATTATTTTAATTTAACATTACAATAACTCTAAAATATTAACAGTAAGAGACTGCTGGAATGATATCGTCGACTTTGAAACAAATCCTGACTATCCTGTTAACATATCAAGTAAAATTTATTAATCAAAATTCTAAAAATTGTGCAAATTAAGCAACTCTGAATTATATTCTTAGCTGATGGAGCTGGAAGAATCCTCTCTATAATTGATCAAATCGAAAACCCCGAAGATCCAAATGCTTATCCGAATCCTGGCGGAAAGGGTCCTGTAAGTTTAAGAAATTTTCTCTCTTTTTATTTTTGACTGATGATAGAAATTTTTATTCTTCTTGTAGGAGGCAGCTATTGGTTCAAAAATGAGAATAGAAAATGTTGAATTAAGCACTAGAGATGCAATGTTATATGCCTTATCCATCGGTGTTTCAACAACACAAGAGAATCATTTGAAATTCGCTTACGAGAATTCTGAAGACTTTTCAGTTATTCCAACAATGTCTGTTTGTCTGGCCTTTCCAGTTATGCCAGGAATTATGAAATCGGATGCTGTAAGCATCGATTATACTCAACTTTTGCACGGGGAACAATATACTGAGTGTTTCAAACCTTTGAAATCGGATGAAAAATATTCTATTGAAGGAGAATTGGTTGATGTTTTAGATAAAGGAAAGGGTGCTATCTTTATCACCGAAGGTAAGGTTCATTTCTTCTCTACAATATTGAAATTTAATAATTACAAACTGTTTTCCAGCCAAAATGTTTGATAAGAATGAAGAATTGGTTTCTCTTAACCAATTCACTACCTTCGTCAGAGGGGCTGGTGGATTTGGTGGTAAACGAGATTCGACTGTTGCTAAACAACCGCTTCCCACACCTGATCGCCAACCAGATGCAGTTGTTTCGGAAAAGACCAGTTTAGATCAGGTTTATAAAACATTATTGATATCTGTATTTGTATGCTCATTGATATTTTTCTTCCAATAGGCTGCTCTCTATAGACTTTCCGGTGATTACAATCCTCTTCATATAGATCCAAACTTTAGTGCAATGGGAGGTTAGTTAAATATGGTATTTCGAATTACTGAAATTTTAAAAACACCTATCTCATATAGGTTTCGAAAAACCAATTTTGCATGGACTTTGCTCATATGGCTTTGCTGCTCGTGCTGTATTGAACAAATTTTGCAATGATGATGTTGCCAAATTTAAAGCTATGAAAGTTAGATTTTCAAAGCCAGTTTTACCAGGACAAACCTTGCAAACAGAGATGTGGTTGGAAGGAGATAAAGTACACTTTTGTACAAAGGTATTTATCTTTTACAGATATAGATTCAAATAGTTAGTGAAACTTCTAAATTTTCATTTGAATAATAGATCGGCGAAACTGGACAAGTGTGTCTAAGCAATGGTTACGTTATTTTGAATAAGGATGACCGGTTGGCAAAACTTTGAAAAATTCACCAGAGCAATTTTAAACTAATCATAAAAAAAATAGTTTTTCTTCCGATTATTTTTCAGATGATCAATTAAAGGAAAAAAATGCTTAATTAACTTGAATAGAAATTTCAATGTTTATCTAGTTTCTTTCTTTTATCACTTTATCTCTTTTGGTACTTTTTTTATTTTTACTAAAATAGTACCACCAAACATATCACTAGAAAACTATCATAATTAGACATGTTAAGGTTTAAGATCTCTTCTATCTTCCATTTATTTTGATTTGAGATGGTGTATGGGGTTGAGGCTTTTTTCGTACTATTCTCTCTACGTATCACGCTTATAGTCTAATAGTTTCGGTGACTTTTCACTCATTGACGAAAAATTTGAGGACACCGAAAACGATCTAAAACGACTCTCCCTCCAGACTTTATAGAATACTTCATCACGTGACTTATCAATTGGAAGAATCAATTATTGAAATCAAAAGAGAAATTATTTCCTGAACAGTATTTTGTATATTCTTCAATTACTGCTTCAATACCGCTTTGTTCTTTTTATTTCGAATAGGATAGCATTTATATTATTGAATTATTGTTTTATACCTTCTTTATAAGAGAATACTATATCTCAATGAATATGAGCATATTTCATACTATGATCGAAGAAATTTTCATACCTAACGTTTTTTTGATGGGAAATCAGCGCTTTTTTAATCGCACCGCTTGACTAGTGTGTAGGGAATACTGTCTGGTTTCATATACTTTTTACAGATCTCTGATATCTGTTCAGATTTAAAAATTATTTAGACTTTTTGGCGACCAGCTCAATTTCCATACCTCAATTATTTTAAATATATCTAGTAGTTTCCATACCATCTTTATAATATGTGATAAGAGTAGTGAGTCACTCATGAAAACTACTCAGTGAATATGGTAATATTGTTACAATACTAATATTAAAATTTTTGAAAATGGCGTATGACACAAAAGTTAGAGATCTTATTAAGAAAAAACATGAGGAAGGATATTCATATAGAGAGATATCGGAAATGATGAACATTCCTAAAGCATCCATTCAATATATTCTCAAACCAACATATGTTAAAAGTGGAAATGTTGGAAGACCTAAATCACTCTCAGATAGAGAGAAAAGTCTCATTAAAAAAGAGATAATGAAATTAAAGAATGATTCAAAGAGGATAACAAGTACTAAAATTTCAACATCCTGCAATTTGAGCGTAAGCCAAACTACTTTGCAAAAAGTCATAAAAGAAATGTTAGAAAAAGATAAAAAGATTCCACAAACCCCTCGATTAAAACAGAAGAACAAATTGGAAAGAATAAAAAAATGCAGAGATTGGTTTGAGAAAGCAAGAAAATTTGATCAAATTATATTTTCTGACGAATGTAGCTTCAGTCTGGGCGGCCCAGATAAGTTTCTAACCTGGCAATTTAATCCTGAAATAGAAGTAAGAAGAAGCAGACACTCAAAGGTTGATGGAGGAGTTATGATTTGGGGATGTATGGGGCCGGATGGATTGTTGTACATTTCTAGAATTACGGACAAATGTTCTAAAGGGTGGTACTTGTCCCTTCTCAAAAAAGAGGTTCTACCTTTTTTAAGCAAGCGTTATGGGAAAACTTTTATCTTCCAACAAGACAATGCTCCGTGCCACAAGGCAAAAATTGTTGTTAATTATTTAAAGCAAGAAAAATATAATATTCTTGAATGGCCATCTTGTTCCCCAGATCTATCGCCTATTGGAGACGCTTGGCACATATTAAAGAATATGGTGTACGATGGCCGACAGTTTAAAAAAAATGACGATTTATGGGAAACTATTCTAGAAAATGTGGAAATAATAAACAGAGAAAAGAAACTAGATCTAATATCTCTTCACAAATCCCTGTTAACTAGAGGACTAAACTGTATACAAAGAAATGGTTTAAAGTTAAAATATTGATATTGATATTATAAATAAATTGTTTATTTAAAAAGAAAAGACCATTTATATGGAAATTATAGTCAATAAAAATAATATCTTGCTTATTTTAAAAACTACATAAATTATAAATCATGTATATTAATATTTTTAAAAATTAAATAGGTCAAAAGCTAAAGCTTCCTTATCTTTTATTTTTAAATGTTGTATAATATCATTTAATTTTAAATAATTAATTTATAACTGATTTCAATATGGAAATGTTAATTGGGTTTTATCAATTAATCTTTGTACTTTCCTTAATTAATACCATAAAAAGTATGATAAAAGACATATCTCGTAGTTTTATACTGTAGTATTTTATTTTTGTCGTATTCTCTTTAAGGTTTCGGCCTAGAGGGAGATGTTTTTCCTAATGTTACATGCGAAGGTGATACGATGAGGATAGAATGCGCTTCAGGTTACGCAATAAAAATACTCCACGCGTTTTTTGGCAGGGAACAGAGTATAGTAAGACCAGATTTCTGTTTAAATCAAGGAGAGTTTGCTGATCCAACAGTGAGGTTTTTATACATTGTAAATTGAAAAGTATGTCAAATATGAACATAATCTTCTCCGATATGAAAGGTGTTTCTTGGATGTGAAAACTTTAGTAGAATACAAGTGCAATTATGAAAGATATTGCGATCAAAAGGTTGATGGGAATTTATTCTCAATAGCTAAGGATATGGGAAGTAATTGGACTCCAAGTGAATGTCCGAAAGATACAAAACGCTTCCTAATGGTTGACTATGCTTGTGAAAGTTTGTATTAAAATATAGAAATAAAGAAATATAACGGTTTATTAATAGAAAATTATATTATCTCGAAGGAATAAAAATAGCAGAAGCGTGCTACGGAGAAAAGTTATATGCGAATTGTCCTAAAAATTATAAAATTAAGCAACATTCTGTCTTCTTTGGAAGATTAGACGGAAAAACATGTTTACCGAAGAATAAAGAGTTCTATTCTCAAGCCGAATATGGAATTAGGCAGATTGATAATTATTATCTATGCCATTATAATCAAAGCATAGTATCAAGTACAATACAGTCAATATGCGAAGATAAAGAAACCTGCATCTTTAACGTTCATGAAAATTTACTTGAAAATTATCCATCTCACCACGAAAATAAATGTCCGAAAGATGTTCAAACTTATCTACAATTTTATTATGTTTGTAGTCATCGTTCAAGTATGATTCAAGATTTAAAATGTTATGGAGAAACATTTCAACCATCTTGCGGAAAAGGTTATTTAATTAATATAAAATCATCTTTCAGAGGACGATTAACACCAGCCGATGCCCAATGTGAAACGGAACCGTTAGAAAACTTTAAAGGACCGTAAGAGTTTACTATAAATACAATAAGATATTTAACTTTAGCGATTATTCTTAATATTAAAAAGATGTCAAACGGAATTGATTACTGCCATAGCGCAAAGTATTGAAAAATGTCATCTTAAGTCATCTTGTAGTTTACCTAATACTGATACATTTTGGTCCAAATTGAATGCAACTAATCGAGTTTGTAGCGAAAGCGATAAACCTTTCATGTTTCATTTATACGAATGTAAACCTAGGAGTTCAATTATTGCTTGTCCCAAAACTGCACCAAAAACAATAGAATGTCCTAAGAATTATGCAATTAAACCTATTTCAGCATTCTTCGGTCGTCATAACGACGTCAATTGTCTTGATCCAAACGAAGAGATAGAAATGGAAACTGCGTAAGTAACTAGATAAACGTGTAGCTTATTCTATAACAAGCATATCTTAAGTATATTCAACCTCATTTTCAGCTGTTTCTCTGACTCTGATAGAGTATTATCAAAAGTTAATGAGATATGCCGAGGAAAGAGGGCGTGTAATTTAGAAGCAAATGCGTCAATCTTTTACGATGAAAGTACAGATTCCCGAATGAGATGCAGAGAAGAGATGTTTTATAAACAATATCTATGGGTAAATTATGAATGCAGCCAAACTAAATGCTTATTTCTATCTGATAAATTGGAAGCTGAAATAGAACAATGTATAAGCGATTACAAGAAACTATGTATTCTAGACATGTCAGACAATTGTTTTCGAACTTCGTTAAAGAGTTTAGAAGACGAAAAAGACTGTTTGACGTATACAAGACGGTTGAAAGCCTATTACGAGTACTGGTTACCTGCTCATAAGAAGACAATGTGTAACTTTCCAAAGTGTGCTTTTAATTTCGCTCGAAAAGTGCCAGAAGTGTCCGAAATCTATAGAAAGATTGCTGATCCACAAAAACATTACGTAATCGATCCCGTCAAATGTACATTCATAAAGGAATATGGTAAATTAAGTAAAGAAGGATCATTACTGGAGCAAAGTTGTCCAGAGGGATCAGCAGCTGTAATGACATTCTATGCAGATATATTTGGTAATTTTGAAGATAATCACGATGCAATAATAAAAGGATGTAAGTCTAATAACATACGATTATGAACACTTTAATTTATTCCCTTTCTTTTGAATAGGTCCGGACAGTGCATCAATTATGGAAAAGATTGGATCTCACAACCAATCGTCAAAACAGGGTATATCATTAATCGGTATCATCATTTGTTTACTATGCCATATATCTACGAATTGGGTGTTCTATTTCTAGTACAATCTTTTAAATATATTAAATAAAGAGAAATTAAAAAGAAATTGTTGTAAAATCATTTATTTTAAATTATGAAAAAGCAACACAGTGCGAATATAGGACAAGGTAAATAATAAAGCTTATAAACAAGTGAATATTACTATATTTCTTTTTTATATAAAAAAAGTTTTCTATTATTATTTATATTTGAAAATTTTGATAATTTTACTTGTTAATATTTGTTAAATAGAATTCTCTTTTCTTCTTTCTTTTAATTATTTCAGATTTTAAATATTGTGTATAGGGATTCTCTTCTTACTTTGTTTTCCAGCCATTTTCTTGGCAATGAGTAATAGTCTGTTTTATAATTTAATAATTATTACAACGAATTTACATCTTTCAATAGTTTTCTACTTACGTTACACTTTTTAGCGTTCTCCATACTGGCGCACCAGAATGCTGGGCCAAAAGTACATTCATCTGTACCGAGAAGATGTTGAGCTGTTTTTTGTGTGCTTGAAGTACACAATCCAATGGCTGTGCAGATTTGTTGAGGAGCCATTTCAGCGGCTAATAAATGAATTATCAATGGACCATACTGTTGAACGAGACTGTCACATTCTTGAGTGAGACTCGATGGCAAAAAGTTGCAAACTTTATCCATAACTGCTTCAATTTCTTGAATTGTAGAATTTTTTTGTAGCATTGAATCAACGTATTGCATTACCGTTTTACAAATTGGGCAAAATTCACCAGCTTTAACTTTGATTGGTATCATTTTGACCAATTTCGTATTAGTAGAACATAAACCGAGGGTACGGCAAACCATTTCTGGTTTTAATTCGCTTATCAGAAGTTTTACCATAGCATTGCCATATGTTTTAACGAAATCGCTACACTGTACCTTGATAGTATCAGGCAAGATTGAGCATACTTTGTTCAATGCACTGATAACTTCCTCTTCTGTACTATTTTTGTTAACGAATCTTTCCAAAGTATTGATAACGAATTCGCAAAGTACACATTCTTCACTGGAAACTTTTACTGCCTTCATCTTTTCTTGTTTTACAATCTTTTCAGTTTGTTGTCTAATAACACTGACTTTATTAAACGCCGGATTATTACAGAATCCCAAAGATTTACATCTAGCATCACCATCCAATTCAGTAGCAATAAGATCGAAAAGAATTGCTCCATACTCGGATATTTCTTGCTTACATTGCGATTCAAATGGGCCTAATTTAGTACAAATTTCCTCAGAGATTATAGTTTCAACGTATTTTTGTACGAGAACATTTGTATCGACCGCCTTTAAATCCTGAAATAGATTATATTTTATATTATGGCAACTATTAAATACAATATAAATACTAATTGTAAGCTTTCCAAGTACTTACATTGAAAACTGTCTTGCACACATTGCATTCGTAGTCACTGTTCAAACTCGAAGCGTATCCGTATAACTTCATATTAGTAAGTTTGAGTTTTGGTAAAACTGTATGATCTCCAGCAGTACATAAACCCAAAGCGGAGCAGACTTCAACTGGTTGTAATTCTTGTTTGATCATGCTAAACAACATTGGTATATATTGTTTAATTGCATCATCGCAAGCCGATGCTAAACTTCCGAGGAAATTGCAAAGGTTATTTTCAAAATATGTTTCAATTTTCTTTTCAGTTTCCGGTTCACTAATCAGAGCTTCGACATCTGTCATAATCTTTTTACAATCATCGCAAATCTTGTCATTTGTTTTCGTCAACATCTAAAAAAAATGAGAACAATTAGGAAATTAATAATTTACTTCCGATTTGGCCTTATGATTATTTGTCAAAAAATTTTGTACCATTTTAATAGGACTCTGTTTATTCGCTGGTAAAATTCTTAGGCGTGGCTGTACCAATTCGATAACTTTTGGGTTTGTTAATTTCATTTGGGGCTTGCATATTCCAATAGCATTACAAACTTGTTGAGGATTCTATTCAAAAAGGTTAGGTTAGTCTTTATAGAATCGTAAATAGGACATTTTTTATTATTATACTTACCAAAACGCTTTTGATTAATTGGAAAATTTCAGGTAAATAATTGTCAACTGCTGCAGTGCAATCTTTTGCGATGGTTTCATCAGGAATGATGGTACAAGCATTCGCCAAGTAGTTTTCGATAGCTTTCTATTCATTTTTAAAATGTTTTTAAGATTATTTCACTTGTTTTATCTTTTACAGTTTTATATAAATGTTTACCTCTGTTTCGGCGTTTGATAAAGCATCTCGAACGGTCGTTATCAAAGTTTCACAAAAAGTGCAGATATCGCTTGTCTTGAAACCAATCAATCGTTTGAGAGTTTAGAAATTAATTTGTAAACAAATTTATAACCTACTTTATCGCCTTTAAATTGGCTCCAAACGTTTGTTATGCAAGTGTCGATTTTTTTACATTTAGTGGCGGTTTGCAAATTTTTGCAAAATTCCGCTTGATTGTCGCAGGATAAAGCACCTAGAATTGAAGGAATAGTTAGATATATAGACTAAAAACCTTTATTTAACATACTGCAACTTGCTATAAATGCACACAAGGCAAAAAGCTTCAACATATTTAGCTTGAATCAATCTAGCTGTTATAAACAATGAGATTTTTTGTTATAGCTCTTTTCCCGTCACGTGATTTATCATATGACGATTATTAATGGTAGTCTTACCAACAAACGTTCCGCTTTCAAAATAGTTAGCTATACCTACATATTATTTTCGTACATTTATTAGAAAGACAATAATTTGTTAAATTAAAACCATAATGAGTTTCAAGCTTTTGTTAAATATCTTATAAATATCTTAAATAAGAATTTTACTGTGTTTTTATTTTTTATACGAAAATAGGCATTCCAAGTCAAAAGAGTCTTTTATATTTTTTTTAGAAGCGCTTTCCAATTCTACATAATCTGAGAATTTTCCCTATAAAGTTATATTTATGCCGTTAAATATATAGTACCTTTGTTCAAGCAAAGATTGTTTATATTAGATTTGTAATAATTAATCAGTTAAGTTAAAAAGTGTTTTCCGAGTAAAATTTAATTTAAGTGCACCATTTTCTCTGTCGAATTAAACTGTAATGTTAGTATTTCATACATTATCATAATTGGTTTATTGCCATACTGCGTAATCAATATTGCTATTAAACTTTATTTACTCCTGTAATATTAATAAAGAACATTAAATCCATTTCCAAGTGTTCACTTTAAAACATATCGGCTTGAATCAATACTTTCAAAATATGCTGCTTAAAATGCATTAATCTATAAGTTTATTAATATAGTTTGCTTATTATTTGTTTTTTTTGACAGTTAGTTTCTATATAAAACAGTAGTTGTATATATTTTATGCTATTAATCCCTTTAATAGATATCCTAAATGCATAAATACTTTAATTACGTAACTTATATATTGCGCAACAGTTTAGAAATTCATGTATGATTAATAAATATATTAACAGACTGATTGGATAAGAACCAATGAAAAGTTTAAAATGGTAGTGTGGCACGATTTCCGGTTGTGAAATCATAGCAGAAGACAGCAAGCAAACGCCGAAATATGACGTTACCTCGTTTGACAAGATTCTTGAGATCGTTATATAATGAGAAAGACCAAAATAACTTGAATAATAATTCTAAAACTGCTTTGCTACGTAAGAAGCGAGAAAAATGTATTGAATGGGAGAAAAGAAGATCTTTTGATTGGACTAAATTGTCATCTGTTGTGAAACAATATTGCAAAGAATCTGATGTGCTAATTAAAGCTTTCCTAAAGCACACAAAAAACATAGGTACGGAAAATTTAAGGCTATTTTACACAACTCCGAAAGATTTATATGTAGAATTGTGAAATTTATGTTTTAAGTTTTTTGATTAGATTGTGTTCATTCATTTAAATCATGTATACTACAGCTGGAAAGGAAAGTCAGCTTGAAGAACAACATTCAGCAGCCGTTTTCCTGTTTGATTTATTCAAAAATGATGAAAAACTCTTAGTTTCTGCTCGTAATACAATACGAGAAACTTTTGGACCATTTTCAAACGAAGATTGTGATAAAATTTTCCAATTGGTGAGAAAAATTGTTTCTGAAGTTCCAAGCGAAATATTTGAAAATTTGCAAAGTAGTGAGAATAATGACAGTAATAGTATTTTTGGAAGAAATATAACCTTCGGCCTCGTACCCGATAAATTATCTGATCCTGAAAATTTTGAAAATTTCCGTATGCTTACTGATTGTACTGTAGACAAATTGGATTTAGAATATATTAGAGATGAAAGCCAATCATTAACAAAGGAACAACAAGTCCCCAAAAATAGTAATAAAACTGAAGATGATAGTGATTGGCTGAGGAAAAGAATGTATGAAGAGATAGCTGATAGCGCCCATATAAGTGCTGTTACATTAAATATTCTAGCTTCTGCAAAGTCTAACGATCAAATACAAGACGAGGTAGAAAAGAAATTTTAGAATACAAAAGCTTTATATATATATAGTTATGATTTTAAATTATTTCAGCTATTCGAACTACTTGGCTGGGAGAGAATTGATTTTATTAGTGAAATTCTACAAAGACGACAGAAAATTAATTTGTCACTATTAAATCAAAGCAAACAAGGTTACATATTTTTTTTAATATAAAAAACAACGCTTATTATCTCTTCTTTTCTATAAATAGTTACAAAAAAAGTAAAGCCATCTTACGGATGTCAAATTGTTGTGCAAGTAAGAATATTTGAATCTAATCTATGTTTTTTACTATTAATTGATTGTCAATTAATTATATTTTATTATTCTATTCAATAGTCGGACAAGGAGAAGGATGTTCAGAAACAAATGAGAAAAGATGATAAAAGATCAAGAAATAAAAAGGGGGATCAAAATGAAGATAATGAAGCAGACTTTGATATACTTAGAATGCGAGTTGAAAGAGAGAAACAATTGGTGGAGGCCCGGCTAAAACCTCTTCTAAAACCTATGAGAAAGGAGGAAATTAAATTCCCATTTGTATTCGATGGAATGTCTGAAGCTAAGAAAATGGCAGCTTTAATTGCCGGAAATAAGGTAGTTATTTAATTCTTTTAAAAAAACATTTAAAGACAACAACTTGTTGAAACTTAGATGTCTCTACCAGTTGGAACTAAGAAAAGATCTTTTGATGGTTATGAGGAAGTAGATATACCACCGAGCCAACCTGCACCAACACATATAGGACAACATCGAGTACAAATATCCGAACTAGACAAGGTAGAACTAATAATATAATTCTGTCGTTCTCAAGTAGAAATTGACATTATAATTTGATAAATGTATAGATCGGAAAGATGGGTTTCTCAGGAATAAAAGAATTGAATAGAATTCAATCAGTAGTATATCCAACTGCATATACATCAAATGAAAATATGCTTATTTGTGCTCCAACCGGAGCTGGTAAGACAAATGTTGCCATGTTAACTATATTGAATACAATTAAGCAACATTTGGAAGATGGAATTTTGAAAAGAGATAAATTTAAGGTTCTGAAAACTTTTAATAAATTATTATTTCAAATATTTGATCTTTAATAATAAATTAATATTATTCAGATTGTTTACGTTGCCCCAATGAAAGCTTTAGCAGCAGAAATGACTGCAACATTCGGACGTAGATTAGAGTCTTTAGGGGTTGTGGTAAAAGAATTAACTGGTGATATGCAATTAACAAAAGCTGAAATTCTAAGCACTCAAGTACTATGTCAATAAAATTCTATTTTCTAATCTAATAAATCATTCTTCCGGTTAATAGATGCTAGTGACGACACCTGAAAAGTGGGATGTTGTTACGAGAAAAAGCACTGGGGATATCTCTTTAACTCAAGTTGTTAAACTTCTAATCCTTGACGAAGTTCATCTGCTGCACGAGGGTAGAGGTGCTGTTATCGAGAGTATTGTTGCTAGGACACTTCGTCAAGTTGAATCTTCCCAATCTCTCATTCGAATTGTTGGTCTATCTGCTACTTTACCAAATTATTTAGACGTAGCAGCCTTCTTAAAAGTTCAACCTTATAGTGGTCTTTTCTTCTTTGATGGAAGATTTAGACCTGTTCCATTAGGAATGACATTTATCGGCGTAAAAGTAAGTCCCTTAAAACCAAACAGAATAAGCTATTTAAAAAACGGTAATTTCATTAAAACAGGGTTACAACAAAACAACTCAAATGAATGAAATGAATGATGTATGTTATGAAAAAGTTCTCGAACAAATTAAAAAAGGAGAACAAGTTATGGTTTTTGTTCATGCTAGAAACGAAACTGTAAGAACTGCAATGCTTCTCATGGAAAAAGCAAAGAATGATGGAAAAATTGAATTATTCCGTCAAGATTCAGAAGCGGCCTACGACGACACGCTTAAGCAAATCAACAGATCAAGAAATCGAGCACTCCAACAGCTAGTTGAAGAAGGGTTTGGTGTACATCATGCCGGAATGTTAAGGCATGATAGAAATATAGTTGAAAAATTATTTTCTAAAGGCCATATTAGGGTTTTGGTTTGTACAGCAACGCTTGCCTGGGGTGTTAATTTACCAGCTCATGCCGTTATTATTAAGGTTAGTGATATATTTTATATTTTTTTCTATATACTAAACAAATTAAACTAGGTGAATTTTGTATCAACAAATTAACTAACTACTTCCATCCTTTTATTATATTTCTTACCGAAATACTCTTCAAATTCTTCCATACTGTCATATTTACAGGCAACATTTAATACACACAGACTGTTTATTATCTTATAAAAAGTTGTCTGAAGCCAGTTCCAAGGATCTTCAATTTTAGCGAATGATAAAAAAGGAAGATTTTTAGGTCTAAATCCCATAATTCCAATTCTCAATTTACTATCAGTGTTCTTTTTATCCTTGATGATATGAACTGAATAATTCGAATGTAGGAAATTTTCGACAAGGTTATAGTCAATATCAGAAAGTCTTGAAGTGGCATTTCTAATTAGTAGTGCGTCTAGTTGTTTTTCATTTACAGCCAATAATGGTAAATATTCAAATTTTATTGATGGATTATCAGCTATTTCAACATCCACATCCAATCTCTTCATTGCTTTTGACCATAATTTATCTAATGGTTTAGAAACTATTATCCTTAATTTCCATTCTGGGAAGAATAGATATCTTAATTGAGCATTTCTCAGAGCACCGTAAAGTTGATCTTCGCTATTGATTTGAACGGTTATAATTATTAATTTAGACCTTGAAGGTGATTTCTAAGAAATTAGATTAATATTTTATTGAATAAGATGGATTAAAATAAAATCAATTAGAAGCTTACGTTCCGATTTTTCTCATGAATATGCAAACATTTTGTAAGAAATTTTCGATCTTTTATGACCTGACCTTGCCATAAATATTGTGTTTGTCTTGTCACAGAATATCTTGTTTTGGTTTGAACGTGTTTTACCAAAACAAAGTTTAATTTTGACACTCTGTGTGGAGCGTAAATGAATGACATCCAATTGTCACCCCACCAATCTGTAAACAATTGCGGATAGTACCGACCAAAGATATCAACATGAGTTCTATGCACAAAATCATACGTAATTATAAATTCATTTCCTCCTGAATGTTTTGGACCGACAGCTCCTATATTTCTTGGTTCAAACGATAGTAAACTCATAATAAACCCTTCAGTCCAACCAGACGTTTCTAATATAGTATCATCATTTATTCTATATAAATAGTCGTTACCGTCCAAATAGGCTATCATCATCGCGTCATTTTGAGACCACGTTGGACGCTTATCGTACTTGCATTCGTGAAATGTAATTGATGCCGAAATTTTCCTATTGTAACAAAAACTGTGAAACTTTTTCTGGAAGCTAATCCTATTTGCCTCTTTCTCAAAAAACCAATCATTGAAATCATAGCCTAAGTAAAAGTTATACGTCATTCCTGGAGAAAATGTTTTAACGAATGACGGCATAAAATGTCTAAAAAATGGTGTTTTATTTAAAATATCCTTATCTCCATTTGGCACTTCTCTTGTAGTAATACCCAGACCAATACCAATATTAAAATATTTCGTTCTAAATGGAGAAACTTCAAATTCATTAACAATTTTAGTAATCTTTACGGTATTGGTTTTGTTCGACTGAAATAATAAATAACGAGACGTCAGTTAATACTTTATATAATCTAATAATAAATTGATAATAATTAACATTCACCTGTGAATTTGTTATAAACTGTAAATTTAAAATTTTCATTCTCCTCCAAGATTGAAAAATTATTAAAAAACCAATGAAGAAAGCGATTATAACAAAAAATCTTATTAATTTCTTTTTCATCGTGCTTTTTAAGTATTTGGAGTATATGTTCAAGTTTTATCCTTATATACGGATCGATATTTTTGAAAGCAATTGAACATATGTTATCCAAAGTTTTATTTGTAATTCTTAATGTCAATAAAATCTCCACAAATTATAATAATAGTTTTACAATCGTACATAAAAAAAACTCTAATTTTGCCAATATACAGTATAGTAGTGGATTTATAAAGGTGTATATACCTGTATATATATATATATATATATTAGTATATGAATTTTGAAACAAACATTTATATACATTTTTTCTTATTCTTTTCTTATCCTTTGCTTAGGGAACTCAAATTTACGATGCTAAACGAGGTTCATTCGTTGATTTGGGTATTCTTGATGTTCAACAAATCTTTGGTAGAGCTGGTCGTCCACAATTCGATACTTATGGTCATGGAATGATTATTACAACTCATGATAAATTACCGCAGTACTTGTCACTCTTAACTCGCCAAAGTCCAATCGAAAGTCAATTTATTGAAAGTCTAGTTGATAATCTTAATGCTGAAATTTGCTTAGGAACGATAACAAATCTCGAAGAGGCCAGTCAATGGCTACAAGAAACGTATTTATACGTTAGAATGAGAGCAAATCCTCAAGTATACGGAATAAGCTATTTAGAATATCAGGAAGATCGAACTCTAGGAGAAAAACGAAGAAAACTGATTATAGATGCTGCGAGAGATTTAGATAAAGCTAGAATGATTAGATTTGACGAAAAGAACGGTTTTCTTCACTCGACTGACTTAGGTAGAACTGCAAGTCATTACTACATAAAATACGCTACAATTGAAGTAAGTATAAATTTAAAACTACAAATAAATAAAAGTATACTCTTTATGTTTTTTTCTTGTTCAAATAGACAATTAACGAGCTACTTAAATCTCAAATGACTGAGGACACCATTTTTTCAATGCTCTCTAAAGCTCAAGAATTTGATCAGATAAAAGTGAGAGACGACGAACTTGGTGAATTAGACGATCATTTAGATAAAACATGTCAATTAAGAGTTTTAGGAGGAACTGAGAATGGTTATGGAAAAGTAAATATTCTACTGCAAACTTATATTGGCAGAGCTAGTATAGATTCCTTCTCATTAGTATCCGATCAAGCCTACGTTGCACAAAATGCTGGTAGAATTGCCAGAGCTGTCTTTGAAATAGCTTTAAAAAAAGGTATGGCGATTATGTCTGGACGTCTATTAAACGTTTGTAAATTAATTGAAAGGCGTTTATGGCCAAACGAACATCCACTTTATCAATTCGGCAATACGATATCTTTCGATATTTTACGTAAGCTACAACCATCTCTAACGGATCCTAGAAAGAGAGGAAATGATTTGTCATTAATCAAACTAAAAGAGATGGATTCTAAAGAGATAGGACTATTTATTCGACATCCGAAAATGGGTAGTACAGTCAAATCTTGCGCGCATCAAATTCCCATGCTGGATATAGAGACGACTATCCAACCTATTACTAGAACAGTCTTAAGAGTAAGATTGCTGATAAAACCTGATTTTCGATGGGAGGATAGAGTGCATGGAAATGGTTCGGAAATATTTTGGATTTGGGTAGAAGATCCGGAAACAGATCATATCTATCATGTGGAAAATTATCTAGTGAGTAAGAAGCAAGCGAAAACAAGGGAGGAGCAAACTCTTGTATTCACCATACCGATTAATCAGGATCCTCTACCAAGTCAATACGTTCTTAGATGCATATCGGATAGATGGCTCGGCTCTGATAATAGTCAAGCTGTGTCCTTTAAACATCTAATCTTACCAGATCATCATTTACCTCACACAGCTCTACTGGATTTGCACCCATTACCTAAGACAGTTTTAAAAGATAAAAATCTGGAGGCCTTATATCCATTTGACCATTTTAATCCTATTCAAACACAAGTATTCCATCCAGTATATCATACCGATTGTAACGTTCTACTTGGAGCTCCAACAGGAAGTGGAAAAACAATAGTAGCCGAATTAGCTATGTTTAGAGTATTCAGAGAATATCCAAACGCTAAAGTAAAACTTTGATTTATAATAAGAATATTGATAAAATTAATTATCTTTTGTGTAATATTTTTAGTGCGTTTATATTGCTCCTCTGAAGGCTTTAGTTCGGGAAAGAGTTGACGACTGGAAGATAAGACTACAAGAAAAATTAGGAAAAAAGTAAGAAAGATAAAATTTTAAATGAACAAATTTGAATAATCCTTACAATTCACGTTCTTTCAGTGTTGTTGAATTAACTGGAGATGTTGCACCAGATATGAAGTCGGTAGCTAATGCCGATGTAATAGTAACTACACCCGAAAAATGGGACGGTATATCTAGAAGTTGGCAAACTAGATCTTATGTTAAATCTGTTAGGCTATTAGTTATTGATGAAATTCATTTACTTGGTAATTTAATTAGTTAACATAGTATATGTTATATAAATTAAATATTTGTCGTTTAGGTGATGACAGAGGTCCCGTGTTGGAAGTTATCGTCTCAAGAACCAATTTTATTTCTTCCCATACCGACTACAAAGTTCGTGTTGTTGGATTATCGACGGCACTAGCAAATGCCCGAGATTTAGCTGATTGGTTAGGTATTAAAACAGTAAGTAGAATCTTAAATAAATGTTGAAATTAAATCATTTTTTAACATTAATATACTAATAATAAATGTTGAAATTTTAGATAGGACTCTTTAACTTTCGACCATCTGTTCGACCAGTTCCATTAGAAGCTCATATACACGGATTTCCGGGCAAGCATTACTGTCCAAGAATGGCCACTATGAATAAACCTGCTTTTCAAGGTATCATTTCTAAAAGAATTATAATAAAATGTATTTATTTTATGCAAACTTCAGGAATTAAATTACATTCACCTGAGAAGCCTGTCTTGATATTCGTTTCAAGTAGAAGACAAACTCGTCTAACTGCACTTGACCTAATCTCTTTCTTAGCTGCCGATGATAATCCTCAACAGTGGTTGAATATGCCCGAGAATGAGGTTAGTATTCGTATTTGCAATATAGTTTTTACCTACCGAAATGAGGCTGTAAATGAAAATTTTTCTTTATTTATTAATAGATGGAAAATCTAATTTCTGGTGTTAAAGAGCAAACTTTAAAGTTAACTCTATCCTATGGAATAGGTCTTCACCACGCAGGTTTAGTTGAAAGAGATAGAAAAACTGTAGAAGAATTATTTGTTAATCAAAAAATTCAAGTTTGTTGTCAATTTTTATCTTGAATTCGTTATTTATTAAAACAAATTCAATAGTTTAATTTATCATTGTTTTTTAGATTCTAATAGCGACTTCAACATTGGCATGGGGCGTTAATTTTCCAGCACATTTAGTTATTATTAAAGGAACAGAATACTTTGATGGAAAACAAAAACGATATGTTGACTTTCCGATAACAGGTAGTAAAGAATATTGTTACAATATAAATATATATATATATATATAACTATAAATGGAGCGCATTATAATATATACAGTATATTTTTTTCTTTATTCTCTTTAGATGTTCTACAAATGATGGGTAGAGCTGGCCGTCCTCAGTTCGATAACGAAGGAAAAGCTTTAATATTCGTTCACGATCAAAAGAAACATTTCTACAAGAAATTTTTATACGAACCGTTTCCTGTAGAATCAAAGTAAATATTTTATAGAAAGCTTATTTTTGCCCTCATTCCATTCAGTAACAAATTCTTATCAAAAAATGTTTTTCATTAGCCTATTAGCGGTGCTACCGGAGCATTTAAACGCTGAAATTGTAGCGGGAACTATTCAATCAAAGCAAGAAGCTATGGATTATATTACATGGACCTATTTCTTTAGACGATTAATTATTAATCCTAGTTATTACGATCTTGAAGATACGGATCACGGCACGCTTAACGTCTATTTATCAAAATTAGTCGAAAAGTGTATTCAAGAATTAGCATTAGCCGGTTGTGTAACAATCACTGAAGTTAGTAATTATACAATTAAATCTAAATAAATTATACTACTTTTTATTGCTGTTCACCCAGGATGGTTTAGGTTTACAGCCAACGGACTCTTCGCGTATAGCTTCATACTATTATCTTAGTCATTTTACAATGAAAATGTTTGATGAAAAGCTCAACTCCAATTGTGAATTAGAAGATCTGATTGAAATTTTATCAAATTGTCAAGAATACGCCGAACTTCCTGTTAGACATAATGAAGATAAGTTAAATAGCGATTTAGCTCAGGATCTGCCTATCTCACTAGCATCCCATGCAATGGATAGTTCACATACAAAAGCCCATTTACTACTTCAAGTAAAGAAACAGATCAAATTTTATCTTATATCTTTCTTTGTGAAGCTAATATTTTTTCTTCCCTCCTCAATCTAGGCCCATTTTAGTCATGCAAATCTACCTTGTTCCGATTACGCTACCGACACGAAATCTGTTATGGATCAAGCTATAAGAATTCTACAAGCTATGTTAGATACTTGCGCCGGCCAAGGATGGCTCGTAACTTCGATAAGAATTATCAATTTAATTCAAATGATCATTCAAGCCAGATGGTTAAACGATTCAACATTATTGGTTCTTCCTCATATTGATAGTCGTATTTTGCCAAAGCTTGCAATGTTGAAAAATTGTCACGTGAGATGTTTACCCGAACTTATGCATTACGTTGAGAGAAATGGAAAGAGTGCTGTATATGACGCGCTTAGAGACGATTTAGGAAGACCAGCTATCGATGATGTTAGTATATATATATATATATATATATAAATTTACATACAGTATATACTGTCTATTTTTTATTATATATAGTAATTCTAACATTTGTTTTCTCCTAAAAAGATATTCAAAGCTTTAGGTTCCTATCCTAAAATTGATGTCATCATGTCGGTAAAAGGAATATTGAACGATGGCTTATTAAGAGATAAACGAATTGAAAATATGCACGGTCAGTTGAATGGTTATCAAAAAAATATTTTTATAGACCATTAACTTTTTCCTTTCGAGTAGAAAGTGGACCAAATGTTTCGGACAAGAAATGGTTACAAGTTTCATCGGATACCGAATATACATTAAATTTATCACTTATCAGTTTAAATATGAGAAGGGTTTGTATTGATATTTAATTTGTATTTTACTAATCTAATTTATAGCCATGAAAAATGCTCTGATTAACGATCAATCTTTCAGAGAAAGGAAAATAAAGCTTTTGCCCCGTTCTTCCCTAAACCAAAGGACGAAGGTTGGATAATTATTATTGGAGACGTCGATAAAAAAGAGCTAGTTGCCTTAAAGAGAGTAAACTCCCTCAAGGGAAAGGAAACTAAAACTAGCATTGTGTTTTACACACCAGAAGATTGCGGTAGAGTGATATACAGCGTTTATGTACTAAGCGATGCGTATCTTGGCCTTGATCAGCAATATGATTTACACTTGGAAGTTCAAGATATAAGTAACAAACCGAATGATGACTATGACGAAGAAGAATTATAAGTGATACTTTTTCACCCTTTGAAGAAAAAACGATTAATAGGAAATTATGATTATTTTCTAAAAACAAACCAATAGAACTTTTTATGTCGTATTTAAATATTTATTAATCACTAAGCTCTCTTTAAAAATGAATAATAGTTTGTTTATTCTTTCTATAATAATCTTATTTCTTCATTGTAACATCTGAATAAAACAACTAAAGTCTTAGTTAATTTATTGATGTATTTATATATAATAGGTACTATGCAACTCAATAAGAAAAAAAATTAGATGTATAAACAGTATTAAGTAAGCATTTAGCAACAGTCCTAGATCATTAACAAATTCGATAACGTCATAGAGCCTTTTTTTAGTCTTAATACCAATCTTCTTTATATGTATTTTTCTTTTTGTATATTTGTAATGCTTTTTCAACCAATCTACACTAATAGTTCAATTCGGCTAAATTCCTCATCCTTTTCACTCTCGTTCCTCCGTTAATTCCCGTACTAACAACGTAAATTGAACAATTTGGAAACATCTCATTGTCGAAATTCTAAATATATAAGATTTATTATTAATTATTAAAAAAATACAATGAATTAAGATTCTGTTTACTTGAGGATGAGTAGCTGCATACTTGAATATTAGGAGAACGAAACAAATGATCATTATTCCACCTGTTACGTAATAGACGATTTCATCTGTTGAAAGACGAATTTGATAATTTTTTCTATTATCCTGTTGAACTTTTTTCCATTCGGCTCCGGAAGAAAATCGTTGACCGATACTTAAAAAAGTACAAGCTATAAATAGAAGCTTAATTGAACGACCCATGTTATTTTCAATACAACAATTAAGGTTTTCAACCTGTAATAATTTGAATAATAATTAGTTTAAATATTATAATTATGCATTTATTAATAATATATTCAATAATGAAACAAACAAAAAAGAACTATTTGTTTATACTTTGTAAAATTTTCAGTTCGTCTCCTCCAAATACCCAAGTAATGTGACGAGTTTATCTCTAACATGACTTTTTTTTAATTAAAAACCTTCCAAAATAGAACTCAAAAGCCTCAAATAAAAAAAGAAAGCAGTTGGGTGAGTTTCTTCCCAGTTTTTCTCTCTTGTTTCTTTTTTTTTAACCATACGCCTAATTCTAACTTATTTAATATATAATATAAAGATACAAGTATATTTATTTTTCGATTACAGTATTAGAATATATTAATTATTAATGATTAAATAGAAAAGCAGGTGTTTTTGTTTTTTTTGGGGAGGGGGCGTCTATATATAAACATTCTCATTAAAGGGTGTTGTTATTATAACTGAATTCAAAAAGTTTCGTAAAATTAACGATAGATGGCGTGATTTTAACAGTTTCCATTGGTAAAATTGTCTCGAAAAAAACATTCATTATGGCTGACTAAGAAATTTTTAAGCGAAGTGTGTTATAAGAAGTCTGTCAAACCAGATACTGTTTTTTATATTTTCCAAGCTCAAATGATATATTCTTATCTATAAAATAAGTATGACGCTTTGTTATTTGCTGACTTTTACAGTTATTATAGTTATATATTAAAATAGAGATGGGAGCCTGTATTTGTAAACAAAAATCAGGGAATCGACGATTAAATATAACATCAACTGTTCCACCTTCAATGGAAAACAGCTTTGCAGAAGGTCGAATAAGAGTCCCAAATAGCAGAGAATCAATTTTAATTTTAGAAACTCTGAAACAAATCAGACTTTTAGTGGATAACGAACAAGAACCGCCAAGATCAATCTTAATGTTGCACAAGATTGCCGACAAAGAATCTGGATGGCTATCAGTAATGATGGCTTTAATATCATCAGTTCCAGCTGATGATCCACTCGGTCCTGCTGTTATTAGTTTATTGATTGACGAATGCGCCTTACCAACGAAGGTTCGTTTTCTTTCATATTTATATAAAATATTTTCAAAAATAGTAGAAATTTCTAATTATTGTTCATTTTTTTGTTTTTCAACGTTTCCGTTCTTTTATTCTTTTCCAAGAAATACTTTTCTTATTATTTTTTTTCTAAACAAATAACAAGAACAGGAAATATTAATTAAAATAAGGCTAAGAAAATTGGGAGAGGGTACCTGATCAAATTTGTATACACAAATCTTTTTATGCATCTCTATAGACAGAAATCTTCTCTTTCGAGTCCAATAAAATAGTACAAAGAATGTCAGGTATATATTTATATATATAAATATATATATGTATATATATATATATATAGATATATATATTTATTTATTCATAGAAATTTATAACGTCATCAGAACATTTATTAAAGATTTCTGTAAATTGTCTTTTCATTGTAATTAACTCTTTTTCCTTTAAGAAGATTTATTTTTCTTTTTTTTGCTTATATATTTTTTTTTAAAAGAAAACAAAAACGAAATAAATAGAGAAATTATATTATATTATAAACAATTAAAAATACCTTATCAATGGAATATGATTAGTAAAGGATATTTCTCTTACTATACTAATATAAACAAGAGATAAAGCTATAAAAGAGGGAATTAATTAAAATTCTGTTCTTTTTTATCTTTTATTTTCTTTTCTTTTCTTTTTGCATTATTTTTTCTAAATTGCTTTTGACAATTTTTATTCGATTATTATAAATATTTTGCTATATAAAACTTCTTATTTTTATGATTAATTCATCCATAAACTTACTTTTTCGTTGTTTTTCTTCTTTTTTTTTAACTATATTATCTTTCCTCCAGGCTACTATTGAAAAGTTGTGTAATAGGTTAAAGCTAAATAGATTAATTGTTAATAAAGATCCGGATAAACATAGAAATATATGTATAGCTTTGGGATGTTTAGCGGAAAAGATGGCTGGTAAGTGAAATATTTAAAATAAATATAATTAACCTTTATTTTTACCTTTATTTTCTCTATTAAATAAAAATGTTAATTTGCATATTTATCTCTAATCTATTGGTTCTTTTTTTTCCTTTTTGTAGGACCAAACAGTATACACCTACTTAACAATCACGTCTTAAATTACTTAATAGAATGTTTGGTACGTGTAAAGAATACTAATAAAAATTAATATATATATATATATATATATATATATATATTTAATTGATTGATTAATTAATTAATTATATTAATTAATGACTATTTTTTAGAATATAAACAACTATCCTTCGGTTATACTATTTGCTTTAATAGCTTTGGAAAAATTTGCTCAAACCAGTCAGTATTTATTGATTAGTTGAATTGTTTTAATTAGCAATTATGTTTTTTGTCTATTATATATTAATATATATATATATAATTTTTTTCGTTTGAAAATAGGTGAGAATAAAGCTAATATAATAAAATATTTGGAATCTCTAAGTAACGGCCATGGAGCTCCTATCGAAAAGCTTGAGTCATTCGTTAATCAAAACAAATATATGGAAAGACAAGTTCGCTTTTGCGCCAATTGGTCTTTAGATAATTTATGTAAATGTTTTCATTATGTTATAATGATACAATTAATAAATTTCAATTTTTTAGTTCCAGTTGAAAATCGACCATATTCCTATGAAAAAGTTAATACAAATGGTATAAATGTTATGCTCAATGCAAATGATGTTTCCGAATACTTGAAAATATCTTCTGACGGCTTAGAGGTAAATAGAATAACGTAATGGAATATATAATTTACAAAAATTGACTTTATATTAGGCAAGATGCGACGCTTCTTCGTTTGAAAGCGTACGATGTACGTTTAACGTTAATAGTGGATGCTGGTACTATGAAGTAACAGTTGTTACGTCAGGCGTAATGCAAATTGGTTGGGCTACTAAGCAGAGTAAATTTTTAAATTATGTAAGTCACCATTATACGATGTTATTTATGAACGATTATATCAATTAAATATATTTTATTATAATTTATAGGAAGGCTATGGTATTGGCGATGATGAATATTCAATCTCTTACGATGGCTGTCGTCAATTAATATGGTATAGAGCCGTAGCCGAGAATCACCTTCAACCCGCTTGGAGGCCTGGAGATGTCTTAGGTCTCTTATTAGATGTTGATAATCAAAGAGTTGTATTCTCTCTAAATGGTGTTCAGTTATCCCCATGTAAAAAGCTTTTTAGTTCTGCCACTTCCGGTTTTTTTGCTGCTGCAAGTTTTATGTCCTTTCAACAGTGCATTTTTAATTTCGGGTCTACTCCGTTCAAATATCCACCTCCAAATTGTCATTTTCAAAATTTTAATGATTTTGGTGTATTAAGTATCGATGAAAAAACAATTTTACCTAGAAAGATAAAGTTAGCCATGCTAAAGGAAGTGGATATAAAAGAAGATTCCTGCACTATTTGTTTCGATAGAAAAGCAGATACTATTCTGTTGCCATGCCGACATACAGGATTTTGTTCTGAATGCGGAAAGAAACTAAGTATTTGCCCTATATGTAGAGGAGATATAGAAGAGAGAGAATTACTACACAGTCCCGAGAGGTGATACAAATCCGAATCTACACTATAAAGAAACATGCTAAAAAGTAGAAAAAAAATAGATATTTTAATTTTTAAAAGTAGAAAGAGATTTATTGTAAAAGCACTCATTTTGCAAGAAAGAAAGAGAGAGAGAGAGAGAGAAAAAGGACAATAATTAAAAAGTATTGGAAAGAATGATTTAAGAAAAACAAAACAAAAAATTATCTGTTTTCTATTTAACCTGCAGGTCAAACCTTTTTACTGTCTCTTAGAATAAATTTTTATTTTTTCCCCCGATCTCTTCCTTTTTTTGTGTTCTTATTATATTATTATTATTATTATTATTATATTAATTGGTAATTTCACAAAATATGTCCATGTTTAATGACTATTTACAATAAATTTCTATATACGATGTATAAAATATATATATACAGTATATATATACAGTATATGCTCATACAAACTATATTTAGAATATATCCTTTTTGAAATATTTATACCTATAGTAGAAAGACTGTGTAATTTATTTATCTATCAGCTTAAACTTTTAACAAGAAGATACTTTTTCTTCTCATTTATCCTTAATCCTATAGCTCCTGTTAAATCCGACTTTTGAGATTTCGTTGTCTTTCGCTGTTGGAATAAATCAATTAAAATTAAATTAACGAATGAAATCTCATTCCTTTACTTTTAAAGTCAGGATTCCTTCATTTGTTCTTTATTGACAAACTTTACAACTAGTCGTTCTTCTATCTCTTCCTTAAGTACTCTTAAAAGAAAATATATCAGATATATCATTTCCCTCACTTTTTTTTAAAAAAAAGGAATTAATTTATTGAACATTAAATTAAAAAAACGATAATAATGTGATGTAAATTAGCTAATCAACAAGCTTACTACAAAATTCGAACTAAGTAACATTATACAGCATATTAATATATCGATACAACTTCAAAGTGGAGAAGAATTTTGTTTCGAGTAGAGTTTATTGTCTAGATTGCAATTGAGAAATTCGAGATCGAATATTTTCGTACAGCTGCTTGTTTGTCGTTGCACTAACCCCTCCCAATCGTTCTAATACTTGAATATCCTTATTCTGAGCTGCCAAATCAATAGCCTCTTCAACTTTTCTGTTTGTATTTGGTTATTATTAGATATATAGAAATGATGAAATAAAAAAAAAAGAAGCTATATTTAAATTGCAAGTTTTAATAATAAAGTTAAAAGTATGAATAAATTAAAAAAAGAGTATACATACCCTATTTCAAATAATAATCTAGGTCTATCTTCAACTGGTACCTTTACTACGTACTTCTCAGCTATGTCTAATTTATTATACTTGATACACATTTCCACGAAATGCTAGAAAAAGAACCATTTAACAAGCGTTTAATCATTAATGCCATTAAATATAGCCAAAAAATTAATATAATACGGTATATGTATATTGTTTATATCAACCTCATAGCCTATCGGACTTTTTTTGGCTTTACCAAAATCTTCAAGTTCGCTCCATCTATCGGATTCGGCTAATGCTTCCACTTTAATGTAGTAATAAGATTTCTCCGAAATTTTAAAATCTTTCTTTAGCTGATCGGCCAACTTAAAACGACCTTCACCAATCAATTTCGTAATTGTTTGGTTTAATGATAAATCGATATATGACTGTGAGAAATCAACTTCCAATCTCTTCTGCTGTTCTAAAAGCTTAACTTGATCTTCGGTTTGCTTCAAAAAAGAAAAATTAATATAAATATATTATACAATTGAAGATTTTTAAGGGAAACAAATACCTTAGCTAACCAATCACATCTGGCTTTCTGGAAACATCTCGCAGCTTCCTTCAAATTATCTATACGATTCGTAAAGGTCTAAAAAAGAAAAATAATAATGTTTAAAGTGTAAAATATAAATATTTTTGTTTATCAATAACACCTCATTTTCGTAACTATCCATAATTAAATGCTGTCCCATTAACATAAAATTATCTTGCATTGAATATAAATCTTTTAATATTCCTCTATTGTTTTGCCTGCAATACTACAAATAGAAATTAATGAAAATAAAAATTAATTAATAAAGTTGATAAATAAAAAAAGATTTAATTAATAATTAACTATATTACTTGTAAGTAATAATCGAAAGCTTGGGTATTTTTTTGAGTTAACATATGTAGAAAATCAACTTGAGCCATCGTATCTTTTAAATGTAATAGGGCTTGATAAATCAAATCGACATCTCCACTTTCAATTGCTTTAGAGAGAGCAGTTTCGTTTCTTTGCATTTTTAAAAGCATTGGAACCTATTATTAATTATTTAAAATATTATAATTTGTTCAGTTTATTTTTGTAAATATTTTATTTGTATTTAATTTACTTGTTTTGAAGATCTGGGTTCAAATTCTAATAATCTAGCAGCCAAATCTCTCCTTTCCATCTTTAATGCTTTTTCAGCAATATGAGCGTAGGCCATATAGTTTGTTCCTAATTTACCAACAATACAATCGGCTATCACTTCGTCCGATTTATCCGATTGACTTATTTTAAAAGTAGCCCATTGACCAAAAATTCTTTCCCTCTCTTGATTCAATTTTAAAAATTCACAAATTTTTACAGCCAATGCAAAATGCTTTCTAAGTATTAGTCTATCTAATACAACTGGTAAAGATAGATGCTTGAATTGTTTATAACTTATTCCTATGCCGATTTTAGGTGATCTTAATTCATTTAACACTCTTAACTCTTCACAAGCAGTTAAAAAATCAGTTGGATCAAATTCAGTTAGGAACGTTTTACCAAATGATGCGGCGTTTAGTAAAAGTTTTTGACATTTCGCCGAATCGTATTCTAAGGTGGCGCATTTTATACAATTTGCAACAGCTTCTGATAGTTTCTCTGTAATATTTCTTAAATATTCGTCTGCTTTTTGTGACATTAATGTAAATTGTTGATAGGCCTCTATTAATTGATTGTGGGCCTCCATTGTACCTAGAAGATAGGCTGTTTGAAGGACCGTCTCAACTTTGTGTAAGAATTCATGATCAAAGCTCGATAGAATTCTCACCCCATCCAACTCAGCTGAGCAGTAAACAGGTTCCTCCAAACTATATCGAATCGGTTGAGAAGATGAAGAGGCTGTGTCAAACACCATCATTTCATCAGTATAACAACATACTATTGCTCCAGTTCCACAAAACTCTAAATGTTTTGGCCTTGATCTCATATCAGTTCGAATTTCTCTATTTATTGTTTTGAAATCTTTTGTCCCTATCCATATTCCCCCATTGTCACCATAAACAGCAATAAGCTGTTGATTAAATGAGACAGCGATGTCAATAATAGATTCGAAGTCATATTCTTTGACCAATTTTAATTGACCAGTTAAATCTAGAGTATATAGATTGGCATTCTTCGCAACTAAAACATTACAAGATCTTTCGGAAGTTATAACATGCCATATAGGGGTTGAGCGCAGGTCAGAAATTTCAGCTAGCTGACGAATATTCATAGCTTCAACATTAGTTACAATAATAATTCTATAAAAGGAAGTCATGACTGCCAGTCCAGTATTTGTTGAATACGTGAAAGTCTTTGCTTGAATTATCTATACATCGAGTGTTAAAAATGATATCTTAAGGCAACAATAACATTAGCTATAATTGTCTTACTCGTTGTTCTTTAGCAGTTTCTCCCATTCCGAAATGTTTTTGCATTTTTCCAAAAATATTATACACTAAAACTGTCCCTTCATCTTGAACACAGAGTAACTGTTCGGAAGTTGTCCATCCTATATGAATTACTTTTCCCGATGACCACTGAAAAGAGTCAACTTTTTAAACTATGAGCTTTTCGATAGAAATATTCAACTGCTTAAACAAGAGAGAATAATATATTAGTATGTAAATAATATACTTACGGGAGTTTGAGCTAAAGTTTTACCAGCACTGTTGAAAATGTATAGAATTGGCATGGATGTTGATGTTGTGGGAGGCCCCCTAGATACATCCCTTAGAAGGGCTAGAAACATGATTTAAAGGAAATTTTTAGCAAGAAATTGAGCAAATTGACCTCTGTAACATACCAATTGGACCACCATAAGGTGCAATAGCAATTAAATATAATCCAAGATTGCTTTTATCCCAGCACATAGTGTACATATTTCGTTTCCTATAGCGATAAAACAAGAATTAACCACAATAACAATCTATTTTGGGCTATCAAACAAAAGAAGGAAAGACCTATAATAATGATCCTCTAATCGGTCCCACTCTGTTGTAAACTCCATTTTGCAAGAACTGAAAGGAATCTATTTGCTACTTTATATAAATCTATTTTTCGCCCACCAGATGGGAATATTTTGCCTTTGAATTTTCCAGTAAAAACTGGTTAAACCGGGAAGATTTAAATGATAACTTTAACTTTATCATACTTTATTATCAACATATCCTTGAATTATAATTTCGCGGTCAATAGACTACATTAAATACATGAGCCTAATAAAGAACATGATTTGGTATTCCGATCACTTGACAACTGTGCTCCATATGTATTTCACTCTAACTTTCTAAGAACAAGGAAACAATCGAAATACTCATTTTTATATACAAACACAATTATCAGTAAAACACGATGCAAATTCCTTTAGTCATTTTTACGCAACAAACCAGTTAATTACATTTTTTTCTAATATAAAGTTTCTGCGTCAAAAGTTGTATTCAGAAGTTTTAAGCTTAGATTTAGCAGTTTTTCTATGCATAATATTGATGTTAGTGTCCTTAATTATTGGTCCTTATTTGTCCTTTTATAACCACAAAATTTAAAAAACCACAAATCAAGCTAAAACAATCATGAATGCAACAAAAAACGCAGAAATCGTAAATAACGTTCTTTCTTGTTTAATTATCTTGTTATAATTTTGTTGTAGTATGCATCTAGAAAGCAAACAAGATGAGGAAGGCCATCATCAAGCAAAATAGACCCATAGCTTCGGACAAGGCGAAACCCAAGATGGCGTAGGAGAACAGTTGAGGCTTCAATGACGGATTTCTAGCATAACCGATAACTAGCGAGCCGAAAACGGATCCGATACCGGCACCTAAATAAGAATAAAGATAAATTAGTTTGTGTTATATGCAAAAACTTCAGATTTTATAAAGAGGATTAATCAGATTATAAAGGTCCACATAGTACTTCAGAAGAACGAAAGTCAAATTTTAGGTTTTTCATCATTTAAAAAGCTATTAATGTCCGAAGCAGTCAAACTGATTACAGTTAGAAACCTCTAAGGTCAAAGTCTGGATCAAACCAATCATATTGCTTATGACATTCACCACTTATAGTGAATTTACTTTGAGGTGACATTGCCAAATTTTACAAAAATTTAGCTCCTCGGAATTATTAATAGCTATACAAGGATAGATAACTTGAAAATTACGGACCTGATCCAGCTGCTCCAACGGTAGCAGCTCCGGCTCCGATGTACTTAGCGGCTTGATCGATGTCTCTTTGGACGGTCGATGTTTGAATACATCTGACCTGTAAAAATGATTAATATTATTTAAAAATACCATAAAAATTGTCTAATACACACCTGAGCCAAGTCGAGCTTTCCGTTGGCCGATTGAAATTGGACAACAGTGGCACCGAGGTTCGGTTTTAAGCATGATCTCAAGACCTATTAAAATCGTAAAATATTTTTAAAAATTTTCATTACCAATAGTTATAAAATGTTTATAATCAGCTTTATACAAGAAAATTTGGGAGTTTGGATAGCTACAATGGCGGTCATTGCAGTTGACATTGAAAAATGTCCGATGACGTTTAACATCGTTTTTTATGCAAAATAACTGATATTATTCCGAAAAAAATGTATACATACCACGTTTCTTGCTAATGGGGCTAAACTCATGCAGGAATTCATTGTTATTCAATTTTCCTATACGTCCTGGGAAAAATTAATCTGAAAGATCAAATGAATTATTCCTCGATATAAAAAGAGTTAACAGATGAAAATCGTAAATACAACGCCTTGAAGCGTCTTTAATGTTTTTCAATAAAAAGAATTTAAAAAATAAGCTCGAAAAGACAGATATTTACAGAGTTAAGCACGAGCTACAAACCTTTCTAACCGGCTCGAAGGACACGAATGCTCGATTTACGCATGCGTTAATATGGCCGTCGTTAGCAGGTCACCCATTGGCTGACACGCTAAAAAGCATCTTTGACATAAACTGTGTCTACCCATATTTCGTATCAGACAGCCAGAAATATCGAAAAATAAATAACGTAAGCTAGTACTTATTTTCAAATTAAATTATTGATATATTTAAAAAGTGTTAAAAAGCTTTACATAATCTACTAATTTTCGTTTTAGAGTTGCTTATAAGTAGTGCGGCACCCTTAGAATTTTCGTTTTTACTAGAAAAATCTGGAAAGGAACACTGACAATTTATCAGATTGCCTATAAATATAACATTTTGTACGCGTGTATTACGGTTTAAACCAATCAACGTTCAGAGCTTGACGTCATTTTGTTTTAGAAGTACACAAGTCACTGAAAAGAAAATCATGGCTGATTTCCAAAAAAAGCTAGAAAATTTGACGAAATTTCATCATCTGTAAGTTTAATTCCCTGTCTTAATGTTAATATCATATTACTGCATAGGCAGTACATGTTTTTAAGGGAAATCATTTGTTTATTCATTGACTTTTATAGTAAATTCATGAATATAATTATGAAGCGACTTTATTTCTCTTTATTACTTTCATAAACCTCATGTTGTCTATCAATATACAATTAAAGAATATAGATTTCTGAAAAACAGCAGATAATCATTTTTTTATGTCAACATTCCAGTTTCTTATTGTGTCAAAAAAAAATAATGATTATCCATTCGCTAACCACAACCTGAGGTTATAATAAAGTACTAAAAAGGTTTAAATCAATGTTTTTATTTGCCTATTTATTGTTGTGTAGGTCAAACCTCGATTTATTAAGAGATTTTTTTAAAATATAATATGAAATAATAAAATCCATCACTAAAGTTTTAAATTTTACAGATCAAAATCCGTTAAAGAACATTTGAAATGTGTCTACGGAACTTTAGCCATCGGAATGGCTCTTGCGGCAGCTGGTGCATATGTTCACATATTCACAGCTCTGCTAAGGGTATCTTGAATATTGTTTTATCTCTACCAGTATCTCTTTACATTTTAATATCATTTTCAGAATGGATTTTTGACTTTAATAGCTTCGATTGCCTGTTTGTTCGCCCTGTACAGCACACCACATAACAGAACAACTGAAAAGAGGCGTTTAGCCTATTTTGGTGGATTCACTTTTTGTGCCGGTATTTCTCTTGGTCCTCTCCTTGAAAGATTGATCATGATAGATCCAAGGTAATTTATTTTCCTTCTTTTTTTCTAATTTATTATGAAAAATGGCTTTTCTGGTTTAAAAGCGTGACATGTTGATGATATACATGAAGTCTCAGATACATATTGTAAAACAGTATTGATTGTCTCATGAAAATATGTTTAATTATTCTCAATTCCAATTTAAAGAGCTCTTTAGATTGATTAACATGTTTTTCTATTTATTTTTTCTCCGTCCTAATAGAAAAATTACCTACATTTAAAAATTAATAACTAAAAAATAGTTCATAATACTAGTAAATTTTCAGATAATTTATTCTATTGAAACTATATAATGATGCTTTAGGTTATTTATACAAAAAAAATTGAAATCTGTCATGCAAATGCTACGTTTTCTGTGATGTCCCATTTTGTCCCATTTCCTTACGAAAGTCAACTGAAGGTCAACTTTCCCCCTTCTATCAACCTTACCATTTCTTTATCATTTTAGTGTTTGTTTCCTGAATACTTTTTCTTAACATACTGTATAGTAATGAGCTTCAACACGAAGCTTTTAAGAAACATAACATTAGCTATTTAATAGGTATATAACAAGGTTTACCGTATTACAGATAATCGATTTCTTTGAAACTTAAAACAGACGACGAAATAATCATATCTATAATACTTCTATTTAGTTTTAATCAGTATAAAAAGATTGCTATATACAGTATGTAACATTCTTTGTCTTTAGATACGTTGAACCGTTTTGCTATTTGATATGTGAAAGACTTATCTTCTGTACTTAAAATATTAATATAAATATTTTTTCAGTATCATTACCACTGCTTTAACCGGAACGGCAATGATATTCATCTGCTTCTCTCTGTCTACCCTTTACTCCAACAAACGACCAAGTTTATTCCTCGGAGGTAACCTTCTTAAATAAGATCATTCACAGTTAATAGCTTAACCTTCTCTGTTTAGGTCTTCTTTCGTCTGGTATATCTTGTCTACTAGTAGTTTCCCTCGCCAATATATTTTTCAGATCAAACCTAATATTCCAGGTAATAACACAACCGTTTTTGAAAGATGTACATACCTTATTTCTATATTTAAAATGTATCTTTTTTAACAAATCAACAGTTTGAATTGTATGTTGGATTCGGTATCTTTTGCCTTTTCGTAATATACGACACCCAAATGATCATTTACAAGCGTGAAAACGGTGATGATGATTACATCAAGTAAGATTTATTTCTATTTGAATATATACTGTATATATATATATATATATATTTGTTATGTTAATTATAAGTTCCTTCATGTATGTTTTTTTTTTCAGGCACAGTTTGGATTTGTTCATTGATATGATTGAGATTTTCCGCTATCTTGCTATAATTCTTGGCAACAAAGAACAAGGAAAGAAGAAGAAGCGTGATGATTAGTTTTGGGATGTTACGATTGAATGACTGAATTAAGAATATAATAGAGTGACTGAAACAGTTTTCACATGTCTGTTATTGATGAATGAAACGTGAAATTCTTGAAATACTAGTACACTATATATAACATAAATGTATGCGTATATATATATATATATACATATGCATTCAAATTTTAAGTAAATGTCTTATAAATTAAAAATGTCACGTAAAACTTAACATTTATTAAAAACGGCTATTTGAAAGTTTCAAAAATTCATTCAAGATTATTGAGTACTTTCCTAATGAGTGTACATGTCTACTTTTGTTCTGTAGACATAACACTCTCTTGATCTTCCCTTCCATCATCTTCCAACAACATTGCGATATCATTTTCTTGTTTTTCTGTTTCCAGCCAGCTCTTCAAAGCATCCTATTGATAGATACTTATATATAAATTTTTCGAAATTATTGTAAAACTTTCAAAAATTTAGGATGAATGGGATTTAAGAGAGATTATCTTGAGCGATAAAGTAAGTTTATACCACATTACCTCCTCAGATTGCAATTTACTTAATTCGTTGTTGATTTTTTCTATTTGATTTTCATAAAACCTTTCCTCTGTCCGTAAAATATCTAGTTTTTTATTGAGATCGATCTCGTCTTTCGCAACAGCCATCTTATAGAAAATAATATGGTTACTAAGAGGTTTACTTAAATAGAAGGCACCCAAGTGCCGAGGAATCGGCAGCCAGTTTTTCCTTGTTAAAATATGAGAATCGAAAACGAGATTGCCTAATGGCTGCTTTCTTCATAAATACGTGCAACTTTTCCGAATGTAATTCGACGTTTTCGAATCTCGCTGAACTAATTGATCATGTTGAAACAACGCATATAGGTATTTATGATATATTTACTTAAAAAAAACTAGCAAAAACTATTTTCTTTAGTCATACATCATCCTTTTGTAAGCGTACCCTCTTTTGTTACTATATATAGACTATTTCACAACACCGGGATTCCAAGGAATACCTTATCAGCTGTTTATTATTTACATGAATGTTTTTGTTTAACAGAAACGGATCCTGATTTCTTGGAACAACAAGAGAACGCACAGCCGAACTATTTGCCTTTAAGTTATATTTTAAGGTAATCATTAGTTTTTAAAGTTTTTAAAACTTCTCTGTAAGTTGAAAAGAATAAATAATACTGTATAGTTCTACTATAGATGCTTTTCAAATAAGTATATTTGAGTACTTATGAAGGGCATGTTGTGTTGTTCGCTCATCAATTATTATATTTTATAACAATACTTATACGAAGATAATTTATTTCACTAATCATAAACTGCACTAGTGATTTTTCAACTATCACTTTGTTTTTCATTCTCTTTCTATTAACGTATTATCTATTTAATTGATTTATCTAAATAAGACAAGATTATATTATTTACAGACACAACAGGAGTTCAAATAAGGCGAATAAGATTTTTTTCAATGCACAACCATCTTCCTCAATTCAGAGTCCTTTAGCCGGAAGCGAATGCGAATATGACGCTTTCGATACCGATTCTAGTAGTATTGATTCATGGGCGTCTGACGGAATAAAGACTCAAATTGTAGGGCTTCCCCCTCCCAAAAGAATTCGTCATCAAATTCCTTCGGACAGTGTCGAACGGCCGTATATATGTCAAGTAGAAGGTTGTGACAAACGCTACAAAAACGTTAATGGAATAAAGTACCATTTGAAAAACGGCCATAAGAATCTAGACGACAGGTCAGTAATAGCTTTTAATTAATATTTAGCAAGCAAAACTCTTGATTTCCCACCACTTCTCTAAAAAAAATTGAAACAAATGATGCCGTTGATAGATTAATTACTTTATAATCATATGTTGACTGTATATGTCACAGACGAGTCTTAATTCAATATGTTACTCTCACTTCTCTAGTTGCTTTACCAATCTATTTTCTTCAGTATTCCCTCTCTAAATCTCGTAGAAGGTGTAAAAGTAATGCACCAAAGTAGTGTAAAGATCTCAAACTACAATTGGGTGTATAGTATATGCTATTAGAATAGCATTTAGACTAAAATATATATAACAAATATTTATTGCTTAGGGTCCAATAAAAATTTAAAAAGAACTTTTACTGAACATCGCCATACGAATTTTATGGAAAAAATTTTCCGTATTGAACATTTGTTCATTCATTAATATTTAAGTACCATATGTCAATTCTAATATGCTGCTAACAAGTCTACTTTGTACATATATTCAGACTATATAATTAAATACCCAGGTCAAATGGGATATCTGTAAGCGGGAGTCAATTTTTTTTCTCGGAAAAATAAAGATAGCAACTCTTGTATGCAATTTAAATTTAGTATATTTTCTTTCTCTTCCAATATGATTTGGTTGTTTGTATAGTGTTACAAATACCCTAGTTTTCGGACAGCGTACTAAACTATTGACTGAGATACTCTAGAATTAGATATATATTTTAGATTCACATCTACGATAAAGTTATCTTATTTTTTAAGAGATGACAAACATGTTCGAGTTTGCTATATATCGGTTTTTGCTTTCCTTATATAGGACTATAGGCAAAGCTCCTACATTTTCATGCCATTGCGGAAAAATTTTCAAGACGCACGCAGGATTACGAAATCATACTCTTGTCCAACACCCATGTTCCGGACCTTCCGTTGAGAACGTGTTCGATCACTTCGTAAGTTCCACTGGAAGCACTTTCCCTATTTAACAGCGCCACCTAACAGCAGAACAAATCTTCGACGACTTTCCCAATCGCTACTCCGAAGAATGAATTAACATGCAGAAAATAACTCCGATATTTCGTATTTAGAATGTTCAATGTTTCCTTCTTTTTATTCTATTTTTCGTGTTGTAAAGCCGAGATATACTTGCTTTCATAAGTCGGCTTTTGTTTTCTACTCACTTGGTTTTTTTCGAATAGTCATCGTATTTTTTGATGAAAAGACTGATTAGATGTTGCTATAAAAATGGTATATTATGCGGTAACTATGCTATACTGTACAGCTTTTTATCTACTGCCATTTCTAAAGCTTCAAAGAAGCACAAATTTCTTAATAGAAATCCGTGCTGAAGTTTCCAATAATACATATAAAATGTAAAAAATTCTGTTATCAAATGTACAAATCTCTTTGTTTGAAGTAATGTGACTTTAAGATAAATTATAAAGTTCAATTTTAAAAAATGGCGCCAATAGGATGCTGAAAAATCGTACATTTTAAATTTAGTAAAAATAATTTAATTCATTTATTTATATATTAATATATCTGTATTTATGTTTTAAATATACACTTGATTGTTTTATTTGGAATTTCTGTAAAAATAGATGCGAGCCTGCAATTGTCCTTTAGCCGCCATATTTGTCCTTGGTATCGGTGAATTTCATATAGACTAAACTATGCTTTCCGCTCGTTTATTGACCGCCAGGACCTCTACTTTGGTCAACAGCGTAAAAGGTACTTTTAAGAGAACATTTTTAAGCACATTTTAGTTTTGATCAATTAATGACGAGGAATCCAGTGCTGGATATTCGAGTAAAGTGTGGAAAGTCGTTTAGTTGGTTATTGCCTTAAATTAAAATAAAGTGTAAAAATTAAACAGACAACTTTTAATTTTAAGTACAAGAATTATTCGCTCATTAATCTTTCATTTAAAATAACCTCAGCCATAAAAGTTCGCAACATGGGTGATCACGTACCAGCTCACTGGAAATCAGCTAAACAAGTTGCCGCTGATACGTGCGCTACTATGGATCATTTACCTAAAGCAACTATCCCTTGGCAACAATATCATGGAAAGATGAACGCTAAATGGAACATCCAATTGGCGGCTTCTACTCTCTTCTTCTGTGTAACCATGTTTGCTGTAAGTTTTATCATTAAAATAGTTTGCTCAAATAACGATTACACTCTATGCAGATGCAGAAGTCAGGAGTGTTCCTTTTCTTTGGCCCACCCGCCATGAAGAACAAATAAATATGCGTGAATATGAAATAGACTCATTACAAAATGCGAATAGTAAAAAGTTTACAGTAAAATAAACTTGTTTCTGCCAATTGATCACATTGTTTTAAAACTTAAAAATTTAATGTAATATGAAAAATATGTTTCAATTGCAGGTATAATAATCCCACAGTGAACAAACAAAAAACCAAACTTAGTTTACTCAGATATTAGATCAAATAGTATATTACAGTTTTAAGTTTTAAACTATTCGTAATATTTAACAAAAAATTACAGAGTTCTCATGTTGCCATTACTAAATCGGAAGCCATCTCTGCTGCGGCATGAGTTTCTTCTAGTGACGTAAATTGAGAAACATCTAATGTATTATTTGGATTATCACTTCCATCTGTGATCTCTTGCTCTGCATCAGATATAGAAATAAGCTTTCTTTATACAGAAAATGTTAATTATACAAACCTCCATCAATTATTCTTGTGGGTGTTATTTCATCAGGTGCAACCGCGCCTAATGATAAGCCTTGTTCTTCGCATCCCCTCTCTAAGTGATGTTGTAAAGCAAACTGGGACCGGAAAGATCTAGCACACTTGTTACAGATAAAAGTTTTGTCAGCGTGTTTACGTTCAATATGTTTTCGTATATCGGTAAAAGTATAACCAAAAAAGTCACACATTCCACATTTGTAATCCCGTTGACCTCTATGCCTAAAAAAGTATTAAAGTTAATTTCGGTCAAAAATGTCCTCCTCTTAACCTTTTTTCGTGCAATTCTTTGTTTTTCATATGTCGAAATAATTTCCCGCAACTTTGGCATTTATACTTAGGCTCCTGATGCACCACAGCGTGTTTACTAATATCCGATCGCTCACTCCCACTGTTTTTCAATTAATCAAGCAAATGAAACTTCGAAAATCCCTAGAATTTGTAACATACCGATAATCACAATGACTACATTTGTAGCGTTTTACTGCAGCGTGAGTTCTTTCATGCCTTTTCAAATGCGCTTTCCTTGTAAACTTTCTATCACAAGTCGAACAGGAATAGTGCTCTTCCGGTGCTTCGTGAACCATTTTAATATGCATTTTTAATATATACTGATCCTAAAAGAAATAATAAATATACTGATGCTAAATATATATATATGCAAAGATACGAAAACATACTTTATAACTTTTCTTGCAGATTTCACATACTATTCCATTTGGATCGTGACGCTGCATATGACGTTTCATAATATAAGCAAACTCAACTTGCAAACCACAAACTGTACAGTAGTTTTTAGGGTGAGTTTCCTAATTTGTAGAGGTAAAACACCAAAAATTAGTTCTTTAATTGGTCAAAATATTATAATTTTACCTTGAAATGGTTATCTAGTTCGTCTTTATCAAAGCAAAGAAATGCACAACATTTACATTTAAATGTATCTGCTTCATGAGTCATGATATGCTGCTGATAGTGTTGAGTGTAGAAAGCTTGGAAGTCGCATTTGGGGCATTTTAATTTAGTAAGTTGCGATGCATCAGTTTTAAGACCAATGAGCGGTTGTTTATCGAATTTCTCATCATCCGTAGAACTTTTGTTCAAAGGCTCAGCTACAGGCAATTTTTAAATAATTAACAAGCCTATTAGACACAAAAAAATGAAAGGAAAAAAACAAAAACCTTCTATTTCTACACCATTGTAGTTTATTTTAACAGAATCTTTTTCAGACACAACTTCGGCAGCGTTAGTTGTTTCGCTAGCATTCTGAAAGGTGGTGAACGTTGATTTTTTTATTTTTATAAAATTAGAAATCTTTTTTAGTGTATACCTGATTGGGAGCTATTAGAAACGTTTTACCATCTTCGGTGGTGATCATAGGTGGTAATATGTTCTCACTTGGCATACTTTTTCTCGGTCGGCCTCTTCCTCGTTTAACTTAAAATGATAGTCATTTTGCAAGTACGTTCTCTTTTCTTCAAGATAATATTGTAACAAACCTGGAATACCAAGACCGGCAAGATAATTTTGAACAGCTAATGGGGTAAGTTTAGGTTTTCGAAGATCACTACTCGTCGTCTTGACACGGGTAATCTCAGGCTCAGTTAGGTCAGGCCCTAAGGATTCATCTATGACTTCTATTTTGACGTCAGTTGGGAAATCTTCCTGAACATCATCTACTTCTTCTCTTTTGTCAGTTTTTTCAGAATTTTGAACTGTGGAATTTTAAAGTTAAGATAAATACACAAACATTCGACATGTAAATTAAATAAAATGACTTACCTAACCAAAATTTCTTAGATTTTCTCTTGAGACGACAACTACGTTTAACTCCATCGTTTCCTAAAATCAAGTGCATTGGGTTGTAAAAAGACTATCGGATCAATAATTTACTAACCTATATTTTGAAGACCTAATAAACCTTCGGCCGCAGTACTCTCATCACTTTGAATGACTCGTTGTTGCACCAACTCGCAATCGTCCATTTTTTCGTTTCCTTGGTCTCCATCCTCTTCCCCGTCTTTTCCACAAGGAACAGCCATAAGTTGACCTGATTCTGGATCTTGTCTCAAAACACATTGAACACCGTTTATTACAACTACGGTATCAGCGTCAACAGCAAATGCATTTTCTGCCGGCTGAAAGGTTTATGACTTTTATTCCCTGCTCTGTGATATTAATGTAGGAAAGTTGCTGCAACTACCTCACAAGATTTCTCCGAATATTCTTGTTCTATCTCTTCGGCTTCTATAGTATTATATTGATCGAAAACTCCGGATATGATATTTGCAGATGTACCAGATTGTTCAGTGACTAAAAAGTTTGCTATTTATTTGGATTGCTTTCAAGAAAGTTTTTGTTCTTTACCTTCATTATTGTCGTCTAGAGAATGAACTTGAATAAAGTATTCAGAAGGATTCGTGTCCATTTTTGATGCTACAGAGAGCAGAATTTCTTAACTTTCATCTAAACCTAATTGTAACACAAGTATATAATTCGCTGTGTTTAGGATATGTTTTATATGTATAGTGACAATGGCAGTGTAAGATTTATTAACCTTATTCTTCAAGTCTTGTCTCTCATTACCAATTCAAAAAATGTGAACAGTTTTATGACCTTTTAGTGTTATTTCAAGCTTATACATATGTTTTGAGGTATTTCTGTGGATGTGTTCGATTTATTCTATATTTACGATACGTAATGTTCTGTAGATATCAGACTGCATAGAACATTTACGCAGAATGTAGAATGGTACATTCATACCAAGAAACAAACAGTCTTAATTAGATATAAAATGTCAGATATATGAAAGACAATATTAAATATCTAAGGCTATATTTTATAACGATGGCTTCTATTGCTCTCAAGTAAATAATAGGGTCTAGAATAGTAACACCGGGCTAAATTTTTCAGTGCGGTCTAAATTTTTTTTATAGCAATTTCGCATTTATTTATAATTCAAATTCGACTAATTAATTTTGCTATAATTGGTAGCAAACAGCAGGAAATCTTCGAGAACAGTGGAATATATTACTCACCTCAAAAAAACACAAACCAAAGCCCATGTAGACAGTCTTAGAGAAAGAAAAGCGGAAGTAGTTCTGACTGCAGCGCCACAATATCCGCTTTGTATTTTTGGCGGGAAACTCAGTAAACTGAAAAACTTATGAAAATCTTTTCCTTAAAATACCACTAAATATTAAACGTTTCGTTCAGATTTCATTGAGAAATAAGCAGTAAAACATACACAAAGTTTTATTGAAACTTGCGAGTTTCCATATAGAACATTCTCTTACAAATTTGAAATTGAACACCATAAAACGAAACGAGTTATCAAAATGTAAAAATATCTATAAATTTTTACTATAGGGAAGAAAGAGTAAATTTATCCTTATTAAAAATTTTTACATTATTCGGTTGAACATTGTATTATTTTTCTAATATTTTCGGCATCCTTTAATAGCTTGTTATTTTCTGGAGCGATTTTTAGGGCTGCTTCATAATCTTGTAAAGCTTCAACATAGCATTCTAATTCACAAAATGCAGTTCCTCGACGAACATGGGCTTTTAATCGACTCTCAGCGTTTTGATTGACAGGGGGAGTTAATAGTTCCAATGCCCTGGAAGAATCTTCTAAACACTTAAATAGATTTCTAACTTTAAGATGGCAAGCTGCTCTATTGGAATAAAGGGACGGTAACTTAGGATTGAGTCTAATCGCGTGAGACAAAACAGCTATCGCAGATTGAAAATCTCCAACTTTAAAAAAATTGTTGGCTTTTTCTCTGAGGTATTCCGGGTTCTTATCCTCTTCTGTTAAATCTTCATCTTCCAATTCAATACGTTTTTTGGCTTCATTCTGCTTTTCCAGCCATTCCTCCTCTTCTTTGAGTTGACTTTCTCTAGCGGCAGTTGGAAACACTCGTTTTGTAAATGAGACATTTATTGTCCCAGTCTCTCTTAAAGGTTGTTTTTTCTCTTGTTCATCGAATATTTTTGTCGATTTTGGCTGAACATTGAAAGTGAAGGGTTCTTTCTTCGAATATTTTTGTGTATGTTCATCTAATAGCCTTCTCTACAGAATAAATAGCATGTAAAATCAGCTACGATTGTAAATTAATACAAGTTACCTGTTCTTCCATTTCTTCTTGTGCTAATTTAAACTTTTCTAGTTCTTCGAATGCTCTCTCTTTTTCGGAAGTTTTGATTTTTTCAATACGCTCTCTTTCTTGCTGCTCTATATTCATTTGTTCACTAACAGCTAATTTATCTGTTTCTCTTTTCTTTTCTTCTTGTTCTTTTTTTTTTCTAATAGCTCTCTCTTGCGAAAATTTTATAGCTTCATCTCTCAGTTGCCTCAGGTAGCTCTTGTCGTCTAAATTATCAATTTGTAAGCTTTCCCAAATTTCAGGTATTTCCTTTTCTAATTTAAAGAAAATTACTCCATCGCCAATTTTAGTTGAACTTTCCTCGTCTTTAACAGGCTTTTGCAAAAAAAATTCACACAGATACGGTGGATACGACGCTTTCAAATAGAAATTTGTAGAAAAAATGTCTACTTTATTCGCTTTTGTTCCCTTCAAGGGAAGAGTAATGTATACATGACTATCATCCTCTCTCCAAGAATAATCTTTGATAATGACCGGCATGCTTCTTTGAGCCTTTTACTTGAATGTTTATACAGTAGTCAACGAAACAACACGCATGCGCTAACTTATAGCAGACGGCTGAGCAAAAATCCTGCATGTTCCATGCGTTCAATTATCGCCCACACCAAGACTCGTGCGTCAACTATTTGACTATATCCAGGTAATACACATAAATAAAGTAAATCTCTATGAATTTTAAAGTGATATTTTTCCAGTAAATGTTATTTTTTCTACTTAGCTAGGTCGTAGATTTAAATTACAAAATATTAATTACAACATATATAAACTGTGCAGTATCAAATACTTAGTTGACAGGATAAGCATCATTAAAAGATGATAAATTTTTTCAGGAGCACGAATATATTGGATTTCTTCTATATATTGAGTTTTAATTTATCATAAAGTGATATGGGGAAAAAGAAAAAAAACGACGACGAAGGGAAAATAGAAAGTGAGGAAAAAAATGAGGGCGGCAGAGATAAAAATAAAACAAAAGTATGATGGTATATTAGTAGTTAAGTATTATTTTTAAGTTTTAAAACATTTTTCGATTAATAGGCCCAAAAAAGAGTGGATGATGAAAAGAGGAGAAAAGAATCATTTAAAAATTTTGTGAAAGAAAGAGAACAAAAAGCAAAGTTAATTTCTAGTGCATTATCAATTGATAGTGTTGGTATTGCTATTATTAAATATTGTTTCATTAACAACCATTCTATCGTAAAATTTACAGTCTAAAAGTAACTCATCGAAAATAATTTTCGATTCGGACGATGAATACATTCCTCCTCCTTCGGAGCAAGTAAACGAATCCAAAAATATAAATCAAGTAGTTTATAACAAACAAATTTTAATGGATAACATATTATTATATTGCTGTTATAGGAAGAGGGTAGTGAAAAGAAACTTAGTTTATTCAAGGATGACGATGATTCTGATTCAGAAGATGATCATAAATTTGAGCATAAATCCCAATTTGAGGGAAAGTCTGGTCAAAAAGTTCGTATCAAGTTCAAAATGAATGTTAAATTTTAAAGTTTACTTTTGCAGCTTATGAAACTTCAAGCTAAATTTAAAAAAGATGAAAGATTTACAATTGATGAACGATTTAAAGAAGATAATTCGAGCGAAAGTGAGCCAGAAGTTGATAAACAGAAAAGTTCAGATCTTTCCAATGAACGTCAGGCATCTTTAGCTATATTAGAAGAAGTTATGCAAAAAAAAATTACTGATGATAAAAAGAAAAAAATTAATTTCAAGTATTAATTGATCCTCTTACTCAAAATAAAAATTATTTCATTTATTTCCATTATACTAAATTAGGGATACGGCTGCGATGCGATATGATCCAACTCAGGATAAGGAAGATAAAAAAAAAAAGAAAAAGGAAGAGAAGAAGAAAAAATCCAAGTTAAAAATATAATTTTCAAAATGAAATACAATTTATAGTGTATCATTTGTTTTTTTTAGAAAAAGTAAAGAAGGTACAGATGAAGTGAAAGTAGAAGATGATAAAAAAGAGTTAGATGAAGTGAAACCTTTAACACATGAGGAAAAATATTATAAGCTTGAATCGTCATCCTTAGCTGATGCTTTTAAAAATACTGAGAAGAGTACCTCTTTTTCGCTACTTGCTGCTTTCGGAAGAGACAATGACGAAGAAAATGAAAAAAAAGATAATGTTGCGGAAACTCCTTTAGGTTTCAATATTCTTTTTTCATATTGTATACAACCTAACATTATTCTGATTTTAATATATGCAGTGAAAAATAAAGTACAAAGCACTGGCAATGATAAGAAATTCGACGATGAAAGCTCTTCAGACAACGAAGGAGATGAATGCAAGAGTAAACACGTGGAGGAAACACCCCCATCTAACTCAAAGAGTACTTTTTTCTTATGGTCAGGGGACTCCAGACTTAAAGGTATTAATTCTTTGAAATTGAAAATTTTCATCTCTAAAGTATATGTTTACAGAAGCCAATTATTTTGCTACACGCGAAGCATCAAATAACGAAGATTGGAAGAATAAGCGAACAGAGCTTGTTGATGTAAGTTTTGCCTGTATTTACTAGTTACTAATTTAATTAGCATATTTTTGTATAGCTCTACCGTAAGAAAAGGAAAAAAGCAATGAGATTGAGAAAAGAATTTCAGTCGAAAAGGAGAAAATAGAAAATTCCGACAAGAGAATTCTGGTTTTTTCACATATTATTTAAACTGTCTAATCGCATTTAAATATTGTTAAATTGTCACAGATTATAACTTTCTTAAGTTCTAAAAAAATCCGTTTTTTTCTTTTCTAAGTTATCACAAACACTTAGTTAAATCTTACACATTGTAATATAGGATTGGTAATAGTCTAAACACGATAGATTTGAAAGAAAACTGATTTCCCCATTTTTAGTTGAAATTCGCTTTTACTCATTTAAACCCCATAGATAATAATAATAGTTTATCTATTGAAAAAACTAGCAAATAGCTGCATTTTATACTTTTTAAGAGAGCTTATCTTCTTTTGAGAGAACATCTTGTCCTATTCAGAAACAAATATTATGGAACAATAAGATACGACTAATTTTGATTAGTGGTCAATTGTCAGACTAGAAAGTGAAAGTTACTTTCGTTTTTATCAAATCGTAGGCTTGTGCAAGTCAGTGAAATTTTACATCGACTCATATATGTCTACGTAGATTGTTGATTGTCACGATAATCTGTACTTATGAAAATATCAAATCTAGAAAAGTTAGTCACTTCAAAATTTTTAAGACAATTCATTCTGAATCATCTCAAAAATGAAAAATATGCAGAATAGTATGGCTCGAACTCATATTCAGTACGGAATAAAATACAGTTACGCGGAATACTACTCCATACCTTTACGAGAGTGTGATCCCTAAAATACAGAGTTAAATGAATATAATTTTAAAAATGCCGGATTGTTTCTTATATAGTGCCTCCATTAACTAAATCTAAAACTTTCCTTTACAATCTTAATACTTGTAAGAAGTCTTTGCGCATGCGTATTAGAAATTCGCCAGGCTGGACGTTTATATATTTCTAAAATTTCTATATATTTAAACGTTTCTGACTGAATTACTAGACCTAGACCTACTTCACACAATGGCTGGAGGTGAATTTGGGAATCCCTTACGGAAATTCAAGCTTGTCTTTCTGGGAGAGCAAAGCGGTAAGTAGCGGTATTCATTTCTTTCAAGAGGGCTTAGTTTGGGGCGGATGTACGTATCTTTGACAGGCAACGTGTAAAAGTTAGAGAGTGAAAAATATACAACAATTAATAATCAAGATGCCAAGTATTATTACAATAGAAATATTAACATAAATTTGACCATTGAAAATCTTGCATAGTTCGCAAGTGACTAATCATTAACTTATATGTTTAATGAATTCTTGGTTACTCCATTAGCAGCGCTAAATAAATGAAATATTTTAAATTTAAAAATAGCTTTTAAGGGCCTATTAGACAGGATTACGAATAATATATATAGAGAGAGACAAAGCCTGTTTAGTGTTCTATTCATGTTGTTCATTGAGTATCTGTTCAATAATAAATTTTGTTCAACAGTTGGGAAGACATCTTTAATAACAAGGTTCATGTATGATAGTTTCGATAGTACATATCAAGCCACAATTGGAATAGATTTCTTGTCGAAAACTATGTATTTAGAAGATCGAACAGTTTGTATTATACAATATTTCTACGCGAATCTCTTTTGCAAATTTGTCCTTACTCAGATAAGGCTACAACTGTGGGATACAGCCGGTCAGGAAAGGTTTAGAAGTTTAATACCTAGTTATATAAGAGACTCTTCGGTAGCTGTAGTAGTCTACGATATCACCAGTGCGTATTACCTAATTATCAATTAGCAAAGTTTATTATATATTCATTTACTTGCAAATAAGACGCAACTTCCTTTCAACAAACTTCTAAATGGATCGATGATGTAAGGACTGAGCGAGGAAGTGATGTCATAATAATGCTAGTTGGGAATAAAACTGACCTTACCGATAAACGGTATATTTGACAAATAAGTTGACAAGTTTCTTGCAGTGTTATAGCCAAAGAAGAGTTTTTATATTGATGCTTATTGAAATTTAGCTGGTGTCTAACCACTTTCTTTTACTTATCTAAACAGGCAAGTTTCAGCTGAAGAAGGTGAGAGAAAGGCTAAAGAGCTAAATGTTATGTTCATTGAAACTAGCGCAAAAGCTGGCTATAATGTTAAACAGCTATTTAGGCGTGTCGCAGGCGCTCTTCCTGGGATGGAGTCTAACGAACAGCAGCCTAATGATGGAACACGTATCCTTTTTCACATAAAAATACATAAGGTGTACGGGCTTTTCTCTGTTGTGCGAACCTGTTATTGTATTTTTTTATTATTTTTAGTTCCAAGAGCATGCTTGCATAATTTGCTAGGTAGATGTTATGAATGGCTTTTTTTAGTTTTAAAAAATGTGGATGGCGTTGCGAAAAATTTTAAATATGCTATTTAACTATGGTTATACGCCTGGTTAGCTTGCAATTAATTTACCTACAGAGCTATAATGAAATTTATCAGGGATAAAAAACTTGATTAGTCGTACACAGCCATCCTCATTAATTATTAACAAGTCAGCATGTAAAATATCCTTGACCTTTGTTGTTCAGTTAGAGACGTGCATTTACACGATGAACCGATTGAACCTAAGGAAAAAGAAGGTGGTTGTGCTTGCTGATTTTGGAGAGTTATTAGATTATGAAATTGTTTGCGCTTTTTACTAGTGGAACCTGACATGGATATTTTTTCTGTATAATTTTTTGTATGTTGCTGTTCCGCATTATTCTCAGTTGTAAAAAAACAGTGAAACCGATATTCAGTAACTGCATATTTCCTCGTTCAACTTTTGAGAGGTAAAAAGAGATTGGTCTGAATTTTTGCCATCAGTGGTTATGCCATTTAAAATATAAATATGCAAAAAATTATTTTAAATGAGATCCATTTCAAAGGTATTACAAAAAAGTAACTGTTAAATAATCATCAACGATGTAGATAAAGTCACCTGAGAATGGGTACATTTTATTTGGTCAAATTATGTTTAAAAAAATATATATAGAAAAAATATGGAATTAAAAGAATTAATTATGCACTAACAATAAGTATATGCAAATATTTTTAAGGGGGAACTAATTCACTTTATAGAGAAAAAACGCTATTGTGCTATATTTATTGAAATTGTTGAGGAAACGCCCTTTAGCATTTATACTTATAGAAAAACAATTTGCTTTCACTGATTAAACTATTAGCAGTTGATACTTAAATTGTAAAAGAATTACCTGATTATTCTGTAACTTTTCAGTTTGAAAACTGCATGTATAAGAGCTAAAATATGTCTTAAGCATGTATGTAAACTATATGATTACTAATAATTAATGATATTGACGCACAAATACCTCAAAGCAAAATAAATCATTAATTGAAAAACTTTGGAATTTTTTACCTTGACAATCTACTTCACAGCTGTTACATTAGCTTCTCCAACTCCTCATCCCCAGTCTCCGGTTCAGTCATCGTGTTCGTGTTGAAAACGAATTTTTATATTTATTTATGCTAAATTGCAATTTCTGAACAAAGGTGGCATTAATACAATTTTTTATAAAATTGATGTATTTTCTACTTTTTGATTTCTTTAATAAAATATCAAACATGCGTGAAACTTCATGCATACTGTTTCTATTCATCCTTTGTTAAATTTTTCATTCAGCGCCACCTGTCTTATTCGTTAACAATTATCGTCTGCTAGACGTACGTTGTTAATTTTCGCTGCCTCCGATCGTTATTGAACAGTGCAATAAGAGATGAGTGATAATCAGAATTTTCAAACGGTTAAACTGCAAGGAAAAGTAGTAAGAGGATTTGGTAGAGGTAGTAAAGAAATCGGAATTCCTACAGGTAAATATATTTTTATCATTGAAAGAGAAAAGTAGCAACTCGCATTCTGTGATGTTGAGGTTAAAAATGAGGTGAATAGGTAACATTGACTGTAAATTTAAGTTTCAAAGAAACTTTATATATAATTGTATAAATATATATAATGAATAAAATAATGCGTTTGAAATACTGTAAACTCTATTCAAGCTATCAATTCCAAGAAATTATTCGGCATACATTTCGAAGTAAACGACTATTTCTTTGAACTTTTTTCACTTTCTTTCAAGGCATGATGTAAAAAGCCTAATAATTCTGTATAAAGGATAAAAACTCCTCCCTACCCATATACTGCAGAATCAATACTGTTAATTTATATTTTCAGCTAATTTCGAGCAATCTGTCGTTGAGAGTCTGCCCACAGAATTTCCATGTGGGATCTATTTTGGATGGGCTAAACTGAATAATGAACCAGTTAGGAAAATGGTAGTTAGTGCTGGATGGAATCCCCATTTCAAGGATTTGAAAACAAAAGCAATTGTTTGTAATTGTTTACTTTTACTTTCAGTTAAAGAAAAAGAACCACGTTTTCCCCACAGGAAACTCACATTTTACATTCTTACAATACTGATTTTTATGGAAGTGACTTGAGAATTATTATAACAGGTTATATTAGAGAAGAGAAAAAGTTTGATTCTTTAGGTAGGGATCATAAATTATTAAAATTGAAAGGAGACTTTATATTTCTTCCTTAATTTCAGATGCTCTAATTGAAGAGATGCAAAACGATATTCGCTTTGCAAAAGAGAAATTAGACCTTGAAGAGTACAAAAAATATATTTCAGATCCTTTTTTCAAGTAATATATTTAAAATTTTCTTTGAAAAATACACAATATTTCAGATCTTTATAAAACGTTCTATTCTTTTTTTGTTGTTGCTATTTTCCTAAATATTTATCTATTATACCAGGAAAGTTACTTTTTATCAACAATATTCTAAAATATTAATTTTATCCATGGAACATTGATTAAAATAAAATATTAATCTTTAAGATAAGAAGAATTTTTTAAATATAGGCCTACTAAAGCGTATAGTATAACATGGTTATAGTCGTGGTTATAAAAATATATAGATTAGAATACGCTGTCAGCGTAATACGACAAAAATATTTTGTCTTCCTATTTGAAGTTCATTACACTATCTGGAATAATTATTGCAAAGAGATCTTATATCTCAGACACAAAATGTCTTTTGGCTTATATAAATAACGAATTAATAAGATATAATAACGGGATATAAACTGTCTTAAAAAGCGAAACACAAATTAAAAAGCAAATCACTTTACATCTATACAGTTAATATTTAGTGCTTAGTCAAAAAAAAGTCTTTCCTTTTAACAATGTCAATGTTTAATACACAAAGCACAGTGGTTATTAAATTAATATTAGTAATTAATACCGTAGCTTGGTTATACCACAACTACAACCATTTTGTACTTCACACATTCAAATCATGTTTCCTGACGATAACAAACCCAAAGATCCGCTAATGGCGGATTTTGACAATCGCCTATCAACTTTTCAGGACTACGACGAAGAGAGTCAGCCCTTAAAAAAAGAAGTTCTTTGTAAAGCTGGATTTTTTTTTATTGGACCATTTGACAATGTGAAATGCTTCTTTTGTGGTTTAGCTGTAAAAAATTGGAGGTCTACAGATGATCCATGGCACCACCACGCGAGACTATCACCAAAGTGCCCACATGTTTTGAAAATGAAGGGTCAAGAGTTTGTTCAAAAACTCAGAATTTCAAAAGCGGTGTGTGACATTTAACATAAATTAAGCTGTAGTGTAAACCACATATATTAGAAACTTTCAGAGAACACTCCAACAATGGTGGCTGATGAACCTTTTAAAGTACATCCAGATTTGTTTCGAAGGGTAAGTTATTCAACTTGGATGTGATGGAAAATGTCTACAAATATATCGTTTTGCCCTAACTCTAACCAGCGCTTGTGTTTGCCTAACCTTTTTGAATAGCTAACCCTTAGATGGGATTTCCACTAATTACAAATCAATAGATATCTTCGTCCTCCTAGCCATTTGTCAATTCAAAATCTATTCTACCTCATTTGTGAACGATTTCCATTAACCCCAATTAATTCAATGATAATATCTATAGCTTTTGCTTGATTTTAGCTTGAAAGCGAAGACAGTAGTGAACCAAAAGAGCGGCCGGGCAAAATGCTAAGTTCGATGGAATTACGTATGAGAATGAGTCAACCTTTTACCCGGGAAGTTACTGCCATGTGTGAAGCTAATTCTATTCCTGCTGATTTCGTTAGAATGGCGCTTGAAAATAGATTTCATGAATGTGGAGATGATTTCGAAAATGCTGAACAGTTCATAAAGGGTATATATAAACTATTAGATGCTAGAAATGGAAGAGGAACAGCTGTATTTACTATTCAGTCATCGGTGGAGTTGGATAAAGAAAACGAAGAAAGTGAGAGTTGTATTAGAAGTAATAAGTCTTAGTTTCAATCGTAAGTGTATTTTTTAGATTTTTAGGTTTTTTTGTCCTTTTCATTTCATAGATTTCAATATTGTATACTAAAAAACGTGAGCACACGTTACCCACGTGAGTCTCCTGGCTGCGATAAATATCATGATTTTCGGACTAATTCCTCTATCTAATATCCAAAAAAAAACAACCGTGGTGTTCATTGTCTATATAACTTTTTAAAGTGAAATTACCTGGCATCTGTACATAGCTTTCACGTCTTGAAGATCAAGTTTCAATTCTTCTGCCTCTTCAACTTTTTCGCCATACATTTGTAAGAGAGCTTGGTACCGTGAATCTAATTCCTATATAAAATACATGAAAAAATTATTCTATAAAATAGAAGAATGTTTTCTGCTTCTACTATTAGGTAAAGTATTTACTTTATAATTCTTTTTTAAATTGTCAAGTTCTATTAGTTTTTCTGATAAAGTTAAATTATTATTTGTAACTTTAACCAATTCTTGCATCATTGATTCTCGATTTCTTTCTAATTCCTTTATTTCGCTCTGAGAAATAATTTTTTTTATAATAAGCAAAAATGAAATAAAAATACAAATAAATGTTTACTTGTAATTGGACAATCTCTCCTTCTCTTTGTTTAAGAGTCGACTGTAAAGCTTCAAATACGTTACCATTGCCAAAATTCCTTAGATTGTCGTATAATGACGTTTTATTTTGGAAAATAGTTGACGGGAATGTTAAATCATCGTGTGAAACGTATGGAGTCGATCTACCACTTGATGATTGTTTACTGAACATACTTTCATTCATTGAAATTGAATCGGAAGGGTTAATTTGTAGTTGTAATTGCATTTCCTAGTAAATAAAATCATTGATAATAATATCTGTATAAATATAGAGCAAGGCCATATTATTTACTTTATCTTGAAGTTGCTCTTGAAAAGCTAACACTTTTTTTCTTTCGTTTTCAATTTTCATACTTTCCATTTCCAAATGACTATTTAATTGTATATTCTGCTTCTTTAAATCAGATATTTCGTGCTCCAACGACACTGTTTTAGCTCTTAATTTTGCTTCGACACTGTATAGTTTTTTTAATTAAAAATTAATTTAATTAATTATAAATAATTAATATACAATAAGCCTACTCAGTTCTAGAATCTTCTGCAAGTAATAATTTCGCTTTTGTTACTTCGTAATCGGAAAGTAAATGACTTTTTTCATTTCTTATTGTAGATAATTGCGATTCTAGAGACATGATTTTAGCATTGAGTTGCATAACTTTTTCGCTAGCGAGACGTTCTCTCTCTTGAAAATTGCTTGTCTGCATTTGAGCATCGTTCAGGCGATCTTGTAAATTTTTTTCAACTACTTCATAGGTACTTGTTTGCTCACTGAACGACGCTTGCAAGTTTTCAATTTGACGGAGTAGTGGGCGAGTTGCGGCCGTAACGTTACCGGTTAAATCTTGGTGACGATCGTCCGCCTCTTGAAGACGTTGTTGTAAATCGTTTATCTCTTGCTTATAGCAATCTTCTTTACGCCTTAGTTCTCTTTCCGTTTTAGAAAGACATTGCTGTAATTAAGATAATTATTGTATATTATTTAGATTATTTCAAACTATTACTACAAACAGACCTGTAAATCTTCAATTTGACTAAAAAGTGACTTTTCTTCTTCTTTAGCTTCCCTCTTATACTGTTCTAGTGCTACAAGTAAATATCGATAAATAGTAAAACTTTCTCTTATGATTATTATGATTATTATCATTCAAGTAGATTACCTGATCTTAATTGTTCTTGAACAAACAAATCTCTACTTAAGGCAGCTTCTTGTTCTTCGCTGGCTTTTGTTGCCTTTTCTTTATGTAGGCCAGCAATTTCTCTTTTAAAACAATATAAAATTTGTATAATATAAATAAAAATTAACGTTTAAAGACTACAAACTTATAAGCTTTTTCAAGAGTTGCCTGCAAACCTCTGCATTTCTCTTCGGCATCTTCAAAATCGCTCTAAAACAATTAAAAAAAAATCGTATATAGTATGAAAAAGAACCGGAAGATAAAACAAAGGAAGATATTTTAATAGAAATTATTCCAACTTTTAATTTGATCATATCATTTTCTTGAGATTGAACAGCGGCATTTTGTTGAGTAATAGCTTCCGCTTGTTTCTTTAATAATTCTTCTTTGGAATCTATTACTTTCTTTAAATATTCAATTTCATTTTTTTGCTTTTCAATTAATGAACTTAAATGGAAAAAAAAAGAAAATAAACGTTTATTTTTGATATTTAAAAAAAAAAAGAAATGAACGAAAGTAAAACTCACGAATTCGACTTTGACAATTGATCATTATCCTTTTCTTTGGCTCTTAATTTTTTAATAATTATACTATTCTGTAATTGTTGTTTAGATAATTTCTCTCCTTCTTCTAATAACTCGGCAATAATTTGTTCTTTCTCTTTTAAAGCTTTTTCAATAGCTGATGTATCCCATCTATATAATAAGATGAAAAGTGAAATACATACGTTAAAATAGACATTTATCGATAATGAAAGTATAAATATTATATTACAAACATTTTATTCTTTAACTCTGACTGTAATTTTTCATTTTTATTCACTAAATCGTCAACTTCCTTATTCCTTTGAGAAAGAAGAGATTGAACTTTTGCGAATTTTTCCTCATATTCTACCGCCAAATTCTTTATTTCGGTTAAAGTTTTCTCTTTAGTTGCAACGGCGTCTTGTACTTGACTATAAAATTTTAATAAACAATATTCGTTTATATTTATAATAAGAAAAAAACAAAACTTTTCATTTACTTTTTTAATAAGTTTCCAGTTTCTTGTAATTCAATATTTTCTTTACTTAATTCTAATAGTTTATGCTCTCGTACATCTAATATTTCAGCCATTTCACCAAGTTTCTATATAAATATAGAATTATGATAAAAATTTAATAAAGAAATAATTATCTATAGATTAGAAATAAACAAAACAAGTTATATGTGTAATAATATCAATAAGAGAGAAATAGACAAGAAGAGAAGTGGACAATTAGAACGATTTGTTACTAGATATAAGAAGAAGAAAATTGATTAACAAGAATTGTAACAATGTCAACCAGAAATGTTCATTTCTTTAGTAACTGTACAAGAATTAGTAGTTGTTTTTTTTATTGATTTTAAAAGAATCTATCTATTTACATATTTACAAAAATAATGTTAAAATATGACCATTTTGGTTAATTATATTAATATTTTAAGCAGACTTTTTTTTTCTCTGTATTCTTATAATAAAGTAACTAATACTTTATGAATTATCACTCATATTCTAATGCTTTAGAGACAGTTCTAAAAAAATGATTTCATATTGTTTGCTGCTTAATTAATAAGACAATTGAAAAAAAAAGTGAAGACATAAAAAAAAAGACAAACATTTCTTTTTATCTTTTTACTTTTAGTAAAAAAAAGTGTCACTTGAATAAATAATTAAGGATTGATTTTGTTTTTAAAAAGTAAACAATGAAAGAATATGACTATTTTCGTATTCCGTCTCGTATTTTTTTCTTGATAATTGATTATTTATAATGAAAAATATCAATTCTTTTATACGGATATATCAATCCAAAATTGTTTATTGCTAAAAAGAAAAAACCTGTCCTACATTTCCACTGTTCATCTCCAATTTTCTTTCTTCATTTAATGTTTGTGGCTGCTAATTGTTTAAGCATACTTTTAGGGTCTGGTTGAGAGTAGAACTTAGAGGAAACTATTAACATAGATGTATTTTTTGTGTCTTTACTTTTTTTTTAATTAAGATAATAATCCATTTCACTAATACTATAAACACCTAGAACTATATATACAGCATATACACTTAACGTGCTTTATAAAGTAAACAAACCTTTAATAGCTTCTCAGATCGAAATGGATCATTTTCTGATGCTGAATATTTTCAAAATAAAAAGATAAGAAAACTATTTTCTTAATTAATAAAAGTAAATATAACTCACAAAGAGACTGGCAAGCGACAAATTGCCTACCAACAGAATCAAAACTCGACCCACTATCAGACCTTTGGTGTAGACTTGGAGGACTGCTTCTTCTAACAACTTTTGACATTAATTGCCTAACAGGAGATGCTGATGTTCTATCTTTATCGCCATTTGGTGTTGGAATAGAAAGGATTTCAATATCTGAAGAAGTTGTTGTTTCTATTTCATCAGCTGAAGTATGTCCTGAATCAAGTTTTAAAACGTCAATGGAAGATCTTCCATTGGAATCAGTAGAGTTAGAATCTTTATTCACTTCCGTCATGGCATCCTCCAGAAGATTTTTAACAGAATTAGTAAGCTCTGATTCGACAATTATTGTTTGGTTACTATCGCTAAGTTCGGCTCTAGAATCCGATGAGCTTGTATTCGATATGGTAACTTCTTCAGGTATTATTGTGCTTGAAGAGGAACTATTTCTAATTTTCCCTAGCTTATCATCTTTAGCGGGCTCCTGATCTGAGCACTCTTCAAATGGCCTATCTTCCTGAGGAATATTTTGGGATATGGTTTCCACAACTTCCTTACTACAAGAACTTGATTCAGTTTCGTCCACAGCTTCAGTTCTGTCGATATTTATACTCTCCTTCCCTTCAGTACTCTCTGAGTCTAGGGTCCTTTCAAGAGTTGAAGTATCCGATTCAGCATTCAAGCAAGTAGTTTCCCCTGCAGGTTCTAGACTGCTAGCAGTTTTTAAATCAGCGGAAATTTTCATATTTTCATCAATTTCCATTAAATCACCTTCGGGTAATAAGACACTTTCATTCGTCCAATCGCCCTTAGCGCTCATGAAAGAATCCGTAATTTTTACGGCAAAAGTAGAAGATTCTAAATACGATTGTTTCACTTTTAATTGATCATTTGTATTTAATAATTCATCACGCTGAACTCTAAAATCTCTCTGAGCCTCCTCTTCCGAGGGTTTCTTATTCATAATATTTTCTGCATCACTTTCGCCAACTTCTTCAAAATTTGAACTAAGGGTATAACTATCTTCATTAACAGCAGCTTCATGGGCGGTGTCCACTTTAAACTTGGACACGGAACTTTGAGGACTACTGCGAGAAGGTTGACAAATTTCTTTTACAGATTTACTTGAACTTTCTTGACCGTCATTACTATTATCGAACCAAGTATTCCAAAAACTTTCATGGTCTTTCGATTCAAATGTTTTAGGTTTTGTGGACTCGTCAGTTGATTTCCTGACAACGGACTTAGTATCTATAATAAATATAGACTAAATTAAACAAAATGTAAGCTGAATGATGTTCTATATTCCGAGTTAGATAAGATCAGATATTACGCAATAAAAATTCAATATAATTTTGTTGACTGATATTAATAAACTTTAAAAAACTTTATTAGAATGCATACAATCTATCATGATTATAAATAATAACTAATTGGATTTATTATTTGGTTATGAGAAAATGGTGAAGTTTAAAGAGAAACTAAGAGAATTTACATAAATGGAGGATTTTAACAAATTTTCGTTTATGTCTGAAAGTGATATTGACCTGTTACGTTTGCTTCTTCATCCTCCTGAATATCTAACACTTTATCTATTTTCTTTTGGGCAGTTTTTAATGTTTTTGTGGCGAAATTCGACAACGAAGCAGAGTCCCACCAATTCATTTTTATCCTAAATACTATTTAACAATTAAAGGTCGTAGTTTCTATGTGCTTTCATCAAACCAAACTAAACAAATTCCTTTATATAATGTTCAAATATTGTAAGCAAACTCCTTTAACGAAATTATAGATGAGCAACGCTATTTGTTGTCTAAAGTAGAAATGCCATCAAGGCAACAACCATGTTCTTAGTTTCGTATTTTGCTTGTTTTTATTTTTTTTAGTTCGGGTTCGCTGTCACGTTGTCGACAGTCAATCTATTTCCTACTCATTTTGTAAACGGCTCTGGTAACCAGATTTCCCTTCACTCGAACAAGACTATATAAATGGTCTGAAAATTTTTTTTACACAGGTGTTACAAACAGGAAGCCAATGAGAACAATCCAATAATTACTATGTTATTTTATTCATTTATCGTAAGATTTTCGATAATCTATAATTTAAATTTCTTTTTTAAAATTTCGCAATAAAACATTCGATCTATAGAAAGCAAAATTATGCCAATGGTAAAACAGTTTGTAGGTAATAGTGAGTTATTTTATTTTAAAAACAAAATAAACAATGCTTATGGAAAATAATCACAAAGAAGGCAAAACCAATAAAACTAAAAAAAAAAACAATAAAACGTTTAAAAAGAGATTTGAGTCAGTTATTCAATGCACAGACTATATTTATAAGGCGATCTCTTTTAATAGTTAGCTTATGGTCAAGTTTCCATATGCCCCTTACTGGTTAATTGTTCCCACTGCAAAACGAATCTTTGAATTGAAATACGTTTATTACTCCATGTGTTTACTTATATACAATAAAGATCATAGCGTGTATACAAAAACTGTATGGAAGGTACAGGATATCTGAAGATAATACTATTATTACCATATGATTTTAAGCGAACGAAGAATTTTTTGGTCAACCCGAAAAATAAACTAGACTAAAAAAGAATAATTAGTTCGCCTCTAAAAATGGCATTAAAAACATTTAATCGGCTATTTAAAACACTATTTCTCAAGCCAATTATCATAGTTATCATAGTTTATCATAGCTGTGTATTTTTACTATACCTTGTTAGAATTTGTTTGGTACCAATCATTCATTACTTTTATCAAACATTACGGTAGTAAAACCAACGTACAACTGATTCCTTACAGTTAAAGTCAGAGATGAACAAGAAAAATTAACCAATTGTTTAAATAACGATAAATATTTCCCGTTATGCAATTTGACCGTCTTCTAATTCTTGTAATAGTTTTTGTCTTCTTCTTTCCAGTTCTCCTTCACTTAATTCACTTTCTGAATTCGTACGCTCTCCTTCCTCAGATGCGGAATGAACAACAGGAGTTAACTAAAAGTAAAAACATATCAAATAGCTACACACAAAAATAGGAAATGTTTTTTATCAACTTACTGATTTAGATTTCCGACTTTTCTTTTTTTTGGATTTTTTATGCCTCTTATTATCATGCTCGGCTGTAAATGAAAAGTATTATATAATCATTTTTCAAATAGATTAATTTAAAATAAAGTTTTGATATTTACCCGAGTCAGAAGGCGACTCAGAAGGAGATTTTGAGCGACATTTTTTTTTCTTTTTCTTCTTCCTATTTTCTTCTTCAGAACCACTGCTTCTAGAGTTGGAGCGAGATCTCTTCTTTAACTTCTTCTTAGCTTTATTACCACCTATTAATAAAATACAATATTAAACCTCAAAGTTGATTGTCTATTAGTATTTAAATTTACCTTTATGTTGATGGAAACAAGTGTTTTGTAAAGCATGAATATACTCTTTAAAAAACCTTTCTCTATCACTCTCTAGATCAACGGCTGTGAAAGCTGGATGAGACGCGTATAAATTTCGGACACTCTGCCATGAATCTTGAGGTTGAATTGCTGGATCAGATTCTGCTAACAAGTTTTTAAAATTATTCTCAATTTTTTTAATTCTTCTTGCTTCTTCTTTCTCTCTTTCCTTTTCTCGAGCTTCTGCCTTTTCTACTAAACTATTATACGTTAATTTTAAATTTCCTTTGTCCAAGTTCTCTGAGCGTTTATCAACGGATACTATTGTCGCCATTTCCTCAAATTTAGTATTTATTTCTACTGTGAACTTTTTATCTTTCAGTATCTCTTTGACTGTTTTTTTCTCATCGTAGAACCGAGCTTTCAAATCTTCTACGTAAAATTTAAATAGATCTAGAGGGGTTGAGCCCGATTGTCCTAACATCGCTGTAAATCTTTGATCTTGTGATATAACAACGTATAAATCCATCCATAAAGACATGGAATTTAATTGGCCAGTTTCGTGTAGCTCGTCTAATAATACAAGAAATCCTTCTCTATTCTTTCTTTGTTGTCGTTTTAACATTTTTTTCTTATGTTCTTTCTCTTCTTCGTGTTCTTTTTCCAATTCTTTAATGTGATCTTCGAAACATATTAATGCATCCTCCTTATCCATATTTTGAAGTTCGTGATCTTCAGTAAACTCTGTATTATCTAGAAGCATTTGTTGAGCTTCTGTCCATGTTGTTTTGTACGTTAAATCTGGCATTTTGTCCAGTATTTGAGAAAACTTTTTTATATTCTGTTTTCGCAGTCTTTTCGCCTCCTCCTATAGTAATGGAAATAAAATTTCTCATTTATTATGCTTCTATTTATTATATTACACGTATGACACAAAAATAGTAATAACATACCTTCTCTCTTTTTGCAACCAACACTATAGCATCTTGGAAGACTTCTCTTCTATCTCTTTCATGTACTGCTCTCCATTGAGGCCTATCCAAAAACAATTGTTCTGCTTTTCGAAACTTTAAGTTTGAATGGACTCTTTCATTTTCAACTAGAAACGTTTCTAGGTCCTCTTTAGCTTTCTTTTGTTTCTGCCGTTGTTCTTCTTTTTCTTCTTTTGCTCGTTGTGTTTTGTACTGATTGAAAATTTGCTTCTTCTCAGAAAGACCCTTGAGAGCCGAGAAAATTGGATCAGATTGGATAATTTTCAATGCATTTTCCCAAGATGTATTAGAACCAATTTTTTTCTCGGATAGCAATTTTTTGAAAGCGTCCACCATCTCTGATTTGTTTTTAAATTTGATTTCTTCCACTACTTGTTCTGGGGTGGCTACAGCGCTTAGAGTAGCCTCCATGGCTTTTACTATAGCAGATTTTGATTGGGTTGTTATTGGGCTTTGGACACGCTGAGCATTCTCTTGTGCAATCTGACTCTCAATCTCTGTTAGCTCTTTCGGTTTCGTCCAAATCGATTCTTTCGTTTTAGAATTATAGTAATAGATGCGCCCGTCATCTGCACGATGCTCTTTCCAGGAGCATTGAGAAAGTAACAGTTCCGATCTTGACTTTAAATCATCTGGTTTCTCCCAAACAGATCTTTTCGTCTCAGAATTGTAAAAAAAGGTCCGCCCATCAGCCGCTTGATGTTCCGTCCAAGGGGATTTCTTTTGAGGATCAAAATGGGGTGAATAAGTCGAAGGAGAGTTCGAATCGCTTGTCTGTATACCGGGGGGTCTATGAGGTGGCATTGCCGGCGGTGGTTGCATCCCCATATTCATGCGAAACGGTTGAAATCCTATACCGGTATTGTTGATCACTTAAAGCTTATTATATCGTACAAGTTCTTACCTTGTGGGGGCATTCTGGGTGGAGCTGACCAGCCACCCGGTTGGAAATTACCAGGGGGTGGGCCCCTTGGTCCTCCTGGCATTCCGCTCATCCTTTAGATTATTAATTAACTCGTTTTGTCATTAAATAAACAGGATCTTTGTAGAAGCTGAACGCGTCTTCAAAGAATACCAGTTCTTATTCACAAAGAATGTGACTATTTCGCAAAATTAGTACCGGTAAATTTTAGTAATATGGTTACAGGTTCCGGCACAAGATTTTTTTGGATAGTTTTCAACAAGTGATTTTAGATTAAAAATTAGTTTTTCTTTCCAAAGTAGAATAACAAGAAGACAATTATTTTCAATTAAAAGAACGTTATAACATAGCTTTTAACACATGAAACTATTTTCTGAAATGACTCTAATTTCTATTTACATTAAAATCTGTTGAAAATACTATTTTCATTGTTTAATGTCAGGTATATAATAATCATAAGTTAAGTTTTAGTCATAAACTATAAAAGTTTATTCATTATTATTTTAGATAAAATAAAAAGTCGCTCTTTTTATCAATCATAATTTCGACAAGTGAAATCAGATAGGGAGAATTTCTTATTTGATTCTTCTCTATATCCGACTTTTTTTTGCTTGCGAGCTTCAAAGAGATAAGCTCTTGGTATGCATTAACAAGACGCATCCAGGATACGCAGTTGTCAAACATTCCTGGCAACAACTACTGGAAAAAAGCATACATAAGAAGTCCAGTGATGAAAATTGTTCCAACAACGCCAAACAATTGAACGAGAATAATTGAGAAATCTCCAGAAATTTCACCAACTATAAAAGGATGGCAAAACGCATAGTATAATGCTGTACAAAGGATAGATATCACAATAAGTTCAGTGATAACATCAGCGTTGGTTGGTCCAAACTTCCTGCCTAGTTGTCGCCAAGTAGGTCTAAGAGGAAAAAAACATATAATAGCCATCTAATAACAATCGAAGTTTTTTTTACCAAAGGCTTATCATAAGATTATTATACTATTAGAATGTGTTCGATAATTTAAAATAGTGAAAAATTCATGCACTTACCTTTCAACTGCGTATCCGAGTCATTGTCATTCAAGCTCCTCTGGTCTAATTGGATCTTTAGGAGCTATTAGAGATTTCTTCTCTTTGTCGGCTGGCAGCGCCTTTCTCATATCAAATGCATCTTCTTCAGCCTCAGTCGGTGTTCCTGAATAGTAACTGAGAACTCGTCGATATACAATATAGCCGAAATTTTCGTACATTTTTATGGCAACTTTATTCGAAACTCGCACAAAAAGGTCAACAAAATGGCAATCTTGCCTTTAGAAAAAGAATGTTATAAATAGAAAATGTTGTTAAAATACGAAAAATAGACTTACTTTTCAGAATATTCTTCTAATGACTGCATAAGCTTTCTTGCTATTCCAAGTCGCCTATATTCTGGTGCTACTGTGAGAGCAGTAACATGACCATGCCAGTTATCCCCAGTTCCCTCAACTTTTCCTAAGACTATAGTAAATACAAATTAAATTTAACTCTTTATATTTTTATACTCGTATTAACTCACTGTATCCCTGAATTCTACCATCAGGCCCTTCAGCTACCAAACATAGCTCTGGCCATTTGGTTAAATACATCATGTAGAAAAAATTTCCATACTATTAAAACGAAAAAATAGAGATTTATTGTTTGAACTCTATAAAACTATTTAATATAACTTACAGTTTCGGTATAAGGATCAAGGTTTCTGTGGGTAGTTGAGCGATATTAAAATATATTTTTAAAGTTACTTTTGTTGAACTTACATATTATTAAATTGAAAAAGGTCACTAGACGTGAAAGGCCTAATATTTGTCATTACAACCCAAAATTCGTAAGTAACAAATATTCACCAAATTAATAGATTATTAACAACTCAAATCCTCAGCAAACACAAATGTGATATATTTTAAATCAATGCCGAACTTCATTCAAAAAGAATATTTTTTGTTCACTGCATAATACAATCGGATATATAGAACACACAACGCCACCTAGTTTCTGGTTGTCGATACAATAGTAATATTGCCAGTAATATGATTTAATACATTGAAAACTAATAATAGTAGATACACTAAAACACTTTTATCGAATTAATATATCAATTAAAATTTGTTGAATATGCTGTCAACGATTAGATAAAAACATATAAATAACAAATAGCTATATATACCAAAGCCCTTTAGAGTATAGTATAGAAAAAGTTAAACAAGCGTATAGTAGGGTTGAATAGTATTTTTTAGAAAGTTTATTTTGCTTCTAAAACCCTAAAAAAGAGTTAAAAGTTAGATGGCGCCACAAACGAAATTCATATGTTGAGCTATAAACAACTGGAGAATCTAGAAGATTTTTTATAGAATTTTATGGTAGTTCTCGATTCTAATATTTTGCCAATATCCCGCGAAACTTTTGGTTTATAGGTAAAAACAAGACGTGTTTTTAAAAGGATGGAGAATGAAGAATTGGTAAATAAACTGAAAGAATGTACAAGGCGCTATGAGGATCAATGTGATGCAGAAACTAGGCTTGAGTGCAATCAATATCTGACCTTTCATTCGCGTTATGAAAAAAATTTCTCTCCATATAATTTTGGATTAAAATTCAATAGTTTTGCAAAGTTAATAGATAATGAAAGGCAGAGAGGAGGATTTGAAAATTTTAGGGAAGAAACGGGCGAAGTTTTAGTATCGGAGAACAGAAGTTTCGATTCTTGGAAAAGTTCTTTATCTTTCGATAAAGTGAAAGATTTAGATTTTGTTCAAAACTTTTTAATGTGTTGTAAGAAATCTTCAAAGTTATTTGACGCCTTTGAGGAAGTTGACCAGCCCATTAGGTGAATAATCTGTATGAAAGAGGAAAAACGATAATGGATGTAATTTCTTATAAAGAGATTTATCAATTTGTTATTTTCAGATTGGGTGGATGTGGATCACAGTCTCTAGATGGCTCAAATGAAGAAAAGAATGAATTTGAAAGGAGAAAGATACCTCCCAAGAGTACACTATTTTATTCTAATTCTCAGGCAAGACATGACCCTCCTACGAGATCGATATCTATTGAAAAAGAAGAGAAAAACAGATATACTCATGAGGAGCATCCACCACCTCGTCATGTCGATAAAAGTAGTTTACCCGGATTTAAAACGGCTAAAGAACAATTACTTGAAGATATGAAAACTAAAGGAAAATCAGCGTCGTCTTTCAATCAGAATGGACCGTCTAAAAAATCACTCGGGGGTAAAAGAACTATTCACTCCAGTTTTGTTCCCCCTCGAATTGGTGGTGGGAATGATAATCAGCCCCAGTCAAATTCAAATTCTTCAAACTCTTCGAATACATCCGATGCCTTTAAAGAATTATGTGCTGATGAGAGGTTGAAAAACTTTGAGCCTAAAATTGTTGAATTAATCATGAGCGAAATTGTTGACAAATCGGCTCCAATAAGATGGGAAGATATTGCCGGGTTGGAATTCGCTAAAAAGACTATTATGGAGGTAATTGTATATCCAATGCTGAGACCCGATTTATTTTCTGGTCCATTGAGACAACCTCCGAAGGTAATTTTTACATTGGTTTTTTATCAGTGTCTAAAATATTTAGCTTTACTTAAATTGTTTTCAGGGTGTTCTTTTATTTGGTCCTCCAGGGACGGGGAAGACTTTAATTGGAAAGTGCATTGCGTCACAGTCCAACTCAACTTTTTTCAGTATATCGGCGTCAAGCTTGACGTCTAAATGGGTAGGAGAGGGTGAAAAATTAGTGAGATGTCTATTCGCACTTGCTAAAGTTCATCAGCCCTCGGTAGTCTTTATTGACGAAATTGATTCTCTACTGTCTCAAAGATCTGGTTAGTTTAGAGAGCTCTGTAGGGAAGATTAGAGGTCTAATTTATATTTTAATTGTAGATAGTGAGCACGAATCGTCTCGGAGAATTAAAACTGAATTTCTAGTGCAATTAGATGGAGCTACAACGGAAGATGACGAAAGAATATTATGTATAGGAGCAACGAATCGCCCGCAAGAGATAGACGAAGCTGCTAGAAGAAGATTCGTAAAAAGACTATACGTTCCACTACCTGATTATCCGGCTAGAATTCAAATATCTAGAAAGCTGTTCTCTAATCAATCACATAATCTATCCGAAGAAGATTTCGAAAATATTGGTGGGAAATCTGATGGATTTTCAGGAGCAGACATGACTAACTTATGCAGAGAAGCGGCTATGGGTCCTATAAGAGCTATAAGAGATATCAGTAAAGTAAAATCTGACGAGATAAGAGCAATTTCAATGATGGATTTCGATGCTGCTTTTAAAACTGTAAAAGCTACAGTATCGAATGACGATCTGGTTGGATATGTTAAATGGGATAAGCAGTTTGGAGCCGGTTGTTGAAATATTATACATGTTACACAAAATACAATCACGTTTTTTCTCATCTTATATCAAATGAATGAAAAAAAGAGAAAATAAAGCAAAATAATTAAAGTCTCCTACTTTAATTTTGAAAAGTAGTTGACGAGAAAATGCAACATCATGGGAGAAATGATTGAATTTATGTTGAATTTAATTAAAAACCAATTAGCTCAACAAAAATCTAATTAAAAACAAAATGAAATAAATTTGGTTTATTAAAAAATTCAGTAGAAGTAACGAAATATAATAATGTTTTTAACGTCAAAATAAGATCAATTTTAATACGTTTTAACAGCTAATCTCTGTATTGAGTTAAAAAAATTTTTGTTCTTAATGATGATAATGACAATAATGTAGTCGAAGATTACATTACGGCTAAAATATATATATTGGCACGATTGACTAGAAATAAGCCATATGTATACTGTATATATACAAGTATTTTATATAGTATACATTTATTTATACATATATATTTAAATTTTATACATTGCTTCCTATTTGTGAAATTTCCCAATTCATGAAATGGTCATTTACATGTATAAGTTGTAAAATCTCTTACAATTTGCTGAATGATGGACTTTTGACTGTCAAAATAATAGGTTCTTTAAAATGTTATATTCACACCTTATATTGCAAACAAGATCATATCCATACTGTAAACCCATCTTATATTCTGGTATAAATTAGCTTAATAGATAAATGTACAACGTTATGATTTCAAATTTTTTGAAGAAATGTCATTGGTGAGAATGTCCTTTCAATTTTAAAAGGACTCTGTAAAGAGAAGATTAACACATTTACAGAAATTTTGAGCTTGTTTCATATAGTGAAGAAAATGTACAAAAATATCAATGGGAAGTAATGGCTACCAAGGAATCTGTGCCTCTAAAAGAACTTGCAATTAGAGAGATTGTTAGAGCAGGAAGCAAGCAGGTTGTCCATTTCGTGAAATGGGCAATTTCACATAATGGGATGTAATATATATAATATATATATATATGTGTGTGTGTGTGTTTTACTATGACAGATATGTTATTTTCCATTAATAGGTCATACAATAGTGCAGACATAAGTAATTGTTTAGATGATTCATTGCAGTTAATTGGTTAAAAATTTTCTCTTCTCTCTTATAAAGAACTGTCGGAGCATTTAATACTCGAATAAATCAGTGAGCAACGTGGTTCATTCAAAAATAATAATTAATATTAAACACTTGTTTCCTTTTCAGTCTTCTTGGATGACCTCCTTGGCCCCTATTTCTGATTTGACTTTCTTAAAACATTCTTCCAAAAAGGTGTGCTATTATTAAAAAAATATTCGTTATATTTATTAAAAATGAACTAGATGAGTATATTATAAACTATATATAGAAAATATAGGAAATATGGGAAAAATTTCCCATTTTTAGAAATACAGTATTATTCCCAGTGTTTGTAATTATTTGCATTGTATAAATAATATCTTATTGTCTATCCTTTGTATGACGTATTATTTCTTTATAGTGTAGTTAAATACAATATATGTTATATAGTGTATTTTCCAAAAATATCAATACTTACAAAATTTGTAAATATCCGAACTAATCTCGGTTTCTTTCCAGGTCTTTCGTATTCAAAGTTAAATGAACTGCCGTTATAATCTGATTCAAAACTTGAAATATCTTTCCAACTGAACTCAATTACTTGGTTCTATGAATGAGATTATATTTTATTATTGACAACTCCCAAAAAAAATGACCAGCTGATTGAGTAACTTACCTCTACAGTTCCATCTTCTTTGCAGGCTTGTAATCTAAAAGCGGTAAACGACACTCTGGCAACCACGTGACCGTCTTTTCTCGAATCGCACGAACAGTGAGGAAATGCAATTTCACCGTAGTTATCGAACGATGCCACCTCGAGCAAGTATTTGTCAATTCTATTGGCCTTCTTTAAAACATTTATATGGGAAACTTTCGATGGTTTAACTTTAATATTTCCCTTCGAAATATCCTCCGTAACGTTGTGAAAGACAAATGAACGGGCCAGCTGGTCTTCATATAGTATTTCCTTTTCTAACTCAATGTTAAAAAGCCATTTTTTAAGGGCAATACAAGATGGAGCCGCAGTATTATAGTTTTGAATGTAGATACTATGAGGTTGTTCCTGGTCCATAATTTTACGATCTAAAATACAAGAAACATTCTGGTTGACAATATGCAAAATTCGTATTTAGATTATAAAATAAAGAATATAATTACCGAAATTGGTGTCAACAATTTCAAAAAGTGCAAAATGTTTCGCGATTTCGGTTTTCATACCAATCTTTTTCGTTACTAACTGTTTTTTGATATTTTTGTTTTTTTATAAAGAAAATAGAAGATAGTGGAACGTGTATATAAAATATTATTTCTTAGCTGAACTTACTGAATGAACTTTTCTGGCGTCGGCATCTTTTGATATAATTATACTTGCAATATTTTTATCGGGTAATAAAATCTTGAGTTGAACTTCGCTTTTATCACTCGTCTAGTAAAATCATATATAAATATAATATAAGATATGATAATAAGACGCTATCAACTTACTCCATTTTCTGACTGTGTTCCAAGGAACTCCTGCATGCCATCACTATCCGCAATTACCCTAACTGAGCATACTTTTTCTAAATATTGTTCTAAACCTCTCCGCCTAGCATCCAATTGTTGTTCAGACATTGTAAAAGGCCATTTGCCAGGAAATTTTGGAAATTGAAAATCGGGGAATTCTCTTTTTAGAATATTGTGAATGTTAGAAAATTCTCTATATCTCCTTGAACATAGATGACGTCCTGCCATGTGTATATGATACACAATAAACCGACTGTCCGAATCACGTAGTGTCTCATAGTCTGGTATAGTTATAGGCAACGACCGCTTATCCGAATAATCAACTGTTGAAGGTCCGGACGATTCATCCGACGGTTCTAGACGTTCGGCAACTTGTCTTGGAACTGATATAACTATTTTATAAAAAAAATTACATATTAGATAGTCACGTAACAGTTATTAAATATTAGTAAACATATATTTTCTTACCTGTTAATGTCAAAACATCTCCTCCAGATTTTATCAGATCAACAACATGTTTGTGGGTGGAACCTTCCACATTAGCCCCATTACTGGAGGAAACCAATAAAATTTTAATTAAAAGTTAATTATGATATATTTTAAGCCGATAAAGATTATAATCTGGACAGTTTTTAAATGGAAATAATATATATGGACTACCCAATTGACCAGATCGGTAAATAAAAAGAGAAATATGTAAATTGTAATATGTTTGTAACAGATGTAATCATAAAAAAAAATTTTCAGCGTCTAATAACAACACATGTGCACCGAAACCATTCAGTTTCCATAAAAATGTCGGAAAGGAACAAGATACTCTCTGCTAAGGAACTGAAAGGACAACAACAGAATGATATTCTTTTCTCAACCAAGGAAAAAGCTCATACAGCTGCCGTAGCAACGCTACTAATTTCTCAAATAGTAATCCTAAGAGAAATCATCAATAATCAAGGCTAGGGTTGCGTTTTTGCCGCTAATTAATTTCTTCTTAAAGTCACCGTTAACTTATTAGAGACTACTAAGTAGTACTAATAAGTAATCTTAGTTAAAAGAATTATAATAGTTAAGAATGTTTATAATAATTTGTCCTAATAAATTCTATTCATGATTTTCATTAAAATAACATAAACGCGACCTTAGACAATAAAAATGACAATAAACAAATTGCAACGATCATTCTAACATGCCTTAGTATGGCTATGGAGATTATCTGTGGAGCGTTAATAATTTATCAGGCGTATACCAGAAGAAATCTCAAACAACTTTGTCTATTAGGTTATCCAACCTGCTGCGCCGAAAAGATAAGTTCAGTGGAGAGTGGTGAGGAGAGGTCAACCACAAGCCCTACAGCTAATGGCAACCTTGCGGGAGGTGGAGGAGGAGGAGGAGGAGGAGGAGGAGGAACAACCCAACAGCAACAACTAAATTTATCGCCCGACTTATATTTTTTACATTGCACTTGCTCAAGGCATCAATCCGAGGCTCTACACCAGTTAATGCATGTCTACTTACTTTACAGAGATAAAAGACTTCAAGCAGACATGAAAGTTGTTCGGGCAAATGTCGAAAATGTTACATTAAATAACAAACTGCAGCAAATTATGAAAGATTTAACAGCAGTGAGAAAAACAATCGAAGACGAGAAGGAGGAAGAAAGATTGCCTGCCTTAAAAACGAATGAAGAAGAACTTACAAACAATAAAACAAAATGTGAGCAACAATTAGAACAATATTCCAACGTTGTAGAAGAAACAAAAATAATTGAAGGCCAAGTGAAGGAATTAGAAGAAAATATCTATCAAATGCAAGAAAGTATTCAACATTCAAAAATGGTTCGGATCGAAAATACAATAACCTATCTTCATTTTTTCGCCTTTATACTCACGGCTTTCATACCTGGTTTACGTACTTAAAAGAATACAAATTATGTATCCTTGTATATAACAAAAACTTGGCCGTTACTTCTGTTATCAATTCAAATCAACGTCTAAATTAGAATATTCATATCTAATTGTATAGCATTCTCTTCTATTGATTTATACTTGTTAATAAATTATTATATATACATATAAACTACTATGATATATTTTATATAGATATAGGAGATTCTCTTTTTCTATCTTTTAAAAATATAAAGTGTTTAAATGAGAAATATACAGTATAAAGGGAACGTATGGTTTATATATATATAATTGATACAAAATGTCTGATTTCTGTAATTATTTTAGGATAATTTGTCAATTTCTATGATGCGATAATATGAGTAAAAAAAAAGAGAAAGAAACCATATCGTTTTACTAACAGGTTCTCAGAATTTAGTGTTTTTTTTTGCATATATTTATAAGATACGATGTGATATTACAATATTGTTTAAAAATATTATTAATCGTTACTGTTTATTGAGTTACGGTTGTTATAATGTTTAAGTAATTAACTACTATAATAGGGTTATTTTGTATCAATGGTCTTTTTTGTAGTACATTTTATGCCAGTAATAACTATTTAAGGTGGAAAAAAAAAACCGTAAGAGATGTATTATTGATTTCCTTAAAGTTATTACTGGATCCTTTCAATGAACATAAATATTTCTCTTCAAAGGATTACTTCGACAAGTGCAACAAATGTAAAACCAGGCTGAAATGTAAACAATTTTCGTATTGGCTATAATAAATTGTATGGTATAACCTTAAATCTATATTAGAGTCTATATGTTGCTCATTAGTGGATGAAACTATCTAAAAATAATTTTTTTTATTCAGCCTAAAGACATATCCTTCCGTATTATATCTGTAAAATAATTTCTTTCTATAAACTAACTGAGAAAGAAAGGGATAGAAGGAAAGAAAAGAGGAAATACAGAGGCAAACAAAAAAAAAGCCCACATAGAATATAGTTGATTGCATTCGAACAATTTCCTCAAGGGTTATTATTTTATGAACTTGAAACACATATTCTATACATATAATTTTCAGAATGCATTTAGATCTAGGTATTGTTTCCCCTATCTTTACGTTCTTGGCAATCGCCATTATTAGGTTTATTTATACTTTAAAATTACTTTTATCTTCATACTTATCTTTGATGTGAATGAAATTTAACATTAATTAAACGTTAATTATAGTTTTTATTAAGATGTCTTCTTTTTATTCTTTTTTATTATTTAAATAAAACATGTTATAGATTTTAAGAAAAAAAAATCAATCAATATGAGTATTTATTTTCTATTCCTAACGCTAATTGGTTAATCTATACGATCTGTACTTCATACTATATAGAATGATACGAGACCAGAAAGTTTTCAATCTCTTCCTGATAAAGAATGCCTACAGAGTTCCATGCTATTACCACTATAAAATAAATATGTCAACATTAATTATGCAACCCTCGTTGTCTGTACGGTTTCGACGCTATTTTTAGCGGCAGAAATTCCTGCCTCTCACCTCATTATGTATTTTTCACTATCAATACACGCCTCCTGTTTGATAAGAAGTACTTACACTTCTAATATTCTATCTCCTTTCATGATACCAGCCCGATCAGCAGCTCCGCCCTCCATAACAGCGCTAACATGCTGCAAAGGGGCATATAGTTCTCCATTTATGCTAAAAATATAAAAAGCATTTATTCACTCTATACGGCTATTAATATCCATTGTCCTCTACTCTAGTTTTGTTTATATAGCTATCATAGAAAGAAGATTTAAATTGAGTATTTCTCAAGTTGTATTTATAATAGTAAATCTAACCTCTTTAATTGACCTCCCTCACTAACTTGACCTCGAACGTTAAAACCAAACCCAGTATCACTTCTACGAATTGTAACTATTCGAGGTCCTGCAGGATCTGCCATATCCTGATGATTTTCTTCTTCATCCGAATCTTCTGCCATTTTTCAACTGGTGTTACTAAACTCCAGTCACAAATGAAACCCTCGTACTATAATCCATTTATAGTCATCCCAGTTCAACTCGGAAGTGGTCTGAACTAGATGACAATCTAATTTCTATTAAAAATTAAGATTAAATCGAGTAATACATGAACTACACACAACTGGCTATTTGGTTTTTGAGAGAATTTATTATTTCTTATGATGAAAGGAAATTGGATTTCATTTGAATAATTGATGAAGGAATAGTAAATTGATTATCACGTTATTTTATGTGCTTTCAAAAACAAAATAAAGTCTCTTTTTTAGTTCTTTAAGTGTTAAATTTTGTATTGCTATTTACTGAAAAAATATATCAATCTCTCAAAAAGACGAAAAACTTATTTAAAATATCTTCAAAGTCAGTTTTAAATAGAAGTAACACAACTACGCTATTTTAACATAAACTCCAATATTGTTTTACCTTTAATGCAGAATAATATCAATCAATTTAACTTTATATATATAAATTATAAAAAGAAACACTTCAGAGTTTCTGATCGCAAGAGATTGATCCCTAGCACGTTTTAGCAAAACCGCGAGTGTTGACGATAGCCTCGCTTTCACGAGTGACGTCATGCCAATAAGGGATTTTATCTAGAATTTCCAAAACATATAGGCATAAGTAATATGACACTATGTAAAAAAGTTAGGAGACATATTTTATAAATTGATATAGTAGTCACAACGCTGTTTAAAGTTATTTTTTATCCTAAACTATTTACATATATATTTTTTAAAAGGACTCAGCAGGTAATAACACTTTAATCAAACACTATACTATACTACAAAAAAGTCGAAAACAAAAGAAAACAATTAATCTATATCTTTTAGATTAAAATGCACTGTAGTCTAGAACACGTCCAATGTTAACGGCATCTTGTAGCATTTGATCTCTTAAGGCCCATAGAGCTTGAACAACAGTTTTACCCTGTTCCATGGCACCTGGACCCAACCAGTTGGATGGTAGTTTTTGAGGATTTCCTAAGGTATTTTTCGGTCTAGCTGAGAGTTCTTTCCTCCATGGACCTTAAAATAGATAAAGATTATTTATTATTTTCAAGAAAATCTAAATAAAGTCCAATTCCAACCTATATCATCAGAATTATTATTCAATCCTTCAATATAGCGTAAATATGCCTCCGAATGCAATAATCTTTGTGTTCTAGGTGGGACAGCTACGAAGAGAGGCGAACTTGATCTTGTCTGTTGAGCGGGGTTATTCGTTGTGCTCGCTATATATAACAGTAAAATGTACTTTAATAAATTAAGCAAATAAAGTTTCAAGTGAAAGACATGGGACAAAGTGAATCTTGTATTCTACATAAATCTTTATATTTATATAGAATAGATTATATATTATAAATTTTAACTGCTCAGATAATCCTTATTACTGCAGTGAAGATTTTAACTTAAACAAACAGCTAAATGACAACAACAAAAAACAGAAACATTCCTTTTGATTTTATTAAATATAAAATAAAAAAAATATGGATATTAACTGTTTTTTAAAAAGCGGCTATTGAAAAGAGAAAACTACAAGGTGAAAAATAAAAGCTTTTTATGAGTGTAATACACTTCTATTATACTATATAAAGTCTCTAACGTACCTGTAATTGGTAAACTCGATTGGAAACTATTATTGCATGCGACAGCTCCAGCTGCTGTAAAAACATACCACCAAACATGCAGAATATTTTAAAACTAGATTTTAAATATACATTTTTCAAAAAATACAGAAAAAAGCCACCAAAAGTATTTTCTCTAATTTCTATAAAAATTAGCTGATCGTGACGTTTAAAACAATACTATACTTACTTTGTGAATTTGAATCGCAGTTAATAAGGCTCGCAACAGCTGAACTGATGGTTGAGGGGGCGGGTGTAGATGGTTTCGATTCGATAGAACTTGAATATAAAGCACTTTGTTCTCCGGCAATTTTTTTAGCTTTTTCCTCGTATCTCTCCTTTTCATCTTTAGGTAACTCTCTCCACTGCATAGGTTTCAATTAATGTTAATTTGAATAGTTAATGTTTTATAAATAAGATTGTAATCAAACCTTTGCTCCAACAAGGCGGGATATATCGCCAAAATTCATTAATGGATTCTGTCCTTGAATACCTTTTCTATATTCTCCGGCAAATACAATATAACCGCTCAATTGTTTTGGCCGCTTATACATCTAAATGGTTAAAAAGTTATTAAGAGTTTATCATACATTAAAACGTTTGAAATTTGGAGAGATATTAAGAGCAATTGATATATTGCATATTAAATTGTTATAAGGCTTGTTATTAAGCAAAATATATAATTATTTTTACTGGTGATGATATATTTTCCTCATTAATCCTATCTTCAACTATTTCTTTAAATAAACTCATCCTTTTCTTCGTTAAATTTTTCGTTTTCATTCTGTCGTCATTTTTTTTAAACTTGTCAAAGGATTCTTTTATGTATTTTTCTAAATTCGCTTGTCTATGAATATTTTCAATTTTTTCACTAATAGTCTTTTTTCCTGTCAATTCTTTACTCGTCTCTTCCTCATCTTTTTTAGATAATAGCGCAATATCACCAATTAAATCGTCGATAAGAGTAAAACGATCTTTGGAATTAGAATTAAATAAGTCATGAACTAGTTGAGAAGCCTGATGAGGAAAGGAATACAAAGACAAAAAAACTACTAAATACGACACTTAAAATGAATGAATAAATGATTTAAACGTTTTGTCGTTCAACCTACCTTTTGTTTCATTTTAGGAGTAACATCCACATTATTGGGAGTACTATTATTTGTAGATAATGCTGATATCGACGGAGGAATAGCGTAAGAATCATCAACTTCTAAATCAAGAAGTGATTGAGCCAACAGAGGAGAGCCAGTTCGTTTGGGAATTAAAGGTTTCTTTAGAAACAGGATCTACAAGATAACATAAATAATTAATTAAATTGTTTATAGTATTATCAAAAAACAAGAAATATCTTGTATACCTCATCTTCCAGAACTCGACTCGACAGTGTTATCTTCTTCATAGGCTTTGTAAGTTTTTTAACTATTCTTTCATCGGGTATAAATTTACTTTCGCATATCCAAACATCATCTTCTGAAATGACTGTTGATCTCTGACTGCAATATTCTTTGAAGAATAGCACACAACATTTTCCCGTCACTTTTGATATTGGAACTGAGGCATCTGCATTTCTGACAACTTCCATTGCATAAAATAGTCTAGTTGGACTATGCTCTACAAAGGCAGGTTGAACAAATTGCGCTCCTGACACATGAGCAACAGATTCAGCGTCAGTCCATAATTGTTCAGCTCTTATAATTCTCCAGGGATTGTCACTATCATCTCTAACATATACAAAATCTCCAAGTTTCAACCACCCACAACGGTCATCTCTGAGCTGCTCATACATCGTAACTCCCGGAGGTGCAGTTCCAGATTCGATTGGAACATTTGCACGCCCACTATCACCGTCAAAGTCATCATCTTCGTCTTCATCAGTTGACTGAGTAGGTGTACCTCCACCTTTTTCCGCATAAACACTCCCAACTTTAGCCGGCTGCATAGGATTTGGTCTCTGTGATAATTTCGGGGAAGAAGATCCCGACCAAATTTTCAATCTGTTTTTTTAGTTATCATTAATCACGTTTGTTCTACAAAGTGTATTTAAGAAATTTACTTAGGATCTAACCTCTTGAACGTTTTCGGTTTTGAAAGGTAACGTTTGTCGCAAACCCAAGTGTGCTCTTCAGGAAATTGTTCACAATACATTTTAATGTATGTCTTCATAGGAAGAACTATACATTTTCCCCTAGCTCTTTCTACTTCAACGGCACATCTTACATCAGATTTAAAAACCTCTTGTTCGAAAAATTTTTTACTAATAACGTGGTAAGTTTGGTGTGGTTTCAAGAATTTTATACCCTCTAACCAAACTGCCCTTTCCTCTCTATATATCTTATCAATCAATAACATTTCTTGATTGTCTTCTTTGCCTTCTTCTGGGATTATATAGGCAAAGTCACCTCTGGCATAGGTGATATCATTATAAATCGCCTCCGATAAGTTCTCTTTGTCATCATTCTTCTCCTGATTTCGCTTATGACGTTTAGCTTTAATCTTTTCCGTTTTTTCCTTATCTATTTCGTCGGTAATTCTTCTTTGTGTATACGCTAAGGCTGGACTGAAAAATACACCACCCAATCCACAAAGTTCATCCCTTCTTTGAACGAAATATTTTTGCAAGTTACAACAATCCTCATAAAGTTCAGAATCGATTGCTGCAACGCTTCGCCCATGCTCAAGTAGTTCGAACACATCCTCCTTTTTCGCGTGCAAGCAAACTTACGTTAGATTTAAACGAAAAATTTAATTAGTGTTTTATCTTACCTGTAATTTATCTAATCTAGTGTACATTTCCTTTTCAACTCTCTTTCCTATTTTATCTAACGAGCAAGAAGCTTTCTTCGCGTTTGGTATTGCAATCATCTCATCTTCATCTAGTGGAAGGTGAGCTAAAGATTCAGATAAGCATCGTCCCTGACTGTCAGTTTGGCTTAATGTCGATCTCGTTAACTCCTTTAAAGTGTTGAAAACTGTTACTTTGACATCAGGTACTTGATTTCTCTCTTCTTCGTTTTTCTCCAATTCGCTTTTTTTATCTAACGCCAACTTAAGCAAGGCAAGCGCATCTTTATAAATTAAAGAATCAGGCTCGTTATATTTACAAGCATTATCAAACATCAGAGCCAAATCGGCCAATAAATCGTCTAAGCTTTCATAAAGATTTAATTTGTGGCCAATTTTCAACAAATCGATAGGCTTTTTTATAACATCGTAGTAGTCTGGATATTCACTTTTTGATGGCAATCTCATAAATGGTGCTGACAACACACGATTACTTTTATCTGTTGCATCCTTTATACAAGCATAAAGAGACTGTAACTTTGTATTCCATTTGGATGTTACTTTTGAATCTCGTCTAGATATTCTATTACTTGAGACGGGGGTTCTGGATCTGTTATGAAAGGAAAATAAAGCTTTTAACCCTATTAGTTGGTATGAATAGTAATTCAATACCTTGGTGAGTCAGGGTTTGTTAAACTTTGTAGTTTTGTTTTTAGAACTCGTTCCAAAACAACTGCGTCTTTATAAACCTGAGAATTTTCTTCGTTATAATGTCTAGCATTTCTCAACATTAATTCAATATCATCAGCCAACGATTCAATGCTATCATACTGCTCCAATCTGGCCTCAATAGTATCCATATCGATTGGTTCAGTGATTACTTGATAATAATCAGGAAAAGATTCTTTTGATGGTAGAGATACAAAAATATCAATTAATGATCGACCGTCTACTTCGTATTCCGATATAGTTTTGAACAGAACGCCTAACTTTTTCTGCAGTGAATCTCGACGAGAGCGTCTCGAAGCTGAAGCACTTTGAGAATCATCATTCTGTAACAAAAGAAAATAAATGACTTAAAAAAAGACGATTAAACCATTAAATGTTCATATTAAGCTCTAATATTTTAACTATCTCTAATACTTCATCATTAAAAGTGACGATCAGTAAAGAAAACAAGAAAAACAAAATAAAACATAACAATATTTAAAAATATTCTAAAGGCAAGCTTTTGTTATTATTACTGTTTGTATGGTATACTTAAGCTGTTCCTTTAAAACATTAGTACACGTTTTTGTTACACAAACGTAATAGAATGGTTTGCAAACTCATCTTAAAAGTCGGGCAATAAAACAAAATTGATGGAGGAAACAAAGGAAAAAATAAAAAACAAACTATTTTAACAACAGGGGAAAAATTGAAACAACGTTAAACAACTTAAATATCTAATTGTAAAATAAAACAAATAAATTAATAGCTATAACCTCGACGCCAAAACACGCCATGTTGATTGGTTGCGGAAGAGAAATTGGCATAAGAAATCCCTAATTTTTTTTTTTGAATAGTATGGGATAAAAAATACAAAGAGAATTTCATTTTATATAAAATACAATTTTTTATAGTTGATTGTTTTATAGTTAAATATTTATAAACTTAACGATATAAAAAGAATGTAAATTAGATAACTTACAGGATCGCATAAAGCTTGTAATTCCGAACTTTTATTATGCATAACTTTTTGTAATGAGATAGAATCCTGTGTAATAAACAATTACTATTTAATATCAAATCAATTAACATGTATATACTTTGAAAGAAATAAAAATAATCAAATTTTTGCACCTTAAACAATTGACTATCTTCAACATTGTAATGTTGAGCGTTTAAGAATAGTAAATCCAGATCAGATACTAAACCAGCAACATCTCCTCCGTACATATTGTTTTTTATCTTTTTCTTTATATGAAATAGACTAATAGGATTATCAATTTCCTCATAATAATCTGGATATAATCGTTTCGATGGCAATCTCATAAAAGGTTCGCTGAGTCTTCTGCCATCTGGGCTTCTATAATTCATAACTGTATTATATAAACTCCATAAAGCTCCTGTTCCAGCAATGCATGAATTTTCTTCTGTATCGCTTTCATTATCGCTGTCGCCATTAGGTGATGGCAAGCTGGCATAAGCGGTTGAATGACGTTCGCCTGTGTGAATTTTTCTCTCGGCTGATCGCATTCTGTGAGAACTTTTCTTTGCTTGACGAACCGTGTCAAGTTCAATTTTTTTTGCTTGAATAGTCTTTTTTAAGAGTACAGCATCCTAAATTTAGGAAAAATTTGTTATAAAACTGTGCGAGAATTATGGAAAGTTTTTACTTTATAAATTCCACTGCCTGGTTGATTATAGGTTCTTGCATTGTTTACAATAACCATTAAATCTCGAACCATATTGTCTAACGTCTCGTAATGCCTTCCTTGAACTCTTTTTGCGACAGTTCGTAAATCGAGAGGCTCCTCTATCACATTGTAATAATCGGGAAATTTAGTTTTTGAGGGAAGTAGCTTAAACATTTCTGTTATCATTCTGTCTCCGTCCATAGCAGTAGCAACTGCGTCAAACATTTCTTCGCAAATTTCCCCAACGTCTTCACTCTCAGTGCTCTTAAGAAGTAAACAAAGAAGTTATTAAGAGTTTCAGTATGAAAAAGTTTTATATAAATATAATTACATCGTCATCCCAATCTTGATTCTTATCACTATCTCCGGATGCTGTATCTCCACACTTTTCATTCTTTAATTCCCTATAATATATCCAGAGTTGGTTTGCAAGATCTCTCTCCTCAGAGTCTTCTTCATAATAGTCCATGGCATTTTCAACTAATAATCTAAGATCTTCTCCCATTTGGTCAACGCTGGCATATTCGTCGTTTTTTATTTTAGTTAATACTTTTAAAAGATCAATCGGGTTCGCTATTGCTTTGAAGTATTCAGGCTCGGATCTGTTCAATCATGTCATTTAGAAAATTCTTGGAAAATTTTTCTTATAACAATATTTATTCTATACCTCTTATGCGGTAATTTCATAAATAGATTGAAAGTTGGAAGTCCATTGTCGGATTTGTGAGATTTGATAGAATCGAAAATTTCGTGACACAAAGCATTCTACGATCGTAAAATTTTAACAAACAATTAAATTAAATAATATATAATAATACCACTTCTCCCTCAGTTCCCCTCTTCCTAGATCTCTTGGCCGGAGTTATCTCATCTTCTAAGCTACTATCCACACTAGAACGCTTTCTTCTCGGCATAGCGCAATCTAAGAACCAACCAGAATAAGATGATATTGATTGATTTCAGTTTCACAAAACTTACTTTTTAAAATTTATTCCATGAATGATAAAATCAAGTTTAGATTAATGATATATATTCCGATTAGCAAGAAAAAATAACTATTCTGATGATTATTTGAATTTAAGTTAAAAACTGCTTGGGCCGTTTTGTTTTATTCAAAATGGCCAATGGAGACACCTGTTCCGAAGCATCAACGTTGTGTTGTTTACTAAAACGAATCACAAACCATACTAACAGCTCTCATATTATTCCGCGTTATGATCACAAAGATGCATTTTTGATAAATAACAAAAATTTAGGTAAAGTGAATAAATGTAAAAAAAATAACCTATAAAAGTTTTAAAACTGCAAAATATTTTTCATAATTTTAATAAGATTATGAAAAACTAAATTTTTAAGCGCATGCTCACTTAACCTGTACAGTAATTCGGCCATACCATTGGCCAAGGTGTAACATCTACTGTAGTAACAGCAGATATAAACAAAGACTATTATCCGATAGTAGTGATAAAATAATAAGAAGAATGTCTTTAGATTTAGGAGAAGAGGATTTAAGATCAGTTTTCGAACTTTGTGACCAACAGAAAAATGGTTATATATTTGTAGAAGATTTCATTGATTTAGCAAAAAAGCATTTTTGTGATGATAATGAACAGGTATGTTTTTTTACTAATTACTAATTTAATTACTTACATAATGGAAAAAAATAATTTTTCTGTTTAATTTTAATAGTTTTTAAGTTTAAAAGAAGGAAAAAATTTCCTTATAAACAAACAAGAAACGAGAGCAGAGTTTTTTTACTTATTAATTTCTTAACATTGTTTTTTATTGTTCTATTCTTCTGTTGAAAATTTAAAAAATTATAATTTTTCTATTGATAATTAACTAATATTTCAGAATATTTCGAATGTTGTTGAGTTTCTTGATCCAGAGAAGGATGGTAAAATCTATTTTAAAGATTTCTGCGATGGTGTAAAACGCATTTTAAATAGTGAGTCATTAAAATCGATTATTGATAGTCCTATAAATGTATTTTATATATGTTATAGATTTTTCATAAAATAAAGTAACCGAATATATTCTTATTATTTTTAATTAACCACTTAATAAGTGTTTTTTAATGTTATTCAATAGCTCAACAAACAACTACAGCGCCCCAAACTCCAAATTTGAAAAGAAATTTAGAGAATGGAAAAATTTGTATAGAAGATAATAGTGAACAGGTAATTTTTTTACTAATATATCCTTCTTTCTACAAACATATATATATTAAATTTCCTTAATATTTTCCCCCTTCTTCTCTCAACTTTACTTTCCTCCACCCACCTTTCTTTTATTCAAATCAGAAATTGACTAAGCGGTTTTTATTTCCTTCTCTTTTTTTTGTAGTCAGGGCATTTACAATAAAATATACAGTTTATGCTTATTTATAAACACAATATACACGCTAAGAAATATCATGATGCATTTTAAATGGTAGGTGTGTGTGTCGTGATGAGAGATATTTGATCTAGAAATGGGTCACTGAGTTTTAATTAAGTTTAATTGCTAAGCATTTAAGCTATTTAACTGTATAAATTTTAGATCGGTAGAAATAAAGTTAAATCGTGAAAAAAAAATGAGTTTTCTTTTCAATTCTGTCTTTTTAATTTTCTGCTTATTATATATTTATTTTAAGGACTTAACCTGGCCTAGTTATGGAGAATAATCCATTAAAAAAACAATATATATAAGAGAGGGAGAGGGAGAGAAAGAGAGAAAAAGATTAAAAGGAGACAAGAATAATCTTATTGATACAAGTATTGCGTTAAATTTATAAAGTTACCGAGCAGTGACTTATCTAATAGAAAAGACATAGATAAGATATAAATTCTATAAATGTCCTAGATGTCTTCACGTAGTCTTTTTTTATATATTCTATATATTAAAAGGTTTTTTTTAAAAGTAGTACAAATCTACTTTTAATGCTGAAGAGAAAGTAAAAATGATTATTCTCTATTTCATACTAATGAGAGCCGTGACTATATCATTTATTTTAGATTCATCTTGAACGTAAAGATTTAGATAAGGAGAAATGTCATACATCTATTCTTTTAGACGTTTAGTCCACATATACTGTACACATATATTGTTTATTATATTACTCATAATAATCATTGTTACTTCTGAAATATCTTATCTTTCTAATTAGATGTATACCACGTGATTTATTTACCGATATATAATAATATAAACATTTTATTAGGTTAGAAAAGTTGTTTTTATTTTAAGCTAAAGGCGTTTTCTTTAAGAGTCTAGTATGTCTTTATTGGAATTTACATTCCTCAGAATTGTCCTCTTTTTTTTATTGTTAGCTGTTTACATATCAATCTCTTTCTGACTGCCACTTTCCCCTTTTTTTTATTGGCAAATAGGTTTTATACCTAAACAAATTCTTTCCTCATCTGAACAAATAATATTATAATTGAAATATAAAAACTTCTAGTGACTTTATTATAAAATGGATTTTTTTTATTTATTGAAAGTATGTCAGTAACACTGCTATAACTCCCGGTGATGCCTCTGAATCATCATACACATTTAACGAATATGATTTAACCGACGAAGATGGTCAGTATTCACCTCAGGCTTCGCCACCTAAGTTATTAATATCAGATGACTTGGATCCCGACTGCGGACATCTTAATGGGTTTAATGGGTAAACTATTTTAAACGATTATTTTACAATATTGTAAATAGATAATTACTTTTTAAATTTTGCCTTTTTTCCCTTTAACTTAACAGAGAAGAGAACTTTGAAGACGTTGGTAATGGAGACTTAGAAGCTCCACTATCAGTTCTCAGGTACTATATAACCTAATTAAGAGAACTTTTTAGTAGATATAAGTCATTTCAGATCAAAACATAGACGATATCCAGGAAGTGGAGATAGTTGGCCATTTTGTAAAAAAAATCCAAAATATGCAAGACATTCTATTGGGTAAGTGAATTATTATCACTTCTACTCTATGCTGCTATTTCTAAACTTATAATTTTCTTTCATCTAACTTTTAGCGGAGTGTTAAATATGTGGCAACAGTAAGTTTTCTCAACAAATAATAAATAAGGGGTTTTATTTTATTATAGAATATTTATTTAGATCTTCTAAGGGTTTATAGAATACCACTTACACTTTATTAAGGATTTATTGGTGATTAGTATTTATTATATAGTACTAGCTTTTTAGGAAATTTTCCTTAATTCTCCACCCCTCCTTCCTCTTTGCTTTTCTCTACTAAATAGATACTATTGATCAGTACTTGAAATCTTCTTAAAAGATAATAAATGAGCTTAAAGGAATTAGAATTTATTTTGTATTGGTTTTGTTTTGCTCTAACTGTTTTTAGTCTTCAAAGTGAATATTCTATTTTTATTTTTTGTTCAATAGATTTATATGAACATTTATAAGATAATTATGTTAATTTATAGGAAAATTATCCTATTAGTTTAATTGAATTTAACTAATCTATTTGAAACAACATTCGTTAAATATGTTATTAAATTTCAGTTCTTTTTTTCGTTGAATCGTGCCATTTTCGTTATTATTGCGAATTCTAGCTATATTAGTCATATTTTTTCCATACAGTCAAACAGATAAATCATCAATAAGTCTCTCTTTATCGGACAGCCGGAGGAGTTCCGTATCGGATGAAGATAGATATTATGAAGATATTGATGGATCATTTAAAGTTTTGAATGGCAAGGTAAATAGAAAAATTTAATTAAAGAACGAATAATCTGAATGGCATAAAATCTATAAAAGCTGTTAATCTCTAAATTTTTCCATTTAGGTTGAATCATTAGAATCTCAAATTATGACTTTGACCGAAAATCAACAGAAAAATGATCAAAGTCAAAATAGAATTAAGTATGAAAATCAATCACTAATCGAACGGTAAAATGACAAAGTTTGTAAACTTGTATATATTTTATATTATTGTCAAACTATTTTCAGAATTCATACGTTAGAAATGGAATTACACGATGTTGAGGAACGCTCCCAGAAAAGGGTTGCAGAAGAAGAAGTTAAATATAGAGATTTATTGGTAATGTCTTTTTATTGATAATTAAATTAGATACATTATATTATTATTTATATATATATATATATTATATTTATAACAATGTATTTTTGATATACCTATAGAACCGAACTGATAAAGAGAAAGAACGAGAAATACAATTATTATCCGCAAGGTTCTTTTTATTTTGAATATTTTTAATGGAAACATATTATATTATATTTAAAGAATATATACAGACACACATACACACATACAAACATACATACATACATTTATATACTGTATATTGTGTAAATCGTGTAAATGTAAATACAAAATATATATATATATGTGTGTATTGATACTACAGCTTGCAACATATGGAGTCCGAATACAGTCAATTAAAAGAGGAAAATCCTAGATTGCGCTTGGAAAATGAAAAGCTTCGAAAGGTTTTATTACTTTTAGATGCATAATATTTTTTTCTTGTAATTCTTAACCAGTTTTCTTCTTCAGGAAGGGAGACTATATCAAGCGAAACTTGAACAAGCTGAACTTAATTTGTCAGCTGCTATTAAAGAGCGTGATGAGTACAAAGGAAGATTAAGAGAGATTAATAATGAATTGAAGTTGGAGCGTAATGTTAATACTCAGGTAAGTGGTTTGATATTCGATATTATCTGTGTCATAGATATCAAAACATTAAGATTTTATGATATATGATATACTGTATATATTAGTATACACAATATATTATATAGAAAAGTATATGCTTATATTTCGAATAACTTAATACTTATTCCTTTTATATATTTATCTAACAGCTAGTCGACGAATTAAGTAAAGAATTAGAAGATTTAAGAGGATGTACTGATGTTAGACAGCGAAGACCAAGTAGTCCTGATTCAATGAATTATCCACCGAACTATAGAAGACAATTAGAAAGTCTTGTAATTCGTCTTAAAGAGGTAAATATTTGTATTTTTGGCTTTGAAGCAATAGACATTTTAATGTAAAATTTTCATCAATAGGAAAATGCTAGATTAAAAGATCAAAATGATGATTTACAAGCTCAGTTACTTGGTCATACAATAATTGAAGGTCACACATTACTCACTTCAGGCACTAGCCTAGCAGATGAGATTGATTGTATGCCTAAAGAGGAGGTAAATTATTCTTAACTTTGCATAATAAATGATTTCTTTTAATTAAAAGAACTCTTAGTCATTAGTTTATACTTGTTGTTTGATGTTTTACAGCTAACGAAGGCTTTAAGGGAAACTCAAGAGGCACATAGGAAATTGCAAGAATATGTTGAAGATATTACACTTAGGATCATCAACAAGAATCCGGCGTTGTTAGAGAAGCATTGACTAGAGGAAAGAAATCGATCAACCAAATTTCAAGGGGTGGTCGATTTCTTCAAGAAAAAAGCCGGACTGGTAAAAAAATCTCCTTCAAAGTCTGTTGGAGATGGAAATTGAATCGTTGTTATTACGAAAGAAGTAAAATATCTTTGGTCTATATTATCTTCTTGGCGTTTCCCATAAATATTTCTTTTTTTTGTATATGTAAACAAAATCTAGAAAACTATATCTATCTCAATTTTTACACGTTCAAAAAACTGAAGGACTAGTTGTCCTTTCTCTTCATCATGCAGAATCCACTGTTAAAGCAAAATTGTTATGTGATATTAATTATTAAGAAATGAATGTTTTGCAAAAAGACATTCAACACCAACAACCAATACATATCATTCAATTTGCATATATTATTTTTTGTATATAGACTGTGCCTTAAATGTCAATTCAAAATAAGAAATTGTAAATTGTGATGTAAATAGTTATATCTGGGACTGTGATTTACCACAAATTGTTTGTTTTATCTTACTATTCTATATTTCTGTCAAAATGTTGTATATTTTTTGTTTTTTTTTACAAATGTGGTCAATATTTTTCTAGTTTCTTTTTTTATTCTATTAATTTATGTAGGTTATTAGCTTGATTCAATGAACACATAAGTTTTGCTTGTAGATATACATGTTAATTTATGATTGTGGTACATTTTTTTTATCAATTTATCAAGTTCTAATGACTGAAAACAGTTTATTTATTAGTCAAAATAAATTTATTGATAAATATTCAAAAAAAAACAGTAGTGTTGCTGGGTTACCGCAAGAATTTCATTAATGTAGGACTTACAAAGCATACCTTAAAGATTTGTAAATTATTCAGTTCTTTGATTACTCACTACTCTATAGCTATAATTCAATCTTACTAAATTTTAAAGTTGGTCGTGATCTGCAGAACTATGGAACCCGTTCCACTGCTTTTATTTCTTATGTAAGGTCTATATAATATGAGCCACCTAACCCAATGTAGCCTCAATTTAATACGCAAATAAAACATGAGGCTGAGTAATAGCGTTCGTGAGACGAGGGGGTTAGTTGTTCGAGCAGTAATATAAATGTAAACTCTGTTATTGAACGGCTTATTCCAAACTGAGCTGCCAACATGAAAGCTCCACTTCTAGGTTTTATTGTATGTGCCATAACTTTGGTCAATTGCTCCATAGATTACAACGAAGCTGAAAAGTTTTTAGAAAAATATGAAGGTTTTAAAATTCCCAAACTATCTCCAAATGAAATTCAAAAGCATCCATCACTTCAACCAAGTTTTATTAAGGCATTGAAGAAAATGCAAAAATATGCTGGCATTCCCATTACGGGAAAATTAGATGATTTAACTATGGAAACTATGAGGAAACCTAGATGTGGCAATCCTGATGGTGAAAATGAAGATCATGAAAATGATAACAAAGAAAAGAGATATGCCGTTGCTTCGAAATGGTATAAAACTCATCTCACATATTACATAAAGGGTAGCACATATACATATGATCTCGACAATAAAAAAGTAGAGGAAGCTGTTGCCCAAGCTTTTAAATATTGGTCGGATGTTAGTGCTTTAACATTTGAAAGGAGGTATAGCTCTTACAACGTAGATATTATTATGTATTTTGCTAAAAAAAGTCATGGCGATAGTAATCCTTTTGATGGTCCGGGAGGAGTATTAGCTCACGCATATTTTCCAACTAACGGTGATGTTCATTTTGATGATGATGAGGCTTACACCTTAAGAAGTTACGCTGGAACAAACCTTTTACAAATTGCCACTCATGAAATAGGACATAGTCTCGGTCTTCAACACAGTTCAATCAAGAGTGCTGTCATGGCTCCCTACTATTATGGATATTCTCCCAATTTTGCACTACAACCTGATGATATTAATGGTATTAGAAGTCTTTATGGATCCAATCGGCCAACAACTCCAGTATATACTTCTTCCACAACTAAAACTGTTAAGTCTACTGTTAAGACTCCTGTTAATTCTTATCCAGACCCATGTTCTCTTACTAGTATTGATACGTTTTTTGAATCAAAGAATGGTTTTTTTTATGTTTTTAAGGGAGAATATTACTGGAAACTCAACAGATATGCAGATTTACAAAGTAAAATACCAACCAAAATATCAGATGGCTTTCCTGGTCTGCCAAATGACATTGATGCCGCTTTCATGTGGTTTTCAAAATCTACTTACTTCTTTAAGGGTGACTTATATTGGAGATTTCGTGATGGGGTGATGCAAAGTGGCTTTCCAAGAAGAATAGGAAAAGATGGCTTTAGGGGTGTACCAAATAATCTTGATTCGGCCTTTGTATATAAAGGAAATAATGTTATTTATTTCACCAAAGGTAACTTGTATTATAGATACGAAAACTTTCGCGTAAAAGATAACTACCCTAAACAATTTGACCGAATCTGGGAAGGTCTACCAGCAGGAGTAGATGCAGCTCTAGCTTACGTTAATGAATACAATTACTTTTTCAAAGGTAGTCAATATTATCGCTTCAATCCAAGCACATTCTCCGTTGACAAGGGTTATCCAAAATCCATCGCTCAGTGGTGGTTCCGTTGTTACGATAGTGTTCAAGATGCACCATCTGATGTAAGAGTAGCAGAGGATTCTGATTCTACTGAAAGAGAAACTGAAAATGATAGAGAACCCATAAATTTAGTAGAGAATAAATCACTAAGTGAAATTGACGAAGAAGGCTTATTAAGCAACGCTGCCACCTTGAAAATTTCAATTATTATGGCAACTAGTCTTGTCGTTTTTAAACTGTTATTTTAACTATTTTTCTTAAAGGAAGAGCACTTTTCTTTTTATTTTTAATTGAAATTATTTAATAAATGAGACACTTTACTCTAAAGAGAATTTTTTATTAGACATTGTACGTTCCAGGGTATTTTATGTCTATCTAGAACACTTACAACTTAGACTGCATTCTACTTTTTACCTTAAAAAAATTCCTTTATCAAAGAATTTTATATTTTTGATGGTGTTCACCTTTTTTATATTTCTTTAATAATGAAGGTCTCTCATACCGTTTGTTATGTACGTTCTATGAAAGAAGCTATTGAATAAAAAGAAAAACTTGGCATAATGTTTTATTTTCAAATTTTAGTAGGATTGGCAGTTTAACGTCTTCATTCAGTAATAGAAAGAAATTTAACAATATGAAGCTGGAAAGAAAAGAATAATTTGGCGGAGGGAAGGGAAATATTTTGCTAAATCACATAAAATGATTAAAAGTTTATATAGATATTTCCTATTATGGAATATTTTGTGCTTCTATCAGCATAATTTTACGTAAGCAAGCCTAATTAATTATTACGACAATTTAGAACAAATGAAGTATGGAAAGAATGTTCTCTTGTTAGCGTTTAACAGTCCTGTTAAGAAAGTAGCTTCCTTTTAAGTTGGCAAAGAGACTTTGGTGAATAAATATAGTATTAACATATAAATCGATAAACATACTGTAAAATAGTCATTATGTTATATTTATTTCTTAAGAGAATGTCGAACAAGTTTATTTCAATGTTTCTATTTGTATTTTCAGAATAAAAATTCATAGTTGCTTATTTTTCTTTAAATGATAGAAATATTAATAAATAATTGAGATTTTACAAAAAATTACGTAATTAAGATAAAATTCATTAATGAACAATGCTTTAAATTTGTTTATTCCGTAATATTTGCCTTTTTATCTCAACTTTTTAAACATCAAGTTGAAACAATAAAAGTATTAAAAGCATATTAACTGGTAGAATTTTGACGAAAAATATCAAATCGTCTGCTAGGGTCAAAATTAGGAACATATTGATAACAGAGCGGGAATTATAACCGATAAGTTATTTTAAGTGTTGCTTTGGCCTTCAGTAATCATGCTGAGATTGCTTACCATGTCTCGTGAGACTGCTTCTCGTCGAATATCAAATTTGAGGCATATCTTGGATAGGAGTCAAGCAATTTCTGGGATTAAATTTTTTTGCTCATCTAGTAAAGTTCATTAAGTTCTAAGAAACTTTTAGAAAACTATTTAATTCCTCTATGATTTTAGGTGGAAATGAATTTGTTAGTATTGGTGACGTTTCCGTGAAAACAGAAAATCCTAAAAATCCCGCCTTGGTTCCTATTAAATACAGTAATTACGCAATAATTTTTATTTTCAAAGGGTTGAGCTCTATATTTATGTCTTTAATTATAGTACCTGAAGGAAAAATACCTCAGAGTTTACTCCAACATTTACGATGGATAATGCAAAAGGTTAGCTTATTATTTAAACATGTTATATTGGAAAGAACTAAGCTTCTTTTATGATATTTTAGGATGTTTTAGGCCAAGATATATTCCTTATTGGTGCTCCAGGACCTTTAAGAAGATCAGTCGCCATGATGTATCTGGTATGTTCTTGTGTTTCTTCAATTTTTGTTCAACTAAAATAATTGATTTTATTCTTTTTTCTTTTTTAAAGGAATTAACTCTCAGGGAAGCCGAATATATATCACTATCTAGAGATACTACTGATAGTGATTTAAAGCAAAGAAGAGAAATCCAATCGGGAACATCGCATCATATTGATCAGGTATTTTTATATTTAGACTATATACTGTAAAGAGTATGTAAGCTTTTCGAATTATTTTAGTGTGCTGTCAGAGCGGCTACCGAAGGTCGAGTTCTAATTCTTGAGGGAATAGAAAAAGCTGAAAGAAATGTACTTCCCGTTTTGAACAATTTATTAGAAAATAGAGAAATGCAATTAGACGATGGCAGATTTTTAATGTCTGCTGAGAGATATGATAAATTATTAAAAGATCATAGCAAGGAAGAACTTGATTCATGGAATTTGGTCAGAGTATCCGAAAAATTTAGAGTTATTGCACTTGGTCTGCCAGTACCAAGATATACGGGTAATCCACTAGATCCACCTCTCAGATCTAGATTTCAAGCCAGAGATGTTCCAACCGTCCCATATCAAGAACATTTAACTATGCTCAAAGACGTCGGTAAAGACCTTCTACCGGAAAAGTATATTTTATTTTTTCTTTACAACAGAATATGTATATAATACTAACTCAAGCAATTTCCTTTCAAAGATTAAATCAAGTCTTATCATTTGCTTCAACTCTAAGAACAGAGGAGTCTAGACAACTCTCTTTACCTGATTTCCCAATTGATAATATACATAAAATTGTGGATATTATGGTAAAAATAATTGAATATTTATATATTGAATGATAAATCATAAAATTGCACTCAACTGTTTCACAGAAAGATGTCCCAATAGCAAATGTTCAAAGGTTACTAGAGCTTATGTATCCGTATCACATATTGTTAACAAAAGAAGGTAAAACGGCGGTTGAAGATTCATTAAAAGTATATATATATATATATATATATTTAATTTCTGGGTATTAATTAATATTTATAATTTGTAGACTTTTAATTTGAAGCAAGAATTAGAACCTTCTATGTTTATATCTGAAATTTCAAGAAAGGGTAATGAAGCTGAAGTTACTGTTATGCAAAATAGAACATCGGCAACTTTCAAAGTATAACATAAATATTTCATTAAGAGTATGTCGTTAACTACATAAAAAAACTTATTAAATCAGGTCAAAAGTGGAACGAATAATGAGCAAAGATTGATAGAAGAATTTGTAGCTACGGGTTATCATGATAACATGCTTGCCGAAATGATGCTAAGTCATAAAGTTCACGATCTTTGTATTGTCGGTCCACGGGTAAATATTAACCTGCATTTTGATACTTAGTTTATAAACAAATTGAATTTAATCAATGATCTAATCAGAGATTATAATAAAGAGTTAATTATGTAGGGCATGTTACTGTTAGCCTATCTATATGAATTTTTTCAATAATGTCTTAATAGGGTTGTGGAAAATCTATTGTTGTTAACCAATTTGCGAATATGTTGGGTTATAATGTAGAGCATATAATGTTATATCAAGACATGTCTGCAAGAGATTTATTGCAACAACGAACAACAACACAGTCTGGAGATACGATTTGGCAACCTTCAGCCTTGGTAACTGCTGCAAGAGAGGGTTCACTAGTTGTCTTGGATGGAGTTCACCGAGCGAATGCGGGAACCTTTGCCGTTTTACAACGGTTTGATCATACTATATAAAAAAATAAATATAATAAAGATAACCATTAACCTATCAATGACAGGTTAATTCATGATCGGGAGCTATCATTGTTTGACGGAACTAAATTAATGGGTCACGATCGCTATAATGAGCTTAAAAGTAAGCATAGTTTAACTGATGAGGAATTGGCGAATAGGTAAAAAAAAAACTGAAAATGGAACATTGCTAAATTATAAAATACTAATAGTAATAATTTTTTGTTAATAGGAATGTATTCCCCATTCATCCATCATTTAGAATAGTTGCTCTATCAGAACCTCCTTCGAGTGCAAATCAACAAAATTGGTTAACATCTGAAATGCTTACAATGTTTCTTTATCATACAATGGATGGATTGACTAAATTTGATGAACAGCATATTATTAATAAATTGGTTTGTATATTTTATATTCGTTGAAAAATAACTATTTTATATTCCATATTTATTATTAAAAGGTGCCAAAAGCAGAAGGATTAGATCCTATCCTACAAGTTACTCATAAGCTAAGAGAATCGACAGATAGTAATGTAAGTAGTCGAAGATCTAGTTATAATTCAGATTGTTTATTTTCATTTTCTCGATTTTAGTTAAAATCAATAGCTACTTCGCTATCAACAAGACAACTACTTAGGATAGCAAAAAGATTATATACCTATCCTGGTGACAATGTTTACGATGTTGTACAAAAAGCCTGTTTGGCAAAATTCCTTCCAAGACTAACTAGGACAGCTTTAGAAGAGGAATTAGAAAGGATGAATATAGCTAAGAAGCAAGTTATAACAGGAGTTGAAAATATTGAAAATTCTATAACATGTAATCTCTTCACTTTTATTTACCTTAATTAACTTTTATTTAATAATTCCATTTAAAAATAGGTGGAATTAAAAATGGAGTATTAAGAATTGGAAACACAACTGTTGATATCAATCAAACAGATGCTAAAATGAAAGTACCAGACGTATTATTCTATGAAAATCCTCAAGTAAATCATTTAAATACACTGTATAAAGAAAAGATGAAAAATTATTGAAAAAAATCTAACCTTTATCAGCATCTAATGGTTATGGAAGATATGTTGAAAGATTATCTTCTTGGAGAACACTTACTACTCGTCGGTAATCAAGGTGTCGGAAAGAATAAGATTATTGATAGATTTCTCTCTCTCTTAAATAGACCTAGGGAGTATATACAATTACATAGGTAAAATACCAATATCCTTCCTATATATGAATGCAAGAAAGATTGCTAATTTTTTAATATTTTATCAGAGATACAACAATACAAACTCTAACATTACAACCAACTGTTGTCGATGGTGTGATTAAGTTTGAAGACTCACCTTTAGTTAAAGCAGTAAAGAAAGGATATGTCCTAGTCGTTGATGAAGCTGACAAAGCTCCTACAAATGTTACTTGCATATTGAAAACTTTAGTTGAAAATGGCGAAATGCATTTAAGTGACGGAAGAAGAATCGTAAATGGTTAATATTTTTTCTAATTATCGTTCTTTCGCATTTATTCATTTATACTTGTATTATTTAATTCCTTTTCTTGTAATATTCCAGCTAATTCTAGCCTAGAACCGAGTGAGAAAATAATAAAGTCACATCCAGATTTTAGAATGATGGTATTGGCTAATAGACCCGGATTCCCCTTTCTGGGAAATGATTTCTTTGGCGCAATGGGTTTGTTAATTTTTATTAACACTTATAACTTATGCTCATATATCCATATATTGTACTTTATGTATAATAATATTCTCTTGCTTTTGTGTTCAAGGTGATATATTCAGTGCACACGCTATTGATAATCCTGATGTTACATCTGAAATGGAAATGCTTCGCCAATACGGACCACAAGTTCCAGAACATATACTTAAGAAATTGGTACTTGCGTTTGGCGAACTAAGAACGATGGCCGATGAAGGACAAATAAATTATCCATATTCAACTAGAGAAGTTGTTAATATGGTTAAGCATCTTCAGGTAAATATTACTTCCTTTCAAATGTTCTAGATAAATGTTAACTGCAACTATCTACTGAATTTTAGAAATATCCTAATGAAGGTCTATCATCAGTTGTACAAAACGTTTTCGATTTTGATTCATATAACAAAGAATTAAAGGAAACAGTTGTTGAAACTATGCACAAACACGGAGTTCCAATTGGAGCAAATCCAAATAATATTAAATTAGCCAAGACGTAAGTAAAAAATTTAGAGACTTTATTGAATGGAATTTTGTTTTTTTCTCAATGAAAAACCATATTATATTAAATACAATTATTATTTTTAAAATAAAAAGAAACTTAGTAAAGAAGTGTTTTTTTCTTCTAAATTTGAAAAAAAGTAAGAAAATACAAAAGAAAACAAGATGGATTCTGCAAAAACAAAAAAAAAGACAAAATAACAATCTAACTTATTTATTTTATACAATTATATATATGTATATATAGATAGATAAATATATATATATATTTTGACATTTTTGCAGGATCAATCTTCCAGATTTTGTTAATATTGGTAAAATACAACTTATAAGATCACCTGAGGCATCAGTCTGTTCTGTAGAGGATAAAAAGTTTAGGGTTAAAGTAAGTTATAGAATAGATAATGAGCAATTAATTAAGTGTTGAAGTAATTAAATGAACAATAGGGTACGGTTAGGAATGCTCTTCAAAATTTTCCCCTTGAAAAAACTGAAGCTCGATCTATCTTATTCTCTGAACAAGAGAGTCATTGGACATTGCCGTTACACGAAACTAGCGCAGTTGTTGATGTGGCAGTAACCAAAGGTATATAAATAACAGACAAACTTGATAAAAGTACAACAGATATTTCTTTTCAATTAAAAAAAGCTCAAATGAGATCTCCGGTTCAGGATAAGAAAAGCTTAGAAGATATTATCCATGTTATTACAGCTAATCCTATTAGTTTATATTCAATGAATGCGTCCAAACAACATCTAACCTGTATAGACCTATATAACTTCTTCCCAACGACTAAAGTCTCTAGCAGGTTTAAGCCAAAGATAACTATTATCCCTCTCTCCTCCCCTTTGGACTATTCTATAGTCCTTCACGAGGAAGAAGTAAGTAATAATCTTATTATATACATAGGCCTTTCGTATGTATACGAAACCTTTTATATACAGACAAATACAACTTTATTAATCAATTATGAAAATGGAGATGTTTCTAAGTTAGAAACTCAGACAATGCTGGAAAGCGCCGCTCAGAAGGTTACAAAAAATTTTAGATCTTATCAAGTAAGAATCAAAGAGGAAATAGAATTATGACAAATTAATTAATCCATCAATTTGTAAACATAGGGATTATATAGGATATGTGGAGATTTTACTCACGAAACTCATCAAATATTAATCTATAAAAAAAATGAGTAAGTAATTTGTATATATTTGAATTCTTAATTTACATTATAAGGGTAATTTTAATTAAAAAAATACAGATCTAAAATAGAAGTTATTGACCTCCTTCAAGGTATTTGTCATTGCGTCACATTACCTGGAAAGATAAGCAATTTACATATGCCTTCAAGATACGATTGGCTTATAAATGATGACGAAAATAACAAGTAAAGTATTACATTTAATTTAGATATAGCGTTAATTATTAGTTTAAATTATAACTATTTAGGAGATATTTAATATCACATACAAAGGAGAATCCCTATGAGTATACAATACAAACACTCTCTGAAGCAAACTCTGATCTAGGTTTGTCAAATAATTTAATTTCAAATCAAATAAATACTTTTATCTTTGTTAGAAATGATTGTGGCTGAAATGGATAGAGTTAGTAATTCACCTATGCATTCTACCCATCTCTCCCACGTTCTTAATGAACAAATTGAAAGTCCTAATAGAGTTTTAATGAATTCACAAACTTACGCCTCTATTGCAGTAGGATTTCCTGAATTAGTAAGTTTTATTGATATACCGATGTACATTGGAATTAATTTATTCAATTCTTAACAGTCCAGTTCGGATATATATACAATTCCTAGAAAAGTTGATAATACTGCAAACGAATACTTTAAGAAATTAGTTTCTGGCAAAGCTAAAGGAACACCCGTAGCCTATCTTCCAAATACTTCTCAGGTCGTCAGATTAATGCCAACCTATGGCGTTCCTGAGGAGGCAGGAGTAACCAGAGAATCGGCTAGATATTTATCCGGATATTTAGAAGTTACCGATCCTCTTAATAAGAAAATTAGATACCTTCCAATTCCAGGGTTAGTTAGCAATAAATTCTTTAAAGGAGATTTTTGTATAAATGTATCTGCAGAGTTTCGAATTATTCCGTGTACAATCAATGGTTTGTAAGAGATTCGGACGTTGACATCATAATGAGTCCTACATCAAATGATGGTATTGTTACGGTAGATGGAGGAGGATGCGTCAGATTGTGGGAAACTTCAATAGCTCATTTAGATAGCTCTCTGGGAAGCTGGAGACAAATGATAGGCTCAATGGACTTTGAAAACTTACAAATTACAAGAGGAAAAGACGGTCCTCAACCGCCAATGGATTTTAGCGGACCTAAACACGGTAGAGTAGATCCATCCAATGCTCCTCACGTTGGCGGAAATCAATGGGCTGGCGGAAGTGGCGGCCGAGACACAGCTGGTATGGGTGGAGGTGGAGGACCTTATAGACTGGATTCGGGCCACGATGTCACACAGATACCAGATTGGCAAAAAATGAATATTCCCCCAGAAGTTCTCTTAGCCGCTCGGGAAATGGGCTTAAAAGCTTGGAAAGAAAGATTAAAACAAATTGAAATGAGTGAATATGACGGCGAAATGTATGATCGTTTCTCGCAAGCTGTGCAAAGGCAAGTTCAGTCGTTGAGGGTTATCTTGGAAAATCTACAAGTAGGCATATTGTAAATCTAGTTGAACGCCTTTTAATTTTTTTTCTATAATCTCATAACAGGCTAAAGGAAAAGAACGCCAATGGCTAAAACATCAATCGCACGGTGACCTCGACGAAACTAAATTAATTGAAGGATTAGCAGGAGAAAAGTCAATTTATAAGAGAAGAGGCGAAAAAGAACCTGAAGTAATTTAAATATTGTTTTCTCTGTGCCTTAATATAATTTTACCATATGATTTGTAATTTTTCAGATGGGCACTCCCCAGCAAAAACCAAAACTGTTGAGGCTCGTTGTCGATGTCTCAGGAAGTATGTACAGATTCAACGGGTACGACGGTAGATTGGAAAGATCTCTTGAAGCTTGTCTTATGGTTATGGAAGCTCTTGAGAATTTTGAACATAAAGTTAAGGTAAGAATGAAACAATATAAATTAAAAAAGAGTTAAAATCATCTGTACTGTTGTTTTTTTTTCTATAACAAACATTAGTTTGAAATTGTTGGACACTCGGGAGAAGGACCTAGTTTTGATATGCTGAAAAAGGATAAACTACCTAAAAATAATAAAGAAAGATTAAATGTTCTTAAAGTAATTATACTACATATTTTGATTATTTTAAACCAAAATAATGGTTGGCTTCTTTTAGACGATGCACGCTCATTCTCAATTTTGTATAAGTGGGGATCATACGATAGAAGCCACTGAAGAAGCAATTAAAAAAGTATCCTTGTTTACTAATTCAATTAATAAAAATTATTGATTAATTAATCAATCAATTAGATAAAAGAAGAAGAGGCTGATGAGCATTTCGTTATAGTTCTAAGTGACGCCAATCTAGATAGATACGGAATAAGACCAAAACATTTAACAGAAGTCTTAACAATGGATGAAGAAGTCAATTCATACATTATCTTTATTGGAAGTTTAGGAAATCAAGCCCAAAGGTTATATTTATTGAAATAATCATTTTATTTTAATCTTTATATTTAAAGATTCTCTTTTCTCTCTTTAAACTAATATTTTATTAAAACATGAACAGTTTGGTAAAACAATTGCCATCGGGACGAGGGTTCTTATGTATGGAAACAAAAAATTTACCCCAAATTCTTCAACAAATATTTACATCAACTATGCTTGCAACATAAATTTTGTTTTTTGTCCAAAAAAATTCAATCATTTCTTTAATAATAAACGTATATTTTACATATAAAAATTCTGCATTTAATGTACGATTTAACAGGTTCAACGTCTTAGATTACGTCATAAAAAATCATATTGTAAAATTGTAGAGTAGAAGCTCGGTGTATTCTGATAACGAAAAACAATTTGTTATGAGTAGTTTAATTTAAATCTACATAATTAATCCTACGAAATGGAAATTTGTTAAAATATTCCAGATATTTGCGTCTTTCTTTATTCTATTCGAGAAAAGAGGAAATTGATTGAAAAAACAAAAAAAGAAATAGGGAAGATGTTCGAGTTTTTCAATTTGTACCAGATTAATAAACAGTATTATATACTCTATTTTTTCCCTCCCTCTGAAATATTTGATTTATAATTAAGAATAGATGAATAGTATTCAATGTAGAGTACGATTTCCCTGACTGCTATAAAAGCGCAACCAAACCACAAAGTCTTGTCTTTAGGGAGCAATAGTTGACGCAAAGAAAGAAATATGAATCCCTACATCATGTTAAGCCTAGTTCTTTTAGTGTTTTTAATAGCTCTTCCACAAAGTCTCTCTGATTCGACTGACCTAATTCGGAGAGTAGAGGTTTGATCTTGTCTCTATATTTTAATAAAAAATGTTACATATATTGTTAATTAATTGTTAAAGAAATTTTTGGAAGAATATGAAGATTACAAAGTTGAAGAGGGTAAATTTGATAACAAGAAGAAGCCAGAAGACATCTGTCGATCAGAACGGTTTCAAAAAGCTTTAAAAAAAATGCAAAAGTTTGCTGGTCTCAAGCCAACTGGAAATATAGATCAGGCCACGTTGGGAAAGATTTCTTCACCTAGATGCGGTGTTAAGGATGAAGAAAACCCAAAAAGAGATAAAAGAAGTTCACAAGGATGTAAGTGACTAAAATCATTTGAACAGTTTATTAATATCGTATTTAACCTACTCAATTCAAATGATTGCTTAGTGTATAGGTGGCCTACTACTCATCTAAGAAACTGTGTAAGATATGAAAATCCTACAGAAATGAGTAACGAGGTCATTAAAGAAATAGTAGCACAAGCTTCCCAGGAGTATGCGGATGTAACATCATTAAACTTCGAAACAAATAATTCTCCTGAAGATCCTATTTTGGAATATTTCGAATGCGATATTGTACTCTATTTTCACGGACCAGGAATAAACGACTGCTCTTATCCTTTTGACGGACCAAAAGGTGTATATTATAAATTATTAAATAATTCTATTATTTAACATGCCATATTATGAATTAGGAACGTTGGCTCATGCTTTCCTGCCTACAAGTGGGCAAGTTCATTTTGATCAAGATGAAACATTCTCATTAGATATTAACAATTTAACTGCGTATGATTTCAAGTCAATAGCACTTCATGAAATTGGTCACGCATTAGGTTTAGAGCATTCGGAAAACAGTAGCAGTGTCATGTTTCCATATTATCAGACTAATATGAGAAAATTATCACAAGCTGATATAATTGCCATACAGAATTTATATAGTACTTCTCCAATTAATCAACCGCAAACTGGTGGAATGGAGCCAGGGTCTTCAATCGACAGGGAAGATTTGTGCAAAAAACCTACTTTTGATACAATCTTTCAAATAAATAATCAATCTTATTATATATTTAAGAATAAGTTCTTTTGGAGTTTCGATATTGAAAGATCACATCGTCTGTCTGAACCAATGCTGATTAAAGATCATTGGCCTGGTTTGGAACCTAATATTGATGCTGGATTTTTATGGCCATCAACCGGATATACGTATATTTTTAAAGATGATAAATATTGGAAATTTAAAAATCATGAATCCTCTGAAGGTTATCCTAGAAAAATAGGAGAGAACGGATTTTATAATATACCAAAAAAACTTGATTCCGTTTTTGTTCATCCAGAAAACGGAATGGTCTATTTTACGAAAAATTCTAATTATTGGAGGAGCGATGTTATACGAGAGAACGGTTCCAATGAATATCCCAAACCGCTTAAAAATGTACTGGGAATAGATAAACTAAGAAGTGCCATTGAAATTAATGGGACAATGTACAACTTTCATAAAGACAGCTCACTATTTTACAGTTGGAACGTTGATATCTCAAATGCCACCAAAATAGGTTGGATGACGTATACTAAAAAATTTTTGGGTTGTCCCATTTCGATAGATGAGCAATTAAAAACAAATAAATACTATACGTATACTTCTACAGAAGAAACCTTTGAGAAAAGAAGACAAAAAATGATCCAGCGGAATATTCAGTTTGAATTTTCATTAGACAGTAGCTCTGAAAGTATTAGCTATGGGAAAGCTTCAATACTGATACATCTCTCAGCTTTTTTAACTTTCCTTGTCATATAAATTCAGAATTTCAAAATAGTTCATTTATTACATTTCCCAAAAATGGAGATAGATGAATAAAATTTTTCGAAATTCTATTGATATTTTATAGATGTTTGTATTTGGAATAATTATATTCCATAACGCACTCAAAACTCTAATCTAACGGAGAAATATAGTCTTTTATTCGACCATCTTACATAAATAGTTCATTTGATACATTTCGATCGATCCATTGTCCATTTTAACGACACCTTCACCGCTGTCGCTACTTAAGAGCTGTCCAGTTTGATCTCTTTCGTCACCCATAATTACCTATGAAAATATTAAAATTATAAGAGACTAGAAAGAATTTCAATTGAATCATTTCTTTTACCTTGACTCTGTTGTTTCTAGTCGGTTGAACTGGTTCCAAGGTGTGAGGTGGAACGGATACAATTTTATTATTCAAAGCTGGTACTTGAACAGTCGCAAGATTTCCAGTAGCTCCTTTTACTATACATTCCTGGTTTCTTAGTTGGGCATCATCGTGATCCATTCCAACTCGGACAACCAAATCGGAGCATAGCCAATCGGCATTTGAAGAGTCAAACGCTGACGGAGTTGGAGCAGCATACGGAGTAGGAGGTGTTGGTGCGGCAGGAGTGTATGGATTGAAAGACACTGCTGGACTGTGAGTAATTTCGTCGTCCAGAGGTTTTGGTGTTGCACTAGCCGAAGGGTCCCAGGCTCCTCCAGGAGTTCGAGAACCATCGTGACTCGGAGTTGCTCCTCCATAATGAGGCGTTCTTGATCCATCGTAGAGAGGTGTTTGTGAACCATACATGGGAGTTCTGCCTCCACTGTATGATGGAGTTACTCCTCCCATCTGTCCTTGGGGAGTTTTGGTGGGGAAAGTTCCCGTCACAGCTCTTGCGCTCTTGGAATCGTTTACAGTTACTAAACGATTAATATCGACATTAACTGTATTACATCCAGTATGCAATTCAACCCTAGCAGTGTCATCAGTCGCATCCTTCACAATTCCTATGTAGCCCTTATAACCTCCTTGAGTAATTCGCACAGTTTGACCTATAAGTTTCCTATTTCTCATTGACCCATCAGTCATTCGTCCTCGACCAGCACCCTGACTTGGATGTTTCGGACTCATTATTCTTGGTGACATGCTACCAGATAGAATGTTCGAAGGACTGCTACTAGTCTTTCCGGCAACAGATATATGGCGAGCACGGCAAACGAACATTCCAGAATTTTCAGCAACTAAACGAGAATGGAGAAATACAAATGCACGAAATATATGCTTAACTTGTCCTTGATGTCCTGAATGAGGGCCATCTTGGACCTTGACCATATCTCCAACAGTTACTTCTTTATTGTCAGCATCTAACGCTCGAGCATTTTTGTTAGATTTTTTAGGCTGAACGGCTGTCTCTTTTAGTTTCTTTACATGACCATGCATGGTTAGAATATGTAGATATTCTCTTTCCAATCGAACAATTACGCCAACTTGCTGTTGCTCAATCAAAACCATTTGACCATGTTCAAATTTACCAGCAGAATCTACTCCTGTTGCTCTATCCGTACATAATTGAACATCTCTTGGTAAAACAAGCAATTCATGCATTGATAAATCGGATATTATTCTCAATTCCTTGTCTTCAACAGCTACAACTAGACCGGTGTCGCCAACAAAATTTCCTTTTAAAACTTTCACGTGATCACCAATATGAAAATATTTTCTAAGTTCATGAGCAGGGAAAGACATACGATCCTTCAATTCTTTATGTTTTGGGAGCATTTCAACAACTCCACCTTCAACTTTGACAACTTTACCCTGCAAATTCTGCAATTCTCCAGTAACTACTTCAACATTGTCACCTGGTGCGAAAGGCTGTTCTTCGGTCCACTTTAGTTTTTGCAAATCTAGCGAGTCTTTTTCTGCTGACTCTTCAAACTTTTCCAATTCGTTCATAGTCGGCTTAACACCCTCGGTTATTAAGAGACCAACACTCAAATTTTTGTACAAGAAACCCTTTCGACTGTAGCGATTTCCTTCAAAGATTAAGTAATCCCCATCAGTATTCCAATCACCCCCTATACTTTTTATAAGATCAGGATCAAATAGCTTTTGTGGAATTCTCCCCTTTTTTTTTGGCTCCTCATTTGTTTTCAAGGCTCCTCGTTTTCTTGTATAATCAATTCTTGGTATAAGTTTAGCACAAATTTGATTTTGAGATGGTTCACAATAAAAGACCTGAGCCAAGTCTCCCTTAAATCTTCCAGACTTGAGTCTTACCCAGCTGCCTTCCCTTAAATTTCCAACTGCTTGAACAACTTTAAGTACGTCAGGCATTTGCTTAATAGGAACCATTTGCTGTTGATAAAATCCAATTTTAAGATTCCCAATGCCATCGATTGCCTGCTTAACGTGAGTTTGTTTAAAAGCTTCAATATAAATATACCCTTTAAGATGCTCAAGACAAACGACAGATTTAATCAGCAAGGGTTGGCCTTCATTTTCATACGTAAGATATTTTCGCATTAAATGAAGAGCAGTATTTTTTTCTTCGCCCATTCGACATTTGACTACCCACAAGTTAGGGTCTTTAACGCCAGGTAAAATGGAATGTTGGCTAATGTCATCAGACATTTGCTCTCCTTGGCCGTAACTATGCGATGGACCAGAATAGGCGTATTTTTGTTTGTAATATTCGTTAATTTCTTCTTCATCTTCAGGTTTTAGTGTATCGTCTGGAGTAATAAAACGATCGATGTCTCGAGCACTAGGTCCTCTTTCCTCTTGAAGAATTCTTATGGCTTCCTTAGGATCATAACCAGCCTCAGGTCTATCATCTTCTTCCTCGTCTTCGTCGCTTTCATCAACCTCTGTTGTAAAATATTTAAACAATGCCAAAACTTTCAAAATTGTTTAATACACACAAACCTGCTTCATCAATAATGAAATTGGAAACCTTAGATCTCTTTCTTGGCCTTTCGTCGTATTCCTCCTCCTCCTCTTCCTCCTCTTCGCTAAAAGATTTATCATTCTCCGAGTCAGACCCACTCATTTCCTATAAAAAGTAAAAAGTATGAGAATGGCTATATAATAATGATGTTTATTGATATATTTCTATGATTTATTAAGCGATTAATCAATATATTTAATTGGAACTTGCATCATATCTCTTGCTATTGTAGAAATAAAAGTTAACCATGTGAAATGATAGAGAAAGAAACAGGATATTTACCTCATCGCTTCTGTCACTATCCGACATTTTCTGGGGGGAAAAGGACTACTGATGCAGAAATGAATAAAAACACTACCAATTACACTTACAATTGTCTAAATTAGTCAAAATATGAAACCTCTTGTTCACAAGGAAATCTCTCCGGATAAACCACAGTAGAACTGAGTATTCCTTAGATGCAGCAGTTACTTCAGTGTATAACCTCTACTGCGCATGCGCTCCACAGACGAAGTATTCAATAGAAATACACCAGTTTTCTTTTATCAGAATTTTGGCGCGAAACTGTTCCCAGTCGCCTTGATGTGATAATTTTTGTTGTTAAATATTTTGTGCACTGTAGCTGTTCAAGTTAAATTGACTAAAAATTAGCAACAAACATTATAGGAAGAACTCTTGAAAAGCGACTGGAACAAATTTTAACCTTTAACTTTTAAATAACATTTGTGACCAGTACTCAACAATCTACCACAGAAAATCTTTTTACAAATAATATTACTATCATGCCTCGTCATTGGGATTCGATTTATAAAGGATGGAATGAACAACCTTTTCAAAGGTTAATGTTATCCACAAACAGACTTAGGAATGAAATTACCCAGTATTGTTGTAAAAATATTCCAGCAGTGGAAATGGAGGCGGTTGAACATGTAATAAGGGATTATAATGAAAATAAAAACTATCTTAATAGTGTACCAATAAGTATAAAATGTTCAATTGATAGGTCGTGTACACGATTTGAGGGTGAAAGTGATTTCTATGTTCGTATAAAGGAAAATTTGCAGAAGAATGATTATCACTCCTTAGTTATTCCCATAAAAAATAAGAAAACGTCTCCAATGAAATGTATGTGCGTCATTAAGCTAACGTCTGTTGAATGCAGAGAGGATGAACAGTATGCAGTTTTCCGCTACAAACTAGGGTTTCAAACTTTATCGTGGAGCGTTGAAGAACTTTGGAGTATATCTAATGAATTTTCAGCAACACTCTTTTGTCATACCGATACAACTAGTAAGAGAAGGATTAATGCCATTAAATCTTTAAAACTTTCTGATGAATCAGTAAACAAAATTATTCTTCGTCTGCAAAGTATGGCTCATGATAGGGCTACATCGAAATCTATCAGTAGAAGTCACGGTAATCTTTGTAAGCCAAATGATAAGCAACAAGAAGCAATTGCTCATGCTTTGGATGAAAGTCAAAAATTTTCTGTAATTCAAGGACCACCTGGCACTGGAAAAACAGAAACGGCCGCTCACATAATTTATCATTTATACCAAATGAATAGGAAAAGTATCAACCAACAGAAACCAAAGATTCTTTATTGCGCTCCATCTAATAAAGCAACAGACAAGATCATTGACTACCTCCAAAGACTACCCCATAGCATTCGTCCGAAGATTATCCGAGTATTGAGTTCATTTTTGGAAAAAGTAACCTATCCGATTCCGCAGGAAGGCGATCCATTTTTCATCAGAAAACCTTTCATAAGCGATGAAACTTTGGATAAAGTTACAAGATTGTCTAATTATTCTCATATTCTCTTGCACGAGATGATTAGGGAAGTTTCAAGCGACATACAAATGTATGACCAAATGATTGAGGACGGAGACTTCATAACAAATAAGGAAATTAGATATTTCCGATATTTGATCAGAAAAGAAAAGAATAAAGTATTAAAGACAGCTGACGTAATATTATGCACATGTACTGCATCTGGAATGGCAATTTTACAGAATTTAAATATTAAACAAGTCATTATCGATGAATGTGGAATGTGTACTGATTCCGATTGCCTTATCCCTTTGACGAATTTGAAACCGAAAAAAATTATATGTATTGGCGATCATCAACAATTGCAACCAGTAGTGTTTTCAAAAGATTGTGTTAGAGAAACACTTCACAATACCGCATTTGAGTATTATTCAAAACAAAATGGAGTTACTGTCTTGAATCGCCAGTATAGAATGCACTATGACATTTGTGATTTTCCGTCGAAAACTTTTTATGACTCTAAATTGATTTGCGGAACTCTAGAACAGTATTTACCATCAAAATTGCTTTCGTTTTGGGATAATAATTCAAGGCCAAAGGTATTCTTAGACATCGTTGGAATAGAGAAAAGGAATTTGCGTAATGGATCTTTTTACAATAAAATAGAAGCTAATCTCGTTGTTCAACTGCTGAATTTATTAATTTATAGAGAAAGAGTAAAAGGTCGAGATATCATGGTTTTAACTTATTACAGAGCTCAAGTTGTGGAAATTCAAAATGCTATAAGGCAATCCCGTATTGTTCATAATTTTAACCCAAAGAATGTGCAGACCATCATTACGTCTCAGGGTAGCGAATGGAAGTACGTGATTATTTCATGCGTTAGATCTGTCGAAGGCAATGAATATCCAGACGAACCAAGTGAAGAGTGGAGAAGAAGACACATTGGATTTCTTGACGATTATCATCAGCAGAACGTTTGCATAACTCGAGCCAAAGATGGTTTAATAATAATAGGTAACATTAAAATTTACTAAATTAACTAATTAGCATATAACACATGTATTTTAGGCGATGCTAGTACATTAAACTGCTGTGATACTTGGAGAAAACTAATTTCTGATTATACGGAAACATTTTGTTTTGAGGATGCAGCTAATTTTAATTGAAAATAATTTGATAAAATCACTCAAATCGAAAACTTAGAATGTTGTAACAATGCTTATCCTAGAATACATTTTTTAACAAAGCTTCTAATGCTGCATAGTTCAGGTTGATGGATATCATAAAAGTAATTGAAATGATCCTTTCCAGGAATAATATGATTTATTACTGTCTTCATACCGTAATTGATCAATTTCTCGCCGTATTCTTTACTTTGACGAATTAATTCTCTGGGATCGTATTCGCCTACCAAAATGTAAACTGGAACAGATAAATTCACTTTAATCTCGTCAACTTTGTTTATTGGACTAAACTCTTCTGCATCTTTCTCGCTCATATTCAAAGGGGCGTTGATTGAAGTCTTAATGATATTTTTCAGCTCAAATATGCCACTGAGTAAAATAAATCCGGATAGTTTTGAGCCAAATTCAGCTGACATCATTAATGCTGCTAAATGTCCTCCAGCACTATGGCCACATAAGTATATACCTTTAAATTTGTTCTCATCGCTAACGTTTAGTAGAAGTTCAGTTGCTTGTTTAATATCATTGATGATTTGGGACATATTCGACTTGGGAGCAATCTCATAGCCAATAATTGCAACTTTTATTGGAAGACCACTATTAGGAAAAAAAATATTAATATCTTATTTAGGCATTTTATTTTTTTAGAAGTTTTTATTGTAATTTGAGAACGTATAATCTCATTCTGGGATCCTCTATTGTCATTTTGTGGAAATTTTATCTGTTTTATTCAGTAAATATGTATACATCTTTTATTTTGTTTTACCTATTAATTTTAATATTTTCTCTGCTATAAAGAAACTATATATGGTAAATACGATTGCTCTCCTATATATATTATTTTTAATGATGTACACTGTAAAAAACGTTTGAAATAAATTTGAACTGAACCTAAGAAAATTGATAAAGAATTGTTATACTCTACAATTAAGGCGGCTCCTATTGAGGATTGAACGTCCAATGCTTGCCAATAACCTCCATGAATAAAACAGAAAAGTGGAGCTTCCTCTGGGCAATTCTCTCCTTGAAAAATTAAAATCTTTTGTTCTGGAAGTTTGCCATAAGCAAATTCTTTTTTTAAACTGCTTTTTACTATTTTGCCAAAATTGTCAAAATTCTTTATATAATTATTGACAGCTTCCTCAGTCTTTTGATCTCTGCACCATTTGGATGGAGATAATTCATATTCCCAGTCGATATCTGCCATTTTTGATCGCTAAAAAAAGAGGATGGACAAATATTTTTTATGGTACTAAACTTTAAACTGTAAGTGAACAATGGATACTAAAATTTCTAGCCTAGTGTTTAAAATTTTTTTTATACTATTTTTACATTCATTATTAACAAATACCACTCAGTTCAATATGATATAGGCAACTGCGACATTCAAAGTTCACCGTTTGTTTTGCTAAAAAGTTTTCGCGAATTTTAAAACTAAACCTATCTAACAGGTTGTTGGCAAATTCTTGATCCAGGACTCTTAAAACTCCAGAATATGTTCTTTATATTATTATTATATTTATTTCATTTAACTTAATCTTATCAGATAGAGAAATGTAGATTATCTTAGTAATATGTATTGGATGACAAGCAATTGATTTTAGTCGTCGTATGTGAAATATGGATAAAAATGGTTTTTCTACAATAAAATTCAATTTAGGAATGATATCTCAGAAAGAGTAGCTATTCTCTATTTAGTTAAAAAAAATAAAGGCTAAAACCACAAAACCCTATTGATACAGTAAATTATCTTTTCATTTTTAAGTCTTTGATCATTCATTAAAATGGTAGTGATTGATGTTGAAACTAGGCGTTTAGTGATTCAAAAACACCAAGAAGGATTATCATTAAACAAAATAGCGGAAATGTTGATAATTTCTAGGTGTATTGTCCAAAGAATTTGGAAAAAGTTTAAGAAGTTCTCGACTGTTAGAAAACATTTCAAAGAACACAATAATACCAAAATTAAACAAGCCAGATGAGAGGAAGTTATGTTTAATTTCCCAGGAGCTCAAAAAGAGTCCTGGCAGAATCAGTTATATCACTTTCGACCTGTAAGGCCTTATTAAGGAAACACGGCTTGAGAAGCCATGTGATGCAAAAGAAAGTACCTCTATATACTGTATATAATTTCAAACGCCTTTCTTATGGGTTATATAGATGGCGTTAGTTTGTATATCCCTTTCTAGGCTAGTATTGTTAGTGTAAATACCAAAATTTTCTTGTTATTGAAGCGATTGCGCGTTAAACTCATAATCAAACAAATTTAGCAAACCTACAAAGAAAGGCAATATTGTAGCAAATCGACATTTGGTATTTGAGAAAAGTTCTGTTCGGAATAGAAGTAAAGAATATGCCTCAAGTAATGGGCCATCAACAGAATAAACAAATCGACATAAACGTTCTTCTAACTCGTAGTTTTCAACGTATGGAAAAATGTGGAAGGATTAATAAACTAGCTGAAAAAAAGTTAAATAATGAAAAAGGTTATATGCTTAAATGTCAAGAACATGTAGAAAAAGTCGTCGATAAACAAGTAGAAGCAGTTGTTGATGAGATAACTCATTATGACTTATTGAAGAGTAAACAAGTGAGACCATTGGTTGTTGTTGATAGTGTTATTCAAATACCTAAAATAAAACGGCATAAAGAGAAAGTTAGTGAAGAACAGCCAAAAGAAATAAAAGAAAAACCAGGCAATATACAAGGTAAACAAAATGAGTTAATTGCTTTTAAATAGTAAATAATAACATAACAGTAATTAATAAATTAGGAACATTGGGAGCGTTAAAAGCGGCTTCGAAGTTAAAAAATTCACTAAAAAAACAAATACGGTTAGTGAGAAGTTACTCTTCGGACGATATTAGTGGGACTACATACAAAAGGAATAACAAGCTAAAAATTGGTTTATAGTAGACAAAAATTTCAATCCTCCCTGCTTTCTCAAGAAAGGAAAACAAAATAATGACATAAACAATATAGCTTTACCAGTATTTTACAAGAGTTGAAAAAGTCACTTGATAACTTTTTATTACTTTATTATTAAATATACAATATTTTAAACAGTTCATTCGGAGTAATTGAATAATTAGTAATTTGCCGCTTCTGCTTTTTCTTTTTCTTCCCGTTTTACTTTTGCTTGGTATTTGCCAGTCATTTCCTTTGGTATTACATAGAAACTTGAACAAGGAACTTGACCTGGTACTTCGCATATGCAGTGTTGTTTACAATTTTCGCCAAAGTTAGCTTCGGACACTATAGAGGCTTTAGTGGATGCTTCTTCTTCTAACATTTGTCTTTAAAAAGTGTATTTGATAAAGAATGTTTCTTAGAATTATACATTTAATAACTTACTCTGATTTCCCAAAAACTCTTAAAACGTGTTCATATATACTCTCTCTATTTTGGCTATCGCAGTCCACAAGCATCCAGTCTTCGTTATCTATTATTTTACAGTTGTTAAAATGTATTATTATTCCATGCTATACTGAGTTTCTTCTTGCGATCTCTTTCAACTTACCTATATATGCCCTTATGAAGGGTGTAGGAGTCATCCATTTAAATGTATAGAACTCACAATTAGGATTTTTATATTTTAATTGAGCCAAATGCCAGAAAACAAATTCTCTAAAAAAAATTATAGATATTAATAAATTTTTTATTTACTGATTAACTTAATCGCTTACTCCAGTCCCCTGTGGTGAGGATATTCTATTCCCTTTTTCCTTGAATTAAAATTAAAGGTCATCAGTTTGACGTTGTCGCGTAATATGATTTTTCCTTTGTCTAAATATTCAGTTGTTCTTCGAACTGCACCTCTTCCTAATTGAAACGGCATTCTTAATGACTAATATTTATAAGTTGGAAAAGTCACGTGTACGAATATAAAGTTTTACACAAAATGTTTGTGAAGTAACCGGTTAGCAAAATAATACGAGGAAACCGGTTCTAGAATGACTAATGTTGGAGTCTCGGTTTCAAATTTGCTTCCCAGTTTAGGTTTGAAAAAAAAGGACGTTTCAAAGTTTTTATTCAAGATATTAAAGGTTAATACGAATAATAGCGGAATTTATGATAATATACAGAATATTCGTTGTAATGTACATTAATTCTTGAAGTATAAAAGAATATTTGGTTGAAATATTATCCCTTGAAAAGGAATAGCGTAAAAGAGCCTAAGGCTACACTTCTCTACTAACAAAGTATAAAAGTCAAATATTAAAGGCATTCTTAAACTTATATTATTCCAAGAAGTATAAAATAGAAAGTTTTTCTTTCTTATGTAACTTTTAGAGTAGTATAAGTATGTATTTTCAGATTGAGAAAATTCTAAAAGTAATTGATAGACGATAATGAAAATTAAGAATGTGTAGATCTTAGAAAGCACAACGAAGAATGATTTTCGAATTTTCCCCAATTCTTATGTTTCATGTTGCCTTATACGCGAAAAGTCATATGTCGAAGTTTTTGATATAAATTGTCCAGTTTATAGAGTTTCACTTAATTCACTTGTAATAAATATTCTATTGTTTTACTATGAAAAGCTGTAACCATCCTAATTGAAACTTGAAAGCAGTAAAAATCTCTTTTGATTTGGATAGTAAATCAAGAAACGAAGCAGAAAGTGAATAATAAAGTATTCTTAAATCGTTATTTTAATGATTTAACTATATATTTAAAGGAAATCAAAACTTTTACCTATCGCTCACACCGGAAATAATTTTGCTATTGATATCGAATATAAAGATATGTATATATATATTATTACTATTCAAAACTTTTGAATAAATTACTATCCCTCTATTAGCTTTTATTATATAATAAGCAGTCAACAACATTTATGAATTGATAAGATATTTTATTCTATTTGTTTACTTTATTCAAATAAACATATAATAATATATTTTTTATTAAAAAGGCTTTTAATAAAACAATTCATTCTTTATTTATCTAATAGATATAAAATATATAAAAGAATATAGAAAATTTATGTTAAATTCATCATTTTTACTCTTAAAACTTATTTTCAAAAGGCGTAATGATTATCTATAATTTGTGAATGAATGAATGAATTGATAGTTGAATCTCTATTGGTTGTCTTATTTTTTTCATTCTACTACTACTAAAGCCAAGATTTTTCTTTCGCTTCTCCAGCGCCATCTTTCTCCTAAACATGAAAAGAAGAGAAATAGCGATATCTAAATAGAGATATAGAATTTATCCTCAATATTCTTTGTTATAAAACAGTTTCGCCAGAGAGTGAAAAAAAAGTTCATATTTAATCAAATCCAATAACAAGTGTCACAATATGGAAATAGATATAAATAGATGATTTTCTCTCCTTCTATCTCAATCTCTCTATCTCTCTATCTTTGTCGTTTTAATATAGCGTTTCATTTTGTATTATTATCTAAATTATTACATTTGAAAGAACATAAATAGACCAAACTAAAACATTTTTATTTACTTTATTGAATTTATAAATGTGTTATATATAGTAGAATCTATACATATATTATTTTTAATGTTTCACATCTGATGCTAAATCATTGACTTTAAATTAAAAACTTCTGTACTTTTTTATGCTTGTAGCTGATAAACTTCAATGTTCAGTATGTATATATTACTTATATATACAGTATATTCTATATATCTTCTTTGATACTCTACAATATCTATCTCTGTATCTTTTTATGAGAAAAAAAAAGTACTTAAAATATAGGCCTAATTTTTTTCTATATTATTCTTTTAATAAATATAATGTTTGTCTTTTTACGTATCACATCAAAGAAATTTTATTCAATTTATACTATAAATAAACAAGATTTTGAATCTTTTAGTATATTTTTTATTATATTGTTTAATTGTATCTCATGACTCTTTTAGATGAAAGTATCAAATAAAATAAATATAGGATAAATTGGAAAAATGCTAATATTTTTAAATAGACTATTTGCCAAAAATGCAATACTACTGTGTATTAAAAAAATAAAGAAATGATATATATCTTTTTTTTGTTTCCCCTATTTATTTCTGCTACCCTTTCTCCTCCTCCCCCCCCCCCCCCGCCCATTTCTTCTCTTTCTTTGTCTATAGAGGCGTATTTTTTGCAGATTTGGCAAAAAGTACCGAGAAGTCTTATAGAAATCTTAAATAATAATTTCCTCAGTTATATCTTTAGAGAGTAGTTTTCGGTTTCATCATATCCGAATAAATATTCATTAAATAAAGTAAATGAATATGCTAATATTAATCATAATAATACTTTAAATAAAACCATGTTATTCAAAAGTCATGTTTTTTTTTCCTGCTTTTGTTTATCTTGGAATTAAAAGGAAGAGGGCAGAAAAGACAAAAAGAGAATGAATTTGCTTAAATAGCTATCGTTATTTCAGATCCATGGGAAAATTTGAAGATATCGTATAGGCTTTTTCAGAGACCCTATTGCATCAGGCTATTATATTTCATGTTTAAGGATAGTTTTCAAATAAAAGGGAAATGTTCACACTTAGTCAACTTATAGCTTTCTCTCTCTCTCTCTCTCGCACGCACGCACATTCACATACGTACATATGAATGCATACATACATGCCTACACAATACTCATTCAGCCCTCGGTCTATGCTTTTATATAGTCTGCTGAATACACTAGTATATTGACCGAGTTTAAATTTCTAGACCGAACATGTGTTTAACAATAGCTTCAGGCTTTTTCCAATCAAGAACATGTTGGAATATTTAAAATAATTATCCAACAGCTAATTAGTACTCTAAGTTTTTTCTACGAATTCAATTTAAGATATTTAAACAGTTGTAAACAATCTTTCAATTGACAAAATATACTTTTATAGTATTTTTGTAATCGTAACAATGTTTTGTAAGTAACAAATATTCTATATTTAACAATTTGTGCTTGAAAAAACAGATGAGGTCACATTCAACAAAGAAATTGAGAGAAGATCCCATCAAATGAGATATTGACAATGATAAGCGCTTGGTAAAGAATAATCAATATGAGCATATGGTGATTAAAAGGGAATTTAATACAAAATTGTCAATTGTTGAAAACCTTATGGCACTTGGAAAGACAGATTTTAAGTTTAAGTACACAAAGTTTTTCGACAAGTTTGTCAGCTTGGAAGGCAGAATTGCTCCAAGTATAAATAATCAACAAGAATGGAAAAAAACCCCATAATGAACATGTCCTCTGCGAATAAGATGTTCAATTCCTTATTCGTCTATTCAAAACTATTTTAAAGTGTACGAAATAGATAATAATTGTCTATTAAAATATATTGTTAATCTAATATTATACAATAGATATCGTGTTTTTATTATTGTTGTTGTTGTTTATTGCTTGTGATAATTTTAATTTTCTTATCATATTGGTTGATTTTCTCTAGATAATAACATTGTCTGTTTTTAGTTAAGTGTTTTTTGCATATAAAGATATACTATATTGGCCTCTAGTACGAAAGCTACTACGTTGTTTTTTTTATTGATATCATTGTTACTCACTTGTATGGTATTTACTTTATCTGGTTGTTGTTGTTAATGAAAAACTTATATTTTTAATATAATCATATTTTAAAGTTTTTAATTGACCTTTTTATGCATTTCTCTCTTTTTTCCCAATTGATCATCCAGTGTTTAATATTTAAAGTTTTTTGAAACTTAGAAATAATTATATACTGTAGATATTATAAGGGCCCTGATAATATCGATGACACAATTGTCTATCAGAAACCTCTATTACCGCCATGAACTATTAATTGAAACGATTCACATATGGTAATATAAATCGTTCTTGTATACGTCTGCACCGGAAGTAGAAATATTCCTACAATTTATAACCAAGTGATTCAAAGAGCGATATTTGAAGCTCCCGCCATAAGCTGACTAGAGTTGTTCAGTCGCCTAGCGGTATTTAGTATTACAATAAAACCCACGTGGACGTTTGTTTTTTGTGAAAGGAGGATTGGACTGCACAGATAAGCGTATCTTTCGAACTGAGCGGGAATTTTGGAGTTCAAAGTACCATTTTAAATTAAAAATTGGTATAAACAATCAACATTATTAGACTATTGCGATATCTGGTAAATACTATGTGCTGTATACTTATGTAAATAAATGCTTATGTTTAGCGGCATGTTTTTCAGAAATTAATAAGAGTATTGCATCATCATAGTAAACTTAGTCATCCTTCGAATTTTTTCAAGTTTTTTATAATACCTAAATATTATCTAAACGAGAATGTCGGAAACAAGTAAAGTTCCCGAACTTAACAACCAAGCTTCGCAGGATGAAGGACAAAACGTTGTTCTTAAAAAAAGCTTAAGTCTTTTCAATGGAGTTGGTATTATCGTTGGAATCATGATCGGATCAGGAATCTTTATTTCACCTAAAGGAGTTTTGAGTGAAGTAGATTCAGTAGGAGCATCACTTATTATTTGGGCTCTCTGCGGTGTTATATCCCTTTTTGGGGCCCTTTGTTATGCTGAACTCGGCACATCAATAATCAGATCTGGCGCCGATTACGCTTACATTTTTGAAGCCTTTGGCCCATTACCAGCATTTTTGTTTTTATGGGTCGCTTTGGTCGTTATAATACCTACTGGAAATGCTATAATAGCATTGGTTTTTGCCGATTATGTCCTTCAGCCCTTGTTTCCAGACTGTGAGTCTCCTGCTATACCAAGAAGATTTCTAGCGGCACTAGCTATATGTAAGTTCAATTTTCATTGTACCTCTAACACACAATCAAATGTATAAAACATGAAAATCGTTATGTATTGATAAATGTAAAAGTGTCAATTTATATTTTTTCAGTGCTTTTGACCCTTGTTAACTGCTATAGTGTTAAAGCTGCAACTAAAGTACAAGACATATTTACTGCTGCAAAACTTATAGCCCTTGTTATGATCATTATCATTGGAATTGTAAAAGTTTGTCAAGGTTAATACTATTTTTTGCTTTAAAAATTATACATGAAAATTGGTCCTATGTCTCCGTTTACTACTTTAAAGTTTAAAGATGTTAATCTATCTTGTTTTATTTTACAGGAAACGTTGGAAATTTCCAAAACGCTTTTTCTGATACAACTACAAACCCTGGCTCTTTCGCAGTGGCATTCTACCACGGGCTATTCTCATATGCCGGATGGTGAGCAAATTTACGTACTTATTGTCTTGGTATGATTGCCCAGATGAAATCCTATATCTGGGATTGTCTCTTTGTATTTTTTTATGGCACATATTGTAAATTAAGTACACCTTAGAATAGAATCATTTTTACTTATCTATCACATCACTCTCCAACCGTCTAATCTAGTACCACCAACAATTTACAAGACTGCACCTGGTAATATGAAAACTGTATTGTTAGATTACGGGTCGATAAGACTTTATTTCACTACTTCTTTCTTCTTTATTATGCGTTCCTTTAGAAAGTTTTATATTCGATTAATAACGAATTAGCTGTTACTATTTCTACATTCTCTTTTTCTCTTATTGAAAAACTTCTTGGAGCAATGTCTACTTTAATTTAATAAATAACGAAGTAAATTTAGTTAAATACGCAGACAAGATCCTGACTAATTGGCCCTATTTATAAAGAGGAAAAGGGCTCTCGACTTTCGTTTGATTTTCAATTGAAATATTCATAAAAATGTTTTTATCAAAATGCGATAACATTATTTTTTATGTAATGTGTAAGATTTTATCAAAATAAACTTATTATCTTTTTATATGATTTTCATAATTTGTATGTTTAAAATGTGAAATACTAAGAAATATAATATTCTTTTCTAGGAATTACCTAAATTTTGTTACTGAAGAACTCCAGAATCCGGCAAAGTAAGCCATACATTCTAATTATAAGGTTAATTTGATAAAATTTCTTTCAATTAGAAATCTACCTCGAGCTATATGGATATCTATGCCCTTAGTTACTGGAATCTATGTCTTGGCTAACATTGCTTATTTCACTGTTCTAACACCCCAAGATTTGATAGAGTCTAATGCAGTTGCAGTGGTAAGCTTAAACCTTATACTTTTTACAATCCATAACATAATATGAATACTTTAAATTTTGCATTGAAATTTTTGTTTTCCTTAGACTTTTGCCGATAGAGTCTTAGGATTTATGTCTTGGATTATGCCTTTATTTGTGGCTGCTTCAACATTTGGTAGTTTGAATGGTTCAATTTTTACCACAGGAAGGTTAGTGATATTTTATATTGGGATTGAGGATTTTATTAAAGAGGTTTTATTTGAAACAGATTATTTTTCACTGGAGCTCGAAATGGACACCTACCAGATTTTTTGGCTTTGATCAATCCAAAATTTGCCACTCCAATACCAGCTTTACTATTTGTTGTAAGTTGACATCTGTCACGAATATGTAATTTCCTTATATAGCTCGAATTTCCATATGAAACGTGGTCAATAGTGTCATTTCCTAAATTTATATAAACATGGCTATCTGTCATATGCGTTATACGCCCCTCTTTTATTACAATAATCTATATCTTAGATTTCATAGGATAAAATTTAATTCTCATCTGTTTCTCTTGTATTTCAGTGCTTTCTCTCATTAATAATGCTTATCAATGAAAATGTTCATTCACTCATCACATATATGAGTTTTATCGAGTCTGGAACAATAGGAGCCGCAGTTTTAGGATTATTGGTTATGAGGAAGACTAAACCAAACTTAACAAGACCTATTAAAGTAAGTTTTAGTAAAGTGAGAAGGGGTAGATCAAAGCAAATGTATACACATTTTATAAGAAAAAGGTATCTTAAACCAATATAAGTCAAGATATGAATGGTTATTTTTTCACCTTTTCAATTCATTTCTATAGAAAAGGAAAAAGATTTATAGACTTGATTTTAATATCGAAAAAAAAACTATATAAAGAAAATATTCCATAACTATTATATATATAATTACTGTGTATTTGCTTAATCTCTTTTTTCTATCACTTAACGTTATTAACTCTCCTCATGTGAAGAACATGTCAAAACTACATCGACTATATCATATTTTTTAGGTGCACCTCTTCTTTCCCGTATTTTTCCTTATTATTGAAGCTTTTCTCGTTATATTCCCATTCGTCAGCAGTCCTTACGAATGTTTGATTGGGATTTTAATTCTTGCAACAGGTTCGTATTATTAATATTTGTCCATCCAAAACATCTTGGAATATCTATACCATACTTTTAAATTCTATTGTATAGATATTGTATAGATGGAAAATAAATCATGTAATTCATGTGCAAATATTTGAAAAATTCATAGTGTTAACTTATTAATTATTGTTAGTCTGTTTTATATGGGACCCCTATAAAATCCAGTTTTCTAAACTCTTTTACAGGAGTTCCTGTATATTGGCTTGGAGTAATTTGGACATCAAAACCTCGTATAGTACAAAAATATCTCCGTAAGAAATTTCATTTTCTAATAAATTATAAAATGCTCAAGCAATTCTATAATGTAAAACAGGTTCATTTACAATTTTGACGCAAAAAATCCTTTATGCACTACCGGAAAATATTGTAGAAGAAGAACAGGAAATGAAATCTCTAAACCAGAAATCTGATTAACGATATTAGCAAAATATTAATGTTTTTAGAAGTATTTGATATATTTTAGGTCAATTATGGTTTTATTTTGCGACTTGTTTGTTTTAAAAAAAAAAGTGAAAAAAAAGCCTTTTTTGTATTAAACATCCTACTTTTTGCTGTGCGTTATTACTATTTTAGTTTAAGTTCACTGTTTTTCCACAAGCATGAATAATTACTTTGTGTTTGTCTTATCATTAAACAATTAGGTTAGTTGGTTACTTTGCTCTATTCACTATTTCTTTAAAACATTTTTTTGTGTGCCATTATTATCATTTCCCTATATTTTTCTGACAAATACATTTGTTTTTACATAAAACAAACATTTGAAATTACGATTTTCCCGCCACAGTTAGTGAGAGTCGCCCTCCACTAGCATTTTCGTTTTATATTACCCGTTTATATTTACATTACCAACGTCCTATTTTCTTTAAACAGAAATTTCGCTTACAGAACTGGAACGTCCCTTAAATTTTTATCTAGCTGACCCGTACTACATTTGCAAAGTGTTTTTATTACAATAGATACAGCGATGGAGTCAAGCATAGAAGTGAAATTTTTCGATTTCAAGCTTTTTGGGACACTTCTCTTCTTTCTGGAATTGTATCATTTATTTGGTCACGTATCTGTGCTTTTTCGATTAAGGTTACTCCCCAGAAAAGACCTTCGGAAAGTACGCTTCTACTTCCTGATTGACCTTTTGACTGTGGCAGCTGTAAACTACCTTTATACACAAAGAAGAATGTGGCTAGCTGTCATTCAAAACATTCAACATCTGTTTTTCTTCCTAACCTGGGACAAACACCCTTATTGCAAAAAAGTTATAACATGGAGCTCATTGGATTGGCAACGAAGTTTTCATAAGCATAAATGGACACTCGATGTTATATTTGGAACTGGATTCGACGTAGTTGTGCATGGTTCAAACTTATATCTTTTGTCTTATTACTTAGAGGCAAAAGATATGACGTTAGCTTCACTACTATGCCTAATATCATCGTATTTTGTTCTTGCAAGTTCGAAATTTGCATGGAGCTCTCCCACTAGCACTCCCGAATGGGTTGAAAAGAGAATTAAACCAGTAAATGTAGCAGGAACTGATACATTCTAAGTTCCTGTTAAATCTTGAGTGCAAATCGAACATATAACCACTAGTTTGTGATTTGATCTCTATCTGATTTTATGCAAAGATTGAAATTTAATTTTATTGAAGTTTAATATGTTGACTTTTTTAAAGAAATTAAAATTAACTTTTTCTTGACTATTGAAAACTCCAATTTCTTATATATCGTTTGCTTAAAATATATAGAATACAAGATATCGTTAAACTACACTCTTCGGTCTGTTTATCGTTAATATATATGTATACGAATCTTTCTCTTACAATCAAATTCATTATTTCTTACGATATGTTTAGGAGCACAATAATTGATTATTGTCGTCATCTGAAAAAACTTTTATTCCCATGTTATTATCTCATTAAAAGCTTAAGATATTATTATAACATTTGTTTTTTGAAAGGAATATTGAAAGCTATTGAAGGTGCGACTTGAAAAAAAATTCAAACAGATTTCACGAGCTGTAAGTTCAGATTTATATTTCTGGGCGATCAGATGGTGGAGCCAATTTGTCGTACTGGATGTTTGGGCTGTAGAACTTATATTGATCAGTTGGCTTCATCTTTGTCCAGGGTTGCATGTTATTCTTGTGATCCCACGACACATCAGGGTTCTTTAGAGCCAATCGAGTCAAATATCCAAAAGCTCCAATGGCACCACCTCCGATAGCAACAAGAAGTGGAATGAGCTGAAAGGACAACATATTTTATTAGGCATTGTTAGTTGAATAATTTCTAGGAATTGGTTTTTCAGACGTCATCGATACTTTGTAAAAAAAAAGAGGCTTCATAGTTTAGCTATTTTAAGGACTTTTAACACCGGGCTGTCTGAAATGACCATCTAAAACACACTACAGATCGATTGAACAATTTTGTTCAGCATTCCGAGTTTTGAGGTTGGATTATGAGAGGAAATAGTGAATGAATGTCATTAGGTTACTGAACCAAATATCGGATAAACAAGGGATAACCATATAGCGCCCCGATCGTGCACCTTCATTGTAGTAAAAAAAAATTCTTATACTAACCGCTGGGTGCTTTTTCAAGCTGTTAGCTGTCAAACCTGGCATAAGACGCATTTTGCCTGCTTATTTATCTATCAAGTATACAACGTAAGATTTTACCAAGGTCTCTTTACCGGATACAAAGGTTTCTGATCTCATTTTCGTATATTTTTTTGCACTTTTACATTTTTCTAAGATAAAAATTTTCAGTTAGGTTTTAGACTTTATATTGTAACATTTCTTTTAATTTTATACGAACAATATTTGACAATCTCTAACAAATAACGATGACTTCCGAACGTAACATACTAATACCCAAACGCAAAAATGTTTACGAATGTTTCAAAATGGCTGCCTAACAACCAACTAAATTAGGTATATATTTATTATTATATCTTTACTTCAGTTGTTTAAAAGTAAGAAAAAATAGCAACATTTAGATTAAAGCCATTTTTCTATTGATAGAGAAACTTTGAAGAGATCTTAAGTGCGTAGAAAGACTTTTATTTAAATAATTAAGAGGAATTGGTAAAAAAGTAACCTTCCAAGATAAAAATATGCCAAGTGCAGGAGCTCTAATTGCACCGGTAATAACCACAATTAGCAGAGATGGTCGATCTGGACAAAAGATTGATACGTCCACATTTGTAATGCTTGATACAGGTACGTGAAATTTAATAAATAATACATAAAAGTTATTTAGGAGCATCTGCACATAGCAACCAAGTGTTACCTAGTAAAATAATAAAATTACAACTAGAGTTTTATACATAACTAACTTATAAATCTAATAAATCAGGAATGTTTAAGACAAATAAAATAATTCAGAAAATAAACTATTTATATCGTTTCAGATTCACAAAATTGTAAAATGTACTTTACAACCGACGGTACGAAGCCCAATCCTTTCCAATTAAAATTGGCAGGAAGAGAGGTAACTTTTCGATACAGTGGTCCATTCACCCTTAAACCTGGAAAAAGAACCCTAAAAGCCATAGCCGTTTCTCGAGATGGCCTACAGGAGAGTAATGTTGTGACCAGGACTTTTAGTGTTGACGATGTTGGTGAACCCACTGAAGCTGATGAAAATTGGTTGGCATCTTTAGATGAAGAAGATTTAAAAAGGACCAGAAGAAGCTGTCCTACGATTAGTACCGGCGTTCCTAAAATGACTCATTCATCAGTAAGACTTTAGTTTTACATAAAGTTTACAATCCTTACGCGCATGATTAATTCCTTATCAGAAATCAAAGATAAAAGAAGCATGGGGAAATACGACAGCTTCCTATATAAGTCATTCGGATGGAAAACATGAACGTTAGTATATTTATATTTACACTAATATTCTTTTTAAGAAAATGTTTACTATGCAGATGTCCCTGGTGTTGATGGGCCAACTGAAAGTCATGTCCAAGTTCCAGAAAATGGAGGATTTATACCTACTAATTATAGTGGAACTCAATATAATTTTTGGGGAGTGGCTCCAGCAGCATTTCCAGCTCCAGGAAATGGAGTTAGCTATCCATATCATTCTCAATTGGGCTCCATGACTCAACAAATGCTAAACAACTTGAACAGAAATTCTCAGCAAATCTCTGTAGAAGATATGAGAAAAATGCTTCAAGAAGAGGCAAAAAAGGCCTTACCACCTCCGCAACCGGAACCGAAAATTGTAGAAGTTGAACGAGAGCCACCGTTAAAAGATAGGAGTAGCGGATCATGGAGAGAACAAGTGGATCATTTGTACGCGCATATAATAGACAAATGCCAGAAAAATGCTAATCTAAGAGCTAAATTTGCAAATTCCAAACTAGGACGAGTAACTTCTGTTGAATTTGATGGTGAAGAAAGAGGTTTTCTTCTCACTGTTGCTGTCGCAAGAACTGGTAAGAGAATAAAGTGAAAATAAAATAACTATTGGAAGAATCTAATTGTTAAATAACTATTTTGCTTATTAGATAAACCACCGCCAACAGCCAAACCAGTCAAACCAGTCAAACCTCCATCACCTCCAAAACCAGCTCCTGCTCCAGCTCCAGTAAAAGCGAAACCTAAACCAACAGTTACAAAAACAAAGAGACCGATTGTGCCTCCAAAGGAAATGAAAAAAGAGGAAAGATTAAAGAGAGAGGATCCATACTTTGTTCAGGAAGACTATGAAGTAAGTTTAAAGAGAATATTAGCGTTTCCTCTGCGTATTTTTCATCTTTCTTTTCAATATTAACAATAAGATGTATAGTATATCTAATGATTAAAAAGTCACATACTAAAGTCGATTTTTCATATTTCTCTATATTCTTTATTACAAAATCTAACCAATAAATAGCAGGATAGGAGAAAGAAAAAGAAAAAAGTATTAAAAGTACCGAAAAAGTCCTATGTTGATTCTTACTTTCTTATGGAAGACTATGAGGTTGAGACACCGCAAAGTTTTATAAGATTGATTTCTATGTGTTGATCCGAAACTTATTGATTTTCAATTGTCTTTTGCTTCATGAATATTCGTAAAAAATTATAACAGTAAAAATTTAATTAGGCAGTAATTTATTAGCTTCTCTTCAATGTAATTCTATATTTTAATGCTAATTTTTATTATTTAACAGCAAGAGGGAACTTTAAAACCTTGGCCGTCGTTTAATGCCGAAAGAGACTGTGAAATACTAAGAAAAGCTATGAAAGGAATAGGAACGGACGAGAAGGCAATTATTAATGTAATGACTTACAGATCCAGTGTACAACGTCAGGAAATTTACACGATGTTTAAGACAATGTTCGGAAAGGATCTTAAAAAAGAATTTGATTCCGAGCTTAGCGGAAATTTCAACCAAATTTGTCAGGCTCTTTGTCTTGGAGCAGCTGAGTATGATGCTAGTGAAATTCATAGGGCAATAGATGGACTGGGAACAGACGAAGATGCCCTTGTTGAAATACTTTGCACGAGAACCAACCAACAAATAGAGCGTGTAAAACAGCTCTATAAGAAGATGTATAATGTTGAAATGGAGAAGGACGTTATCGATGATACTTCTGGTCATTTTAAGAGATTACTTGTGTCACAAATTCAGGCAAATAGAGATGAAAGCACGAAATATGACCAAACGGCTGCCAAAGCCGATGCTAAAGCGCTGTATGATGCTGGTGAAGGTAAATGGGGAACGGACGAGAGTAAATTTAATGAGATACTCTGTTCAAGAAGTTTTGCTCATTTGAGAGCAACTTTTAACGCTTATGCAGAAATTAGCAAGAAAGATATTGAAGATGCTATAAAGAGTGAATTTTCCGGAGATATAATGCAAGGTCTATTAGCGGTAGTCAGATGTATTAGAGATAAGCCAGCATACTTTGCAAAACGTCTTCAGAAGGCAATGAAAGGTCTAGGAACAGATGATGACGCCCTCTTACGAGTAGTCATTACAAGATGCGAGTGCGATATGGTTCAAATAAAAGAGGCTTTTCAAAAGAACTACTCGGGATCTTTGGCTGAATGGATTAAGGATGATACATCTGGAGACTATCTAGAAGCTTTATTAGCGTTGATTGGAGAAAGAGCAGCTCCTGTACCATCTGCGGAAGATTTAGCCGAAGCTGAACCTGAACCAGAACTTGAAGAATATGAAGAAGAGACATTACCAGAAGACCCCACGCTTTTACCAGCCGACCCATTTGACCCTAAGAGAGATTGCGAGATTCTAAGAAAAGCAATGAAAGGCTTTGGTACAGATGAAGCTGCAATAATAAGTGTTATGGGGCATAGATCGTTCGAACAAAGAGCAGATATAGTGAAAATGTATAAGACTATGTTCGGAAAAGATTTAGTCAAAGAGCTAAAGAGTGAAACTTCCGGCAACTTCGCTCAGCTTTTAGAATCCCTTTGCCTTGATGCAATCACTTTTGATGCTAAGGAGTTAAAGAAAGCTATGAAGGGTATGGGAACTGATGAGAATGCGCTAATCGAAATAATTTGTACCAGGTCGACAGCACAAATGGCTGCAATTGTGGAGAGATATAAGGAATTATATAGTAAAACTTTAGAAGATGATATTATATCTGATACATCCGGTCATTTTAAGAGACTTTTAGTGGCTCTTGTACAAGCAAACAGACCGGATACGGGTAATACTATAGATAGAGCAAAGGCAAGAAAGGATGCAAACGATTTGTTTAAAGCTGGTGAAGAGAAATGGGGAACAGACGAAAGTAGATTTAATGTTATACTCTGTTCTAGAAGTTTCGGCCAATTAAGGGCAACATTTGAAGAGTACCAGAAACTGAGCAACAAAACTATAGAAAAAAGTATAGAAAGCGAGATGAGTGGAGATCTAAAGAAAGGAATGCTTACTGTAATTGCTTGTATTAGAAATAAATCAGAGCAATTTGCCAAGATGCTACATAAATCTATGAAAGGGTTAGGAACCGATGACAATTCCCTTATACGTATTCTTGTGACAAGATGCGAAGTTGATATGGTTCAAATAAAGGAGAAATTCCAGAGTCTCTATAAACAAACCTTAGCAGAATTCATTAAGGTAAAGCATTATTGATTTTTTTTAATAATTGAAACTCTCACTCATTATTCCTCTTTTAATTAAATAGGACGATACATCCGGAGATTATAGGAAGTTACTTCTCTCGCTAATTGGTTAAAGCTATTTTTCCCTACATTCTACCTTCTCATCTTTCCATCTTTTCTCCAAATTCTGAGACTTACATAAAAACGTTTTCTTTTTTTTTAACTTTTTTGTTAACTCTTGTGCTTGTAATATTTTAAAGATTTCAATGTTTTAGAAGAAAACCATCTGTATGAGATTCAATAGGCAGACTTTTTTTTAAAAATAGAATTATATACAATTTTCCGTATATAGTATGTACATTGATATATACCATATAAGTATATTAGTATATTTTCTATTATATAATAATTGATTACAGACAGTGGCTATACAACTAAACCTTTCTCTTTCTGCTTTGTTTTCTTAAAGTGATCTGCCTGCAGCTAAAAATATACATACCCTTTATAAGTTTTGTATTTATTTCATAAGTTATATATCTATTCATTATATACTTCATTTTATTAAATAAATCACCAAACGTTCGTTTGAAAGGACAAATGATAAAAGAGACGAGACAGTAAGTTCTCTTTAGTCTGGTTTCATGTTCAAATTATTAATAATAGGAATACATTTTTGTCGTGAAAAAAACGGTGAATTAGTTACCTATTCCCACTTCTAAATGAATCTTAATTTAAATGGTCTGTTAGAGTTACCAGTCTACAGGTATTGCGATGGTAACAGGACGCTTTACTGGATAATAGTTGTCCTGATGTAATTTACATGTCGTTAAAAAAAGGGAAAACGATGAAGGAGATGAATCAGGACAATTGGTTGACGGGACGTCCTAGTGTCATTCCACATCCTCCACCGTTAAATATAAAGGTAAAAATTGAAAGAAGGGCAGACGTCCTTTTGGCGCGTGCTGAAGCTCAGTTTAAAGAATCCAAAGCCAAAGTTGCAACCGCCAAAGCTTTAAAAATTCCAAACAGAGAAGAAATAGAATTAGCAGCGGCAAAATCTGAATTAGCTTTCAAAGCAATGAAAAAGTTATATGCGGAAATTGAACACGCCAAAGATGAACTTAGAAAAGCTGAAAATGCTATGGAAATGACTAGGTGTAGAAAGAGGGTTGCATGGCTTCATGACAGAATGCATAAGACGGTTGTAGTCCAGCAATCTTTAAATGAAAAGAACTATAATGAAAGTCAACCAAATATTGATACGTTCTTTGGAAAGGCAAATAAGTCCGATAAGATTAATCGAATTACAGACAAGCCTTTGGGATCTTTTCTGGGAAAAATGAAGCTATCACAAAAAGAAGTTAATTTACCGATGGTGTTTGGTAGAGAAGGACCAGAGAGCTTAATTACAGATGACGCTCAATATAAAACCGATACAAAAACGTCGGAAATATCTGATTTCGAATTGAGAGAGCAAATCATAGAGAATGAAAGTTATCCTTTAGATTCTTTATTAAGAGATGAGTCCAATATTTCCAATGATCAAGAAGGCAAATACGAATATTCAGATGAGAATTTAGAAGAGAGAGGTTCTATTGACAACAATGAACTTAGTAATACAGACGATGACAATAAAACAGATATCAGAAAGAAAGTCGAGTTTAAAGGAGATTCCTTCTCTGGAGGAAAGAGCGGAAAACTATCTCCTACAGGATCTTTAGAGTCTTATCCAGATCATCCAGTATTTAGCATTGCAGGTACAAGTATATTCGACGATGAAATTTTAAATATAGTTGACAAATCGGAAATTGAAAGCGAGAAAACGGGAGAGATTGAAGAAGAATCGAATCATGACGCAGCGTCGTTGTATTGGGAGAGAGAACATAATCGATTGGAAATCGGAGAACAAGCTGTTCTAGATCAGGATCCAACGTCTTATCACGCAATGGCTATTGCAGTTTCCGGTACATTTTTGACGAAAAAACCCGAAGAGCCTAAGCCTCTTCCGTGGAACTCGAAAAACGATTCAAATGTTCATAGATTAGGTATAGAGAAATTTCAACAGAAGTTATTTCGCCTACAAAACGCTGTTTTCGATGCCGCCGGAGAGTCTATCCCCCGGACGGCGTTTACTCCAAAAGTTGAAAGGATACTAGCGAACGAAAGAGACAGTTCATCTGTTATGGAAATCAAGAATAATAAATTTACTGGAGATCAGAGATTGGGGACATCCTTTTCAGGAAGATTAGTTTACTATCCTGCTCCTTTAACCCCTCCTGCCATACTGCCTACGACTCGTCTGGTAAGTATGCTAATTTCTCTAATGAAATAAGAAGAGCTTTGGGAATGATACGATCATTAAAGATACGTCTAACTTTTTCTTTACAGAGCGCAGGAGTAATTGTTCCCACGAAACCTTCCAAGTATAGCTTTTCTACACCCGATAAAGTTCCATCCGCACAAGGCGTAGCGGAACAGCATAATTTGAAAGACGAAACCAAGCTAACTCTCTTTAAAGCTAGGCCTGTATTAACAATGGAAAAAACATCTGAATCAATTCCCATCAAACAGAATTTAATGTATAGGCTAACATTAGATTCGAGAGATTCCTGGGCAAAGATGAAGCCAAGATCTGGTGTTTTAGTTCATTCAGGTATAAAGTGGGAACGAGTTAAAGATTTAGTCGGTCGGGGACTTCTTTCGGAAAGAGAAGAAGAGAGAATAGATGCTGCAAGGAATTTAGGTATTCTTAATTGTGCTGACACAACAGTAATCGGAGCTTTGAGAAAAAGATTGGAAGAAGATAAGAGTGAAAGGGTACGGTTTGAATCGTGTGTTAGCCTAATTAAGGCAGGTGCTTGGGATGAAAAGCTTATGGAAAGCGCAACAGACTTTTTAGCTTTGGGTAACAGTGATATGAGAATGCATATTTTAAAGTCACTAAATATTTCCCCTAGATTGAAATTAATGCCAAATAGACACTTTATTCAAGTTCTTATCCACTTAACAAAAAGACCAAATAAGAATTTAGCTTTCATGGCTTCAATCATTCTCGGAAAACTTGGTAACTCCGAAGCCGAACCGATATTATTCGAACTTCTCAAAGAGGACGACGTCAATCATAATTTAAGAGCTCAAGCCTTAGAGGTGTTAATAAAGGACCTAGGTGAAACTGACAAAATCGTAATAGATGCTGTGTTGAACCAATTATTGCATTCACCATCTTGGAAGGAAAGAAAGAGTGCTTGCCGTCTATTATCATCACTTGGTATAACTTTCCTCCCGTTAGAAAAGACTTATAACGTATTAGAACAAAAATTATGGGATGAACCATCCAAATTAGTCAGAAAGGAATGTGCCGAGACGTTAACCTCACTTGGATTATTAGCAAGAGCAGCGTTGAATACAGAAAAGAAATTGGAAGATAAGACTGCCGAGGGAAGAGCTCAAGCTGTAATAGCCGTAGGGACTTTAGGAATGCATACAAATAGAATACTGAGAATGCTACTCGAAATGTTAGAATTAGATTCGAGTGAACACGTAAGAGTCCTTGTAATACGAACTTTAGTGAGCCTGGGAGCTAGGGAGAGTCAAGTCATTAGAGCTTTGAACGATAAGCACTCAAAAGGTGATGGAATTCTCTCAAAAGAGGCATCCAAGGCTCTTATGCAATTATCTTCTTCCGCAAGTGCCTAATACGCAAATACTGTATTTATCAAAAATGTATAGTCTCTCTCTATCGTTTTAAAATATAACGTTCCAGTACAACAGTATTAAAATGTTTTTATTACGTAATACATTTATAAAAAAAGACTTTCTTTTATGTTTACTTTATCTAGTTTGTATCCGAACCTTATTTCTTTTCTATACAAACATCGTTAAGTATTAAATTTACAAAAAAACAATCTACTTATGTTTAGTTAGCTGACAAACTGTCTAATTAAGATTATTTATTAAAAATATAGAAAGAAAATTGTGTCAAAAGTAATCTACTTGTGAAACAATCAAGATTTAAAAAGAAAACATTTCCATCCATTGTCAAGTATACAGAGAGAATGAAATTAATTTGCATTAATGAATATTTATAACCCTTTTTGATTAATATTTTAAATTTCATGAGGTAGGTATAAGTGTCAAATAAATAATGACTTAAAAACTCTAAAACGGATACAGATATGACGCATCAACCATTTTATCTTTTAATTATTATTAGAAAGTTTGCTACAGGAAATGAGCGAAGCCTTTTGTTTTACGCCCACAGTTGGTCTCAATGTTTTATTTAAATATATATACAGTGTACAATATATGCTGTATATAAGAAAAAATGTGGGTAATACTTTATATATTAACCATTCACTTACGTCATAAATTCTAATATATGCCATAAAGAATGTTATATAAAGTTATGATTCTTTTCTTATTATCAGTTAAAGTAAGTTGATTTTATCACGTATATCTTTATATCTTTATATTTATTAGGAACTAAAGATTAGGGAAAATACTAATTAAAAATTATTGATTATTGTTATTTGATTAAAAAGTATATATACCTTTTATTACTTAATTATTCCTCTTTTCGTCATTTTCTGCTGATTATTTATATTATATTATACATTTTCAATATAATCTACAATTGTATCATTTAAATAAAATGGCTTAAAACTAAAATAAATCATTTCCTTTGCATTCTCATATTTTCTCTTCTTCTTTCTCCCTTCCCGCCACTCTCCTCTCTTACGTGTTTTTTCTTTAAATCAACTTGGGACATGTACAAATCGCATATTTTTCGTGTTCAACCGACTTTCAAATAATCATACACCAACAAAGAAAGTTGAATGAGCCAATTTACCTTGGGAAATTGATATTTCTTAATTATCATAAAAGTTGCCTGTAAGAAGAGTATGAGAAGAAGAGAATAGAAGAGTACAATTATTCTTAAATTATTATTATTATTTATTATTATTTTTAAGACTAGTTTTGTTATATAATATCCACTTCCGGCTCCTGTTTCTGGTAGGAAGCTTTTCTCGTTTCACTAAAAAAACTCAGATTTTCTGAATTACGGTTCGTTTTCCTATCGCTCTCTACACGAAAAAATATATTCAGTTAATAAAAAAAAACACTATATTAGCGTTTTTTAAAGCCTACCTCACCAAAGAGGGTCACGTGATTAATATATGAATTTTCAGAATTTTAATTTTCATTAATTATTAATATATATATACTATTGTGTTACATATTAAGTTATATATATTTATATACTGGATACATGCCTATATCACTTATATATACTTTAGAAAGCTCTTAATAAACCGCCAAAAATTTCTGTTTCAAACATGAACTTTCTTAGATTCTAATTGGTTTGAAAGTGGTACGTTAGATTTTAAGACAAAACAGAGATCGTTGACTGATAGGACAAGTCACGTGACACACTTTGTAATTTAATATAAAAAAATTATTCGATTCTTACGGTTATTCGATAAGTTGGCTGATCCACGTTCCCTATAACAAAGGCATAGAGTAACGGTTAACGCAATGCTAATTATCATAATGATAGCAAATGCGTATGATGTCATAAGCAGTGTTCTGTTGAGGGCAAAAAGTAAATAGTAAGCAGGTAAGAAATAAATTAGGGTGATAAAAAAAAATAGACGATAGACGGAAATCAATTAACTCGGATGATTTCGAGTGTAAAGTCATGTCGGAGAAGAGAAAGAGAGATAAAGAAATGAAGAAAGAAAGGAAGGAAAGGATATATATATATATAGAGGGAGAAAGAGAGGGAGAGAGAAATACTCACAATTTTGGATCAGTAAAGGTTGTATTTTGAGGCAACCTGAGATTCTTTTCATCACAGCAATGTTTAGCGTCTGGCTTGCCACAACAAAAGTTATCACAAAAGAAACCACCGCGACGATGAGATTTTGAATCTATATAATCATAGCAATATTCTTCCGTTGCGGTTAAAGAAGCTAAGGATGTAAAAACAACTTGACGGTAGAACATGGTTGCAAGAAGAAAACAATCTACTTTTTTAAATAACGCTCTCTAGTGGCAAAACGTTTTCTGGCCTATTAGGAAAAAAGTCTAATAAGCTTCTGATTGCGAATGAGATATCATATCGTGACTAATCGGCGGCAATTTTATACTATATGAATTCACGATAGATTGCCTTTTCAGGGAACATGAAGGGTTTGTTTAGTTCCTTAACGGCATGATAACGTAAGGATATAATTGCGATAGGGAAATACTAAAAAACTTAATGAAATATCTCGAATAACGTTCTTAACATTTTCTTAGCATTATGTTAGTCTTTAATTGAGATCATTTGATCCTTACAATACCTAAATAATCATGATTAGAAAAGATTTATTGGCTTTGCAATAGAAAGAGAAAAACTAAATGACACGCTTCACTCTATATTACGTGTAATATCAGTTTGCTCTTCGTGGAAAAAGTTATCTAGAACCCTTCTGATTGTTTCCCTTTAATATCTAGTATTATCTGTTGACAATTCAGTCAGAAATACCTTTGAGGTTTGGAGAATATAGTCTTTTTACACTTGACTTTTATAGCTTCGTGCCAACTAGCATCAGATTCGTCTATTCTTATTTTCTATCCTCTTTCTTTTCATTAAGAAAATTAAGGAAGAGAAAATTTATACTTGAAATTACAAGAAGAGAGAACTCAAGATATTATGTGTAGCTTTTATATGTTACAGTAATTTTGTTGCGGTTTTAACATTTTTATTGCATTTATAAGAATCTAATGTTTAAATAACATAACAGAATGTTAATACATAATATCCAAAGCATTGTTAAAAATCGACAATAAAATATAATCACCTAAACAAACACCTATTAGAAAACAAAGAAGAGAAAGGAAAGAAGAGTTGATCGTGTCCTCTGAAACTCCTTTTCCTATAAATTATATTCTTTTCTTCAAGACAAAAAGAACACCAAACTATATCATACTTAATATCCAATATGTTTTTAAAAATAAAACACTAAAACTCTTTTATATATTAATTCCACTCGTTAACATCATTAATACGAAGACTTTTTATTTTTATAACGATTATCTCACTTTATATATTTTTATTCCTTCTGTTTTTTTTGTTTTTTTTCTTTTTTGCTGATTGTAAATAGGCCTAATTGATTATTATTAATTATTATGATTATTCTTTTTTTTGTATAGTTGATTGATATTGACAAATATATACTGTATATAGTTTAGTATATATGCTGTGTAATATTTACCAAAAGCTACTAAACTGTCCAAGTTAAAACTAATATCAAATAGTTTCGAGACCCCAAAAGAAATGTTAAAAATGGCTAAAAATGAATAAAAGAGTAAAACGTGTTAAAAAGAAACAAAAGTGATTATTATTATCTAAGGCTTTTAAAGGTAAGCGATTTAAGAAAATATGAGTTGTCTTCCCTATCCCAGCCTTATTCATTCAAGTTTAAACATGGACCACACGTAGCTAATAGTTGATATTTTATAATATTTTCTGAAAATTTGTTCAATAATCTAAAGATTACAATTACCTTTAAAGACAGATCTAACGAAAAAGAGAAAAAAACCTGATAATAATAGTTTCTTACAAGTTTCAACTGGATGGAAAAAATAAACTTTGCATCTTTTTAAGCTCCTTACGTGTTTTAACATTAATCAAACACGTGAATCAATAAAAATATAAATTATATACAATTGGTTTGCATAACATTGCGATTCGGAGCAAATATAACATAAATATATATATATACTATATATTTATACACACTAAACATACAACGAAATACTTAGTGCAGAAAAAAGAAATTTACTATTTCTAGTAAAACATACATGTATAGATAACTCATTGATGTATCAGGACTGGAAACTGCTCAAAAATGATATGAAATAGCCTGTTTTATAGCTGTTTTAAGTTAATATATACTTAGATGATTATCTAAACTATAACATAATTTTCAAAACGTTAATATCAATTACTTTTAGGTTAAAAGCAGAAAAATCGCAAATTATTAAAAATGAAATTGTTTAGAGTACGTTTATTACTTTTATTATAAGGAAAGAAAATGTTAAATGTTTCCTATTAACAAAACGCAGACGTGTTATCTTATCTTTAACATTTCTAAGCTAAATTTTCTAAGTAAAAACATTCGGTTTCGTTAAATTCCTATACTATATATATGATATAATAATCAAACTATATCTTTAAATTCGCAATATTTAACGAGAAAATTAATTAATAGGTAAAAAGTATCTAATAATAATGTTAACAATTAATTATTAGTCGTTAAAATAAACTAGACCCACCCCTGCCATATTGAAAAAAATGAGATATGTCAAATTTTTGTTATTGTTTTTGCTATCACCATTAGTTACCTATAATATTAACTTTAAACAGCATCTTTTCAGGTAAAATTGATCAAATAATGATATTTTTACGGAGACAGGTTTGTCGGCACAAAATAAACTCTTATTATTTTAATCTTTTAAGTGAAGACTACATCACTCTCAGTTGTAGGTTTAGAACCATTCTTTAAGAAGGTTTCATCTTCCATTGGTGGTTTATCTATCTCATCAGCCGTGTCGTCAATCCATTCTTCGACCTTTTTAATTATTGCAAAAGGAAAAGAAAAGGTAGAGGTTATTTAATTGATTGAAGATGCATCGACATATGTAAAATACATTTACACAGACTATTAATTGCCAATATAGATATTTAACTAATCTCAAGTTGAATAATTAAAAGAATATAGGGAAAACTGACCTCTAGCATATCCCCTGGAGCAAATTGGGCTGCAATTTCCTCAAAAGTTTTATTTTTAGTTTCCGGAACCCGGAAGTACACAAATATAGTGAAGAAAACCATGAGAACGAGAAATATAATGAATGTAAATTCTTCCAACGCCTCCTGAATACTTACAAAAGACATTGCTATTACAAACGTAAACAACCAATTTGTAAATCCAGCCAAACTAAGAGCCATGGGTCTAGGTCCTTGTCTAAATAACTCGGCTCCAATCATCATAGGTATGGGCCCGAGGCCGACCGAGAAGCAGATTACGTAACTTACAACGGACATAGCAGATATATATTTAAGCCAGGATGCTTGAGGTGTTAAGTTAAGCGATACGCAGAGAATCGTTAGTATTAATATCATTCCCAACATTGGATATAGTAGTAATTTTCTACGTCCAGCTTTATCCATAATCGGCACCTAATATATTTATTTACCTTCTTTTAATAAATTATATAAATATTTAGATAATCATGCTATAACAATCTAAACAGGAAGATGGATAATTATAAAGCAGTAATATTGATTGTTTATATCTCTTTTAACAATTTTCTGTTAATAAGCTATTTTTCATATATAATAAGTAATAATAATAAATTGTTACATTGCACTCTAACTGATACTATCAGGGAATTTTTAATACTTAAAATAGAATCCCTTTGTTTTAATTCTCTCTTTTTATGATTAATGACGCCATCTGTTGGTCTAATAAAAATACAATAATACTAATGTTACTTACAGCAATTATTGTCATGGCAACATTAACTGCATTGGTTGCTAAAACGGCATATTGGATTGCGGAATCCGTTAATCCGCAATTTTTATAGATATTACTCGAATAGAATATTACCTATGAACAACAGAAGAAAAAAGATACATTTAGTATTATAAAGATATACTGTATAAACTATTGGTATGGTCCTTACAGCATTTATTCCGCTTAGCTGTTGTATAACTTGCAATGCTAACGTAATAAAGAGTGGCATTCGTAGATTTTTTGAAGATATTAGTTTAGACATAGTAAACTTTTCTTCAGATTTATCCTCGGGAGATTCCGTTTCCATTTCCTCCATATCATCATGAATATCTTCCGTTTGGCGAAGGAAGAAAAGAGCTTGAAAAAATAATGAATTGAGTTAATGGGATAAATTAATTAGATTATTGCTTTGAAGAAAAATTTTTCTTTTACCTTTTTCCGCCTCCTTCCTATCACCCTTTTTTAATAGGAGATATCTAGGACTATCGGGTAGAATAAAGAAAAAACCCAATAGACAAACCACGGCCGGTACGATGTTCATAAAGACAGCATACTGCCAAAGTGAATCCGTTCCAAATACTTCTCTTAATGAGAATACAGCTCCAAAGAAAATTCCAATAGTTATGAATAATTGATGACCAGTTCCAAAAGCTCCTCTTAAATTGAACGGCGTAATTTCGGTGATGTACATTGGAGCTAATTGGGTAGCCATACCACAATTTATTCCAGTAATGAAACGACCTATCATAAATATTTCCGGAGAATTCAACCAGCATGCAATCAATGCGAAAGCAGCACCAAAAAAGGCAGGAATCTCACACAGCATAATAGCTTTTCTCCTTAAAAAATTTCAAAACACTTATTATACTCTCTGTTCATACGTATACAGTATATAATATACGGTTATACCTTCCTAATCTGTCGGCAATGAAGCCAGAAGAAAACGCCCCAATCATTCCACCAGGAATAAAAATTGCAGTAGTTAATTGCCATAAGATTGTTAAAAAATTATCTGATACACAATTGTTATTTAAAGTGGGCGATTGCGTCTGATAGGCTACACTTGAATCGGAGACATTTTCCACAATGATTTTCTGATTTGAGCAATTAGCCCTTTCAGAATAAACTTTGGTATAAAAGTTTGAGATAGGCTAAATGGAGAAAGAAAAGAAAACAAGAGAAATATTTATAAAATATAATAGAAACTATAATTGTAATTTACGTCTTTTAACAGATTCAAAACTCCGAGATTATATCCAAATATGAAAGAACAACCAAACATTACAATAAAGTTGCCAAATATGAGATTTCTAGTAGCCTTTCTCTTTAATGTTATCTTTAAATCTTCGTGATATTGAGCTCTATCAATGGTACGGACAGATTTTAAACTTTTCGACGACATTTGAGATGCCTGCGACCGGTGACGATTTCTACCCGACATATTGGACAAAGGTATTCCATCTTCGGAGGAATGTCTAGAAAATCTCCTCTCTCTCGGCTAATAGGAAGAAACGTAAAGTTCAGTTAATAGGGAACTTCAAATAAGATTTAATTATATAAAGTCAATTAATAAGAATAGAAAGTGGTCACAGATTGGATAAAAAAATGTAGTTTTAAGATACGTTTACATATAAAAGCTATGATATTGTATTTGTGAATTACGATTAATAGTATTTAATATAGTAATATATCTATAAGATACCATTTTTCAGAATATACTCAATTCTATTAGCTTATTATTCTATCTCTTCCTCTTTAAATATATTTATAAATTCGGGTCTTAGTATTTTAATAATCTGGTTACCCTTTATTCACACAAACAAATCACAAATATTAGTATCAATTCCTTAAAAGGAACCAGATTATTTCACTTACATTATAGATTCTTGTCTATAAGAGAGAAAAATATGTATAGTAAATATGTTTATGTTATAATAATCTATTTTTAACATGATCCCATATCCTTGCCTATTCACACCCAAACTCCACACCCTAATATCTACCCTTTTCTATAGCAAAAATATTTAGGGCGAAGTGAATGGGATCATGAGTAATATCACAACATCATTCTGAAATAGTACTATTAACTACAATGTACGTCTTATATTATGAATCTATTTAAAGTGTCAAGAGTATATCTTATAGAAACAAGTGTAGATTTTTCCAATGAAATCAGAAAGAGTTCATGTCAATATTTAAAAAACAATATTGAAAGAAAGAGTAAAGAAGTTTGATAGATAAACAGATTGAAAGATAAAGAAAAGCATAGGAACACAGAGCATATATATCATTCATCTTTTTTAAATACTTTGCACAGTGTATTAGATAAATATAACTTGATTTCTTTCATCTTATTTTTTATATCCGGTTGCGCATTTTTTAAATGGGAGGAGCAAATAATGAATGAAAGGATAGAGAAGAGAAGAAAAAAGACAGTAATAGATAATAGATCGACCAAGGAGAAATGAAAGAGAGGTAGACTATAATTGACTAAATAGTTTTACTATAACAAGGATTGTACAACTTTATACATGGATAAATAATTATCCAGATGTCTTTTTAACAGCTGCATTTTTTTTTAAATAAAAAAGAAATATCTCTTATAGGAGCGGTCATACCATATTTATATATAAATAACTATATATATATATATATATATATTTATCATCGTCGAAGTCTATTACGTGTTTATATTTCTTCTGTTGCCGTTCTAATTTATGACTTTGTACTTGTAAAAATGTATTCGTTATTTATTACGTCATTGGAAAAATCCAAAGTCAAACTATTTTAGCTATACAAACGTAGGATAGTTATATTTTTATCAATGAATTTTGAAGAGAATAGTGTAAAAACAGTTAGTTTTTGAGTAGATTCAAGAATTCTAAAGCTCGTATTTAATCAAAGAAAAAGTTAATTAAATAAAGGACATTGTTTCTTGTATATTTTCCACATGTTGCGGTACTAACAAAATTCAGCATGTTTTATCTAAAAATCAATACCCTTTTCAATAAAATTAAAGGCCTGTTGCCATAATTAATGTGAATTCTTCCTATTTTATCAAGGTCATGACCTTAGATCATTGATACGTTATAACATCGTTATCAATACCGGACGTAAAGATCTCTACAACTAAAGTACTGACAATTTCGATGAAAATCGATTTGTCTATCCCTGTAGTAGATAGGATATACGCAGAACGCTACTAAACAAGTATGGACGCCATAATGCTTTGGCAACGAATAAGAATTAAATTGCTAATAATTCACCTTTGGTTCACTGTTTTCCTCCGACATAATTTCTTTAAGATGATCAAGTTGATTTCAACTATTCGTGGTAACAATTGAGGTCAAATGTTGTTTAAAACGTGTAGAATCCCGGATTTTTGTGAGTGAAAGAGGCCTGTCTTCTTTCTAAATTCTGATTGGTCAGAAAAATTCTATAGTCGTAAGCTGATTCTTTTACGCACAGACGCTTTAAATGAGGATTTACTTCCCAAGCCTTAGTCATACGTCTAAAAACACTAATATTTTTATTTATTACTCTAAAAATATTTGTATAATATAACCTTTAACTTTAAATTCAGATGACCGTCAATATATATATACAGTATATATATATATATATATAATGTATGTACTGTATAACAGCAGCAAATTCTATTGCGATGTATAGAGATTATATAACCCTATAATTCTTCTATAAAGATATATAATTTAAAAGTTATTATGACCTGTATCTTTTTTGTACAAGATATAATTCATATTCTAAATATAAAATAGCATATATTCAATCTATTTATATAGAAATAGCTATATTTATAGAGAGATTTTTTTATCATAATTTAACTTCATATTGTTATTTATCATACAAATAAATAAACACTAAAAAACAAAACATTTACCTTAAAACGACAAAACGCGGAAGAGAATTGGTAGAGGGTGTAATAAAAAATATTAATGATGTTCTATAAAATATTCAACTATAGCTCTATTTTCGATAATAATATTTCACGCTTCTATGAGCAAATAGGTATATATACTATATATATACAAAAGCCTCTCTTTCGATATATGCGCGTACGTTATGGTGCACATACGTTTGTAAAATCATTTGTTAATATCTCGACCAACAAAAATGTGTCTTCACTGCAAAAAAAGCTGTTTGTTTGTATATTTACGTCGTAATCTTTTCATTTAAAAACGTAAAATTATGCTGAATACAAGTTCTTAAGTTCAGATTTTATTTATTATTACATTAAAGGGATTAAGAGTATATTATTTCATTTCTTTTTTGTGAGCATTTTGTTGTATTGAACGACTTAGAGGATTTGTTCTCGAAAGATTGAAAAATAACTCAAGTATTGAACTTGAAAAAAGATATATTTATGTACTTAAACTTATATCAATAAGATAAGATAAGAACAACAACGGGAATTTACTTTCATTACTTTTGTTTCTTTTTTTAAATTTTCGCTTGCAAGCATCTCAATTTTATTAATTTCACCTTTTTTTAAAATAATATTTTGTTTGTCACCATATTTCCAACAATTTTTTTCTACAAAGTTTGTAGATAACATAACAACTCAGTGTAGATTTTTCACTTTTTCCTTACTTCCTGTAAAATTTTATAATATCTTAATATCTTTATCGACTAGTCTCTATAAGATCTTCTCTAGTGAGGTTCGCTAGAAAATTTTCGTGAAAGCACCATTAGCGTACAAATATATCTTGATGGAAGATAATCAAAAATTTGCAGTTCGTATCACATGTTTTGATAAGGCTCTATCAATTAGTTAGTCGTTTTGTTGATAAAATTTCTGCATGATTTTTCGATGGCTGAGTTCCTTTATCCGTGAGGGTTTTACTTTCAGTTTATAAATGCAGTTTTGGTTGTTTCGCCAGCTGTCTCCTTTCCAGCTTGCACAATTAAGGTAAAATAGACATAGATACACTAAAACGAAGAAATTTTGGTAAAGCAATACCAGTCACCAAAAATTCTATACAACTACACCAATTATCATCTTACACGCATGAAATGATACAATTACACGGATAATATATAAGCAAAAAGAAAAACAATGCTTTTTTTCCGTATGCCCCAAATATATGGAATGTTTAGAAAAAAAAAACAAGAGGAACAGAGAGAAAGAGAAAAAAGTGTATATATGTATGTATGTATTTATGTGTGTGTGTGGGGGGGGGGTCTATGTGTATGACAGAGAGAAATTGAGAGGGAAAGAATAGGAAAGAGTTTACTGAACAAATACAATACAGTCAGATATTTAAGGCAGGGTGAGTGAGTATACAACAATAAAAAAAAATAAAGAGGATTCTTTTTTGGTAACAACTGCGTAATAAATTATCATAAACATTTCCATAGCTTTGCGATTTTTACTCTCGTTAGTAATTTTCTTTCTTAGGCATACTAAATTTTAACTTTTTCCTACTTTTATGGCATTATACTAACTTTCAAAATGAATTTTTCTCCTTTTAGATAACGTTGCAAATGCCAATCGTAGTTCCAAAAAAAAAAACATAAAATAAAATAATGAAAGAAAGAGAACCAAACAGAAAATCAAAATTTCCAGAGTTGAACCATTACAAGCCAATTATTAATGTGAGATAACGCTACTACACCTAGTCTACAGTTAAAATAGTTTTAAAAATATACCATTTCTCTATAACTATACGTATATCTTGATATTTCGATATGGATAGCATACTTCTTCTAATAACCTCATACACACATCTTCTGATCTGATAACAGCAAATGAAGGTATGCAGTTTCCGCATCGGCCATTGGATCGACGATGGACGGATGTAATTCGTAGTCCTGCAATGGGCTCCAGTCTGTTTTCAGAGTATAGCTAATCTCTGAATTAAAATTTTCATCATATGGTTTCATATCAAAAACATTATTATCCATTGCTTCCCCTGTAATACCGATGCAACATTGTGGAACCAAAAGGGACTTCAACGTTTTCCTTCTTAATCTTGAAATTCCTATGATATATTCATCCAAGATTAAATAGCCTATAATTGTTAGACGTCTGAAAATAGGAAAAGAACTTGAAAGATCTTATGAAAATAAAAAAGATGGTAAATGAATAACCTTAAATTCGTGCATAGATAAGCCAACATTATCAATGGATCGGGCACGCCGTATTGAGGCTCACTGTAAATTCTTGGCGTTTCATCTATTCCATCAATTATATCCAAATACTTTAGAGTATTGGAATGGCTTCCAAGGTAGTTTAAAAGTGATGATGTCAAATAGCCATTGAAAAGTAGGCGTAGTGTAACGAGTGGTACAAACGATGGTATAATATCTTTCAATCTAGAAGCAGCATTTTCCGAATGCAAGACTGAACAATTTACTTGTAAATTTTTGCATTTGGAGATTAAAACTCTCCAAGATTCCTTCGAAATAATTCTTTTATCAAAATCGATATTATGAACATGAAGATTCAATTGTTTCAAAGTTACTGGATTTGAACTTAAGGATTTGAGAATTTCATTTGACAATTGGTCGTAATCTACGCTTAAAATCTGCAGCATTTTGAAAGTGCATAGACCGTTTAACGGTTGACCAACGTTCGATATTTGTGGATTTTCTCGAACGCTGGCAACATGCAGTGAATGAAGGGTATTGGCATGATGCTGGCCTAAACTATAGACAATTTCGGCGCTCTTTTCACAAAATTCTGTTATACAACCGAGGGATAAATGTTGAAGTTTCCTTGTATTCAATGTAATTTCCATTAAACGCTCAATAAGCCTGGAGAAGAATATATTGAGTTGTAAAAATCAATAATTAAGCTTTCATTTGTTAATTTCTTGGAAAAGTTACATTTATATTTGCGATAAAATTGGTTTTTTTCTCCTAATATCTAATTATACGCAATTTCTTTATTAAACTTACTGATTTATAACTTGATATTGTGTAGGAGGCAGGGATATATGGCAGCTGGTTGGTTTGAACGTCAGACATCTTAAGTTAGTACTTCGACTTGTTATTTCTAAAATTTTTAAAGTGCACAAAACAGCTGCAAAATTCTGAGCTTCGAAATCAATTGTAATTCGACCAAGATAACGACCAATCAGCTGTGCAGTTTGTCTTGATTTTTTCATGCGACCAGTTTTTACAATTAAAGTTCGATTGCTCCACAAGTCTTTGTGAAATAGGCAGCTTCTCCATTGCTTGCATACTGTCGACGCCTTCAATCGATCCTTACTGTTTATGAAAAAAATAGAGGATATTTTACTGCGTATTATCGCTCACATTTTTTGTTGCCATTGCATTGTATCGTTATTGTTGATTAGATATAATTGTAATATTTGTTTTGTTATTTAATCATAAATAAATCACCCTACCTGCCAAGGTTCTTCAATATTTCGAGAATTGTAACAGTTGGTAAATCTGCCCATTTCACCAACTCCGCCATATTCCATTCTGCTTACGTCACTTTCGTAATGAAAATAAACAGAACAAATTTTTATAGTTTCCGTCTAATTTACCAACAATGTCTTTTTATGCAATAATAAATTTGAAAAAAAAATAATATTGCATCCTCTGCAACAATTTAAAAGCATAAAAATCGTATTTTTATTAACATACTCTTTATTAACAGGATAGAATGTTTTACACATATCCTCTCTAATATTTCAAAACATTTCAAAATATTGAAATGTTTTAATATAGTAACAAAGTTTACAATTAAATCATCGGCATTGGTCTTAACGATTTCTTTGAACGCTTTTCATCAAATGTACCTTTACATTTATCAAAAAACAAATGAGACATTAAAGCATAATTCTCCTTAAAAAACGATGCAAATAAATGTATAGTTATAAATTCATGATTTATAAAAGTTTCAAATGTCCAGTAACCAAATCAATAGTTTGACTATTTCCAGGACCAATACAGCATACAGTTTTTGACCCAGCAGCAATTTGTGTTCTCCCTGAGTCATGGACAACATTAGTTAAAAGTCTCTTCTCTAATGCCTTATTGACAATTTCATCAAGCCCATCCTCGTCGTCAACCTTTACAACAACCTTCATCTGTCCATACTTTTCGTACTTTTCCAATATTTTTGGAATATATTTACTTGCACGTCTCATCATCATTGCAACTGAATGTCCGCATTGGGCGGCAATCTTTCCTTTACCCATTTTCAAGTCCATTCTAACAACGATAACACATTTTAGATCGGACGAAACGGTATCGCAATATTTAGATATCTCGTCTTCAGTTGACTTTTCCTGACACAATTTTTCAAATATATTTTGATTTTTTTCTATAACATAAATAACTTACTGGTTGTTTTCTTTTTGAACTGGTGAAGTAGGATATGCACAATCCTACACCAATACCAAAAGTTGTTCCCAAACAAAATACAGCCCTGGTATCCAAAGTAGACAAATCCAACATTTTTCTTTCAACCTATTGACCAATAAAGCTAAAAAAAAATTAACAATTTGTGGCGTTATCTATCAATAGATTGGTTGGGGTATCTAAACACGTGTTATAAAGCGAGGCTGAATGAAAACTGGTAAAAATTTCACTCTTTTGCTTAAGGGAACGAGTTGACAATATCCATTAGGCTTAGGTGAAAGTTTTTAAAGGTGTTTGTTAACTTTTAAATTGAGTAGCTGTAGTTAAGAGTTCAATTAGAGTATGAAAATTGGTCATAACGAATTTTTATAAAATTTTACAAGTAACTCAACAGAATCCTTCAAGAATTTACTTCCTTTTAGGTAAATAAGTTTTTTGTTATTGACGTTTTTTTTTGTAAATAGTCGCCTCAGTTAGCATACGGATACTATTGTATCATTCCTATTTTTTTTATATCACTCTCTAAATGAAATAAATGATGGCTTCTATATTTTAAAAAGCAATATAAAAACCTTTGCAAGCATCAATTTCTTTCGTCAAACAATATATTTATCAAAAATTACTACTTTACCATACACATAATTTTGTTTTGTTAATTCTATCTGTTATTTAGAGGCACCAATGACTGCTTAGCAGACCCTTGAAGAATGTTCGAAACAAACTATAGTTTTGAAATCACATCGAATTTCTAATACGGATAAATTATAAAATATTATCTTCTTGAACAAACACTTTAAAGTTACCTTTTTATATTATTACAAGCTATTAAATTAAATTATGATATAAAGCATTTAGACAGAGAGTAACATAAATAATATATTTTGTATGGAAGTTATTTTTATTAACCGATGAAGATATTAACCAATTTACTTGTACGTTTAAAATAAATAATTTAACTAATTGATAAATTAAATGAAATTGTTAGTCTACAAAACTAACTACTAGAAAATATGAAAATACTAAATATTCTTCTAATATCGCCCTTATGTTTTCTTTTTCAGGTAGGCAGCCATCTGATATATAGTTTGATATGAAAGACGAAAAATTAGTTTTTGGCGATGAGCTTCGCTTTAAACAGAACATTTTAAATTATATTTCTAACTATGTTTTAAAACTTAAAATGGAAGAAGGGTCTTTTGATATCTATTTTACAGTATACATGGATTTTGGATATACTTATAGAATGTATAAATTGTATTACCCGGGTAGTTGCCTTGATAGTGCAGCTGGCGAAGAATTTAATAAAGTAAAGTTTAGAGCTACTTTGAAGAAGGCTCTTCTCTACACAAGAGATTATGTTTTAAATAAAAGGCATCCATTGGTATCTATTAACGGCTTTGTGGAGTTGTCACTTACCAGTGGTAACATTCGATGCGAAGCATATACTTTAGATATAACGGAGGAACATCGGAAATTAAATAGACCGATATTCAGTCCAAATTTAATTACAATTGAACCTATTAGTGAAGGAAGTAGTTCTCAAGAGACTACAAGCAGAGGATTAGCAAGTAACGGAAAAAAAGTTATTCGACCAAATAGTTCGGGTGTACTATTAGAAACATTTGAAGGAACTTCACCAAGTCCTGAAACTGTCAACGGAGGTGAGGAAGTAATAGTTATACCGAAGGAAATACCTAAGGCAGCGAGTTCGGAACAACGACCATTAAACCCACCAATTGCAACGGCAAACCGTAAAGGTTCTACTATAGTTATAGCTTTGCCTACTGATTACAATGCTTTTGATAATGGAAAGCAGAATAGAATAACAAACGTTCCACATGTTCGGACAAATAAGAAATCGAATGACAAGAACATAATTCCAATTCCAAAGAAAAAAAATGATACATCACCTAAGCCATCAAGTCCTCAAGTAATTATTAACACGAATATATCAAAAGATAATTATTCATACTTCCGTAAAATACCGGGTACTTCAATTATTGCTAGGAAAATACCCAAGTCATCACTAAAAGCTCCTGTTACAGAATTTCGAATAACTGAAAAAACTAAAAATAAAACAACTGTAGATAAAGAAGCACAAATTCGAACAAAAAAGTCAAGTACAGTTATCGATTTTATTCATGATCCTAGAATACTTTCCTCTGGCAGTAATAGTAATACTGAGGATGAAAACAATAGCAGCAATAATGTAGCAGTTGACGAATCAGATAATGAAACAGTTGTTACAAGAATTTCTGTACAAGATAAGGACAAATCCAGTAAAGCTACAAACTCTGACAACGAATTATCGAACAGTAATAGCAAAACACCTTTTATAAGAGTTGATCTTGGAAAACTGAAAAATTTCGGAACAACAGATAAATCTACTGTAAAAACCACCACTAAAACTACAACAACAACAACAACTACTACTACAACCAAGAAAAAAGTTAGCTCAGCTTTAACTAAATCCTTAAATTCAAATGCTGATCATGCGCAAAACTCTGAGTTAGATACCACTGCTATTCTCTACATTGAGGATCTTGAAGATGGCGATGAAACGGAGAGTAATAATTTATCGCTAACTGTCAAAACTAAGAACTTTAAAGTAACACCCTTTACATGTCCATATCCTATTTGCAATAAGGTATTTTTTCTCAGAAGATCTCGAGCAGACCATGTAAAAAAAGTACACAAAAAGGATATCATTAACTGCACATTTTGTAGCAGTGTGTTCTGCTGGCAAACGGATTATGGTATTCATTTCCTGGAGGAACATAAAAATGAAGTTGCTCTTGTCGAAAAAGGATGCTGTTGTGGACGATATTTTAATGGAAAGATTCTTTTAAGAGATCATCTGTGGAAAACACATTATGCTAAAGGTTATAAATGCAGCATTTGCTCACAAAAATTTCAACAAACTGAAATAGAGCCCTTAAGGCATCACCTTATGAGACATACGAACTATATGTGTGCCCTTTGCGGGCAAGAGGAATCGAATCCGAAAGAATATATTAAACATTTCAAAAATGGTCATCCAGGTAAAACAATTCTTTATTCCTGTTTCTTATGTAGTGCACTTCTTGAGGAAGCCGCTCTTGAACTACATTATATGACAAAACACTGTACGAAGTCAATAGATATACCTAAAGCGTTAGATACGTCTGGATCTGCATCAGATATTATAAGTGACAAATTAAGAAAGTGGTACAACTTAAAAGATTGCTCAATTGATGTTCGACCAGTGGACAAACCCAAAATTATTCAAGCGACATATTCATCGAATAGAGAGGTATGATCAAATGATATTTAAATATTCAATTTTTTACATTTTAAATTTTTGTCATGTATTAATTCTTTTTTGTAGATAAATCTCGAATCGAACGAATTATTTTCTAGTAATATGCAAAGGAATAATCACTGCTCCTGCCAATGTACTGATGAATGCTCCAATTTAGAATCAATGTCTTTTTATCAACATATTCTTGATACAAAACTACGAGAGAAGACTTGTCAGCTGTGTCAAAAGAGCGAAGAAGCTGTTAAACCACGAGCCCTAGTGCCATTAGAACCAAAGAAGTTTGCTTGTCTTATTTGCGGCGATAAAATTGATAACGTTGGTCGTCATTTTTTTGAAAAACATTTCAAAGACGGAGTAACATGTCCAGTATGCAATGCTGAAGTTTTAGAAACTTTCTCATTGTTCGTGTCTCATTTAAGAACAGCACATCAGCCGACAAAAGTGAAAGATTATTGCCCTTTTTGCTGTTGTTCCATATCAAATAACGAACACTTTAAACTATTCCATAGTGATAGACGAAATATTGGATTCTACAAATGTGTCATGTGTAAGGAGTACATAGAGTCTTATTACATGGGTTATCACTATCTTCAGCACCACTGTAAAGTTAAAAAGACTACTCCACCGGAAAAACAGTCAATTTCTAAAGAAGTAAACGCTTTACCAACTTATAGAAATGACCAATCGGTTGCGGATGATAGTTGTTTTAACAATATAGAAATTGAAGAACTCGACGAAAGTTCTAGAAAACGTGTTGATGAGGAATCTTCTACGAATGGTTAGTTCAGATTAGAAAGTATCATAAATATTACTAATAATTAATCTATTACTTTATAAACATTATAGGCACAGGTGAAAATTCGAAGAACTTGAGTGATCAGGTAGTTTATTATCTGTTTTATTTTGTTTAGTCAATTTAATTTTAAGTTTGCTTTTTTTCTAAATTATAGCACAGAGTGAATACTGGAATTAGTCCAGCTATAAAAAGTAAACACAATGAATCTATTTCAAAAAGGTTAAGGCCTAAAGCATCTGTAAAGAGAAGGCACGATGGAAAAATAATAGGACCAAAAAGTGCTAAACAACGGAAAATATTAATTGGAGAGCGTAAAGATTAATTATTTAAGATAGATGGATAGATAGAGAGAGAGAGAGAATTAAAAGAGATATATATATAGAAAGATAGAAAATGATACCAAAGAACTTGGATTGAAATATTATCCATTTTAGTGAAATTTTGAAGTATTGTGTATTGTATTTTTCTATCATTTGTTTGTTAAAATTGGTGATATTAAGAGAATAATTTTTGTCTTGCATGTTTAAATATGCTTTTATTTATAGATTTCAATTAGCAAAACATTATTTCGATCATTCCTTTTCTTCTCAGAAAATTTCGACAATACAAAATTTGTTCGTTCAAGATAACGATAAAAACAGGATAAAATATCACAGCGAAAAATCATAAAGATTCCTCATATTTTTTGTAGTGCATAAGTAAGTTACAGGGGAGGTTGACCCATTTCCATTAAAGCCATTTCCTGTCCAATAGAAATAATATGTAAGCTATTGCACTTAAAATATTTCCTTGACGACACTTACAGATAATGTTTTCCCAGAAGGAATACAAAAAATACTAAATCTTAGAGTTATTCTTTTGCTATTATAAAGGAGAAATGTGCAATTATAAAGAAGGAAATGTGATATTAACAATTAAGGATATATTAAGTTTATGAAAATTAAATTCTGATTAGTTGTTAGGAATGCTATTAATTCATTTTTCCTGTACTTACGATGGTATCATAAAAAGTTTTCCCTATTGCTTCTTCGTAATATTTCGTCTCCTTTTGTAAAATACCACTATTACCCTTTTCAGATTCCTTTAAACTCTCTTTAACTAAGTCTAAGAAGGTAGATCCTTCTGCTGGTCTCTCCTCTACAGACCTACATTCATCAAGCGCACCTACAGATGACAATAGAAGATCGTTTCTCGCTAATTTCTCGGGTAAGTCTTGCTCTTCAAAATGGCCATCCCACAGTTTTACGACTACACTTGCGCCGCTCTAAAGTTCAGATCATTAATACAGAATATTATAACTATATAATAGGATAATTTCTTACCATAAACATTTCAGGAGGCCATGACGTCCCTGCTAAATAATCTGCAACTTTGGTCGTCTTTAATGCTTCCTGCATTTCTTTTGCTGGATTTTCTTTAAATAATGGTAAATGGTATTCACCATGACTCACAACTCCATTCCTAATAAAAATTTACATTTAATGTAAAGAAAATCTATTTTTTCTCATTTATTTTGTCTTACTCATCGAAAAGTGGCATTATCGTCCAACCTATCATCGTCAAGCCTATGTCTGCGTCAGGGTCACCTTCTGCGGACTTGACCACTCCAATCGTTTGATGATCTTCACTTGGTATATATACCACTTCTAATGCAAATATTTGAAAGAGAATCATACTATATAAATCAAAATGAGGATGTTTAATGTTGGGATTGTCATTCCATTTCGGCGATCTTCGAAAACTGCTCAAATTATACTTCATAGACACAAGCTGATCGTTTCTTCCGTAACCTTCCTCAGTGGGTGGGAGTTCTTGAGCTCTCGTACCCCTATGAACTCTTCCATATACTTGACACATTTTATCAGGTAATCCATAGGCTGCAATAATTTTCACATTTAGTCCAGCAGATATTCTGTAACGCACACATTTCGATACATCAATATTATCAGCAGGATTTGTCATATTCATTTTTTCTCTATCTAGTCTATCTGTAAGCCAAAGTATCAAATCAGAATTTTTATTAGAAGTTAGATGTGTATTTTCCTTCTTTTGAAGTTCAATTATAGCTTCTCGAACAGTTTTATTTCTATCTTCATTATAACTCTTTATAACATTCATTTCTGATTTGTTAAAGCCAGTATAGCGTTTATAACGAGCTGTAGGTGGTGGAGTAGAGGGAGTTCCAGGTTGATGTTTTGTTAGTCTTAAAAGAATGCGAGTGGCTGGAACCATAGCTTCTTTTAAAATATCTAAAGGATTCCCTTCTGGTCTACCGCCGTGTAACTCCAAAGAATGTGCGCCTACTTTTAGATTATTGTTTTCATCGAATGGCTCAAATGCGGAATTACCTATCACTTTAAGACTGGAGTCGTCAGCATCCACAGTATAAATCCTAAGAAATAGAATGCATTTGGAATTGACAGTAGCCTTTTGACTATTACAATGTCGCTTATATTGAAAAACAGGAGATCTGCTTGAAGAATCCAGTATTGGAACTGCCTTTATCTTCCAATCTCGAGTGTCTGTTCCATGATCAATCATATCTCCATTAATTCGGATAATTGTTGCTGTATCAGGGATATAATCAACTCTATCTATATATAAATCAAATGGTTCATTATTCTTGATATTTTCTTCCAAGGGAGAAGGTGTTCTATGAGGAGCTGGAGTTGGTGTTGACAATCTCCGTGGAACCGGCGAAGGCCTTTCAGTTCTAGGATCAAATACAATCGATTTCAGAATAGATCCTGATGAAAGAATGTCTAAAAAGAAAAGAATAAATAAATTTATATTTCTGCTTCTTAATAAGATGACGCTCACTTACCGGATGGATTAGACCTTGGTGATGAAAGAATTTCTGTCTCAGGAACTGGTCCAGAATGTATATCTATGCTAACATCTCCTTCATTTAATACCCACTCTCCCTCTTCTTGTTTGAAAGCATTGACCTGGCCCCATCCTAGAGGAACTTTAGCACTTAGATTGGTATCGCCAGCTTGATAAAAGTCTAAGCGAAGAATCAAAAAGGGTTTTAAATCTTCACCAGTATCTTTTAAATCATATTCTGAGAGATTGATGCTCTCAGATATCCACTTTTCTCTTTCAAAAGATACGGTATATACAATTGAACCATCAGGTTCGTATTTAGGTTCATTAACAGTTGCTTCAATATTTGATGATCGCGAACGGAGCTTAGTCGAACCGAAAAATACTGACGTAAGTCCTTTTATTTTACCAAAATGTAAATTCTTCAACCAACTATTACTTTTTATGGCATTTGAACCAACTCTTAGATAAGCTATTAGTTTTTTAACGCCGCTGGCCGGGAGAGTTCCAACAATAGGTGTAGGTGATTTAACTGGTGAAGGAGGAGCTGTAGAAGGCACTGCTGTTGATAATGGTGAGACACTTTCTGCGATGCTGTGATGGAGAAATAAAATATATAACTTATCTATTAAGGCTTAAATAAATAGCAGCTTACAGAGAACCAAGTTGATTCATTTGAGGGACTTCTAGCAAATCTTCATCATTTTGTAAATGTTTCCAAGCGCGTATTATGTCATTCGTATATAGTTTGCAAGGCTCACCGAAAAAGACGGCTTTCATTTCAAGATAGTGTTTTGCTTCCAGAAATTTATGCTTTAAAAGCATAAGTAAGGCCAAGCATAGATCTTCTATAGCCTTATTATCCCAACCCTGCATCATAAATTGATCCCAACTCCACATTATGGCTGGGCAATCTAAAACGGTTACAAAGCCTTCCCCAATCCATTTACGAATAAAGATCAATGGATCTCCAAATATATCACGGGACATTTGAAGCGATTTCTTAGAAGATGGATCAGATTTGAGGAAATCTTCTGCTTTCGTCCTCTCAGACATCATCAATTGAATCATAAAATCCCTTCTAAAGCTGTTGACTTCCGTTTCGTATTCACTGACAGTGCTGAAGAAAGATAAGAACATAGGAAAAAAATGAATAAGAAGCATAATATTAGAAAAATAAAAGACCTTCCTATATCTTTTAAATGAGTTACAAATTTTGGATCCTTTTTCTTTAATCTTCTTAAACAATTGTCTGCCATAGCAAATACATTAGGCCATTTAGGATATAATGTTTGATTGAGCAAATCCAGGTACATCGCCAATTCATAGACATGTTCGCTTTCGGCTTGTTCCTCAAAAAAGGCTAGCTGTATCGGGAAAAGCCAACAAACTAGATAAGGTTCATAGCTACCATCGTACACGTAGAGACAATTAAGGGTCCTAGCCGCTTCTCTCATATGTTCATTGCTATCAATTGCACACTGTAATCCGGGAGTGGTATCATAAATTTGGATCACAACATTGTCAATAAGTGCACTAATAGGAGAATGAGTAGCTCTTTTTATCTTTAATTCGCTTACTCTTCTCGATATTGCTCTTCCAAATTTCTCCCTTACTAATAAAGAAAGAAACGTCAGTATTACGTAATTTCGTAAAAGATATAAAGTTTAAAACGAACCTAAATGCTCAACATTAACTCCTTCATATTTCCGACGATGATGTTTATATAAAACGTCTAGCCAAATATAACTTCGTAGGGATGGAGGTAATCTATATCCTTTTAAAGATTTGACAATCTCGGCAAACCTTGAAGGATCTCGTTTCAAGATAAAAACTAAAGATCTTGAAATGGAATTACTTTCCATTCCCCAATAAGCCGATGGTTCTATTGGTTCGAGTGTCGAAATGGTGGATAAAGAATTGACAGATAAGGAACGTGTTGATCCTTTCAATATCCCCTTCGTTGCTGATTTATTTTTCCATTTTGACCTGGAATTACGTTGTTTGGCCTCTTCCCTTAAGCGGGCAATTTCCTTACTCTTCCTCGCCGACTATAATTAACTATGATATGAGAATGAACAACAATGATTTAAACTAGATCTTACCCAAACTTCTCTTTCCTGCATGGCTAAATGACGCTCTAATGATATTTTTACAACTTGACGATTGGTGTGGGTAAGAAAAGTAGACATTTCATCCGAAATTCTTTTACTTTAATAAGGTAAGAAAACTTAATTCTAATAGTAACAACTTTAAAATTGTATATACTTTGGATGTTCCAAAGGTCTTTGGCACTTAGCTTCTTGACAAGACTCCTCAAGTGATTTTTTAAGAAATTCTTGAACTTTAACTTGAAGTTCGTGATGTTCTTTTATTGATATTTCATCCTAGATTGTTGTTAAATAATAAATACAAGAGTATTTAATCTTATTTTCATCTACTTACCAAAACACTTAGCTTAAATTCATCATTAGGAAAATGCGATCTGACAAAATTAGAACCAAGTAAAGAAAAAGTCATTTGCTTTTGTTTTTCATTGACAAAAAATGGTGGAAGTTTTTTGACAAACGAAGCATTAATTTTATCTGAAACCTTCCACCAAGGTGAAGAAGGTAGTAGAGTTTGCTGATAGCAACTATCTAACCAAGGAAGCCCGAAAGGATGCTCTTCATCCTGTTTCTTTAGTTTCGGATACTTATTCATAATTTATTAGATTTAGGATATTCCAAACCAAAGCAGTATTTTTCGGCAGTTTTATATTGGTTTTGATGAACTACACTCTGTTTGATAAGTGAACGACTTGGAATAAAAATGCTTTTAGTTAATATTATTTTGATAAATACTTGAGAGGATGTTCGACACTTTGTCAAGCACAATTCAAATCTATCGGACACGGCGTCGAATGCGTGGGGAATTAATTTTGCTTTTAGCACTCTTTCTAAAATTCCTTTCTGCTTGGAAATTGAATAATTATCGTTTAAAACTCAATATAAGTGAGACGATTAATATACAAACATTCTTTGGTTTTAAACAGCAGGCAACGCAATTTTCGTATAAAGAACAGCAGTTATTTTCTAAGCAATGTTGACAGTCGTATCTACGAGTTTCCTTTGATTGTAGGCAACATCCAGTAGAAGTTATCGCTCTTCTGAGGCATATATAACCTCTTTCATCGACTATTTGCAGTCTTCCTTGAACGGAATTTCTACAATGTATTATTGTTATATTATCTTCGCTCAAAGACGTTTCTAAAGGTTTATTCCATTGGAAGTCTTCGACTTTCAAATTAGGTGTTGTGTGATATTCAATTTTCCTGGTGAGCTGTTGAAAAATAGAGGATGGTGAGCTGCTAATTGGAGAAAGGTAAAAACAGAATCTAAGGTTCTAACTGCTCTACCAAAGAAAATCCAAGCCTAACAAATAAGAGTCAATATAGATTTATATTTATAAATATATCTTAATGATTTATATTGATTATCAACCAATAAAAAGTAAATAGAATCGAAGAACAAATATTACTCAAAGGACAACTATTCAATAAAAAGCAAGAAATATATGGGAAGGTTTGAGATTTATTGTGAAAACATCGTGTAATTTTTTAACTTGATAGTCTTTGCTCTTTTTAAGAATAAAAGGTATTTAGAGAGCGATAAAGGCGTACCTTAAAAAAAGCGTTTTCAAGAAAGTATAAAAGTGAACAACAAAAAATAAGCGCCAAAAACCAGCGTCTTCTTATTAATCGAGAAAAACGCATGAGAGCATGATACCCTAACAGATCTCAAAAATTCCCTTGTTTTAAACAACAATTAGCAACAGGCGATAATCAAGGAAAATTTTCATCAAAACAGAAAGCATAACGGGCACATGATCGTATGTTTCACTCTTAGTGAATCACGTGACCGGAAAAATGGATGATGGTGGGTAAATTGATTTCATTTTTTAAAAACATTTGTCACTCTAAATCATTGTTTAAAAGAAAATCTTTTATCGGTTTATATGCTCAATTTATTTTTATAATGAATTAATAATTTTACGATTGTTGTCTATCAAAGACTGCGATTATTATGCGAATTTTTACATTAAAAGAAAACTACAATCTCCTAATTAAAGTTAATAAATTAAAATAGTGCAAAATATTACTAATATTGTAAATATTAATTTTATTAGAGTTGTATTTTTGTATTATTCAGGAAAATCTGTGCTCTTTCATAATATATAAGGCATAAGATGATTGCTATCTTAATAAAATAAAAACCTCTAACTTATTAATATTTCCATAAAATGATCATAATACATATTTGCTAAATGAATGTACATATAATAAACATAGGATTGCAATCATTGCTTCTATTGATGATATAATTTGGTGTGGCTGACATAGGTCTAAGTTAAAACTGCTCGTACAATTGAAGAATATGGCCATTACAGAAATTATAACAATGGAATATCTCTCTAATGCTATCTGACTTTAAATATGGATTAAAATATCTAAGGCCTATTATGCTTAAACTTTATCTGAATATTTTTGTTAATGTATATATATATATATAAATGATTTTATAGAATTTGTCTTTTGCCTTATCACATATAGATGGAGAAGTGGAAAAAGTACGAAAACATTTGGAATTGTTAAGAACAGAATACGTTCAGCTACAACAAAAACTTGCTGATGCAGAAAGGAAATTAGATGCAGCAACCGCAAATGTTGAAAACGGAACTGCTTTTGCTAGCTGCCTTTTAAGAGCTGTCGCAAACTTGTTAAATGATAAAAAGTATAGCGATATTACGATTCGTTTCGAGAATCATGAAATTCAAGCGCATAAATTTGTTCTGGCCGCTAGAAACTCTAAATGGGGAAATTTAAATGTTCTTGATACAGATACTTTAGATTTTACAGATATATCCAAAGAAGCAGGAGAAGCTTTAATAAAATGGGTCTATACAGACAAATTAGAATGTGATTGTTCAAATATGGATCTGGTGCTGGAATTATTAAAAACCTCAAAAAAATTCTGCCTAAGTCACTTGTCCGATAGATGCGAAGAATCTTTAATTGCTACAATTACAGTGGAAAACTGTATACAATTTTATAAATCTTCCTCAGAGATTGGAGCAGAAAAAGTACAAAATCATTGTTCAAAATTAATATCTCATTATTGGAATGATTTCTCAGCAACTGATTTTCAAACTCTTTCAGCAAAACTAGCTTATAATTTATTTAAAGATAAAAGTAATCATGTTCTACATTCTACTGTCAGGTTATTATGAATGAACAAAGCCTTATTTATCTTCTAAATATCCCAAAAGCAGTAAAATTAAAGAAATAGTAAAGAAAAAAATAATTCAATAAGAATAATTCTTTTATTACTGAGTTATTATTTATTCAAAATTATTCAATAAAACTTTGTTCATTCAATAAAAATTTCTTCTTCATTTAATAGACTAGGAAGAGAGGATGTGTTAATGCTTTATCTTTTGGAATACGACTCCTTATTGCCTTCGAAACTGGATGAATTAGATAACAAAGGTGAAGTTGCCTTGGATTTAGCTTTAAAATTATCAAGAAATACAATTGCTAAAACTTTGGTAAAATACGGTGCTAATGTAAATAGGAAAACTGTAGATGGTTATTCATTGTTGCACAAAGCTATTAGCCGTTCGGATAAAGATTCGGCATCATTTCTTTTGGACAATAATGCTGAAACTAATGGAAAACTAAAAACAGGAGACACGCCATTACATCTGGTTTCAGCTTCTTCTGCCGAGATGGCCGATTTAACAGTGCAATTATTAAAGCATGGTGCTGATCCCAACTCTCAAAACGAAGACGGTGATACACCTTTACACATTGCCGTTGGAACGAAGAATAATATCGTTCTTGATCTTTTATTAAACGTTGATGAAAAGTTAGATTTAGATATATCAAATAATAGTGAAATGACTCCTCTTCGAATAGCATTAACCATACAAGATAGTTACGAATCGTCAATGGCTGGGAAACTACTTAAAGCTGGAGCTTCCTCTGACACAATACACGGAGCAGGTTAATATATCATTTCTCCAAGTCATTAATCTTGTTAGTATTAATTTGTTTTTCTTTTTTTTTGTCTTCTTAGATTCAGATTGTTTATTACAAGTTTTAAGTAGAGAAGGACGAGAAGACGCTTGCGTTTTCCTGGCGGCAAATGGTGTTAAAGTAAGTCGTTATAATGCTTTAGGAGAAACACCCTTGCATACAGCCTCTGCCTTTGGTTTGACAAGGTTAGTCAGGGTGTTATTGGATGCTGGAGCAGATCCAAACAGTTGTACAACAGCTCCTGTCTACGGGCAAGAATCGACTAAATTAACGCCTTTACATTTGGCTGTCCTTGAAGGAAGGGAGGAAGTTGTTGATACATTATTAGAAAATTCAGGGACTTCTGCTAATGCAAGAGATACTCAAGGAGGTACACCTTTGGGTTATGCTTTATGGCACGGTATGCATAAGGTAGCCGAAAAACTAGTAAAATTGGGAGCAGGAGTTGCAGGAGATGAAGGAGCTCTCCTATTAAGAGAAGCAATCGAACGAAAGAAAACCGATGCTGCTCTATTTATTTTAAAAAATGGCGCTCGTACAGATAGTTTAGTTGTATCCAATTGCCTGGAATTGGCGGTCAAGAATGGCTTGAAAATGGTTGTTGCTGAATTATGTAAAAGAGGTGTTGCCAAAGACGCTCCTGACTCTGAGGGTAATAGACCAATATGGACTGCTTTAAAGAAAGGATATGAAGATGTAGCCAATGTACTAGTAGAATCGGGATGTGACGTTGACGGTTGGGACGTCGGTCCATCTGGTTGTTTGCAAACACTGCTGCACAGAGCTATAGGTATGTAAAGATATTGTATTCCTTGAGTCATTCTACCTAATATTCAATTAAATAGATGAGAGTGATGAAAGGATAGCCTGCTATCTCATCAACAAAGGTTGCGATGTTGACTCCCCTAGGCGACCAGGTCCTAACGGGGAAGGAGATGAAGAGGCCAGAGATGGACAAAGACCGTTGCATTTGGCAGCTAGCTGGGGATTGCAATTAATAGTTGAAAGACTTGTATCATCTGGTAGGGTTGATGTCAATGGAAGAGACTCTGATGGTCGAACGGCTCTACATGTCGCAATAGACAATCAACATGAATCAATCATACAAATGCTAATGTCAAATGCTCAAGCTCAATTAAACCTCAGAATCAAAGATAGAAAAGGCATGACACCATTTGCTCTAGCCCTCCTACGGAAGAATGAAAAAGTTGCTAGAGCAATAGTCAGTCTGGAAAAGGGAGCCGCGGAAGAGAAAGATAATAAGGGAAAAACATTCCTTCACATAGCTGTTGAACAAAATAGCGTTGAAACAGTATTATTCTTACTAGCCTTAGGAGTAAACGTCAATAGTAAAGATTCAAATGGCCTCACTCCACTGCATTATGCAGTTATTGCGAACAATGATATGACTGTACGTAATTTGATTTTAGCAGGGACTGATATCAATGAAAAAACTCCTCAAAAGCGAACTGCTTTACACATTGCAGCCAAACATGATAGAGCATCAATTGCTTCAATACTACTGGACAATAAAATCGATTTTGATGCTGTTGATGACAGTCAAGCGAATGCCCTTCACTTGGCTGTCCAAGAGGGTCATGTTGACACTGTTAGAATATTATTAACTCAATCAACAATAAATGCGGAAGCGGTTAACATGAAAGGACAGAATCCCATGCATGTTCTCTGTTCCGCTTCTCCAGAAAGAGCCCCAGCTATTTTTGAAATATTTATCGAAAGCATGCCACATTATCCTATTGACAAACAGGATGCCAACGGTAGTACTCCGCTGTTACTTGCCTATATTAATGCCCATGGTCAACTTGCTAGATCCCTAGTAAGAGCTCACGCTCTTCTAGGGACCGCGAATAAAGATGGACTCTCAATTTTTAATGCACCTGTTGCTTCGAAATCGTTACTAAACAAATTATTAGATATGATATCGAAAGAGCCTGCATGGACAGAGGGAGATAGTTGCTTGGAATGTGGAGTTAAATTCGGGATTGCCACAAGAAAGCATCATTGCCGCCATTGTGGTCGTCTGGTCTGTTCGAAATGTTCACCAAATGATATGCCAATTATTAAGTTCAATTTACACAAACCAGTTCGAGTTTGTCAAATTTGTTTCGACGTTCTTAATGGTTCTGTTTTGTAAAATAATCCAAATCTTTTACACTATAAGAATAATAATTACCTAAGTATACTCTCAGTTAATTTTCGAGAATTATGCGGTAGATACATCTGATAGGTGTATATATGCTGCATGATATTGCTTATGTTATTTTATTTATTAAGTCTATTAAAGCTTTAACATTTAATAAAGTATCTATAGATTTATGAATTTTCAATTTTTAAATGAATCCAATCGACGAATAGCGGGACGCTAGTCATCCATGAACCATAGTAAGCTCGATAGCCGCAATCATTAAGTGTACCAGAAACAACTCCCAAAAGTACATAACTATCGCTCTTACGGTCGAATGAAACAAGCGGTCCTCCTGAATCCCCACTACAAATCGATTTTCCTATCCCTCCCCCAACACAAATCGAATGTTCCATATTGTAATAGATACTGTTCAATCGAAATCGTCGAGAACTTCCCACTACGCATTTTCTGGTTGGTTCGACTATTAAATGGACGTGACGAACTATATCAGAAGTTTCTTCCTCTCCTATTAGAATTTGCAACATAATTATATAGATATATGCTTTTAGCCTACTAACCTAAATTATGAATTCCCCAGCCGGCTGCCTGACATGATGTACCAATAGGCACTTCTTGTCCTGATATTGGCAAACAGATATAATTAATGGTTGGGCCAATTTCAACAGACTTTTCCAACTTAATAAGCGCTAGATCTCGTGTGGGATGCATAATAATCTTTAAAGGATTCATATAAATAACCTTCTCCTTACTCGAAGAGAAGCTATGCTCGCCAATTATAACTTTCCAATATTTCGGTAATTCAGCATTTTTAAAACAATGAGCTGCTGTCAAAACCCACCTATCACTAATAAGGCTTCCCCCGCATGAATGATAACTATTGTAATAGCCACAACGCTTAATGACTTCATTTGTAAAGTCTGAATGATTGGTCATTTCCGATTTCACATTAAGCTTCTCCAAACAAGTTTCGTTTACACTAAACACTATTTCTGGATATTAATTAAAAATTAATTGATAAATAAAACCTAATTAGATGTCAATAAAGAATTCTTCGTATTAATTACTATGTAAGCTAACTAGCCAAGGCCATTCGTTAAGTCTCGATTCTTTACCCCCAGATGATATTCTTTTGGATATAGTTCTCTTATTCTGGTAACGATTTCGGCCGCAGTTTTTGTCATTAAAAGTCCATTTTCTTCCCTTTTCTTGAGAGTTTTTCTTAAAATATATATTTTTAAATATATTTAACTTTCAAAGTACCTTTTCGTTCTATTTTATCTTCTACTTTAGCATCACTTTCTTGTCTTTCCTTGCCTTTAATTTAGCAAATTTAATAGAAAGATTAAATTAGATTAAACAAAGAGTTTTACTCCCGTTGGAATTTAAATTTATGTCATTTTCATATCCTGAAATTTTATAAATGGATTTTGAATAACACTAGTTAAATATGCAAACAAGCCTTACCTGAACGATTAAGAGCTACTCTCACTGAAGGATCTACATAGTCAGTACTAAATTAACTTTTATTGTTCATTTCTCAATTGGAAAAAATGGAACGTTCGTTAGTTAGCTTTCGTACCTTCATTCTGAAGAGTTTTTTCGAACGCTCCTGCTTTAAGATAATTGGACAAAATGGAAAGAATTAGGAAGATAGTATAATGACAATTCATTATTTAATTCTCTTATTCCGAGAAAAATCTCTCCGTGACTTAAATTATAAATAATAATACAAATTGTTGGACAACATAATACTTATATATACTATTTTTGTATGCATCATATTGAAGGTTTTAAGAACACGTGTTCTTATTTATGATTATTGTTATAATTTACATAAATTCCTGTAAAGTTTTTTTGTTTTAGAAAAAAGTTCGAAAATTATCATAAATTTTAAAGATTAGCTTGATATTTAACGTTTTTCGAACATAAATTACAAAACTTTGAAAATTGGAAAACCGGAAATGCGACAGTGCGGCTTTCGCATAATGTTACTGTCTGGGAAAAAACTCTTAAATTATCTTTTTATTTAATTTAGATCTTTAAATATTTTTTCTTTGATGAACAACATCAATGTATATAGGAATCATACAAGTAATTAGAGCAGTCTAAGGGTAAATTGCCATCGATGAATGATGATAAAAGGCAATCGCTAGACTTAAAGTGTCTCAAATCACTTTTTGTACAGTTTTCTAAGAATCGTCTTAAGGGAAGAACGTGAGTGGTGGGAGAAGTCCACGTTGTATGGAAATCTTCCAGAATGTAATGTGCCCTGTCAGGATTTGGCAGAATTTCCTCCTTCTTTTTGTTAAACATCCGTCCTTCTGTGTATTCCAGGAAAAACAGAAACATTATAACTAATAACAATTAATCATTCGCCAACTGTTGTCAACAGTAAAAGGAAAGCAGTTAACGTAATTACATTCTAACTTTATCTATGATTGATACAGCTGATAATGGTAAACATTTACAATGATTGTTCATTGTCTCCGTTATTTAAAACTATTATAATACTTACTTGTCGGCAATTTTTTATAATAATAGAATTGAGGATGGAGAAAGTTGCTATGATGAGCTTCTTCCAAGACACCAGTTGCTCTATCTATCCTGAGAACGTCATTTCCCGGTTTCGAGAAAGTCTTTCCATAGTTCAGCATAAGAACAAGTACATCTTTGACTTTGTGACCGGTAAGACTCTCGAAATTATGTAAATTAGCCAATTGAAAATCTTTATAATATTCGAAAGATTCTTTCTCCCTATTGAAATATTAATATATTTTATTAATTTAAAAAATTTAATTAAGAAACAAACGAGAAATAAAAAAAAAATAAATTGACTATTCGCTTACAAAGACTTCTTTGAATTACCTTCTAAAAGCTATGACATCACCAAGAACACCGTGCATTTGATACAGTGAACTAACTTCATTAATCCTCTTCAGAATTACATTAACTAATTCAGTAAGCTTATGAATTGTAGACGGCCATGGAATTCGATGCTTAGTCCATTCTAAGGTTTGATAGAACGTTTGTACTGAAAAGAAGACGTACGTAAGGTAGAACAGGAAATAAAATAACGGGTCGTTAGCATAATGCCAAATAATCTTATAGGTTTCAATTCCCTTATTAATACTTACTCATATATCTAAAGCCGTGGATAAAGCCACCAGAGGACTTTCTGTAGTCGAGTGAGTGAGCCGAAGTACCAATAAAATATAAATCTTCAATGTTAGTTGATTGAAAATTATAATCTATTTCTGGATATTTTTTTTGTTGATGACGTTTGGGTTTTGTATCGCTATGCGAAAAAATAATAAGATATACTGCTGATTAAATATGGTACAAAATGAGTAAATATCTTAAAGGGAAGAGAGAGAAAATCTATAATTTTTCATCATTATATTAACTAATATAGCAATTTAGAGATAGATATGTGAATTTTATGATAGATTTTATTATCTTATATAGTTTATTCCACCTCTATAGAAAAACCTTTTCTATTATGTATTATTATGTTTACATAGTACAATTTATTAAGTGTTTATCATGTATAAAAGAGCCGAAGTTTAACTAAAATGCTGACTACAAAATTTAATTAGGTTTGTGTTACTTATACCTGTTTCCGATAAGTAATGAATTCTGCTAACACTATTCGTCTTAAAAGAAAACAGTGTAATCTTGAAAGTGAGTTAACATCCGTGAAACGGAAATGCAATAGGAAGGATGATGTTTATTAATAGGATATTGAATAAGCTGTATATGCGGGTAGCTGTTTGCCTGCTTTCTTTTCTGTCTCATTTTTACTACAGAAAACAGAGATGGAAAATTGGACGGATGGAAAATAAAGAGATGGGTAAATACAATTATTTACCTAAATATTATTAGCACTTTTTTTCTAAAGTAAAATTATACCAAACTTACAATTTAAACTGGGATAACTCGTTTTTTATATAAGAGATAATAGCACTTATACTTACGATGCGAAAATGCTGTCATTAAATTCAAAACCCAAACATCTTATCACAATGTCATAACCCTCCCTTAAGGCAAAATTGTCCATACTGTCAGGCAAATTTCCAGCGTCGAAATATAACTTGTTGTTATATTTTTCTAGATTGAATTCGTTAATTCGACCTTCTAGTATTCCGTCGAGAGATTTTAATTGATACGTATCAATTAGTTCACTATAGACGCTTCTGGATAATTAAGATGATAATATTTTAATGATTTAATGAGATATATACAATATATATATATGCTGTATACTATATGTATTGTATAAAGTGTAATTTTTTTGTCACAAACCTCAAATCTCCTACGTAATGGGTTTCCCATGCTAATCTAACTCTGCTTCTACCAAGTATATGAACTTTATTTGTGTTTCTGTATATTGCGTTCGCTGTTTCAAAGGCGGAGTTTCCGTGACCTGAAAAGAATAGATAATACCCTTTAAAAGTGCATAAATAAAAATACCAAACAACTTCCATAATGTAACCAAATCTAGAGGGATTTTTATATTAATAACAAACCTAAGATTAAGACGTCCTTTCCTTTATAAAAATCCTCTCCCAGTGGTATTTCTTCGTATCCCAACATGTGTTGAGAACCCTTAAAGTATCCACGAATAATAAACTGAGTGTGAAGAGGAACTTCCGGTCCCTCCTACTAAGCCGTCTATTTTTGGTAAATAATTACTTTTCCCTTTCTTTTTTCTTTCCTATCTTTTTTGTATTTTTATTTACAACTTCAGAATGTTCTCCCTTTCCCTCGTTTCTCTCTAGCCCTATCTTTCTTTCTTAGAAATTTTAGTTTTTAACGAAACAAATGACAATTTATTTCGAGGATACTTTAAAATCAGGTAATATAGGTTTATTCATTCCTGTTGCTATAATGAGCTGGTTACATTTGTATACTTGATCGTTAATACTAAGATGAAAGTGGTCCTGTATCTTACTAATATTACTCACTTCTTTACCAAAGAGGATATTTAGTTTATAGTTTTTCGAGAATTCGTTTAGATAACTTCTCATTTGATCCTTATATGGGAAAAAATCATTTGAAAATTGATAAAAAGGCAGAAAATCGTCGGACAGTAATGAATTCCAATCATGTCTTAAATTAAATTCTTTGTTTGTCCTTCCAGTATATTTTTTATTGATCGAAATTAGTCGATCATGTCGAGGGAACGTACGAAAAAAACTTCCAGCTTCTAAATTTCTCTCAAAAATTACGTAATCCCTACTATTCTTTTCCAATAGATAGCCCATTTGTAAGCCAGCAGGTCCTGCTCCAATGATAATGTAATCCCAAAATAATTTGATTTCATTCGACTTACAACTATCAACCAAGTAGAGAAAGAGGAGAGCAAAGCGAAAAAATTGCATATTCGGCGGGGATACGGCGCTGAGTGACGGTCGAGCGTCGCTTTATAAATCAATAGGCCTAATGCGTTTGCCTATTACTCATGCAAATAAATTATTCGCTATCGTTTAGACACAGTGAGCTAAATATTAAATTCTTTAGATTTTATATACTATTTACAGTACCGTACACTTTCAATAATAATGACAATTTAAGTTTGAAATGACAGTAATAATAGTAATAACAGTAATAACTGTTTAGATAATAATTAATAAATTACTCCATCTTTCTCTCCCTCCCTCTCTCTCTCTCGTTCTCTCTCTGTTAATAAATAATATTATTATTTTGTCTCCTTCCTGTTTTTGTTCTTTTTTTTAAGCGGAAGAATGAGTACTCTAGATGCATTTATAAGAACATTAGATTTTGCAGGATTGTAAGTTCTTTTTTCCGTTACGTTAGAGAAAATAGTAAATAACTTGACAGTCTAATTTTAGACGAAACAAGTGTTTAGTTCTCGGTGACTCTGTTTTCGAGTACCGCGAATGTGACGTCATACAAACTGATTTACAGCTGGTATTTGCATATTGTAGCATGAATAAAGTGACATAATCTATTGTAACGGTTATATGACTGTATTAGTCTTTTTGTTACCCCTCTTAAGTAAATAATAAAGATATAATAAAGTTTGGTTTATATATTAATTCGCTTTTATACCAAACTCCCACGCACAAAAATAGTGCTGGCGTTTGTACGCAGTAAGGAGAATTCGTAAAAGCGCCGCGAAAATATTCCTAAATTTGTCATGTGACATTAGTCACGTGAAGTTATTTTCGTAACTCTAACATCTGATATTGTTGAACGTTTTCTTCCGTTTTTGGATAAAATAAATTGTAATCGTAGGAGAATAGTTGAACATGGGCTGTTGTGGACCAAAGCTCTCCGTTTGTGGATTGATATTAGGCGTTTGGGGAACAATTATGCTGGTAATATTGTTTTAAACCTTCGATTCGCTTTAAACCTTTTTATTCGTAAATATATCACAGACTTTGATGGGTATATTCTTCCAAGTTCAGAGCCCCGCTCTAGTTGAAGATCTTCCAATAAATGAGGATTTATTCGACAATGCTAAATCTGATGGTGAACGAGCAAAACATTTAGACGGATTATATCAACAAGCATCGTACAACTGCTTTATATCAGCTGGAATGTATCTTGGTGTCTTAGTCTTTTCATTTATAATGTTTAAATTAAACGAAAGAAAATCAGGATATTCTTCAGCATAAGTACTAGCCCTTTTCTTGCAGTAACTTCACAGTTATTAATCAAGAAATTATAATATTTCTAAACCGATATAGAAAAAATAGTAAAAATGTTCAATGAGTTTTAAATTATAAACTATTGTGAATTCCAATTTCTATTTCTATTTTGTATTATTAATTGTTATCTTATAAAAGTCTTTCGGATGATATGATATACAATTAAAATGAAGAATCGTGTTCGTGCCTTGTACATGAAAATAGTATGATATGTTTGAAAAGCAACTGTGAAATTCTGCAAACACTCTGATTATTATTATTATTATCGTAATTATACAGTTACAAAATATATTTTAAAAAGTATGGTTAATATACAAATAACAGATCAATTTTAATATTTAAATTCTATATTTGAAGTAACATTGTTCTAACTCTTTCAGCTTTGCTTCTATTGTCTAGAGAGTTCTTTGATTTAGTTTATTATTTATATATCTTGAATTGTCTAATTCAATGATAAAAAAGTTCAGATCTATTTTATTTACCAGTTTTTACCAATGAGGACTTGTTGCTTCTATTCCAATTTCTTTTTATAGCATTTTTCGTCTTTCGACGATATGAGTTCGGCCAACAGTTTATTATCAGAGAACGTCTTATGTAGGTTAGCATTTATGGATATTTTTTAGTTTAATATAAATTTTGAAGGCATTAAATTTATCATTTTAACACAACTCCACTTTTTATCGCTCAGAGTCAGTTCAGTCCTAAATAACGATACAAAACAATTTGGTAAGAAGTATTTGTTCGATAAGAACAACGAAACTTGTTGGAATTCCGATCAAGGTTCTCCCCAATGGATATTATTACAATTTCCTTCAAACTCTCTCATCAGCGCAATTAGTTTTCAATTCCAAGGAGGGTTTACTTCAAAGGACGTTGTAATTGTAGGAGACGATGAACAATTAGATGTCATCCATCCTGAAGATAGTAACTCTGTTCAGGTACAGATTTTTCAGAAAAAGAGTGTAATATATTAATGAAAACTTTTTGATTTTAGCATTTTCCTTTAACGAGTGAGAAGAGAATACAAAAGTTAAAATTAATCTTTCAAGAAAGTACTGATTTTTTTGGTAGAATAACAATTTATTCTCTTGATATTTTTGGGGAATAAATCTTTATAATTGTTATTTAAAAACTGATATATTAACATTTCTTCAACTGAGACTTTGTGAACAAAACTAATTTAAGCAAGTTTTGGTTTATTCTTCCAGAACAAATAACGTACAATTATGTCATACGATTCCTATTCAGCAAAAATATGCTTTGCAACAATCAACTTCATAATTTCGTTTGTTCCTAAAAAGAAGAAAAGAATATTTCGTTAAAATTGTATATATTATTATACTAATATTAATGCATCAACATATAGGAATTCATTTTACCTTCGATTATTTGATGGGCACGACAATCTCTGAAATATTGCTGAATTGGATAATCTTTTAGGTAACCATATCCGCCAAACATTTGTAAACTTTCATTACATATTCTTGAACATTCATCAGTAACGAGTTGTTTGGTCATGGCACAAAGTGAAACAAGGTTAGCATCTTTCTCATCCATAGATTTTGCAGCGTTTCTTACCATTAATCTGCAAGCTACTAACGATCCAGCTAATTCAGCTAACTTAAATTGTAAATGCTGCATATCCTTCAAAAGAGTACCAAATTGAGACCTAATTTTAAGGTAATCTCTGGTTGCGTATAAAGCTGAAGTAGCTGCTCCCAAAGAACAAGAGGCGATGTTCAACCGACCACCATTTATACCATTCATTGCAATATTGAATCCTTGCCCTTCTCTACCTAATAAATTTTTAGCAGGAACTTTACAATCTTCCAAAATCACTTGACGAGCTGGATGAGTGTTCCACCCCAGTTTTTTCTCTTTCTTTCCAAAGCTGATACCCGTCATATCTTTTTCTATAATAAAGCAGCTAATACCTTTAGGTCCCTTTTCTCCTGTTCTAGACATAACTAAATACACATTGGATTCTCCGGCACCACTAATAAATGATTTTGTTCCGTTTAACAAATAGTAGTCTCCCTTTTTTGTGGCACTTGTTTCCAAATTAGCAGCATCGCTACCGTGTCCTGGTTCAGTTAGGCAATAAGAACCGAAGTCTTCCATTGTTGCTAATTTGGGTAAATATTGGGATCGTTGTTCGTTGTTACCGAAGGTGTCGATCATCCAGGCTACCATATTGTGAATTGATATATAAGCTGTGGTACTGCAACATCCCATAGCAAGAGATTCGAAAATTATAGATGCATCTGTCCTATTGAGACCAGTTCCACCATACTCAGGATCGCAATAGATGGCTCCAAAACCTAATTTTGCACTGTTTCTCAGTGTTTCCACTGGAAATTCTTCATTTGCATCCCACCTCTCCATGTTTGGTGCCAACTCGGCGGTAGCAAAGTCATGAGCCAATTGTTGAAAATGTTTCTGTTCATCATTCAATCCAGTTGAAGCTGTTATATAATGTTCGTTATAATATCGCTCAATGGGATATCGTTTTAGACAGAGTATTAAACTACATAGCAATACTTTTCAACAATTTAATACTTACGGTCAATATGAACAGCCGAAGTAATGTTTCGGAATCCTTTGACAAAGGATTGATTCCGAAGCAAACTACTAGATCTACCGAGGGCGACTAAAGCGCGAGTTGCCATGACCTTAACAGATGTCACTAGTGAATAATTTTACTTCACATTTTTTAGGCTTATGAGATAATTGAGTAGACCAACAAAAAGCATTGACATTACTGGAAAAGTTCAGTTTTATTCAAATTAAGTTAAATGAAAGTTTCATCTAATCTTTAATAATACTATAAAACCTGAGAAATAGTAATTTACTTTAAAAAAGAACAAAAACAATATAAAATAAACTTTCTGTTATTTCAAAGATTTTTATGTAAGTATTCCAATAGATCACCCATCATTCTAAGGCCTTCATCGGTTTTTAATGGTTCCGCAATATAGTTTAGAATAGCGTGGAAACCATGTTCGTAATTTTTCCAAATTGTATCAACTCCGGCATTGCGTAATCTTGCTGCGTAAATTAAGCCGTCATCCCTTATACAGTCGTACTGGGCAGTAGGAATGTAGGCAGGTGGTAAACCAGTTAAATTCTTTTCCATAAGTGGCATAAAATAAGGATCAAGATAGAATTTTTTCATAGCATCAACAATTTTTGGAATAGGATCCTTGAACACTGACGGTTTATAATTAGGCCTTAAATATTGCGGTAATAGTTCATAGTCTATTAAGTGATAATACAGATCATGTATTTCCTTCGTCACATGCCTATTTTTAGCAACGTCCGGGACAAAATCTATATTTTGGCCACTATATAGTATGATTGCTGCCGCTAGACCTTCTCGGTCGCCATAGGCTACTCCAGAAAACTTCCGATAAGAATATGTATCTAAATCAAGCGCTTGTAAAACAGGATAAATTAAAACCTGTAGCTTTGGCTTATATTTATTTCCCTCGTCTCTAAGCTTGAGAGTCGCAGCCGCAGCTAAATTTCCACCAGCCGAATCTCCAACTATGGCCATTCTTTCTTTGTCAACACCGAATTCCTCGGCTCTTTCATAAAAGTATTTATATGCTTCCAGGCAATCTTCCAGAGGTATTGGATATGCGAATTCTGGTGCACGACGATATTCTACTGATACAACCACTAAATTTTGAATATTTTTGGCGAAGGTTCTCGCGACTACGTCATGAGAGTCAACACTTCCGAGCATCCAAGCACCACCGTGAATAAAAAACAAACCGGGTCCCAAAACTGTCGTTTCTTTATTAACTTGAGTATACACACGAACGATTACATCTCCGAACTTTGTGTCATTGACCTGTTATAGATATTTAAATATAGGCACTCAAAAAAAACTCGAACTATGTCAAAAATGAAGTCACACGTGTCTAAGAGTACAAAAATATGATATCGTTCGTTGTATAAGTAAAAAATTTGTCCCAATTAAAGATCACGTGGATTAGTGTAAATTCCCTAACTGAATTACTTACTCGTAAACCAGTATAGTCTATTCCTTGTAAAGTTACAAGAGCATCTGTTATAGTTCTTGCTGTTAAATGTGGTGGACATATTCCTAAATTGTACAAAAGCCGAGCCTGTTTAGAAGAATAAAATTTGCAAATATAACTGTAATTTAATGCTATTGCATGTAAATTTATTTACCAAACTTTCAATGTTCTCTAATAGCCTAATAACAAATCTGGCGTGATGAGGGCTTGTAATATCAGATGGTAACGGTTTGTAGAATAACACAGCAGTTATTATAGCGATTAAAGAGGCAACTATAAGCCATTTTCTCACAAACTTCCTTGTTGATTTTCGATTATTTTCTCTTACCATAGTTGATATCTTTGTCAGACTACGAACACAATCAGAATAAGAACTCAGATATACAAATACAGAGGCTACAGGTCAAAAATTCGTGAACTTTGTTTAGCCATGATGTAATCATTCAAGTACAAGTCTGATTTATTAAAAACAAAAATTGATAATCTTATGCACGTTTCATAATTATATATATATATGTTCCCCTAAGATATCAGTAATACTGTATAGCATTATGATGACCTCCAGATAAATAAGTAAAGCATGTATATATTATAATATATATATATATATATATATTCAAGCATATATTTAATATTTTACTAACCAATCGTTTGTGCCACTGACTTTTTTACTTTATCGTTTATTAGACTATACTTTTAAAGCTATCCTAGAATAGAATATACAATATCAACAATTTATTATAGATATTTCTCAATAGTCAGCCTTTTATAACTATTAGAAAAAAGTTAATCAGTTTTAAAAATCTTCTATTGAAAAACTTCGTTTTTATTGTTTGTCAATGAATTTTATCTTTTTAAAAATCCGTTTATATAATAATGGTAGTGATAGATTCTATAAAGTGGCCATAAAATTGTCTAACAAAATTAAACGATCATAGAAATAATGCATCGTTTCCAATAGAATTAAAGTATATTATTATCTACATTGCAAAAATTATAAGATAAGGTGTGGCTCCACCAAAATAATTTGTTACTTACCTTCAATCATTTCACACTTTAGTTTTTTATTAATGTAGATTTAATTCATGAGTATTTCTTTATGCTATATCTGACATTCTCTCTGTTTAGATTCTCAAACTCAGACTGTTTTGATAGAAATGGCTCGGAACATGATACCCGCCCAAAATCGTACGATCCGGAAATCCTGATCATTTAAAAGCATTAAGCCTATAGGGGGCAGGATCCACATTACTTCGTCATGTTCAATAAGTTAGGAAAGAAAATGTTATATTCGTGAATAAAATCTTACGTCATATTTAATTATACAGTTCTAAATATACGTATTATGTAATTATTGATCATCGGCTCTAGAGTTAAAAACTTATCTCTCTATTTGAAATAGTACAGCATATTTCTGGGAATTTTTTAAAAAATATAGAACACGTGATTCTTATTAACAGTGACATTCATATTTATCATTATAGGTAAACAAGTAATAAACAAAAATATTTTTTTAAGCGATATCTTTTTGAATAAATCACCTTTTCTAATTATAAAATATATGAATATTTAAAAAATTTTTATCTTTTAAAAGAGTCACTTTAGTAATAAAGTTAACTTTTAATTGGGATATTTATGATTACTAGTAGTTTGTATGTAAATTAAAGCGAACGTTATCGATGAAAAGTCGTTCCATTTTCACATACGATGTCCTGCTGAGAAAACAACCTAATCGCTTGACTTCTGTAAAACAAGTTAATTGGCATTAAACTGCAATGATTAGAAAAGGCGTCTACTCTCTGTTACAATTTCTTTTACTTTATATTCATTTTACTCAGTCAATTGAAAGATTAAAGGTCTTTATTAACACAACATCACCTTTAAATGAGCTAGACGATACCTACCTCAGCATAGGACTAGATACTGGTGTTGCTTCTCGTCATTGGAACAAAGGAAAATTTGATTTTCGGTAAAACTGAATACGTATATAATGATTTGAACCTATAGTTAAGAATTGTTTTTGAAATATAGTTCAAAAAAACTACTTGACCTCTGTCAAGCATTATCTCCTGCCACTCTAAGATTTGGCGGGAATGCGGCAGATACGCTTTTATTCGAACCTAATTCTTTTATGAAAAGCGTGAAAAATTTCAATTTTTCAGGTAAAATTATCTGAACTTTTTGTTAAATATGATTTATTTACTACGGAATTGAATTTATTAATAAAATAATAGGTGAAGACTTAACTAAACTGCATACATTTACCACTAAAGTTGGCTGGAAATTGATGTTTGATTTGAATGTTTTAATTCGAAATCATTCAAAATGGGATGATACAAATACAAAGAAAATGTTAGATTTTATGATAAAAAATCACCAATTCCAACATTTTGACTTTCAATTAGGAAATGGTTGATAAAAAAAACCTTTACATAATTGAAATATTATCTTGATTAATCTGTTTTTCTTTCATTTTTTCTTATCAGAACCAAATGCCTTTAAACATACGTTTAACATAAGTTTATCTCCAGAAGAGTTAGCGAATGATTACTTAAATTTAATTTCTGTACTTCGATCGCCAATTTATAGTAAATATTTTGATAAAAGTTTAATTGTTGGACCGGAAATTACTCAACCAAAGAACATTCGTGTTTTATCCTATTTGAAAAGGTAATGTTTACTATTTCACTTTCAAATTTTACAGCTCTACAAATTACTTTAGATTTCTTGTGTCATTCAAGATGAATTATCCATTAAATGCAGTGACATTCCATCAGTATGTTACTATTTATACTAGAAATTCTATATAAGTATAATACAGTTGTTTTCTGAAGTTATTATCTTAATGGAAGAGAAGCAAAAATGGAAGATTTTCTAAATGAAACAGTTATGAACAAATTAGAGGAAGAGATAAATAATGTAAAAGTTCTATTAAGAGATTTAAATATTCATAAACCAATATGGATAACGGAAACGTCTTCTGCTTACGGTGGAGGAGCTCCTGGATTATCGGATTCATTTATTGCCGGATTTTTGTAAGATTTCAATGAAAGATTAATTTTTCTATCATAAGAGATAATTCTATTTATAAATATTCTATAAATAGATGGATGGAAAAATTAGGTATGGCGGCAAAGCTGGGAGTAAAAAAACTTTTTCGACAAGCAATATACGGTGGTAACTATGCCTTATTGGATAAGAAACTCAATCCACTTCCCGTACGTTTTATAACATCGTTTTGTCAGTATAGTTTCCAAAAAATGACTTAATATATAACTCTTCCTTTCTAGGATTATTGGTTAACCTTGCTATTTAAGCGTCTGGTTGGGAGAAAAGTGTTTAATGTTAAATTAAACAATGAAGATGGCGTTAGAGCTTATTGCCACTGTTCCAACAAGTATTTATCTTTAACTCTATAAATTTTTTAAGATGTAAAACATAAAAAATTCTTTTCTAATAAATCTTGTAGATTTGCTCAAAGAAATTCCTTAACGCTCTTTGTGCAAAATATGAAGAATTGTTCTGTTCTATTAAGTGCGGAGTATAGTTATGGAACATTCCAGCCTGAAATATCAGTATATTCCTTAACGGGGCACGGTCCTGATGGACTGTTATCCAAGTTTGTTTTAAAGTAAACATTTTGGCAATTGATGTATGAAATATGCTAAATTATTTTTAACAGAAACGTCAATTTAAATGGAGTTAAGTTGGCTTTACTACAAAATCGATTACCTAAACTGCAACCAACTATTTCTAGATCTCCTATTACACTACCTCCATATTCATTTACATTTTTACTACTTCAAATGGATACTAGACACATATGTTAATTATTGATCATTGACCAAGGGGCGTTAAAACATCTTATCTGTTAACTTTCTTAACAAGCAGGCTAAAGCATTAATTTTCAAGTTGTTTAGGCCTATAAATCTCATATGGCTTTTTTTATATAATACAGACTGTAAATAGAGATTGGTACAATGCTACTAAAATTATTTTTTACCTGTTTTGTCGCTACTACAACAGGAAATGTTTTAAACGTGTTAGTGGATACTAATAGCGTTGTTAATAGAATAGACGATACATTTCTAAGCGTTAATATAGACGGTGGAGCAGCAACAACAGATTGGTATTCGGGAGTTATACAATTTAGGTAACAAGGCAATGAATAATCAGTTTAGAACCTCTTTTCACAATAATAAAAACTATTGTTATTTCTCAAATAGCTCGAAGAAATTTCAACAATTATGCAAGAATTTGGCTCCTGCATCTTTTCGATTCGGCGGAACGACAGCTGATTATCTAAATTATGGCGATTATCCGGAAACGCCGTACTCTTCAAAGAATTTTACGATTCTTGATTATGATACATTGTATGATTTTACTAAACTGGTTGGGTGGAAATTGATATTTGGCGTCAACGCGTTAACAAGAACTTCAGACGGAAGGTGGGATTCTTTAAATACTAAGACATTATTAGATTACATAAAATCTAGTAATAAAAACGATTTGGATTTTGAATTAGGAAACGGTTTGATAATTTAAATTTGTCTTTAAAAAACGAATAATTAGATATTTGAAGATGTAAATGAATATTTTCAGAGCCGGACGTTTTTCCTCCTCATCTAAACATTACCGGAGCCAGATTAGCGAAAGATTTAGCCGTGTTTTACAGACTTATACATTCGTCAAGATATGGTAATTATTTTAAAGGAAGTAAATTATATTCACCCGACGTTACTGGACCCTGGATCAGTCCTAATAAATACTTAAAAGAGTATGACAATATGAACATACTGTGGGAAAACATTCTAACATTTATGCAATTTTTTGTTGTAGGTACCTTTCGAATATACCAGTTGGAACGAAACTGGATGCGATAACAATACATCAGTAAGTTAGTATTCTTATTAAATAAATAAATTATAATAAATATTGGTATAGCTATTATTTGGACGGACGAATAGCGAAATTGGACGATTTCTTGAAGATAGACACGTACGATAGGTTAACGAGAGGATTACTTGACACATTACGGGTATTGAAGGAAACAGGCTATGAAGATACTCCCTTGTGGCTGGGTGAAACTTCAAGTGCTTTTAGTGGTGGAGCACCTGGTTTATCTGATGTTTATGTAGCCTCATTTTTCTGGCTAGACAAACTTGGCGTTGCTGCTAAATTGGGTTTAAAGAAGGTGGCGAGACAGCAAATGCTAGGTGGCCATTACAGTTTGTTCGATCAGCAAATGAATCCGAATATTGTAAGTCAATTTTCCTCCATCCCCATTTAGAATAATTGTAAATTTGCTTAATTTCTTATATTGTTGTAACTTATAATTAATTCTACAGGATTATTGGACTTCTGTTTTATATAAAAGATTAGTTGGTAGTGCTGTTTTTAACACTTCAACTGTACCATCGAAACCAGGAATTAGGGCTTATAGTCATTGCTCGTCGAAAAAGTAAATTTGCTATTCTCTTAATTATAGCATTCAGTTAAAGTAAAGATATTTCTTTGCTTATTTTTTCTTCAGATATTGGAACTTTCCTCAGGGCTCTTTAACATTCTACGCGGTTAATATAAATAATGAACCGAGCCATATACATTTTGGAACAGAATCGAAAGAAATGCTAGTTTTCCAACTGACCTCTGCTAGTGATCTTAAATCGAAGTACGCAAAATTAAATGGAAAAATATTGAAATATGATGGAAAGATGCCCGATTTAAAACCAGAGTTAATATATGACTCGACTATTATTCTACCTCCGTATTCGTTGACTTTTTCAGTATTACCTGGTGCAAATATTGATGCTTGCAAGACTTAATTTCGTGTTTTGAAAACGGAGAGAGAGGATATGCATATTAGTAGTTTTAGATTCATTCTTTTGATTGATATTTGAAATTGGTACTCAATATTCTTTGAAGCTGTAATGATTTTAATCCGAGAGAAATAATAAAATTTGTATAAGCAAATGCTATTAATCTGTTGAAACCTTAAAAATAAACATAATTAGAGTGAATTAGTTGGCCTTATTCGATTTCTAAATTAAATTTAAAAAGGGAAACAGATGGCGCTTGGGTCCACCGGATGTTGTCCTGACGTCACAGTTTTGCGCTCTTCCTTTAATCTCTCTATTAAAAAATAGGACATTTATATTAGCCTTCTTATTAATTTCATTTGATGAGAGTATTTAGAGAGCATGGATTATGAGTTTAAGGCAAAGATTGCCACGCAACGAAAAAAAGTAGAAGATCTGTTCACCTACGAGGGATGCAAGGTTGGTCGAGGAACTTACGGACATGTATACAAAGCGACCAGCAAAAATTCAGAGTGATTGTTTCCTTAACTTCCTTCCTTTTTATCGTTATCATTACAACGATTCATATTTTATTTTTAGTGATGCTAAAGAATATGCCTTAAAGCAAATCGAGGGTGCTGGAATATCTATGTCTGCTTGCAGAGAAGTGGCGGTAAGATAAAATCAAACTAAATATTCTGTACAAAAAGAGGAGAAAGTGTTTATTGATTTAACACATTCTTTATAAAAGATCTTTTATATTTGAACAAATTTAATTTGTGTTCTTTTACTTTGGTTAGAATAGATCTATTTAAACTAAATTATATACTAACTCTTATTTCAGTTACTTCGAGAATTGAAACACCCAAATGTAATTAGTCTGTTGAAGGTCTTCCTATCACATGCAGATCGTAAAGTTTGGCTCTTATTTGATTTTGCAGAGCACGATTTATGGGTAAGTCAACCTTTTATCGTAAAGGGGGGGGACTCTTCATCAATTTATTGATACTTAAACTGTTTTTTTTTAGCACATAATAAAGTTCCATAGGAATGCAAAATCGAATAAAAAGCAGGTAATTAATACAATTTATTGAACTAAATCTTCTATTTAAAGTTTATCTTTTATGGGTTTTTTTTTTAAAAAACGAAATAAAAAACAGGTGAATGTTCCAAAGAATATGGTTAAATCGTTATTGCACCAAATTTTGGACGGTATTCAATATCTCCACTCCAATTGGGTTCTTCATAGAGATCTAGTAAGATTTTTTAGCAATATATCTTTGTCACAAATATCACCACTACATTTATAATAATGTACGATTATAGAAACCGGCAAATATATTGGTAATGGGACAAGGATGTGAGAAAGGAAGGGTTAAAATAGCTGATATGGGATTTGCCAGATTATTTAATTCCCCTTTAAAGCCGCTGGCAGACTTGGACCCTGTTGTTGTCACATTTTGGTATAGAGCACCGGAATTACTTTTGGGTGCGAGGCATTATACAAAAGCTATTGGTAAACGCTACTTTTATTTTCTTTAATTTTCCAATAAAATATCAATTTTCTTGATAAAATATCCAGATATTTGGGCAATTGGTTGTATATTTGCCGAGTTGCTTACCTTTGAGCCAATATTCCATTGTAGGCAGGAGGATATAAAGACATCTAATCCTTATCATCATGAACAATTAGACAGAATATTTACAGTTATGGGATATCCTAATGGTAAATATTGTTAAAAGAACATATTATATTGTATGATTTACACGCTGATTCATTGATAGAGAGGGATTGGGTTGATATAAAACATATGCCAGAATATCACACGCTAATAAAGGATTTTAAGAAGAACTCGTAAATATTTTTTTCATTAGTCTATTTTTAGATGCTAATAAGTATTAGATTAAGTCTTAAGTCGCTTTTTTTTTTCTTTACCCAGTTATCATAGTTCGAATTTGGGTAAATATATGGAAAAACATAAGACAAAACAAGACTCTAGAGAATTTCGTCTGGTAAAAAGATACATATATTTTGCTGTACATGTATTATTTTGTATTTCTCTCTTATTCTATCTAGCTGCAAAAGCTATTAATAATGGATCCGACAAAGAGGTTAAAAGCAGAAGAAGCTATGCAAGATTCTTATTTTGTTGAGGAACCTTTACCTTCTTCAGAGTAGATATTTTATAATACACACTTAATGATATCTTATACAATCTTTTTAAAACTAATAGCGTCTTCGATGGTGGACCAATCCCATATCCCGAGAGAGTATTTCTTGCTGACGATGATACTGAAGATAAATCGGCAGCCGTAAAGACGAGTCATCAACCGGTAACACCCATTTCTTCCATTTTATTTTACAACAATTTTAAAATATTGTTTTCTTTCCATAAAAATAAAACAAATATAGCCAAAAGTATCAGGACACGACCAAGACGTTCCGCCGGCGAAACGTATGAAATATCCATCAACAACCGCTTCCGATTTCGTGAGTATTCAACAGCACGAGCTTACTCGTAGTTCGAATTATCTCAACTTTCCCCTAATTTAACCGTCGAATGAAAAATACTATATAAAAGAAACAAACAACTTATGGGAATTGAAGAAATTATCCCGTTTTCATCTTCTTTCTTTTTATTTTTTTTTTAAACAAAAAACTAAGATACTAATATTTAAAAGAAAATAAAGAGTATAATAATTTTCTTTGACAAACATTTACAAACACAGTTTAAAAAAAAAAAGAAATAAAATTCTATTTAATTGTGATGAAACTGTGATTGTAGTTTTGTTGTTTTTAGTCAAATTTATTATTATAAATTTGTGTACATAAGCTTTTTTTTCGGTCTAATACTCTTTGATTTAAAGAAATATTAAGCCAATATGACAAAAAAGAAAGGATCTGGTTGAGATTTTTTCTTTTCTTCCCAATTTTATGTTCCCCTTTTTTTTCTTGCATGTCAATATTAGTTATTCGAATGACATGTTATCATTCTTCTCATACCTTACAAGAAATGATAAGGCGTACATAAAAACAAAATAAGGAAAAATAATAGATATTCAACTAAGAAAAGGAAAAATATCGAATTAAGTGAAAGCTAAAGATAATAATCGATCATAAGTTAATTATATTTTATGAAAAAATAACGTGTTAAACAGAATAAGGTGCAACAATATCAAGCTTATGCCGGAAGAAAATAATTAATTATGACAATTAATTGCAAGGTTTGTTTCCGTTAGCTAATAATAATGATTAAATTGATATATACAGTATATATATATATATATATATATATATATAAATTTCGTTTCTAGTACCATCTGATAATTCGCTCAAAATTTTTTATGTAATCTACAACTCCCATATACAGCGTTTACTTTAATATAGAATCAGTGATATAAAAAAAATTAATAAAAAAGAAACCTTAATGGAAGAGACGCGTTATAGGAGAAAAAAAAAACATACATAGACTTATCAAGTGGGGAACGTTTCTGGTTTTTTTGTTTTTCGCTAGGATTTTAACGTTTAACCTCTTTTTTTTTATATAATCAATTATGTACCAATATTCTCCTTATTTATACGAAAAAAGAAAGAAATGTATATTAAGTGCGGTCTTTATTATATTATTTCTGATTTTCTCTATGTGCAGAGGTATTTTAGTTTTTATCAAGAAATATTTAAAGTGGAAAATATTTGCTTTCATTAATTGAATAGAAATCATGGGAAAAGTTAATCATATTCAATTATATATAATTTTACTATATTTAGCTATACAATATTACTACTACTATCATTTACTAATGTAAATTGTGTTTTGTGGTTGTTGTTTTTGTTGAGTTGTATGATTAATTATTGCCAACTTTACTTACTAACTTAAAAGTACTATTTCTCTACAGCAGAGATCGTCCCAGACCACGTCCAACTCTCAAGGTACTAATTACCATTATTGAAGAACTGATTGCTTATGTATTTTTATAAACAAAATCTCATAAAAGAAACTCTCTGTCTCAATACATTTATGTATATATAGACATTTCAGAGATTAATGAACAATTGCATTGTTAACTTTAAAAAAAGAGTAGAACTGTTAAATGAAGAAAAAAAAAAAGTAAAATTTCTTTTCTTTTATTCTTTAACCCTTGTAAAAGTCATTATATTGATTATATAATGTAATATTTTTTATCTTGTACGATGATAAAACAAGAAGAATGTGAGAAAAGAGAATAGAACAAAATCACAGACAACATATGGCTCCAAATATTTCTCTTTTTATCTTAATACAAAAAAATAAAGAAAAATAAACTGGTATTAATAAAAATTAAAGTACAGTTTGTTATTTTTTTTTCTTTATCAAGGGTAAAGTTAAAAAATAAACAAAAAAAAAACAAACAGAAATGAAAAGTATCCTCGCTAAAGTGTTATCGTTTCTTTATCTCTTCTTTTTTTTCTTTTTTAATAAGCGTTCCCTAATAATGAGCACCGAATTTTAACTGAAAAAAAAATTCCAGACACCAAATGACTAGAAAGTTTGCAGTTTATATTATTTTTTGTTTTTTTTTTGTCTTTAATGTTTTCTCGTTTTTTAAGTCAATTTCGAAAAAAAACTTGATTCAATTTTCACTTCATAAGCCATGCGATAATCACCTGAGAGAGAGAAAGAGAAAAAAAAGAAAGGTTTTAATGTTTTAATTAGTAAAAACAAAATAGACATAAAAACTCGTTCGGTTGACGTATATACTCGTTTAATACTTACTTGAGAGATGAGGAGAGCAGCTATAATGAAGAGTGTATTATCGTTATCTTGTCGTCTAGCTATAGCTTGTACGCTGTTATTTATATTTGTCAGCCTTTCTGATATGTTTTGATGAGATTTTATAACGGGTTCTAACGCTTTGTTTATTGCCTTTGAGATTGGTTGTCTTTTTTTATCGTTATCGACTGTACTATCGGTTAACATGTCGCTAGAACCACTCTGAACGTTTCTCTTATCGTCATCCACTCGAGCAATCGATAATGTTCTCACCATTCTGGTTCTATGCTTCGTTTTAGTCTGGATCTTGAAATTACTTTCAAATTGGACAACGTCGTTAAGGCGGTCCCAGGGTCTTAAATCGGCATATTTATAAATCCACTCTTGGCTTATACAATCCTTTTCAAATAGTTTTGGCACCCAAGCAATGTTCTTTGCTTTTCTTTCTTTAGCATGTCTTCTTTGCTCCTCTTCCAAAACCGTCTTTTCCCTAGTTGCACCATTTTGATCACCGTTTTGTATAGCTTCTGAAACGAGACGCCAGAGACGTTCACTCTCCATGTCGCTTTGACTCTCAACCGGTACAGTAAAGCGCTTTAACCTCTTACTTTTAATTTCGGGAGTTGGACTCCAGAAAAGAGACTGCTCATTGCTCGACTTTTCTTTTATGAAAATTTCATCATCCCAATGACCTTCGATGCATGCCAGTGCCTCGTGACCAAATTTTACCTTACCCACTATTCTATTAGACGCTTCACCACTTCCCAAGAAAGGTTTTAATTTGAACTCAATTTCAGCTTTGTAACCGGTTTTTTCGCAGGCTATTGAAACCTTGCCTCCCATTTCCATCGTCAAAGTACCAATTAAAATACCTTTGCAGTGAGCATAAGGCATCGTTATAACATATTCCTCGCCTCTCTTAAGCAGAGTAAGTCGTGCAGCTCCATCTAATATTGCTGATAGAGAATTGCCGTAAAATTTGCTCTTTGCCAAAATAGAGCCGGATATGGCAAAGCCTTCCCTCCTATTTGTTACGTAGAAAGCGGAAACAGGAGGATGATGGGATATCTGTTCAGCGACGTAGAAAGTTTTCGAATTGGTCTTTGTATGATGCCAATAGCAACGGAACGTCTCTCCAAGTATAGGATTGTAGGGTTTCTTCAAGCCCTTGGGTTTCTTATAGAAACCTGACAAGTACCACTTAACGACAGCTTTAATACGACCATAAGCGTCTTCTTCGTGCACCGCTTCGCTTAATAAATCAGAATGGTAATAATAATCGGATAATTTATCTAGAAATGAACGCGTTTCGAGTATGAAAGTCGGCAAGACGACCTTTGATAAATCCATTCCAGGTCGGACTTGCTTAACAAGAGACCAAATCAAGCTTTTATTTTCCTCTTCAACTTCCTCTGTCTGACAAGCGTCACCTTGTTGCCCTAGTTCCTCAGTAGCATTTTCCGAATATTGTGTTTCTACAGCCTCCGGTATACTTTCTTCAAGATCTTCATCTGAATGATCAGACTCGGAGTAATCAAAAGGAACATCCTCCCTAAATAATAAAGGGAGCAGTTAATAAAGAAAACAGTCCAAAACAGTTCAAGCTATACATCTCTAATTTAGTAATTTAGATACAATGCATATTTAAGTATAGCAACGCCATCTACGATTAAAATATTTATCATTAAACAAGCTGCAAATATACATGGTAAATATATATATAGTATATATATTGTATATATGTATATAGACATTCTTACTTGACACAGCTTTAGTATAATGTTTAAGTTATTAAAGACTTAAATATAACAGATTTTAGAAGATGATTATAAATCGTTAGTAGAGTTCTCTGGCAGGTACAATAACCGGAAATAAAAAGAAAATATTCTTTATGATTTCAGTATGATTCTTTAAAAATTCTACTAATTATTCAATCTTAAAGTTCAGTACACACCCCTATTAGTTATATAACATTATATTATATACAGTATAAGATATATATATAGGTAGTATATAGGTGAATAGGCTAAAGGAATAAATGAACCGATAGATGCAGTGCCTTTTTTGTATGTAACAAATATTTCATCTTTAATACTAGTTTTTCTATTCTCTTATTTAATAGATTGTTTCATATTATCTCACTGTCATTGAATTGTTAAGGGCTTAATACAAGAGGCTCTTCCATCCGTTTACAATAATCTTTTCTTTTTTGTATCATTACCTATTTTTTAGCTGATGATTTCCCCTTCCCTATCCTAACAGTTAAGTGCTATCCTTCCTTCTATATATCGTTTATTTATATACTGTACATACTGTATATTATATATCAATGACGCATTGTTACCCTAAATTGTATTATGAATAATGAGAAAAAAAGGGAGAAAAGTACAACTACAATAAGAGAGAGAGAGAGAGAGAGAAGGAACTTGTTAATGATAAAAATTAGCATTTAGTTATTGTTCATACTTAAAAAAAATTAATTCTACAAAGGCTAAAATAAAGGAGAAGTAAGATAAAATAAAGCATTCTGCTATTCTTATCGATAACGAGAACGCCCTTTATTAAATGAACATACTGTACTGTTTTATAAATACGTGAATATTTTAGATGATAGGCTTAGCGTTAGAAATTATTTAACGAACTCTGCAAAACGTTTGGGATTAAGAAATAGATCGAATGTTTCACGAAGGGGAAGGTAATAAATTTACTCAGGAATGGGATAAGAGAAAGGTATAATAGAATGGCTGAGAGAGAGGGAGGGATGTACACCCATGTATATATATATATAAATATATATCTGTAGTTACATTGAGTAAACATCATAAGTAATTTGAGTAATTCAAGCCTGTGTTAAAATGAAGAATGCTTATACAAAATGTTATTTGCTCTCCTATTCATTGTTTTAATAGTTTTCTATGTTTCATAAGAAATTTACATATAATATATATATATCTATATATATATATACATAGCAATCTAGATATTATATCTTATTTATGTGAAAATACAATATTTAATAGATAGATAGAGAGAGAAAGAGAGAGAGAGAGAGAGAGAGAGAAAGGGAGGGCGGGGGGTGGGGGTGGGGTAATAGAAGAAAGAAGAGAGGGTGGGAGAACTTGATGAAAAACATATAAAGACATTTTTGTTGTTAAAAGTGAAAAGTTAAATTATATTTGTTTCTTTTAAATATATAACCATTATTTAGTATAGCTCGGTTATTTTTTACTTAACGATGCGTCGAAAAGAATTATTTTATCGAGAAAAATCGATAAAAGAGCACAACCAGTCGTATAAAAAAAGTGGGAGAGGGGAGGGGGGAGAGGGAGCAGGGGGGGGAAAAAAAAAGAAAAGCCTCTTTTTTCTCTTTTTTTTTTTTTGCTACAGGCCTATTTTGCGGTACTATTACATCTTTGTTTTTAATAATGCGGAGAAAGGATGCTAGATGAATATGACAAACCGCTTACCTATCTGTCTTTGATTCATCTTCTTCCAGACCGTCAAAGTGCTTTTCGCAATCGCTTTCGTTCAATTCGTATTTGGGTCCATTTTCCTCTGGCGTAGGAGGGGGTGTACTGGGTGGAGCAGCATCCTTTGTCATACTTCTAACTAATAGAGAAGAGCATCTGAGCGCTAATTCTAGAGCATCCATCCAACATTTTCCGGCTGGCTCGGAAGGCGCTCTAAAGATCAGGTAGGAATACGGTAAGGGTTGTGTTAGGGCTCCTAGCGTTTCACCCTTTGGTCCTTTTTGTGCCCAAATCGATTGATCCAAAGGGTGAAAAAGCTTAAAACAAAAACCATCCTTTTTCGAAGGTCTTTCGATTAATTCGCATGTACTTAAGAGTATAGTTCCTACCCAATGACCGCTCTTTTGCTTGTAACTCTTAGATAAGACAAGTAATCCAGGTTTCAAAGTACAATAGAGTTTTGTCCATGATTTCAGAGTTCCACGAACCTTTAACCAATCATGCATAACTATAACTGAGGGGTCTTTCAAAGTTGAAATCAATTCTTTTGCAACTCTTTTCTTCTCTATCCGATAGTTTCGTTTTTGATCTTTGTATGTATCTCGTTTCGATGGTTTTGTCCATGTTCCTGATACATTTCCAGACAGTTTTGTTTCAGAGTGACTTCGTTGTTGTGTATTAAAAGTTCCTACTTCTTCGGTCTGAACCCCTGTTGTTGAAATATTCGTTTTAAACGATTTAAAAGGAAATGATTCAATATAGATATGTATATCTAGTTTATACAATATACAAATAATCTGTGTACATATTCAATGGTTTTTATGCATTTATCATAAATTAACCCTATCAAAGTATTTATTTGCTGCAAATTAGATCCGAATTTTAATACGTAATAGTTGATTTAACAATAATAGTATTCTATTCCGTTCATTTATCTTAATTTTTAGACAAAAACACAACTTATAAAATACTAATAAACCAAAGTTCAATCATGTGATTTAAAAGGACCTATGTGGTGCTAAATTACAACTTATAAGCCCACTTGTAAGCTAAATACAAACTTTAAGCAACTTATATATATTAGTATATAGATATATACATTATATAGAGAGAGACAGATAGAGAAAAAGGGTAGACACATACTAACAGACAGACAGATTGCGAGCCAGACAGACAGTCTTAATAGAACGAGGAATATTTTTATCATGGGTGACATTGTCCAGTTTATCTTGATCATTATTTTGATATATCTATCTGTTTAGGATGAAAATAAACTTACTACAACCAGAATGGAGGAAAGTTAATGGTGTTGTTCTACTTCTTCGTAAGACTGCCTCCGAATTCAATTTTAATAATGAATCTCTTAATTTGTTGCATTCTTTCTCACTGGATAGACTTTTACCTCTATGAGACTGCATAATTTTTGACAAACACACAGTAACAGATGCATATTATTATTGTTCAAATTGCAAACGAATCTGTTACATCCTAGGCCTAGGCTATCCATCAGTGGTACAGGTGGCGTTTTGATAAGAACAATAAGATATAAATTGCCGTCTTATCAACCGTGTAGAAGAACAATAGACGAAAAATGAATGAGGTAGGTGGAAAAGATTGTTTTACCTGACATAACGTATTGAGACAAGACTATAATTTCTTCTTAGGCGTTATATATCCGTTTAGTCATTAGAAAGATGTATTTTGTAAACATTAATCAAAAAATGAATGTTCTTCTTAGCGAAGGCTATAATCTCGTTTATTTTGTGATCCTAGCCATTCCAGAACGGCGATCGCACGTCTACTAACTATATCCGGATCGTTACAAACAACTACGGTAGCGCCATCTTACGCTTTGATCAAGACTTAAAAGTCTGATTTATAAAAGGCTATTAATTGTGGCAAGGTCGAAAATGAGAAAACAATGGAAAGGTAAAAGTCCTTAGAGTAAAGACGTAAAACCAAATTCAAATTATCCAATATTAATCACATGATGGCGCTCAAAAGAAGAAAATCCTTCTTATATTTGACATTGAACTAACCCACATGCCATTATATCACGTGATCGCCCCACAAGTCACGTGGTTTCTTTCGGTTTGTCTTGATCAATAATTATAGAGTCAACCAATGTTGCAAGTGAAAAATGCAAAACCCTCTCCATCCCTGGATAACACTACAAAGACGAAACAAATACAATACATAATATAGATTTGTTAAAAACGCTTAAATTATACATATAGATAGACCATATTGATAAATTATGATAAAGTTAAGAAAAAGAAGAGAAAGGCACGTTATATTTGCCTAATAACCATAGCATCAATCTCTAAAACTTGGGACAATTTAATACTTTTTCTCCGTGCAATTTTATCAATATAATATAACAGTTATAAGCGTAAATCTAACAAACCTTCGTAGCTTTCATTTTGACTTATTTGTGAATGAATTGGTGAATTAGTTGACATGTCAATACTCATAGTTGATGTTCGATCTTGCTGAGAGGCTATTAAAAGAAATAAATTAATAATTATATAATAAGATCAATGTGTATAATATGTTCAAGTATATTGAAAACTATATATTCTGTTCATCAATAATTATAAAGCCTTTTTTAGCATATAAAAAAAAAAGCTTAATAAAATGAAATATAATCACTTTTTACTTGGCTTTAAGTAAAAACAAACAAAATTTCAAACGATTAGAGAAAGAAAAGGAGGAGAGGAAAGTGAGGTAGAAAACACACAAACAAACAAACTAACAGACAGATATACACACTTATATTTTGATATTTAATAATTATGTTAAATGAAAAATTAAATCATTCGTTATCGATAAATAATTGGAAAAAATATATGATCTCTCTTTATCGATCAATTATCTCAACAGAAAAAAAATTATTATTAATAACTAATTATAAGAATAAATCTTTTAGAGCCAACTCAAACGAAATTGAGCAAGAAGATAAGGATGAGGATGAGAGGAAGGAGGGGTAGGGGAAAAAAAATCAGTACACTCAATTTCTCCTTTCAGTTTTAAATTAAAACCATTTTAGTAATAATTAAAAGAAAAAAAAATCAGAATAATAAAAAAAGAAAGAAACCATTAATGGCAAAAAGAGAGAAAATCGGCAAAAAAAAAAAAAAAAAGAGGTCTACTTGTCTACTTTGTAAAAGAAAGAGAAAACTATTTTCTTTTTTTTTATAAAAAGAAAACAAACAAAAAATTATTTCCTCCTTTTTTTTTAATTCTTCTTTAAAATAAATAAATAAATTAAAAAAACTAATTAATTAATAAATAAATTAATTAATGTTCTGTTGTTTTTTTTTTTACTCTTTGTTTCTTTTCTTTTAAAGAGGCGAAAAATTTAGAAAAAAGAAACATAATTTTCTCTTTTCTTTCTTCTTGACTCACTACTATCCGTATCACTGGCTAGTGCAGACAAGCACGACAAATTTTGAATAAACTCTCTATTCAAAGAAGGACATTTCTCTTTCGAGAATTGTGAATCTTCTTTCATTAAATCTTCTTTCATTAAATCTTCTTTCATTAAATCTTCTTTTTCAGCTATGGAACACTTTGACTTAGTATGCTCATGTATGCTTTAAAACACTATATCAGCATTCTATACAAAGATTTTTTGATATATACATATTCAAGTGAATAGCTAACCCTATTGTTCTTGTTAAAGATACTAGTTTTACAGGGAAAAAAACAACCACATCGTTCGATAAGGAAGATGATAAATAAGAGATAAATCTCACCAATTACGGGGTGCGTCCGTCTAGATATTCTTCTCATTGATATTTTATTGTTAGTTCATAACAGGCAATAATACAACTGATGGCCAAAGTAGTATTAAAAAGGGCGCTTTTTTAAAAATATAAGCCTGATATCCCTTTTAATAAAAAAAAAATGCGTGCTCTTATATATACTAATATATATATATACAGTATAAAGATTTATATAGGCTATATGTAAGTTTGATGATTCACTATTAAAAAAAAAATCCCTCGAGGGAACATGCACGAATAGAAAAGAAATAAAAAATCGTTATTACAACATATGTGTTTTAAACATCATATCTGAGAAAAACATTTCTTCTATATATATATATTAAAATATACTTCCCAAACACGCAAAATTAACAAACGAACAAACAACATCTAAAATATAGGACAAACGAAATAAAATAAAACAATAATTGAAAATAGAGAGAAAAAAAAAACTAGTAAAAATTGAGATAATTCAATTTGCAGTTGCATTAAATAGATTCTTAAATATTTTATAAAGAAATACCATAATTTCTCTCATTTCATTCTTATTCTATCATTCTAAATATGGAGATGTTAAAGGGGTATTGGGAGGATTTTTAATTGGGATTATAAAATTCTTAATAGTTATTTAAGCAAGTAATAAATAGAATTATTTAATCAAATTGGGTTTTTTCTTTTATTGTTTTGTTTAAGTGAATATGTATCTATATATATATATTACTAATACATACTCTTATCTTGTATAAAACTATTTATTACGTATCTAGATCAAATATCAATTTAATATATAAAAGTTCGAAAGATATTAACGGGTTAACAACGCCCCTATCTCTAATATACTTAAAAAACAAAAATTTTTTGATATAAGCCTAGTTTTAGTCCTATTTCGTCAGATCAATCTATAGGAAATGAAATCCTCGACTCCAGTTTAAATCAATTAATAGTGAATTATTTGAAATATAATGTTAAGGTTTTACGAATAAGTATACACTAGTTACTATACATGTACTTTTATAGATTTATGCAATATGCATACTATTTATTATTCGGTAATTTTCGTACATACAAACCTTTTATTTACATACCAATTAAGTCGTATATTATAAATTGTATATATGATTTTAAACCCGTAAGTACTTAATGAGGATAATTGAGGGAAAGTGACAATGATAAACCTATTAGATGACTTAGAGTACTTTGATAAACTGTAATTTTTAATATTTGTATGATTTCTATCTCTTTCTCGTGTATTGTATATATATATATATATAATTCTTATTGTTTGATTAGTTTTTACGAGAAAATTATACTGAATTATCCATCGGGTATTGAGCGATCACAAGGCTAAAGGCTGTTTTAATATAGTCTAGACATCTTAATTTATTATTCAATGTTGATCTGTGAAAAAGAATTTGGATCGTGTTTGGACGGATTATTACAACAAAAACACCAGACGGAGCCATAGAGAGAGAAGATTCTTTTCTCCCAATTGTAAACGATATTGTATAAATTATTGCCCAAAACTACTAACTTCCGTATATGCTTATTTAAAATACCAACCTTGTAGTAATTCTGTCATATCCTTATCGAATGTAGAATTATCGTCTTTAATTATCTGCATATAAGGACATGTAACATTTATAAGAAAGTGATAAATGAAAGAGTACTATTCTGAAAGAGTTAGCTATTTCTTAGGAAAGCTATGTTAATTATATTGACTAATTGGAAAGCAAGTAGGAAAGAATTATCAAATTAAACGGCAGTTTAAACTTACCAGGGTAAAAAAATTAAAGGAAAATTATAATCGAAGATTCAGTGAAATGCTGAATAGAAAGAGTGAAATCAATAATTGGGTTTACTTAATAATTAAAATTAGATATAAACATAATGATAGACCTAGTGAACAATCAGTATACACTACACAACAATATTACATCTTTAGTTTTATACCTCTATCACCTTAGTATCAGTGGAAACAGTTTCAGAATCCATTACTGTAAATGGACAAAACAATACGATAAAATTTATGAAAATCAATAATAACAAAAATGTTCAATGTGATTGAATATTTTCAAGGCGACTCAACGTTATCGATTTCCAACAGCGGACAAAAATACGAAAATTAAATATAATGAAACTCTTTACTTGTAAAAACTCTATGTGCGCCAAGACTTTCGAGCAGAATAGTATTCTCCGCAGGTTTTACACCTGTAATATGAACTTGGCAACGCCGGCAATATTTACGCCGGAAGTGGAAAATTTCTTGTGATTATTACCTTCGTATCTTAGAGTTGTCATTAATTCAAAAATAGCCTCGCTTATTTGTTCTATATAAGTCTTTTGTCAATAAACTCTCCTTTAACAAGAATTTCATATGATCGTTGTCAATTTTCGTTTGGATCATTATATTGGAATCACATGTACGATATTTTGTAAACTTTTTAAAAGAAATAATGGATAGCATTAGCACAGAGTGTCAAGAATTAAAAGACAAATACGACAATTGTTTTAATAAATGGTTTAAAGAGAAATTTTTGAAAGGGAGCACACACGATGCCTGCTCTGAACTGTTCAAGAAATATCAAACGTGCATTCTGAAGGGCATAAAGGAAAAAGGAATAGATGAAAATGAATTAAAAAGGCATACATTAAATGGAAATGATCCTAAGACGTAACTTTAAAAAATTCCATAGCGAGTAATTCCATATAATGTTTTTAATAAAAATCTAAGCAATATTAATTTTTCCTATAGTTGTATTGAAGTTTTTAAGATTTTATGTATCTAAGAAATGAATTCACACTATACAGTACTATTGAGCTTTTAATGCTGTTTGATTTTGTTGATTGGAAAGTAGCGGGATTCTGGGCATTTCTCCTTCGCTTAATCCAAATAACATTCTTAAATCACGCATAGTTAATTTTTGAGATACAGTTTTCGTTCTGGAGGGTAAAAAAAAAGACAACAGTTAATTTTTATCATTTCATGTGCGCAAATAAATATTTAATTATCAAACTAAATTACTTACCCCGATAGAACATTTTCTGCTAATTTCTTCTTTTGTTCTTGTAATCTGGATATCCTTTCTTCAACAGTATTCTCACAAAAGAACCTATGTATGAATACATTTCTTTTCTGTCCTACTCTATAAATTCTATCGGCTGCTTGAGCTTCTAAAGCTGGATTCCAATGAATATCCATCAAAAAGAGATGATTAGCGCCTATTAAATTAAGACCAACACCCCCAGCTTGCAAGGACAGCAACAGAACTTCAGCTCCTCTCTCAGCATTAAATAAATCAACAATGACAGATCTCTCTTTAGGTGGAACACTACCGTTTATTGTTGCATATTTTATTTGATCCTTCTTCAGGTGTTGTTCCACTATTAATAGCATTGAAGTCCACTGAGAAACAACAACACATCTTTCATTTTTTCTACGTATATCTTCAATATGATTCATAAGAGCATCAATTTTAGAACTACGTTCCGACATCGTAGGAATTCCGTTAGATGAGACGAAATTGTCATCAGTTTTCTTTTGATCTTTAACAGATAAATGTTGCATTTGTGCAACAATATCTAATTCAACATCCTCCGATGGATTTTCTTCTAGCTTGTTCGATAATAGATTACCGTGACAACAACTTTGTCGCAATCGTAAAAGTAATGTTAAAATTTGTGTTCCAGCTTGTCGTGAAGAGAATTGCGTTGTGTTAATGACTTCTTTCTTCGTATCAGGTAGCTCCGAAGGTAGCTTCATATCAGCTGCCAAATTTTCTTTTTCGGCAGATTTCTCTAATTTCGTTTTGCTCTTCATGTTGGCATCCAACTCCCTTTGTTCTCTTATACCCAAATAGTCCATAAGCGAGGATCTTTATTTCAAGAAATAATAAAAAAGATGGAAAAATATATAAATTATCAATAAAATGGCTGAATGTTATATTGCTTACTTAGATTTTTGAAAAATATGATCATAAATTTTTCTTTCCCTTTCTGATAATGTTAATTTATGAATTTTAATTGTTTTCTCTGGAAGATTGACCTGAAGTAATCAGTAATAATGCGATAAGAATATTATTTTCAATTTTAAGAGAACAAACCAAAGGTTGGCCGTTGTTATCCGTTTGTTGCTTTGTTCTCCTAAGTAAGATTGCTTTTACTATGACGTTTAATCTTTTTGTTCCGTAATCTGAAACAATGTAAATGTACTGTATTTATCAATAACAAAGCATTAATTTTACTTTGAACTTGTCTTTTCCATAATTCATATTCGTCGAAAGGCGAGAAACGTAAAAATCTAAGTGAAAAAAGGAAATTTCATTAGCTGTTTTGTAATTTCTTATTACTGACACCTACTTTAGCAAGGAGTACATATCGACCAAATTGTTCTGTATTGGTGTTCCCGTTAAAATCCACCTATACTTTGCAGTCAAATTACAAACTCCTTTTGCACTTTCAGTTTTATAATTTCTAATAACATGTCCTTCATCTAGAACGATTCTTCTCCACTCAATATCCGATAAATTTCCTTGAGATTTCGTATCGGATGAACAACGTCCCACCAATGAATAAGTTGTTAAAACAATATCTGCTTGTGAAAGAATATCAATTTGTCTTTCTCTCGATGCCCCATGGTATATTATTACGGATGGACGATTTTTTGGTACCACGTGATTATTAATTTCCGTATTCCATTGATGAACCACCGACGCGGGACAGACAACCAGTGTTGGAGAATATGCTAATACAGAAAAATATTGTTAATTGTTTGAATTTTATGTATTAATTTTATCAACAAACTTTTTGTTTCTTTTTTCTGCCTTTTTTGTAGATCTTTTAACACCAATGCAATAACTGTTAAAGTCTTGCCGAGACCCATATCATCAGCTATTTTAATTGAATATATTATTTATAAGTCAGCATTTAGAAAAACCTTAAATAAACTAACCTAGAATTCCACCGGAAGGCATTTGTTTTTCTCTCCATCTCATCCAAGCAATAGCTTGCTTTTGATGAGACATTAAAGAATGTTTTAAACCTTCGGGCTCCGAACAAAAATCTTCGGCCTTTGGACACAATTCCAATTGGTTATGTAAACTCATTAAGGCATCATTTGTGACTTTTCTGATAGTTGTTAATTTTTCAGCATTCATTCGACCATTGTAATATTGACCATGACTTTGAACTATTCAAAAAATACTTTCTCAATTGAATCTTATATATATATATATAATAAAACAACCAATTACATACTTGTCTTCATAAAAGTATCAGCCTTTGGTGCTTCGTTTGAATTTAATAATATTATTCCCGCACCATTGTTCTTCCTCTCACTAAGATCACTCTCAATTACTTTTACTTCTGACATTTTATCTTGGACTGATCCTGGATTGGAACCTTTCTCTTTATAATAATTGAATTTTACCTGTAATAATTTATAATAAAGTATGTCAAAAGAAATGTATATTCTGTTACTCTATCTCCTGGGAATAATCCACACCAGATTTCATTCGCTCGCCCCAAAGAACATTGAAACCTTAATCTGATGAATTTTAACAAACAAAATATTTAAAAAGTAGCCATAACAAGTAGTATTTAAAGCTTACATTTGTTTATCATCCACTGTTACATACTTCTTTAATAGAACTCGTCTGCCAGGATGTTTGGGGCAATCATGGAAAGGTTCGCTAATAAAGTAATATTTATAATATAATCTCTTTAGACTTTATTGATATATTTATATAATCAACAGTACTTTGAAGGCATCGAAAAATCACATTTCTTGTCACTGCAGACATAGTGCAATGAAGGTTTTGACTTCTCTTTATTTGAAGTAACAATTTGAAGGCACAATAAAGAAGCTGTAAAAATTAATAATTATGATAATTGAATTAGCCGCTATTATCACAGTGACTTACTATGCTTGGCGCAATACTTTTTTTCCATTTGGATGATTTACTTAAAAGATAAATCTAAAAGACCAGTAATAAAATTCTATCTATAAAGTTTTAAAAGTCTTCAGCCGTCAATAACAGTTTCCGGGTGACTGTTTCCGCCGTTACCGATCATCTTTGAACAAACCGGTGAAAGTGTGGTTAACGTCCGAATTGAAACCGGTATCCCAAAACGATATCGCGATGAATATATATTGACAGAAAAAAAGCAATTAAGTAAGTTATTCTGAAGGTTAGAATCTTTCATTTTAAAATAAATTTTAACAAAATAGACTAATTGTGATTTTAAATGGAAATTAAATGATTTTGTTAAGTTATATATAAAGTTGTTTGATTATCCTTATTCTATGTGATATATTTATTTCGATAGAAGAAAAAAAAATGTGGCACGAAGCTCGCCGGCAAGAGAGGCGCTTGAAGGGCATGATGGTTGATTATAGTCAAAGAGCCGAAAGACGGAAAGCTTATTACGATAAAATTGTATTTAAAATTGACATATAGCTCTTAGTATCAAAACTAAACGTCTTTAATTTCTAGAAATTGGAACCTAAACAATTTCTTCGGATTTTCGGAACAAACATGAAAATTCATATAGATCAAACTGTTTATGAAAATGCAGAAAGCACTTTGTATGCAACTTACAACAATTATAGAATTATTCTATCTCTTTCATTCCTAGAGACATTTTAATATTAATCACTTTCATTACCTTTAAAGAGTTCCATGGCAAAACGATCCAAACCTCATAATAGATCGTTTTGATGTTCGCGCTCATTTAGATTTCATTCCTGATGATCAAAATTCTGCAGATGATGGGTTTGTTTACCACCCTTTGTACTTCTCAAAGTCTCATAATTAAACAAATTTGTTAATTATTGTTAGAATTCTACCTTCCAAAGAAGCTGATGAAGAGAATAAATGTAATTATGAGAGATATAGAATTTTAGTTCAAAACGAGTTTGCTGGCGTAAACGAAGAACAATGTCTTAAACAAATTCATATAGACGAGCAATATGGAAATACAAAAATTAAGGAAGAGAAGAAAAAGTAATTCAATATGATTTAACTAAAATTTTTTGTCAACACTGCTTCCATACCTTTAGACCAGTAGAAAAAAAAGCAGCAATTGCCTTTACCTATGAAGATTCCGAAACTGTTCCTGCACCAGTGAAAGGCGAAAAAGAAGAAGAATTTGAAGATGATGATATGGATTTAGGTATATCATACTTATATTCTACGCTTTTACAAAAATTTCATGTATCTTAATCTCACAGATATGGAAGTTGATGTAGAAAAATTATCTAAAGAACAAGTAGAGGAAATGAATAAGCATGCTATGAAATACGGAATGATTAAAAATGAATATTATCAGTAAGAGTTTACCACATATATATTGCTAATGCTATAAGAACTATTTCGAAATCAATTTAGAGCTTTATTAAAAGATAAACAAGAAGCGGAAGAAATTCGTATGGCCAAATTACTTGAAGAGGAAAAAGCTCAATTTTCTGTAATTTCCCAAAAAATATTACGTTTCTGCAAATCACATTTATTATTAATAGGGTAGAAAAGCTAGGAAAGAAAGAAGAATATATAAAGAAAAAAGAATACGAGAAAGAGGTCGATTAAGTCCACCAAGGTATTTATATTTACAAAATTATAAGCTCTACTGCTAATTTCTGATTATTGCCATTAGTTATGCCGTTCGCGAAAGCCCAAAGCGAGAGAATAGCCGCAGAGAGTAAGATAATTAGTTTAAAATAGCTCTTTGACTCATTTAAATTTGTTTTAACTTTTGTATTAATTGTTTTAGGTCCTCAAGTTCTCGATCATCTTCTCCAGGGGAGGAGCGTATAACATTTATTACTAGTTTCGGAGGCGACAGTTCTGATGGGACAAAAGGTGTTGTTCATGGCCCTGCTATTCCTCGTCACCTGTAAGACCAATCCAAGAGCTTAAAATTATGTAATCAATTTATTGACCGTAGGAGACAGTCGCAAAAACCATCAAATTATCGCAATAAAAGATATAAAAGATCACGATCGCGAAGTAGAAGCCGGAAACGAAACAGAAGATTTCGACGATCTACATCAAGTAGCTCATCACAATCTAAATCCCCATATTCTTCAATTAGACAGAGTTCGCGAAGAGCCAGACGCGATTCATCTAGTTCAGTATCTTCTGACAGGTTATTTTTCATATCCATTTCTAGATCATTCTTCAATCAAAACCAATCATATATCCAATTTTAGAGATCGATCGAAGTCATCTTCAAAGTCTAAATCACCCGAAGTAAAAGTACCTATAAAAAAATATAGACGAAAAAGTCTAGAAGAAAGCGTTAGCGATAGCTCATCATCATCGGCCGATGAAGCAACAACGAATTCAACAGTTCGCTATAGAACGTTGGTTTTCGTAAATTATTGATCTTTAATAATAAGAAATTTTTTTTTACAGAGGCCAATCTATAGCGATGCCCGGTAAAAGTCGTTCCTTGAATAAAGTCAGTAGTAAGAATCATTTGTTTTATGGAATAGCTCTCGATACTCCCATATTCGCTAACATTACTTAAAAAGCAAAATAGGATAATATTTATTGAAAAAAATATGTAAAAATCGTAGATAGCGGCTTTTTCCCATAGATATATCCTCTTACCAAATTATTAAAGAGACTTACAGTTCTAATATTTTTTAAAGTTCTAAAGTAATATGTTTATAGTCTGTACACCTTTTATATTTTTCGTCATGTGTGTACACATGGTACTACTCATAAAAGATTATATGTAAATGTATATATACTGTAGTATATATTTTTAACATATAATTTTTTATGTAAATGAATCAACTGTATATTGAATTGTTCTCGCACATGATCTTATTTTTTGTTAATTTTTTTCAGAAGGCTCTCTCTCAACGAGAATTATTACAGAAACGAATGCAAGCTCAGCTTTCAAAGCATTGTTAGTAATCAGTTTGTCAGAAATTAATTAAATACTTTAATTTCATTTATATATTAGACAAAGCAGACAAGAGAGCAGAAAAAGAGCGTCACGAGCGTGAAGAGCAGGAAAGAATGGATAGAGAAGATGAACTAAGAGAATTGTCACTAATGCTGCGAAAACGAGATCGCGAAAGACGTCATAGACAAAGGGAAGACTTAGATTTTGGGGAAGATAGATCGAGCAGGTCAAGAAGCAGATCTAGATCGAAAAGTAGAAGTCGATCAAGGAGATATAGATCAAGATCAAGGTCAACTAGCAGGTCAAGAAGAACACGATATCGCTCCTATTCGCGTTCACCTAGACGAAGACGTTCGCGATCTTCTAGATCATCGAGATCGTCATCAAGATCCAATAGACGAGCAAAATTAGTTGATTATTAAGTGAAATATTCTTGTTTAAAACTTATTAACGATTGTCTGAATGCAATATTTAACTCGTATATACTTAGAATCCCTTATTCTGGTTTTTTTTATGCTAATCTTTTATCATTCATTTTTAAATAAATGAATTCAATAGTTGAATAATAACTGTTTTTCGCTTTAAAAAGCTCTGTTTCAGAAAATTTCTTGTAATTGTACTTGTACTGAATATCAATACAAGAGTCAGTGATACACAATGCTGGTCAGAATTATTGTAATAATGTAATAGCTTTTACAGTTAATGGATAGTTTTTATAATTAAAAGGCATGTGAAGAAAATTCCGAAGTGTCTCTTTTCAATTATTTAATCTTTTGTCTGAGGGATTGCCCCTCTCCCTGAAAAGCCTTAAAATCTCTGGTATCAGCTGCATCTTGTGAGGTTTCTTCCTTATTTCGTCGTTTGTCTCTGCTAAAGTGTAGATTATAAACATCATGATTATAATTTGGAATTCCCCTTTGCCTTCCATTTGCTGTTGTTTTTTGGGGTGCTGCCTGAGTATTTTTTTCTTTACCATCTATCCTATGTCCTTGTCCTTGAAAAGCACAGAATCCTGGATCTAGTATTTCCGATTCGGGTAAGTCATCTGTTGATTCTTCGCGAGTCTCCTCTTTCCTCTGATGCTCTTGATATCCGACTGGAGAAGCGAAATCAACGTTCATGTCGCATTCAATGATAGACACTGCATTTCCTGGCTTAGTTTCCAATACGCAAAGTTCATATACCTTATCGTTATAATATATAGCGATGACATCTCCAGCAGTCAAACATGCGAAATGCCTGTCTAAGAGGTTTGATTCATAATATTTGTTCAATAATGTTAGTTAAGTATTGACTACATTTAAGGAAAATTTATGTAGTTGATAATCCTAATAATTTTAATTTAGACCCTGAAAATTTTCACCAAGCTAATTCCTACAGTGAATCAATGGATGTATCGCCTTATTGAAATTACATAATATTTAAAATGAATAATTTAATTATGAATCACTCCCCTTAATACACGTTCTAACACAGCTTTGGGATTAGTTAAATCTAGAAATTCCAGGCTTTGAGGTTGAAATTTTGCAAAAGTAGCTATTGGTAGAGAAACGTTTTCAATCTGACAGGTTTCACCCTCTTCCAAATATAGATTTTTCATCATCCAGTGAGGTACGTGCATATGACCCTCGTCTGCAATAAATTCAAGAACTCCGCAATGAGTCTGTCTGTCCACATTATCTTTTTTATTTGTTAATTTGAACAGCATAGGATACTGAACATTCAATCTTGTCAGCTGATCCAAAGCCGATTGGGGTAATATGATTTTTCCTCCTTTTTCTAGGTCATCTCTCTCGATATGCATCATTGAGACCGAAAAGCACCTATATGTTTCAGTAAATCTGATTGGATTTTGCATTTCGTCGCCAAAGAGCCGCTGAAAAGGAAACATGACTACAGAGTTTTTCTAAAAATTAATAACAGCGGAACATTCACAACTGTTTAATGTATAAACTGGTAGTATCCTTAAAAAGACTGGTGAATTTTTATCTGATATTTAGTTGGGCTCTCTCCTTAGTCGAAGTATTTTGTCTTTTTCCTGATGTTTTCACTCTATTTGATGTGTTTAACAAAAATTAAATCTTAATTAGAGACTTAACATGCAATGTTAAAGTGTCGTTTATAACAATGAATTCAGCGGCAGAAGACGATTATATAATAGAGGAAGCTGAGAGAAGTATAAACATATTTTATTCTAAATCACATGAAACTTGTTTACAAACAATTATTGTCATTAGCTCTACTTCCATCCCAGTCAACAGAGAAAGCTACAGAATATGAGACGGCAATATCTGAAGCGGGTAATATTTTTAAGTACTTTTGGAAGATATTATTTTTAAAGATGTCTTATTGGAAATTTTAGGATATGGTAGATTCCATTTAAAATTGTTACTACTATGTGGTTGGGCTGTTTCGAGTGATGCCATAGAAGTTGTTTGTATTTCTTTTGTCTTGCCTTCAGCAACATGTGACTTTCGAATGACCGGATTTTACAAAGGATTGCTGACTGCGATCATATTCCTTGGTAAGTTGAAGTACATTTTCCGTATAAGTAATTCTGTGTAAACAGAATTGTCTGTCATCCAGGAATGTTATTTGGTGGATATATCTGGGGCGCTATATCAGATATCTTTGGTAGGCGATCAACACTGTTAATGTCCTTACTTATCAATAGTATTGGAGGTGGAGTTTCAAGTTTATGCCAAAAATACTGGATGTTTCTTATATTCCGGTTAATTAGTGGAATAGGGTACTTAACACAGTATTCTGTATATATAAGAAATATTTCTAACTATAATGAAACTTTTAAAGGGTGGGCGGTGCTCTACCAGTAATATTTACATACTTTTGCGAATTCCAACCAAAGGCCAAGAGGGGAATAATGATATCAGTGTTAGCTACTTGCTGGATGTCGGGCAATATTATTTCAGCAGGTTGTACATATTCATAACCATTGAAATATTCTATTTTTAATTAAAATATGACTTCTTTCAAATTAGCCCTAGCCTGGTTGATAGTTCCCTTAAAATATGGAACAACTTCAACAAGTTTTATATTCAACAGTTGGAGATTATATTTGTTAATTTGTACAATACCTTCATTCACTTCTTTATTACTTTTTATAAGAATGCCAGAAAGTCCTAAATTTATCATGCAGGTAAAGAGAATATAGTTAATTATCTATTTTCTATTACAAATAACAATTTCTCTCTATTATGATCATTAGAAAGGAGATGAAATAAAAGCTTTAGCTATTTTTCAAGAAATATTCAAATCAAATTACTCTACAAAAAACTATAGCGACTATCCGGTAAACTTTCATTCTACTTACTTTTTTCGTTTTGCTATTGTAGCGATACTTAATTATTAACTGTATTATTAACAGATAAAATCATTAAATATAAAACCATCAAGGAGTTTGTCCGGAGGCAGACAAGTAGCAGTTAAAATATTCCAACACACTTCTAACTTATGGCGAGGAGGTCTAATAAGACGAAGTTTAGTACTGACAAATATATATGCAACCTTTTCTTTTGGGTATATGTATATCTATAGGATGCGATAGAAAACGTCCACAAATGTATGGTTTTACCCTAACCCTAACCTAACCTTTAGAAGGATTCAAATATCTCATTTGTGGACGTTTTCTGTCGACCCCATTTCTAAATATATCTAAATATAAAAACTTAAATTTAACATAGCTTCTATGGACTTTGGATGTGGTTTCCAGAAATTTTCAACAAAATGGAAAAGTACGGTGGAACCGTTTGCTCAATTTCACATGGAAATTCTACAGTGAATGAAACGCAGAGTTTTTGTGATCCTATATCTAAATCTATCTATTGGGAGGGATTAGTAGTTGCTGCTGCTAATCTTCCAGGCAATATTTTCACAATATTTTTCATAGAAAAAGTTGGTAGAAGGTGGCTTTTATGTAAGAATAATGTCTTTTTTAATTGTGAATTCATTAACCTATTTTAAATATTACTATTATAGCTGCCAGTATGGTAGCATCAGGCTTATCTGCCTTTGCAATCCTTGGAATGAAAACCAGACTTCATAACATTCTACTGTCATGCTTATTTAGTTGTATAAGCGTTGTAGGATGGAATGCATTGGATGTTCTCAATCCAGAGCTATACCCGACAGAATTAAGGTTTTTTTTTAGTTTTGTTTCTACGTTATGAGTAGGAAAGTTTCAAGTTTATTTCGTATATGAACAGATCAACTGCAACAGGATTTTTTAGCGGCGTTGGGAGACTGGCAACAATTGCAGCCAATCTTTCATTTGGACTGCTGGTTGACATCCATTGTGCTATTCCTTTAATTCTTGTCTCAGGTTTGCTGGTTTTTGGAGGACTCTCTTCTCTACTGTTACCTGAAACGAGAAATGTTGATCTGCACTAATAATAAATGTTATATATTTTCATAAATAATGAGGAAAAAACTTGAAGAAAATACTATTTGTATTGATATTAATATTCGAAATAATTCATATATCCAAGTGATGTAATTTCAGCAATACTACACTTCTAGAAATAATAAATTGATTATGATTGCATTTTTACTCTCAAGAGTTAATGCTTTTTCTCAAATTTTCCGACTGTTTCTTGTCTTTTCTCATATTCTATTATATTTAATTGTCAAACTGAATTAGCTTTTTTTTTGGCTGACAAATGTCAGGTATTTGTATAAAATCGCCTGATAAAAAGCAATCGGCCTACGGCAAGTCTACTGCAATCACAATACTGTTGAGGACTTAATTCTGCTTTGTAGTGAACATGAAATCAATTTAGCCAGTTAATATCTATTTGAGAGTACTCTAAAGTTATCGGAATGTAAAGTGTGGTTATATTACATTATTAATCATTCTCTGAAATTCAACATTTTAGTGAGTTTTTTTTATAAATAATAGAGTTTCTGGGAAGATTCCCTGACCATATATATTTCTTTTTTCTGAAAAGATATGTAGAAAATCCCCTTCCAGAATTTCGATGGAAAATTAAAGTCCAAGCTGATGTAGATCATTTTGAATTTGAGCTTGACTGGCAGCATATTCTGTTCTATTAGCATTGATTGAATAGTAGGTGAAGTTCTTTAAGCAAAAACTACTACCTAGCCTTTGGAAAACTATCAACCAGTTCCTGTGCAAGAGTACCTTGTTTATCTGTCCGAAGGCATTCTACAAATGCAGGAAAATGGTTACTATTCCGCATGAGAAAGCTTAGCAATTCATTAGCTTTTCCTAATCTACTAGGTTTATTCTGAAAATTGAAATATATCAAATGAAATGATCGAAAACTTTGTAATTTGAAATACAGTCTAACCTCAATCTCCTCTTTTTGACCCAAGGTAATAATCTCTTTTGCTAATAGTAAATTAAGAACTGATCGACCTGAAAATTCCAATCTTTCACAGACATTTGAATAGTTATTTTTTAATATTATTTTATAAATTTCTTGAGCTGTATTAGGATGGTTTACGTCAATAAAGTTCATAACTTTTCCCTTAATTTACTTTCAACTGGAAGGTCTTTTTCTTTGCGCATGCGCTAAGCAGCTGAGATTTCACTTTAGGAATATTAACTGGTAACACACCAGTTTTAGGATTACCCATCGTATGACTTCGAACAAAATATGTTTTAATTAGAAAATTTAACAGTGTTGCGCAATAACTGCAAATGTCCGCATTCGTTTTAGACAATAGGGAGGAGAAGCTTAGATTGATTCGAAAAGAATTTGAAAAATCATTATTAAACGGTAAAATTTATTTAAATGAAATAATTCTAGTTCATAGTCCAAGTTACTTTTAAGTAACCCGACACAATGTATCAAAGTAATGGATAATCATACAGCACATGAAAGAAATACCTCTAATAAATGATATTAATTGCGCCATTAAAACATTTTTCAGTGTTAGAAAAATATTAATTTTCTTTGTCTCTGTTTCGAAATTGCAGCTAATATAGTTCTAATAAATGCGAAATATCCTTTTAAGCATAGCCTACATTCTTAAATACTCTTTGTATAATTTTTAATTTATTAAGGATAAATTAACTTATTATTTAACAGCATCAACTAAAGAAGAATACGATGAAATTGATATTGAACAATTTCGTACGAACGATGATCTTGTAGAAGCGTTTCTCCTTAGTAGAAAAGGAAGTGTAGAAGCTACAGCAAAACTAATCAAAGTTGTATTCAAATGGAGGAAAAGCATTCAATTGCATAGTATATATTCAATTTTATACTTGTATTTTTAAAACTATTAAACTTCAACTTTTCTTTAAGAATTGAACGATGATAGTTTTCCAATTGAAGCTCATGAATTGGGTGGTCTCTTCTATCATAGTCAAGACAAAAATGGCAATAAAATACGTAAAGAATCTTAATATAACTGAACTAGTTTGCATATTAAAATTGTATATATTAAAGTTAATTTTAGAGTTTGTCAAATGAAGAAAGATCCAAAAAAAACAGAATTAGTAAAAAAATTCGTTGCATATTGGATAATGAAACATTACAAACTTTATCCAACACGTAAGGTTGTTTGTTTAATGGATATGACTAACACTGGAATTTCGAATATGGTTGTATTCACTTTTCTTAAAGTTTCTAATAAATCATTTTCTTTTTTTAAACATTGAATTTTAGGATTTGGATTTGATAAAATTTATTGTCACTTGCTTTATTCAATACTTTCCAGCTTATTTAGGTATTTATTTTAGAGATATCTTCTACTTTTATCATCTAATTCGTATTCATGCAATTTCTTTTTATAGCTTATTTATTGATATTTGATATGCCTTGGCTGTTTAATGGTAAGATATTTTTCATATAAAATCGATAATTTAATAACAATGTATATTTCATTTTTCATAGCAATTTGGCAGGTTATTCGTAAAATTCTATCCGAAGAAGAAAGGAAATTTGTAATTTTTGTCACAAAATCAAATATAAAAAATTATATTGATGAAGATCACTTATTTTCTCATATGGGAGGAAATGATACTTTTGAATATAAATACGAAAGACCTCTTCAAACTCCTAAAAGAGAGATGTCATTTTCTAGTGTTAAAGATAGCAGTGTACGTTTTATAAAAGTTGCAAATTTCTTTATCATAAAATTTAAAATTTCAGACTCAAGAGAGCAGTAGTTTCAAGAAATTTTTGACCTCTAAAGAAAGTCTTAATAGTCCGTTAATTGAAAATGGAGGGGTCCTCAAACCAAAAAGACTCTTTTCTGGTGATATAGCTACAATTACTCCCTCAACTGACCTTGTATTTGAACAGACCTCAAAGTCTTATACAAGGCAAAGTATAGAAATCATAGCTCATTCAAAACCGATCGCGTTTAAGGTCAAAACAACCAATCCATCGGCCTTTAAAGTTAAACCCAGTAGTGGGATCACAAGTTCACAATTTCAAATTGAAATATTCGCCTGTGACGGAATAACTAAAAATATTATTGAAACAAGTCGATTTTTAGTTATGATTCAGTCAATTGATGAAGACATTACAAGTGTTAACCAAGTAACTCATTGGAGAGACAATGACAAATATAAGTAGGTGTTTCGTAAATATTGCAGATATATCTTTATCTTTATTCCATAACTGTGCTGTAGGTACATGGAGAAACAACTGAAATGTAAGATATTGAAGCCAAAGTATTCCAAACCTGCTACTTTGGAATATCTACAAAGAGAGATCGAAGGTTTAAAAACAGAGCAATTAAGATTAAAAGCAGATTTGAAGAAATTTACTAGCTTTCGACAAAGAATTCTTAATAGTATATATGGCCTTTTCTTGACAATATTCTGCTTATATTTACTGCAATGTTTTCGGCTAACATTATCGCCAATTTCTGATCACATTCTTGACTTGTTTTTCAACACTTCTTTTTGGAAGATGGAGTAACTTTTATTCCAAAACATTTTTCTACAATTTATTTATTACAAGCAGTTGAATTGGAATAGTTTCAATTTTCATTTAAGAAATTGAATAACCAATATATTGAAATTACGAGTTTACAGATTTAATTAAAAAAATAATTGAAATAAAATTATCAAATTCTATTTAATTTCGTTACAATTAATACCCTTAAAGTTTGGTCAAAAGCAGTACAAACGCACAATCCACATTTGTCTGGACTCCAATCAAAACCAGATATAGGTTGCGTAGACATGACAGTATTTTGAAGTAAACTCAAATTTCCAGCTACACCTTCTTCAACTCCTTCCGAATCTTCTTGAACTCGTTTTCCAGGATAATTACTGTAGGATATAATTAGTTTACTGTTGATGGAAAAATCTTTAAAAACTTACTATTTCCATAGATGAAGAGATCCAGAACCACCCAATGTCATGAAAATATCTCTATTTTGCGGTAGATGTTTTCCCAACCAAACAGTTGATTTATGAGACTGGAAATATAAAAACAGGCGAGATATATATATATATATATATATATATATATATATATGTTTATAGGTATAATAGACATGACTAAATATTTAAAACCTTTTCGCTGACACATGCAAATCCTCTCTTTGGATGTTGAGTTCTTAGATCGTACACATGTATACTAGATTCTAAGCAAGTGGCGACTAATTTATTCATATTTATATCCTTTCTATCAAATTCCACGGAACAAACACCATTTTTAACGTTTGTTTCCCATTTAACACTCATACTTCTTAAATCGAATAATTTTATATCACCATTATCGTATCCAGCAGCAATGCATCTATCATGTGGATTGTAGGCATGACCTACACAAAGGGAAATTTTTTAAATACTATTTAATATTTACTGTAGACTAACCGAATGCAACCGTCCAGCAATCTCTTCTTTCTTCTCCCTCTCCAGGAGCCATTGTTGCGACTGGATCATCTTTTTGTCTGGGATCCCAAACTTTAACAGAACCATCCCTACTACCAGTAACAATTTCTGGCGCCCCTTCTCCAATTCCTAATCCACCAACTCCATCAATACAGTTAACAATCTCCTTATGGCCTTTCACGCTATAAATTGGTACTTGAGTTGATTCAAGATCCCTGAAGTTGAATTATAATTTAGAGATTTCATTTTATTTATCTGGAAACAGCAGACAGTACAAACCAAATTTGCATAGCTCCATCAAAATTTCCCGTTGCTAGGTATCGTTGTTGTAAACTAGAAGCACCAAATGTACCGCATTTAAAAGCGCTCGGTTTTTCCGCCTAAGGTTTAATAGGAAAATCTAAGAACAATGTTAATTTTTTTAATGAAATACCTCAGAAATTAATTGGGCATCGCCGTGAGCTATTTCATAAACTTGTAGAGCTCCTGTGCCTCTGGCATGATTACCAAGAACGACAAACTTAGCACTAGACGGAATCCATTTACAGTCGAATAAGGTGTAATTTAAGGACTTTTGAATATGAGCTAGAATTTGTGGTTTTTCCATTTTTCTTAAAAATATTTAAAAGTGTTATCACGTTTCGAGGAACGCCGCGCAAAACACTCTTAAGTATTTTTTCTAAATTTTTGGTTATACCTAAATACCGTATAGTAAAATGAATATTAGTGTTTTTTTGAAAATTTTATTCCATAACTTAAAAATAATTAAATCAATCTAAAATCTTTATTATAAAGTCAAATAGTTATTAAGAATTTTCATTTTAAAGTACGATAATGACTCGAATCATACCTTTTAATTAGAAATTTAGTAATCCTCTGATAGAGCCCGGGTATAGGTAAAATCAAATTGTTTACAGGTTTAGAAAGTTGCTAAAAGTTGTAATGAACTGTTTTTATTATCTCATAATTTTATTTCAATTAATCTTAATAGGTAAATATCTTTATTTAATCATATTTATCATCAAGATTGTAAAATAAAAAGGATTTATCTTCGATAGTATCTTCACAAAATCCTACAGTAGAAATAGTAAAAACAGAGCCAGCAGCGAACAAAGGAAGAGTAATATATGCGCAAAGAGATGAAGACGTAACTATTTGGTGTTACGTTGAAAATTTAAGGCCTCTGACTAAAGTTAGATATCAAAAGACGTCCAAATCTCCTACTGGAAAAGTTCAGTTAATAGACATTTCTGAAAATGAAAGACCAAAGGATAACACTAAATACGGTAATGTTTTCTTAGGTATAATAGATTTAAACTGACTTTAATTAAATGTTCTTTCAGCAATTGAAAAACCAAAAGATTTTACCTGGCGTTTAAGAATAAAATCTACTCAAACGCACGATTCCGGAGTTTATTCATGCTACATAAGAATTTCAGAATATAAGTCGGAATTTTCAAATGTTACACTTATTGTATTTTGTAAGTTATTGGTGGTAGTCTACTTGACAAAATCCTAAAAATTTTCTCTTCCTATTTAGCTAAACCAACTTTTGTTGATCATAAAACAACTTCTGATGCCGAATATAAAAAGGATGAGCACGTTAAATTACAATGTACAACTGAAGGTGATCCTAAACCATATATTGAATGGACTAGAGTTGGTAATGCTCTTCTACCGATAGGAAGAGAAAGGTCTGAGGTAAGTTTCCCACACCCTAAAATATTTAAGAGTTTAGAATGAAAGTGATCATTCACGCCTTGCAGAATCCGGTTCTTGATATTTCAAGGATACAACCGCAAGATAGAGGATTGTACAGATGTAGATCTTGGAATATGATGGGAGAAATATCCAGACAAATAGCTGTAGGAGTATTATTTCCCCCAGTTATAGAAGCTTCATATTCTATAGTAAAACAAACAGAGGGTTACCTTATCGAATTACAATGCTTAGTCGAAGTTAATCCTTCACCCACGACGGCTTATTGGTTAAAAGAAGATGGGGAAATAATTGCACGGTCTAATGGAAGGTTTGAGAAACTTTATTTGAATAAAAAACGCATTTTATTCATTTTCTCTGTCTTATTCAGATACGCAGTAAATACTTTCAAAGGAGCATTTGGTCACTACACTATTGAACTCGTTATTAATGGAGTAAAAAGTACAGACTACGGAAGTTATAGTTGTTACGTTACTAACGTTATTGGCACAGAGCACCAAAGTGTTACTTTAATTAGATCTGATGTACCGATGCCTTCTTTTAAACAGGGAAAAATAATCTCTTCAAGTTCAATGATAAAATCTTCTTATTTTATTATGATACCCTTGTTTTTATGTACTTTTTTATAGTTTGTTAAGAGAAATACTCCATGGCAGAAGTAATATTGCTTTTGGTCTCCTTTTAGAGTATCAAGATTCATTTTTTTTAGCTTTAAATCTTATTAAATTAGTCTTGATTAATAAATTATCTATATTGTTTTATTTAATAATGGATATACATATTTATATTTATCTATATATTGTCTCTTTACCTACCAATTTTTTGCTAAGGGATGATCTGCGGCGTAACCACCATTTTTACAAACGGCATCAGATATATGTGCAGCGTTAGCGTCTATTTCAACTCCTGTTCCATACGACAACATATTTAATTTAACTTCGACATCTTCCAATATCGTATCCCCGTATAGGCATGCTAATCTTAATTCATGATCCGCATTTCTTAAACCAATACATAGAGACCTTGACGCTCTGGCGGCTGAGGCGCTTAGAACGAATAAAGTAGTTGATATTTCTGCTAGTCTTCCCAATTGATATTGTTGTTCAACTATTCCATTACCAAAAACAACTAAATTCTTTTCAACTAAAGACTGAAATCTCATTAATTTCTTTTCAATTTTTTCCATGAGTAGGGCAACACTAGGATGAACGTGGTTATATAACTTAAGCAAACAACGAGGATTTTCGTAAGATCTAAATGATTTGGATTTCATAAGATTCCATATTTTTTTTGGTTGATTGTAAATATCTCTTATCTTTTTCAAATCATCTTCTGAACTTCTTCCAACGTATTGAAGACTTTGTAGAGAAATAAATAATTTAGCTATATCATTTGTTCCATTAAGCATAGTTAATATTCTGCTATCCCTTATAAATCTTTCCATATTATGAGATTTAATATAGGCCTATAAAAGTAATAATTGACTGTTATAGAATAAATTTGTAAAAAGGTAAACGAGTTATACCTGTCCCCCTAAAATTTGAGTGGCGTCATGAATAAATTGGAAAGCTGTTTCTGATGAAAATAGTTTTAACATGGCTAATTCTACTGTTGCGTCGGGTTTATGATAATTGTCCAAAATTCCTGCCGTAAAATACAGAGCCGATTCAAGACAGTAAATGGATGCCGCCATCCAAGCTAATTTTTGTTGAATTAAACCATAATCCATCAGTGGCCTACCAAATTGTTGACGGCTTATTACATGGTCAGTAACATCTTTCAAAATTCTTTTTAACATGCCACAAACTGAACCTAAAGCAAAATTACTAGAATTAAGACTATCTATAGCAATCTTGAAGCCATCGCCAACTTCTCCAATAACATTTTCAAGTGGAACTACTGTATCTTTAAATTCAACATGTGCAATATCGCAGGCGGTTAAAGCATGTTTATTTTCTATATAATTAGCAGTAATTCCACCAAAGTCCTTCTCAACAATAAAGGCAGTGACTATATAACAATGAAGAGTTAAAAATTATTTGTTAAAAAAACAAAACTAGTAAGATAGTAACCTTTCATCTCTTCATTAGGTAATCCAATTATTGGTGCTTTAGCGAATACAATAAATACATCCGATGAACTACCATTAGTTACCCATAATTTTTCACCATTCAGAATATAATGTGTTTTCTCTTCATTCAAGTTGGCTGTAGATTTTACAGATGCAGCATCACTTCCACTCTCTTTTTCTATAATATTTTATAAAGTCTTATGAAAGAACTTTATTTATATGAGTAATAACAACCTGTTAAGCAAAATGAACATATTTTTTCGCCACTGGATAATGCTGACAAGTATTTTTCTTTTTGCTCCACACTTCCAAAATTAAGAATCGTTTTTAGTCCTAAATCCTAAATTAGTTAAAAATAGAAAATAGATTACTATTTATGATAACAAGACATTATTTAATAATGCGAAACCTGGTGGGCATGAAGAGTGACTGCTATTGATGGGTCTAAACTTATTTCTTCACATATTCTAGCATATTGCAGTGGGGATAAATCAAGACCACCTTTGTAAATACAATAAAGTTAACAGTATATAATTATACAGTATATATAAAACTGTTAAAATAAAACAAACCATATTCTTGAGGTACGTTCAGGCCAAATAATTTGTATTTTTTTAGACTCGATAGCACTCTTTCGGAGAGTTTTCCTTCTTCCTCAAGTTTCTGCCCATCTTCCTTGTAAACTGTTTATGTTTTATATACTATTTATAACTCTGAAATAACATAAAATTTTTACAAAAAACCTCTTTCAAAAAGTCTTGAAATTGGTTGGCACATAGCTTCTAAATCTTTTAACTCTTCCGTTGTCTCAAATTCAGGATATTCCAAAAGATTCTATTGAATATTATATAGTTAATTTCAATTTAAACTAAGAACCATTTAGAATAAAGAAAATATACTTTATCAAATTTTCCCATGAAAAGACCTTTTGCAAATGGAGTGTGCTGTGTTAATTTTTTCTTGGGTTTACGTTCAACAATTAAATATTCTTCGGCATCTTTGATTTCTTTTTCCATGTCTTTAACTTGATTTTGCGATGCCGTGACACTTAATGAAAAAGACTTTGAGCCTATTTTCCATGATTTACGGCAAATATTTCTTGAGCAATAATGAAGCATTCTTATTTAATTTTAACTATGAAATAACTAATCAGATGAAACTGTTAATTTCTATTTTATTCAAATTATTACGCCAGATTCATCCGGCAAGAACTTCACGTTTGTCCTTAGGTCAAGGTCGAATAAGCAAAAATATGTGTTTCAAGATAGAATATAAAGAGTTAAATTGCATTTTCATGTGATGAAGTTATTCAAGAATATATTTTTTTCTGTCAGAAAAAAACTCAATATAAAATTTCTTTTTAATAACACTTTTAACGCATACATAAAATCTATATTTAATATCTTCCATTAAACTAGCTTTTGAGTTTGAAAAAAGTTTTTTCTATAGTGCTCCGCGACCGTATTTGTACTCATATACACCAACAAGAACGGATAGCCAGTCAAAAAGTATTTCTTGTTTTCTCAGAACAGGAAGTACGTAATCGTCAAGGTAAATCCCAACTTTTGTTGAATGACTAACCCTCACCACTTTTGGATTGTTCATAATCTTCTGACAATTTCTCATTTATCTTAGGAGGCAGTTCGAATCTATAGTCACTCTTTCACCATGTTCCGTGCCGGATTGGACGTCCAAAAATTAAAAACCAATCTTCGCCTCTGTATAAATAGGTTGAAGATGCTGGAGAAAAAGAAAACAGAACTAGCCGTTAAAGCTAGAAGGGAAATTGCCGACTATCTGCAAGCTGGAAAAGATGATAGAGCCAAGATTCGGGTAGAACACATTATCCGTGAAGATTACTTGGTCGAGGCAATGGAAATAATTGAAATGTATTGTGATTTGTTGTTAGCCAGAATGGGGTTAATAGATAGCCAGAAACATATCGACGAGGGTCTTGAAGAGCCGATCGCGACAATAATTTGGGTCTCACCAAGACTTGAAGCTGAAGTTCCCGAATTAAAAATGGTTGTAAATCAGTTCTCAAAAAAGTATGGCAAGGAATGGGTAATGGCTTCTAGAGCAAATGAATTTCAAAAAACTAATCCAAAAGTAGAGCATAAGTTGTCTGTTAAAGCACCCGATCCTAACTTGGTTGATAGATATCTCATTGAAATTGCTAAAACTTACAACATTCATTATGAACCAAGTCCTGGATTACCTGACATAGAAGTTATGAAAGCAGAAGATTTACTAATTGATTTCAATGACAAAAAAAATCCTAGAGGAGGTGGAAACGATGGTAATCCGAGTGGTGGTGCAGGAGGAGGAAGTGGAGGTGGAGGTGGAGGTGGGGGCGGTCAAACATACCCTTTTGCATACCCTGCCACTCCTCAGCAGCCCTACGGGGCAGCCTCTCAACCACCACCTTTGCCCGTTGTTCCTCCAATGGGAGGAGCACCAGTGGCTCATGGCGGAATGCCAATGGGAATGCCGCCAATGGGACCTGGCGTTGATAATCCACCAGCACCCAGCTATGAAGAAGCCACTAAACCCAGTCAGTCACAGCCAACTGCTCCAAAAGCTGATGATGCTCTCAACTTACCGGAACTACCTAGAGTTCCAAGCAATGACCTTATTTCTGGAGGTAATTATCATCTCAATATGCTCAGCCCATTTTTATTAAATCATTTTTTCTAGGTAAAGCTGGAACACAGTCCAACGATGGAGATGATGTCGATTTCGATGATTTAACAAGAAGATTCGCAGATTTAAAGAATAAGAAATAAGTTTTTATTATTTATTTTCTATTGAATGAACATCATATATGTATGTATATGGATATAACTATTGATTATCTCTGTGATTTATTTTACACAAGCTTTATCCTCGTATTGTCTTTAAAAAAATATGACTCATTCATTTCGCAATGAATAATTGAACTAGGAACTATTTTATTTATTAAACGAAGAGTTTAAATAATTTTATAAAACATTTACACTTGTAAGGAATTCAAATCTGTTCAATCTTATCACTCTGGCCGGCTTCTTTTAAGAAATTAGACCTGTAGAGTAATCATTCAGACATTAAATAAACGATGATTTTAAAGAAATAGATAAAAGGCTAACCAAGTAATTGGAAAATATTCTCCCACATCCGAAGTATCTAGCTTTCCTTGCTTTAATTTGGGAAAGAACCATTGGAAAAAATGATCTATCAACTCCTAACATGAAAAGTTTAAATGAATTGAAATGGTTTGGGTTATGACTTGAATTAAAAGAATTATATTATTACCTGCCATTTTGATGTATATTGATTCTCTAAACCTAACCATTGCTGAATTTCCCTTAATCGTTTTACAGTCTATAAAATATACTGGTTAATAAATCGAAAAACGCAAAACCGGATTGTTATACCTTTTCATGAACTTCTCTTGGATTCATTGGATTCTTTTTGTGTTTATGAAGAGCATTTCTTACCTTTTCTCTGATTGCCCGACAAATAATATACCTTTGAAAACAAATAGAATTGAGACAATACATCGAGATCTTATATTAAGATTAATCTCTACCAGGCTGTTTTCTTTTTCAGCAAGCCAAAAACCTGTCCTGATGAATCGAGGAAATAAAAAACTTTACCCTCGTATTGATAACCATTTCTAACTGCTTTAAATTGATCATCAAGCTCCTGCGGTGGAATTTCTGTATACGATACAGTATCAAAACCTAAACATTTGGCTATCTCAATTCCTATATGTGGTGGCACGCATCCCAATTGGTTATTATTTGTTAAAAGAGCATCATTAAAAGTCCAAGTAATAAACATTAGTTTAGGCCTAAGGGTAAAAATATAAATTTTTTATAGGTAGATGTGTATTAAATGATAAATAATATAATTACTCTTTCAAGTAAGACAGATTCTCAACGTGTTGGGTTTGAGGATTAAGAATTTCGAATATACCGGTCACCCTTGCTCGAGACAAAAATTCTAAGATTCTATTAAACAAGAGTATATACGCTTTGATAATCTTATTAAATAAAAAATATATTGGAATACAAACAAGTGTTTATCATTCTTTGAAAGTTTCTTTAAGAAATGTGCTATTGTGTATGCAACAACTTTAGCTACTGCATATCTTTGACCTTCATATTCATCAATTTGATCTATAATGAAAATATTTAATAACTTGGTACATTTTATATTTAATGGTATTTCTTACTTGTTTCTGTAAAGTAGATGTGAACATTCTTTGAACCAGCACATATAATATGCTTTCCATTAACTTTTAGACAACTTAAATGAGCTGCTTCACCATTTGCTTTATCGGTGGCTATAATTAACGATGCTTCCTCAAGTGGCTAAAAATTATTAGATAGTATGACGGATTTGTTTAGATCTCATTATAAACTTATTGTTACCCTTGCAAAATATCTCTGCCATATTTTTTCATCTCCTGAATCGTCAACTCTATCATCGTCGTCTCCGAGTCCACCAGTGAACTTCTTTAAAGCGAATGTTGTACATACTGGTCCTTGACTTCCCTCTACGCTTAGAAATGCATTACCCCTGGCAACCCGACTTCTTATTTCCTGATGTCGATCATAAATTTTATCGTCTGGGCCGTATTTAACAAAAACTTTTACATCAATCGCAGTTCCATTAAGTATACTATGAGGGACCTTGGTTTCGGTTAATCGTAAATTATTGTTTTGTCTTGCCCAATTAAGCCAACTGTTACATATTTTTAAAAACGAGGTTATAAGTTATAGTTAATATAAGTTGAGAACACATAACATTGTGCAATCAATTGAAGACTACAAAGCTTACTCTTTTGCTTCAGAAACAAGTTGATCCGCCGGTGTTTGAGATCTCTGCTTCAAAATTTCAAGATATTCGTTTATAGATGTAATATAGTTGCTTTGTTTAAGTTTTTCTTCAATAAAAGCAAAAACGTCAACACATTTTATATCACACGGCGATGCCATGGTCTTTATAAAAACTCAATATCAAAATGTATTCTAAACACTAAACACGATGTCCAGACAATTGGGCGCGATATTAAAAAACGAAAGCTTAGGCCTACTAGTCAATATAAACAACAATTTCCAAAGTATAAAATCGTAAAAGAACTCTTAAAAAAAACAGATAAATTACAAAAAAGCGCAAGTTTATTTAATGATAAGAAGATGTATGTGCAAAAAAAAAAAACCCCACTTTTTGTATCTATAAATGACGTTTAAGATCTTGAAGAAAAATTAAAAGTAAAATATAAGAAACTTAAAAAGTTTTAAAACATAAACGGATAATCTGTTTGATGGGACCTTTTCATGGCGTTTTCCCTAACTTTCTCTTGTAAAATCACTTCAATAGTTTGAATTTTTCTAGCTAAAATTTCAGATTGTTGAAAAGTTAAATCTCTATCCATTTCCAACTTTAAACGAAGGTATTGACAAACTTCAGATAAAATATGGGAATTATAAAATTCTAAAGCTTCTTTATCCTCCAAATAATTACCTATTTTATATTAGAAAAATAATGTATGATTCATATATCGTTGCCTCTTTTTCTTCTTTTTAAAAAGAGAAAACAAAAAAAGGGTCTGTGTATTTACCTGAAGCAGTTTGAACATCTTCGGAATTTGTTAATTCTTTGGAGTAGCAAGATTCTGTAAATTCTGAGAATGTGATGTAGGCTGAAACTAGGTCATCTTCACTTATATCACCAAGAATACTTTTGTTATACATGTATTGTAATTTTTCTTCCCAGAAATTAGTATTAATGGTACGAATATGACACCTTTGAACGCACCTTGAAATTTCATAAACATCCCTGGCGTTTCTGAGTTCTTTTATTACGCCTTCAATAATCTCTTTTGCTATTGTTTTTGTTCTTAAAAAATCGTATTTATATGCTGGACTGAGTTGACGAAAATCCGAATGATCCCTCCAAAGGAATTTATCTAAATCTAGAGGATCAATTTTTTCATCCTGTCTGGCTGGTAATGGAATTTCAGGTTCAGAATACGAATGGCAAGATTCTTCCTTCTGTTTGTTACAGGTTGGCTGTTCACTTTGCTTTAGGAAGAATACGCAACCGTTTCTCTGTTCCATAACATATTCACCAATATATTTATCTTTCTCTTGGTGTTGATTATCTTTAACCTCTTCATGGACCTCTTTCACCGGCTTCTTGGAACCCTTTTTCTTGTTTTTAGGTTTGTCAGCAGGTTTAGCCTTAGGTATTGTGTGTCGCCGTCCCATAATAACTTTTTTTGTAATTTTTCTAAAATTTTATAAAACTTCTCTGGTGAAGGTCTGAAGACTGTTTGATATAACGGTATGAGTTTGAGCAGTGTCATATTGGTTGACAAGTCGATGAACTTCATTTGACTCTGTTTATTCGCTTATTTCTAATTAAGCGCCAAATAGACACCAACCGGTTAAATGAGCAGACCGGTTTCCTCGTCATGCTACCGGTTTTATAGTTAGTCACATGATGATTCTTTGAGAAAAATAAACAGACGATTTTATAAACCTATTTATACATCTTGCCATCCCAGAAACAATCTAGGTATGGGTTGTTGTTTCAGTAATGATGAAAATAAGCATAGCCCCGTAAGTAACTTCAATACTATAAATAACAACTAATTTCGAGCGGCGTGTTCTTTTCGATGGAATATCAGGAAAGCGAAAGCGAAGAAAGTAGAAGGCTTTTAAGCGAAGGATCAAGTGAAAATGGGGGATTTGACACAACGTATGTATAAAAGAATTAAAATAACTGTATTAACATTCATAACGAATTCTCTATGACAAAAAGGTATCACACAATGCAAATAGATAGCTCATCTGGTGACGAACAATCGGCTTTGCTCAAAATCGTACAAAGAACTGCAGAGTATAATTTATATTAGTATTTGTAAAGTAGCAGCTATAAAAAATCCTTTAATTTCTTTCAGCCGAGTAATTGATGTTTCTGCGATAAATAGTACTAATATGGAATATCAAGATTTAGCTGACCGAGAAAACCAATACAGGTATTTTAATCAATTATTCTATATATTTAATATTAAATCACTATTTATCTCTTGAAATATTTATAATTTATAAAATCCTCATACTTTACAGACAAAAATTGAATTTAACCCTTAGCAGTAGCCTTCAAAAGAAAAAGATATTAACAGTTGGAATTAGAGATCCTCAAGCTGTTTTGTCTTCTCCACTTATAGATAGTAAATTCATAACTTTGGTAATTATATAATTAAATATAAATGACAATTATTTATATGCCTTTTTGTTTTACAAAATATTTAGGTTCAACAAGCGGCTTTAGCTGCTAATAATGCTGTTTCAGAAATTAAAATACAGCATAAAGAAAACTTAGTTGTTCCTTTTACAGTGCCCTGATGTTATTACTAACAATACTGATAATCTGACAATTTAATTACACTGCAAAAAAAAAAAAAAAATAAAGTTGAAATGTTCTAAATTTTTCAAAACGTGTTGACTTACAACCTGTCAATTGTATTGACTAAAAATTATAAAAATATGTTGAATTGCTGAATAAATTTTGGCGAAATTTTATAAATTATATGCATTCTTAGATGTTTAATTCATTCAAATAATATTCCCTAAAATAAACGCATAACTTTGTTTCGATTTGTTCTCGAATTGTCGCATACGCCCTCTATAGGGTCTAAAATTAGGATCAAGGTGAAGGTCAACTGATCAAAGTATAGAGAAATTTTGCTGTTACTTTGACCGAATTTTTAAACATGTCTGCCCCTCCAAAACCTTGGGAAGGAAGTGCTCCCACAATGGAAAATTCGTATAATCCCATTAGTTCTAATGGATTGCTGTGAGTAATTTAAATGAACAACTAGGAATTAAATTCACAATTTCGTATTGTTCTTCAATTGCGTTAGTTCTCAAACTCCATCACAAGCTCCTCCAGTTCCTGTACGAAATCAACAAGGCTCATATTCAAGCTATAATTCTCCATATTCTTCACCTTACTCCTCGCCATATATGTCTGGTGGAATGGGACTCTCTCCATACTCATCATATTCACCATATTCGTCAATAGGCGGTGCATACGGTGGATATGGAGGATATAGAAATTATGGCCAAGGTGGCTATCCTCAAAGTAACTTTGTAAGGCAGGCAGAGGCATCCTCTCGAAATGCTTTCCAGTCGATCGAATCAGTTGTCAGCGCTTTCAGTTCCATAAGCATGATGTTGGAGTCAACTTATTCAGCTTTATATAATTCTTTTCGAGCGGTTTTGGGTGTCGCTGGTCATCTGACTCACGTTAAAGACCAATTAACTGCAATACTATCCTCCATCGCACTTTTTAAAACATTACGATACTTATGGCGAAAACTTCAGGTGCTCCTAAAACTAAAGCCTGAATCAACCGTAGAAGATGTGTGGAAAGAGGTCAACATTCGAAAAGCTACAGGAGATGGAAATGGTAAATCCAACTGGCCTATTATTATGTTTTTTGCTATAGTGATGGCAGGACCATGGCTTATTTGGAAGCTATTGTCATCTTTGGGGAAGAATTCAGGTAGAAAATATATTCATTTATTTATCGAAGTCACTGATTGACGTAACGATTTTTTTTATCTATAGAATCAGAGTGGCATTTAGGAAAGTCTCCACATTTTATCTGTCAGGTAAATTATGATTTTGAAGGAAGGCAAGAAGACGAAATATCCGTTAAACAAGGTGAAAAGCTACGAGTTGCCCCCCAAGAAATGCAAACTGTTCAAAACTGGTTAATATGTGCAACTCCTTCTGGAAAAATTGGCTTAGTTCCTCAAAACTATATTAAAATCATTGGAAAAGGACGAATCGAAGATGAAACTGAAGTTAAACCTCCAAGCGAAGAAAATTTGAATACAGCTTGGAAAGAAGATTGAAAATTGATTGACTCTTTTAAGACTGAAACTTAAGCAATTCTTTTCTTTTAAGTCATTTTACTATAAACAAAAAATCAAAAGAAAAAAGACAATTTGAGATAATACTGAACAAATTCCATTGTTTACAAACTTTATTATGATTACACATTTGTCTAAGAAAGTTTAAATTAACATTTAAGACCTAATATTATAATTTTTTAATAATGAACTGTCGTATGAGTTCCGCCTACGATGTGTATTCTCCATCTCACCTGGATAATATCTTGCATAGTATCCACTTTGATCACCACGACTAAATGAATATCTTCGGGATTTATTCTCCATTCCTTCTACATATCTGTTTGAAATGGCTATCATTAAGCAATTTATTAAGACAAAATCACTTGAAAAACTTACGTAGAATAATGGGCATAAACTATTAAATAATAGACGAATATAAATATTATATAGAAAATTGATGCAATAATATATAGAGCAGTTGTTAAGGGATTAAACTGAAAAATAAGCATAAACAAATTTATAAAGTTGATAAGAATGTATAAAGTAGACTATCTTTTACATCGTCGGTATGCCTTTTCCAATAATTTTTACAACTAAGAAATTTGCATATTGTTTCGTTTAATCGGCCTATAAAACAAATATTTAACCTAATTAAACAACTTGTCGTATACTTGTTAATTACCCCATAGATATCTTGCATCTGCTTCTTGGAGGGATGGTGGAACACATTTCGTTATCATTTTCTATATAAAAATTAATTAATGAAGTAGTTGGTAGTGGTGTTATCATTTTTGCACTTACATAACATTCTTGCTTTCTTTTGTTTAAATGTATTCTTGGACAATTACTCTCTTCCCATTGAATCACTCTATCGTAGTAGTCCATATGAACGTCACAACGAAAGTATGGACATAAATCAGATAAACATTTCAGATCCTAAAAAGAAAGAAATGTATAGTCATTTCGTAATAAAATAAACTTTCTAATTACGTTTCTAAGATGTCCAGGATGCTTTAAATCAAAATGATTTTCTAAAAATTCTTCAGAAACGAACGATTTTCCACAAAAATTACAAGTCCATTTACTTGCTGTTTCCTCTACTTTCCTCATTTCGTAGTTTTGATAAACCTCCGATCTTAAATCAAATGGGCAAGTTTCCGGAAATGATTTTTCACCGAATGTTGTTAACTCCGACTTTAAATGCTTTCAAAGAAATGCGTTTTTGAATTGAATATTGCTGTTATAAGCTTTCAAAAACGATTTTTTACTTACGTTTTTTACAAATTTTCGAACAAACTGAGATCCTACTTTTGAACAATTCGATCTATGATCATCTAATCCGATATTAATTTTATTATTATTGAAAAATGATAAGTAATTTGGAAAATAAAACACATACCTCCTAATATTTCACGAAAGAAGGATATACTAAAAATTGATAGTATAATTTGCTTTCTTAGCACACTATTCCTCATCGTAAAATCATTTATATAGGCTTTGAAATAATATAAACATAGTATTTAAGTAAGAATGATCAATCTCATTAATGTTAGGCAGACGATAGTATGAACATTTTGGAACCTATTGGAAACTGGTATAAGCGGAAGTAAGAAATAGGAAAAACATTTATTGTAAATGGATAATCTTTTAAAATAAAAACAACTGTCTTTTTCAATTAAATTACTAAACTATTAACAAATTTAATTTAATATGAGTTATAATTTATTATATTCCGTCAGCTCTGAAAGATTGTTAAATTTTATACTATCATTTAGAACGAATGATAATGGCGGGAATTTAAGTATCAAAATAAAGCGAATGTTTTTTTATTTCACTAAAAATTATGTAAATATTACTTTTATTACAATGAAATAGAAATCTAATTAGTCGAACAATTGTTGTATTATGTTTTAAATCTGGAAAAAGTTTACCTTCTTGACAAATAGAAGTTTTAACAGTTCATAAATTAAAATTCGTGGTATATATCCTTCTAATGTGTTATTATTTCTATACATCAACTATTTTTATAAACAAATAGGCCTATTCATGAAAATGTTTATAAAACAAAGAAAAAAAGCAAAAAAAATTTAATACTTTTTGAATTTTATGAGATAATTGGATGTTTGAAAGTAATTTTGAGTATATTATGCTCATGTTCGAACTGAACCAGATTGGCATATTTCAAGATGAAATTGTCTTTTCTTCAATATAAACCGCTTTATTTGCAATGATTTCCATTGGAGAAGTTAACAAACGTTCTGCAAAAAATAACATTGTTCTTAAACTTCCAGAAAGACTGACAAATCCGTCAAACAGAGAAAGATTGAAAAAGGAATTGTTAAGATGCCTCTATTATCGTTCATGGGGCTATATTTCAGAACCTCAGATTCCTATGTACACAGGCGTTTTTTCATTGGCGTTTTCGAGAAAAGGGTAAGAAGTAATTAAAGTACAATAACCGTTAATATTTAACAAATATGCAATCTTTTTTTAGAAATCCTTTGTTAATAGGCTTTGACCAAGGAGAGATAAGGGGTTTTGACGTAACCTCCAATAAACAAATATGGGATAATGTTGATATGCATAACTGTGGTGTTAACTGTTTGGAGTAAGCAAATATCTCTTTATTTAATTTATTAAAGAAAAAATCATTAAAACACTTTCAATTTTTTATAGATTCATAAATGATTATCAGTTCGTAAGTGGATCCGATGATACTGTTGTTAAACTTTGGGATTTACGTAAATTGGATTATTCTATACAGAATCTTTACGATATGGATGAATGGGTTCAGGATGTTAGCTTTTCTTTCGGTCAAAAACTTCTAATAACGAATGGAATTGGAAGTGGATTCTTTGTTTACCAATTAGTGGATGGTAGATTTGAATTGGTGGCTGTTTGTAAAAATGATAAACCTATTTATAGAGCAAAGTTAATTGACTCAAACGATGGTATGATGGTTTATAGTAATTGGGGAGACTCCAAAGCCTATATAGTGCACAATTTTTATCGTCTTATTCGTGAAAGATCGAATCATACTCCTCCTTCAGAACTGCATTTAAAAGAAGAGATTTCTTGTAAATTGGAAGGTTTAGCAGATTGTATTATAAGTTCTATTGCCGTTCATCCGTTTGAAAGACGTTTTGCTATGAGAGGTACAACAGCAGGACGAAAAAAACGACATATGAAATCCTATACATTTATTTTTGATGCTAATCGGGTATCAGAATCTTGTGAACCAACTTGTACTCATCAAGAATCGTCTAAAACTCGTAATTTTACAAAAGAAATGAGTTTTTCATTCGACGGCTATGCTTTATCGTCACCGAATCGTAGTTCAGTTAGACTGCTGGGTCTAATTAATAATCCGATGTCTAAGAATCGTCTGCAAGTGCTAAATGAAGTAAAAGGTTCTAATTCAGCCGATTCAGCAATTGTTACCCGTTTTTCGCCAGTTGAACCACTATTGGCAGTTGGGTGGTTAAGTGGTTCCATTAAATTGTTTAAACCATCATAGACTTCAGGAAAAGTTTCAAAGATAGCTTCCGTGAAGTGTTTTTAATGATTTTTTTTATATTACGCTCTACTTTTATATGCTCAATGTATTTTTATTTATTATTTTAAATTAAAATCGCAATAAATTAACTTGAGAAAAATAATGATCAGTTTTTAGCCTTTGATGACGGCAACAGGTCGCAGCTTGAAACATTTCTGACTTATTCCGGCAATATGACCTGTTTTGAGAAAGACCTTCGTTAATAGAGATTATTTAAATTTAAACAATACACTTACAAGTATCAACAACATCTGTAACATTTTTGTACGATTCCGGTGCTTCTTCCATAACCAGTTTTGGTGATGCCACCCTAATAGATATTCCTTGCTTATCTAACGCTTTCAGGACATCTACGTAATCTAAATTTCGCCTAGACTTTGCCCTGGATAGTGCACGTCCAGCTCCATGGCAAGTCGAACCAAATGTCTGTTGCATACCAATTTCAGTGCCTGTCAAGACATAACTACAGGTACCCATAGTGCCACCAATAAGTACTGGCTGACCAGTTAGTTGATAATCAACGGGTATTAAAGGATGGTGAGGAGGAAAAGCTCTAGTTGAACCTTTTCTATGAACAAGTAGAGTTTTTTCTTTACCTTGGACGAAATGTTGTTCAACCTTAGCAATATTATGGCTAACATCATATATCATATGCATGTCTAAATCATCTGGGGTAGAGTTAAACATTTTTGCAAAACTTTGTCGACAGAGAAAAGTCATCGAAGATCGATTGACCCATGCATAGTTAGCAGCGGCAGCCATACCTTTTAAGTAATCTTGACCTTCCTTTGAGTGAATTTGAGCACATGCTAACTGCCGATCATTTACCTAAAATAATATTAAAGATAATTTGAATTGTGTTGATAAAAAAGTCATATAGTATTTGATGGCTACCTCAATTTTATCTCTTTTCATTGCTTTTTCCATGGACACAAGTGCATCTGTAGCCACTTGGTGACCTAATCCTCGTGATCCACAATGGATCATGACACAGACTTGTCCCTCGAATTCTATACCCATTCTCTTGGCGTTATGTTCATTGAAAATTTCTTCAACAACTTGAATTTCAGCATAATGATTACCAGCACCTAAAGTACCAAGTTGAGGTAGACCGCGTTTCTTTGCTCTGGCCGAGACACAGTTAGGATCGGCTTGTAGCATACGACCATATTCTTCGCAATGTTCTTTATCTTCAGCCCAAATGTAACCTTCTCTTAACGACCAATCCATTCCCATTTCAAGAGCTTCTTCCAGATCTTTAGCTCCCATTGGTATAATTCCCTTAGAGCCAACTCCAACAGGAATATGATCAAACATAGATTGAGCTAATTGTTCCTTAACCGGCTGAACATCTTTTTCAGATAAATTTGTTCTGAGTAGCCTCACACCACAATTAATATCAAAACCAACACCCCCGGGAGATACTATTGCATTTGGATCATCCATGTCAAAAGCAGCCATGTTTCCAATTGCAAAACCATAACCCGAATGAATATCCGGTAAACCTATTGAATTCTATATAAAGAAAATATTATTAGCTTCATGCTGGAACTCAATGGAAGAGAAAATTATTTACCCCGACAATTCCTGGTAGGGCAGCAACATTTGCTATTTGTTTTACTCCTGGAAGAAATCCACCAAAGCCTCCCGGTCTGCATGCATGCTGAAGCTCTTCAAACATCAACTTCTCCAAATGATCATTTACGTAGAAGACTCCTTCCACTTTCATATTTGGTACAAAACCTTTCTTGATTCTCCATGATGTTGGAGTAATTCTTTCAAGATACTCCAGTTCCTCACTGTAGCTTCTAACCATTTTCTTAAAGAGTGATAATTAGATTTAATCACAGATAATAGTCATTCAATTTAAAACATATATCATTTGAGAAATATTTCCCAAATAATTTACTTTAATATTGTAACTTTATTTAAAAAGTAGACTTTTTAACCTACCCAGTATTGTTATCACAAATTTTACCGGAAGGAGTCGCAATGTGGAGAGGCAAAACAGTTTCTCTGAAGACTATCAGTTTTCGGAAAAGTATCCAATCAGCTGTGAAGGAGTAGCACTTCCGGTGTGGATGTAAACAAAACGTAGCCAATTCTAAAAAAATTGGAGTTTGACATATAAATTTGGAAACATCAATCTACCCACCGATCAGTTGGATTACCGTCGTTGATTTTTAATATTTTACATAGATGTAAATTATTATAAAATGTATTTATTAACACGTATTATATATTTTTAAAATTTCTTTCAGCGTATCCTGCAGAAATCGAAGGAAATGCAACTGAATCACTCCTTATATATTTTACTTCTTTTACCTATGTTAATATTAGCTAGGGACTATTATGATATACTTGGTGTGGATAAAACAGCCAGTAAAAGAGATATTAAGAAAGCATTTAGAAAGCTAGCTCAGAAATATCATCCTGATAAAAATAGAGATTTAACGAAGGAAGAAGCAGAAAAGAAATTTGTAGAAATAGCAAAAGCATATGAGATTTTATCTGATGCAGAAAAAAGAGCAAAATATGATAAATTCGGTGAAGCCGCTTTTGAACAAGGTGATGGAGGGAGCAGTCACGATTTTAATTTTGCCGACTATTCCAAAAGTAATATTCTTTTTTCTTATTTACTTAAATTTTTATATTTAATTAATTTTTTTAATACAATCGGCTTATATTTAATATTCCATAAATGTAGGCTAAATTTAATTGAAACTTTATTTGCCTTTTGACGATTTTATAGATGGAATTATTTCACATCTGTTACTTTTTTTACAGTTTTTGAGGAAATGTTTGGCGGTTCCCACTTTAAACAAGGAGGTGGCGGATCATTCTTCAATTTTGATGATCATTTTAGTGACTGGGGTGAAGACGATTTTGACAATGGAGACTCTTTCTTTCAGCATTTCAGCCACGGACATGACAATGTTGGAGGTGATGTTGGTGGTGGAAATGGTATGTTCGATGATTTTGTTAACATGGATTTTGGAGGTTTTAATGAAGTTCATCAAGGAGGTGGAGGTGGTGGAAAGCAAAGGTGTAAAACAATTACCAAAAGACAAGGAAATATGGTTAGCACCCAGACAATTTGCTCATGAAAAATGAATTGTTAAAACTTTATCTCGAAATTGAATTGTACAGAAATTTTAAAAAGTTTGAATCTTTTAAGAAATTGCTTATATTGGTAATAATAAATAAATTCAGTCTTTTCTCTTTAGGTATAGTTTACTTTTGATAATTCGTGAAAAAAATGTAAGAAGCCAAAAAAAACTTTGAAATTAATCAAGCTTTAGCATGTTTTTCATTGTTATTTTGAGAAATTGGTTGTTTTTTTTCAACTGTTCTTAATTCTCTTGTCCTAACTAGAGCGTAGCAAACTGAAGCTGACGCAACAATAAGGACGGATAACCACCAGAGAATAGGCCTAGACTCTTTTTCTATTCTTGAACCAATGAATGTTTGAACGACTGATTTCGCGGAAGCCGAAACATGATGAGTAATTGGAGATGTATAGGCTATTTGGAGGGCAGAGATCCAAGACATCGCAGCAGCCATTAATCCAGTTAAAACAAGAAGCATAACATTGAAATTGTCAAATAATCTCTCGACTTGCCATTGGCCAGTAAATAAGACAAGAGGAAAGAGGAGAATTGCAGCGTTAGTATTCAGTACAAAAGCTAATTTGACGGCATTTCCATCTAAAGCATGCATAGCTTTAGATGTTAGTACTCCGTTAAGAGCAACAACAAGTGAAGTAACTATCCCATAAATAACTCCTGATAAATTTAATGAACCAGCTGCTCTTTCTTGATCAACACCTAAGGCAAATCCTGTTGATAGAGCAATACAACAGGTTAAAGCTGAACACGAGATACTTTTCTTCAGTATAATTGCAGATAGCGATACCACAAAAAGCAACGTTAGAGATCTAGCAATTTGATAGAAGACAACCCCAACTAACTTGAGACAAAAGTTATTGAGGGTTAACATGAGAATATGGCTAAACGATTGTAAAACAACATACTTGTTTGAAAAATCTTTTGTGTTGAAGTCACCCCTAAGTAGGATAACAATACAAGTGCTAAGAGACCCAAGTGCACTTTGAGCCCATGCACAAAAAACAGATATATCTTCCGATTTCTTGGGTCCCAACAATTTACTGTTAGCAATAACTAAACCAATTGATATAACCCAATAAGTAGCTACAATTGCCAGAACAACAAAAAATCTTCGCAAATCCATTATTACCACTTAAGTCATATTTTTGTTAATACTTCTAACATAAATTACATACTGTTCTACTGCTTAACTTTGCTTTTAATCAATTATAAACTGAAAGATTATTGATTCGTGTCGTCTGCTTTACTGCACGATTTAAAAAAAAACATCCGGAGCCACGTATGAGCATTAAAAGAACGTTTATGATTCGATATCGATTTTGGCCAATCAAGAGTGTTCTTTTTTTTTCTAAAGTTTAATATTAGACGAAGTCTAAGTCTTCAATATCGAATACTTGCATCAGACAAATCGAATATATTCGATATATTAAAAATAGAAGAGTATAATTAGTAGATGCTAGTCACATTAAAACAAAATAAAAGAAAAAAAAAACACAACATTCATTTTAAATTCTCCTCTTTTTTCAATATTAGCCTAATCGATACTTGCAAAAATTTTGATTTTCAATGAAAATTAATATTCTTCTAAAACAGAGGAGATAAAAAACTGCTGTTACAAGGTTCAGTAAATATTTTTTCAACACTTACATGAATATGCGTATACTTAGAAATGTATAATATATATATATACAGTATATATATATATATATATATATATATTGTGAAATATGTAAATTCCATTAAGAACATTCATTATTCTGATACACAAACTTTTTTCATTTGTTTTCGATTAAGACGGACGGATGAAGATGATACAGTAAAGGAACAATACAATCTGGATGATTAGTAACATTTAAAAGATAATTAAAAACAATACTTAAATACGGAAAGTGCTTCAGAGTTTTTATAATTTTTTCTTATCTTTTAGCATTTAAAAAGATGCTGGGACGGAATTTTATAAAGAAAAAGAAAAAAATATTGTGAAATATCATACGTGCAAGACACAAACTAATTGTTCTTTTACAAACGTGTTAATGTGCTTTATATTACTGAATTTTATAGAATGAAGAGAGTTAAATATTTTATTTCTATTAATGATTCTTCCCATAAAGCATATTAAGAACGTTGTAAGAGTATGGCTTTACTGTTTTTTTCTTGATAAATAATATAATCCCTAAATGTTGTAAAGGTCGGCTTAGAAAGGAAGCTGTTACACGTAGTAAATGCGTACTTTGGATGTGGAAACGAGCATGTCATGATCGTAAAATTTTGTCTCAATCAGGACGTTACCACTAAGAACTTTGGCAGGCATCATTTGATCTTGGGGAGCTGCCTCGATTATCGATTGCCAGGTGTTTGTTGATCCAGGTATTACGAAGCCAAAATCGAAGAACCATTCTAAAAAGAATTATAATTAATTATTTGATTAATTAATTACTCAATCTTTGTCATTTGTAAAAGAATGTAACGGAACAGAAAAAGAAAACAAACCCTCTAGGCAACTTCCTTTAAAAATTACCCTCTGTTCTAATCGAAACTGTTCCATTTGTTCCTTCGATGAGAAATTTATTTCGCGTGCTACTGACTTGCATTTCAAGATTTTCTTCGGAACTCGTGCTAAATAAAGATATTTTCTGATTAGTTTCTCTCTTTTTTTGTTTAAGTAGAGGAAGAGATAGAAAAAAAAGGATATAAAATAATAATAATTATAATATTAACCTTCATGTTCTTTATCGGGTGAGGATCTTTAGATGTGGGATAAAAAAAAGAGATTAAATAATCACATAAATCCTTTATACCATTTATATGGCAAAAAATATAACATGGCAGACGTCATTAGAGTGACTTAGAATTTGCTATTGACCAAAATAGCGATAGACTAAACATTTAAATGTTGATAGTGGATACAAGATTAAACTTACAGATCATCGCTGCCTTGCCATAAAATTTTCCCCGATTCAGCGTCTCTCAAATTCATCCAATTCCTATAAAATTATAGCTAAGGAAGAAACTTAATGATTGATACTGAAAATACGAATTAATTTGGAGCACTCATGATAAGGATACAATTTAAAGCCATTTAAAATAGATTCGGCGGAAACCGGCATTGTTTTGCAGATGATCTGTAGTGTAATTTAGAGTTGTCAAAACGTGGAAGAGAAATTTGTGAGAGAATATTAATCCAAACGCAAATTTTTCTTGCGTACGTACGGACTTGTTAAAAAATAGAAGCAATCGAACCGTTCAAAGGAATCCTTTGCTGGAGTGTCTAAATGGAGGAGAGAATGGAAATTATGAAAATTTACTATATGTATCTTATGACATTTTGAATGATTATCTAATATTTCAACTTATTAGAAAATTTTATTATTGTTTTTTTTAGCTAAACATGTGACTTCTGTAAGAATATAGTATTAACGTTGAAGATATTCTATTCGTTCTCTGGAAGATAATATATTTTTGGACAATTTATGCAAATTTATCACTAAATAAATAATTACAAAGGCATCCTATTATGACTTGAAAACTTAAATATTGCTAGACTACTTTTGCTTTTAGTTTTAATAAATATAAGTTTTCAATAGCTTTAAGCTCTGTTCCAAACCAGGAAGACACAAGCGGCATTAAGTACTACCGTTTTAGGCTCAATTCTGGGCATGCGCACTACAGTTTTCCTGTAGCAAATGAGGTGAAGGTTGACCTACTGTCCGCATGACTTCAAAGATAGTGTTGTCGTATAATAGAGCCATCGGCTACCAAATTAAAAATATCGATTTGCAATCGGTTAAAAAGATCATTTGCAAATTCAACCCTTTTCGAGAAGATGTACAATCTGCCAGGTACAAAACACTAATCTTTTGAAATGAACTTTTCTTGAGCGATATTTCAACTTGTTTATAATATTTCAGAGAAGTTGCACACTTTATGTCATTTAAAAATATCAAGAAAACAAATCCGACATGCTCTCTGAAAGTAAACGTACAATCAGATAACTCTATACCGGAGATTGACGTTAAATTTAGTAAGGATAATCCTTAAATACTTCTTTTAATACTTTTAATCACTCAATGACAAATATAGATGATGGCCATAGAGCTCTATTTAAAACATCCAACTTGACAAGTTTAGAAGTTTTACAAGAATTTAATAAACTTTGCAAAGAAAGAAACGAACTAAAAAAGTGATAGATTTCTCATAAAAGTATTATTTTTTTGCAAACATTTTCTGCACGTGGAGAAGCATTCGTTTACGTTGTATTACTTTTAATTATGTGTAATTAATTGTTATTCATAATATTCAAATTATTTTAAAGTTTGTGTCCATGTAAAAAAATCATGTAAAAAATGTCATTGCTGTTACACTTAAATTATCCTCAAGAATACCAAGTTAATAGAAGTTGAACATAAAATAACAAGAATAATAATCTAAAAGAAAAAGAATGTTCTGTCAACAGAAAGCCATTTCTATAAAATAAATTAATTATATTAATGATCTTTAACTTAATGACAAATTAATGAGGAGCTGGCATAATTGGCTTCATTTTCTCAAAATTTAGCTCCTTCACACCATGTCGCATAATTATTAATTCTTTTTCTTTTATGCAGCGATTTATCAGTTCTTCAATAGTTAGACAAGTCTATATTCAATAATGGAATATTAGTATTATAAATGAAACTAGAAAAATGGTGTCTGCATAGATACTAACAATTTCTGTATCTTTCTTTTCGCCAATTGCAAATCTCTTATTTTCTGTTATACGAATTCGTATATTGAAAATTTCGTCGTTAAACATAATCATTAATGTAAGTGGATGATCTTTACAGCGTCCAGGTCTGTCTTGAGATTGTCTCACAAGAAATGTTCCATCCTATACTCGTGAAAGAAAACGTTACCTAGAAATGTTATGTAGTATCTCTAATTGAACCTACTTTATTGATTTTTTTTAGACGCCTTTCCCCTTCCTTTCTATTTATACAACCATGATACCATTGAAACTTTGATACAATAATACCGAGAAAATTAAATTGTCTTTGGCAGTACAAATTTAACTTACTTCCTCTAAAGACTCGCATTCGAAAACATTATTTATCTGTTCGTCCGAATATTTAGATGTACTTTTTGAAAAATCTGAATTATGCGATTCAAATTCTATATCATCTGCTATTCGATAATTGGAATCTTCGCTTCCGCTCTGCCTAACTATAGTCTCCCTGTTAGTCATTGGAAAGCTTAAAAATCTTTTCCTCATTTGATTTAACTTTAAGGAAGTAGATTTTTTTAACTGTGTCCACCTTTTCCTGAGCCATTCATCTCTCCGATCAATTATAGGCTTATTTTTTCATTTATAACAATTAAACTTTGCTTTTGATAAAAAAAGAACTTACCTCTCGCCTAAGGGTTGTAAAAATTTCTTCATAGATGGAATCCTATTTTGAGGAGGTAAAAAGGAAATATTTATGCTGTCAGCACTTAATAACAGAAACATATAAGTAAACATAGTATTTTAGTATTTATAAATAGAATAAATAGTAAGGATACTTCTCTATTTAATAACAGTTCGTATTCTAAAGGAAAAATGCCAAATAAAAAGATTTTATTATCGTTAAAGTAATATTTAATTAGAAAGGAAAGTATAAACTGTTAATACCGCATGAATCATGATCAGAGTTTGGCTTTTCATCACTAACTAGGTCAGGACTATGGCTATTTTTAAACATATAAAATATGATTAGCTAGAAAATATATCGTTTGTTATGGTCAATCATAATAACAAAATCTTACTTTGAAGCCATAGGTCTTTCTTAGATATACAGCAAAAGCTTTCAGCATTCCAGGGCTTAATTTCTACATTATGAAATTGCATGATTAGCTATATATGTACATAACTGTTTATACTGTAAATACAATATATATATATATATATAACACTATATTTATAGATAGTCAACTATTTATATATGGCCTCTAAATAAACTAACATTTTTCTCTATTTGATCACGTAAATGTAGTTTCGGCTCATCATAATTTGAATGCATATCCCTGATAAAGAATACTATCATATACAAAGCAATTATGGTTCATCTCTACAAAATATAAAGAATTTCATAAATATACCAAGTGGTTTTCCTTGGCTTTTATTAATTGTAAATAGAGAAGGAAAATGATAGGAGATCATTTTATCAGTGAACAATCTGTCAGAAAAGGATACGTAATTTTTTCAATTTGTCTTTACTCCCAAGTTAAAGCTTTTAGCGTAACGATGAACTCTATTAACTCTGATCTATAAAATGCTTTCATAGAAGTACAAATTAGAACTTTTCACTTTTTCTCAACTATTTCTTTATTAGATAAATTTCATAGGAATAGATCAATTTTTCTACCCAGTTTTCACTTATCATCTATAAGTTTATAACTTTTGTGTTTTACAATTATAGCCTTTTTAACTAGAATACAATAATCAAAACTAATGGCGAACTTCTTCATTAATTCCATTACCAATATGAAAATAACGAGCGAAAAGTCCTTGAAATGTCTGCTATTCATTAATGCTGTAGTCGAATAGAGAAATAACATATAAAAGAGTATTTTTTCTTTATATTTCATTTTGAATAGTTTTGAATTTTGAGAGAAAATAAACATATAATCACAGATTTAAACTCTATAATCATGGACATTGACAATATTATTCTTTAAAGTAATGAGATATTTGAGGTATTAATATCCAACATTTCTGTAGAGAAGGGAGTTTTCCATTTCTAAATGTTGTAAATAATGATATGAATGAGAGATATGGTAATTTTGTCAAAGTTGTTTTTGTAAAGAAAAGCTAGGTCTCATTAAAACTATAAGATAAAGCTAAAGGTGAATATTAAATTATTTCAAACCTTTGTTTTAACCTGCTGACAAACTTTTTTATGTTATATATTTATAGTAAATTAATATAAAAGTTATTGTATACATTGAGAAATGGACTATCTCAGCAGGACAAAGGCTTCTATTCTTTAATTACAAACTTTATATTTGAGTAAAAAAACTCTCTATTCATTTTTCTATTCGAATTGTTAATTTAGTTGTTATTACAATAATTAGTTTTATTATTTCTACTATAATTCAAAGTGTAACACATATAATTATAAAATCTGAATAAATCAGCATGAATTATTTACTATTAGATTATTTACAAATGTTCAAAAGAGAAACATATAAGAAAAAAGAGAGAAATTCTTTATTAATAGCCATATTTATTGTTGTTTGTTAATAATCATACCACGCTTTTCTTTTCTCTCTCAAATACCATAATTTTAATAATAACCTTAACAATTTGAACGCAACTGTGGGAGGGAATAACATACTTTTGTATTTCTATACTAAACGAAACGTAATATCTAGAATCTTCTTTTTATTATTTTCTTCAGAAGGTTGACGTACAATCTTCGATAACTTTTATTCAATGCCGCATAGATAAGAATATTTACTGCTGAGTTTGTCAATATTATATCTCTAATTGCTCTGTAAAGAATTGTTTTAAATGTAATATTAATAAAACTAATGTTAAAAAAAAAGAAACAATGAAAGATAATCAAATTAACCTTCTCATTGCTATAGTTGATGGTCTGAATATTCTAGATGCGAAATCAATCAAGACTGGAATATTTAGACATATGTAAACAACCCAAACAGCAAAATATGGCATAATATTAACAGATTTTACTCTATGACTTTGTGCTGCTGAAAAGTTTATCTCTATAAAAAAACAAAAAGAAATATTATTTCTAAAGCTTCTTTTGTATTATTATATCATACCTGACGTATTTGAAGGGGCCGAAAAATGATTAATATTCGAAACTCTCTTTTTGGATGCACGAATTGACAAGAATATCTTTAAATATAGTGCTGCTATTAAAGGTATTGTTATAATCAGTAAAATTATAGCTGGTGCTCTAACTATATTTTTATCTTTCTTAGAAATATTAAATGCACATGTTAATCCTGGTATTCTTTTATAGAAACTTTTCATTAGAAACGGCCAGCAAAACAGACAAACTGAGATAATCCATCCCAAAACGCACCACGCAATCGAAAATCTTGGAGAGAATAGTTTATGATACAAATTCTTTGACTTCAAAATATATGTATAACGATTTATAACGATTAAAGCCAAGCTTAAGTGAGATTGATACGTTGCTGCATTATGAAATGGAGAAAATGTATTACATACGATTTCTGACCAAAGTGATTCCCCTTTGTAATATTCCATTAAAATCCAAACATGTATGGGAAAAATGCAAGCAAAAGTATCAGATAAAGCCAAATTGAATACAAAAATATGTGTTGGCTGCGCTATTTTTCTGCTCCAGACGAGCATAATTATAGTAAAGATATTTCCAATAGCTCCAAATATAAGAATAGCAATTAATTCGTACGTAAAGAAGATAAAATTCGAGTAATCCGAGAAAATCATATTTAATTTTAGTTTAATTAAGTTTAAGAGAAGGAAAGGATAAAATTTTTCTCTAATTACTCTTACATCTCTCGCATAAAGTTTCTAAATGCGTTTGCTTTCGTTTTGTATCAGTCCTCATCTAGGTTTCGCTTACCACATATTGTTTTTTAAGGAGTAGAATTACGAGACGCTATTACTTAGGGGAAAAACACAACTCTTCTTAACATATAATACTTTTGAAATATATAGCTAAATAGCATAAAAACTTATTATTAAAAGTGATAGTCACGGACGGCTATTTTATAATTCCCTCATACTATAGAAGTAATGAGAATATTTCTTTGTCATTAAACAGATAATTGAATTTCATAAGTAAAGTTATCGTATTATAAGTATTATTTTTTCTTTATTTATTATACGTTTATTAATTTAAGTATTGTATTTGTATTTACAACGAATCCCATTAGTAGTTTTTGCGGGAATCAACGTAAACTAATAGTCAATATTCATTACAACGTCATTCAAAACAATTTATATTGGCAGCTATATTCGACAAAAATTGTCCTTTAAGAGTGTTGGAAAACAACTCGTTTTACTTTGTAGCATACTCATAATACGACGACTGTTTGGAATATTGTGTAAACAAGTTTTTAAGTTGACAAAGTCTTCTAGACTCTCATTGAAATAATTGCATAATGTCTCTTTTGAGGCATTCTCTCCATGCTGTCTCTAATTTGTATTGAAGAATTTTAAATAGATAGTAGAGGAAGAAGTAATCCTAAAGCTTTACGTGAGTCAATTCAAAAGCAGCTCAATAGTTGTGATCAATTTTATATATCTTCTTTCTTCATTAACATGACAAGTAGCTTGCATTAATCGTATAACATAGAATGCTAAAGCTTTCGAATGATTATTACACTACTAGATGTTAAATTGTAAGGAATTAATTTACTATGTCAAACAATAACAGGTTTGAGCATAAATATTTTTGATTACATTTTTCATAAGCTAGTTCTTTATGTCAAAATAGAAAAAGTCAATTTCTGTGTTCAATAATTTAAAAGAAACATGTTCAATTCGAAAAAAGTGTATAGAGAGTTACTTTTGTACATAATTCGCTTCATCTTAACATTCGTATCAAACACCTCACAAAACTTACTTATATATTATAAAATTTATAGCATTTCATTATGTAACTTTTGGTAATAAATAATAAAAAAAGAGAGAAAAAAAGAGAGAAACAAAAACAAAGGGTTCAGTGTAAGTTTAGTTTCTTTTTTATTTATCATCATTTTCAATGTTGACTAGCACTGTCACTTGTTTCTGATTGGAAAAGTTCGTTCAAAATCTTCGTAAATTTCATTCTTTCTATGAATTGTAGACGAAAATCTTCTTTTAAAACGGTATAATAACATTCGGCAGCTTTTGTGAACATTCTGAATATTTCGTAAAGAACTTCTCCGTTTACTTCTTTAAAGCTGTTAAAAAGTATTTTGGGTCATTAAACAAACTGAAAATGTCAAAACACCCCGTAAGTATCTTTTTATTAAATAAAGTTTTCTTAATAGATTAGTTATTAGCTTCATTATTTCTTATTTGTCTTTCAGTTATTACTGATCTGCAAGTCGGTGGCGCCACCTAACGCCTAAAAGTCTATTTACTGGGTTGTTTTTGGATATTATAGTTTTAATCCTACCGTTTACAGTATATATTATATTAAACTAGGAAGAAATTGAGTGTTAAACTAATTCTTTGCAAATATGGGAGCACTTAATGGTAAGCAGGAGGAAGTGATATGAAATTTATCTATAGCCAATTATTTTTAGACCTATTTCGCCTGGTTGGTTAATCAAGAGGGTAGCCTTTACAAATTCTAAATAAAAGAAGCTTTTAGGCAGAAAAAACGGTCTCAAGCAGGGCTGATTGATCAAGAGATGAGAGCTTATTCAAAAATCATACATTGCTTATTTGATAATTGAGATCAACTAGGGAAGCCGAAACTTTAGGGACTTCTTTTCTTCACGCTTTAATAGTTATTAAAGCAGCATAATACCTCCTTGAATAAATTCTTTCAAAAAAAAAAAAAATCTGCTTAATAATCTCACCAATCGGCAGTCCCATTCAAGTTATTCTCCTTTAGCCAACTTTTCACTCGTTCAACATCCCAGCCAGATATAGATTTTAAATTATCTTTTCTTTTTATAATAGTTTTTGCTCTTTCTTCTTCTGTGCCTACAAAAAAAATTTGCAACATTTTATTAATTGAATATCGTTAGTTTCATAGTCGAATTGGTCATAAATTACCAGTAATACTTTCTCCTCTATGAATTTTTATTCCACCCAGTTGCAATAAAATAGCTCCAACGGTAATATTAATATTGTCTGCATGAAAGAAATCTAGCACCGCGCTCTCACCGATTATAACGGAAAGCCATCCTTCTAATTGCATTGATCGGTCGGCTCGGACAAATATGATTTGTTTCTTTAATATTGTAGCATATTCAATTTCTGTTTTGAATTAAAGTTTCAATTATTCATTTAATTTGATTTAATAGAATGTTCAAAAAAATATTATCTTACCCATTCTCGAACTGGGACTTTCAAGAAAAGATTGACATATACAGGCGATGACCACGCGACTAGTTCTTATCTTAGAAGATTTTGATAAACGGCTTCTCTCTGGTAAACATTAATTAAATTAATTAATTCAATAATTAAAGTATTTCAAAATAAAAAATATTTTACCTCTGTCATCTTCATCTGGGCAAGAAACGACAAGACCTTCTTCGATTAAACTCTCTCTAAGCAGTTTAGCCAAATCATTCGATTCAGAATGACGTAAGATAATTATTTTATTATCGCCATTTTTTAGTTGATCTAGATTTAATAACTTATTAAAATAACTAATGATTGAATAATTGAATTGATAAGGAATCACCTGCACTGGCTGCTACTCTCTCACTTCCCAATTTATTAAATATTTGACATAAAACACCGGCAGCACCTTCCTTAATTTGTTCTCTTTTAGAGTGCGCTTCCAACTTACCAATACCTAAAAATATAGAGACATAATAGTTAGTTTTTTAACTAGGTGTAAAAAAAAAAAACTACGCTCATCACCTTCCATACAACGATCATGATGCCTTAATACATCTCTTACTGGTGGGAAGAAAGCTAGCAACCAAAGTCCTTGTAAACAACCGTGTTGTTCTTCAGCAGAACCCTAAAATTTAAAATAAAACCGTTGTCAGAAATAAAACTTTTATATGACTGTGGGAAATCGTCAGTCTTCTATTTTCAAGTTAAGTATTTATGTAGATATATTAGATTATAAACCTCCCACAAATAGCTAAAATATATCTGATGTCAACGAGATATCATCGGCTAAATTTTATCAATAAGATCAAAAAGCTTACCGTATAGAGGAAATTAGCATAGAGGTTTAGTAAACCTCTTCTCACAAGATATTGCTTATTACCGTCATAGATGGCGTAACGGTTGAGTCCTGTAGAACAATAAGGAAAGTACACATATAGAAGGGCAATCTGTCATTGAATTAAGATTGACATTGGGATTGTGTATTACGTAATCGTAACCACTTTACGCAATTTCTCGATTAGGTTTCTTATTAGTGAAATAGAATTTTATAGCGAAAAATTAATAAATTCTACATGTTCTTATAAGAGGGTATTATATTATTTATAGAAATATCCCAAGTTTATTTTTATCAACAGGTGTCGCTTTAAAAAGAGGACTGAGAAGCTCGAGAAAATATTCAAGATATTTTTTTTAATAGGCATATGATAATTATTCCGTCATTGTTCATTCAATGGTTCGGTAAACAAAGGAAATTTGTCATACATTCTCTTGCTCAATCGACAAATTATGCAAATTTACTTTTAACGAGATTAAATGCAGATGGTGACGCTTGCCCCATTAATAAAAACAAGAAATAAAGAACGAAGGAAGCGTTCATTCAAAAGCGTTTCCGTTCATGCATTTAAAAAAATAGAGAGCAATAAAGGAATAGTGCTTAAATCAATAAAAAGGATATATTTCCAGAATATTTTCTGGAAAAGATCCACTAAAAGGTGTTAGCTATCAAGTTAAAGGTTTGTTATACACATTAACGGCTCATACTTCACGAGTTTCAACATTCTTTTTATATTAAAATGCATAGCCGTTCAATCGCCACCCTAAAGAAATCGTTTCATCAAACAATACCGCAGAATTTATTACGGATATTGAGTACTTGTAAACATAAAATTGTTTATCCCCCAAATTGCAGTTTTATGTCAGCTAAATAAAGCATCAATAGCCTATGTTTTTTCTCCTATATAAAATAGCTAAATAGACTGTTAAATATGTGAATAGACGTATAATTAATTAACTTATTATTAATTTGATTGAAAGGACGGGTGTATGAAAAACTACCTTCTAAGGTAAATTGTTTTGACGTGCAACAGATTTTGTAGAGTTATTACTTTCTCGTAGACAGCTGCCCTTTTGTGTTGTTTATTCCACCTAAACACACTCAACTGTTCATTTATTCGATATAAACTGTTTGATTCACCATTTGAAAATAAAGAAGAGAAATTTATACGAATAAATAACTAAGGAAATAAGAGAAATGCTAAAGCGAATCAATTGGACTTGGTTTGTCAATTTTTTTTCTTAACTACATGGACTTTGAGATAAGGAGAAGATTTATAGTTGTTAGCTCTATTGGACAATACAATTCTCTCTTTCTCTTCTAGTTTTCTCCCAGAGCAGGCTTATCTAACGACAGACAAACTTGTTAGTTTTTTAGGGGGTGGTTTGTTATTGCCAGGATGGAAACAGCTGTAAAGCTAGTATTATTTACACTATACGCACTCGACCTTTCATTCGTCAAGATTACACTAACGACATAAACGTCACTTTATTTCTCAAAAACAAAAGGAAATGTCTAAACTAGAGCGATTCCCTTCCAAACACTTAATATAAGTGAATCACGTTAGTTGAGGTTTGTTTATCCAGTTGACTATAGTAATCAATTTTCGGCAAACCGACCACTAGAAATACGGAGAAGGAATGCCTTCCAGTTGAGCCTTGAGATTTCTAATAGAGGAAGGAGGCGTTCACCAACAGTTGCTTCTTAATCAATCATAAACATAGCACATATAAACCACAAAATTTTATACAATAGACTATATTTACATATCTCTATATTGACATCTTGCATAAGCATCCTACTCTAGGCTGAAAAAATTCGAAATTCAACACACCGGTGCTAAATCGTTTCAAAAATGCCTTTGGCGTGTGTCATTTAAGTCAAATACAAATAGACAATGGAGAAAGAATATTTTGCCGGGAATGTACAGGCGCCAAACTTTCCTTGGTTAAACATTCTATGTTGGCCGTATAATTAATGGCGAGTAAACAGGGAATTATAGGAATATGGGGCGTGACTAACTTCATATTTATATAACCTATTTTTTAATCAATATAATATTCATTAGGTAACGACTCCCATTAATTATCGCGTTACTGACTTGGTGAAGACAGGCGATTTAATTGGCAAGGGAATTTGCCAGCTGTCGAGGTCAAATATAGGCGATAAAATCAATGTAGAACATTTGTTAGCTTGTTTATTGTTTACTTTATTGTCTTATAGTAACCTTAGGCAATAAACGCTGAGGCGTTCAATTGAAATAATAAAAAGTATTATAATTTGTTAAAAAAAACTTATTGAGCAATCGGCGTTTTTATTGTTAGTTTTTCCAACTAAAAATAGTTGATTTTTTAATAAAAATTCTTGAATAGAAAGGAATCGACTGATAGATTAAATACCGACAAGATAAAAAGAGGAGAAGGAATAAAAATAAAGTAATGAATTGGAAAGGAGTAAGGATAGGAGCGAATTGAGAAAATCTCTCTATCCGTTTGTGTGTTTTGGCTCATTGTCAAAATTTTAACATAGCGGATTGCATGAATTCCATCTTCTTTTTCAGTTTTAGGAGGATAACGGAATGTTAGCTATATATAATATTTTTTTACTTAGTACTACAACTAATAAATAAACTTAAGATAAATAAAATTATTCCCGTTACGTATGTTATGAAAATAAAGAAAATGAACTTACCGGATATGACGTCTATAGCCCAAATACCTAATTTCCTTGAAAAATGTGAATCACTCTCTAAACAAACTTGCAAAACTCTCGCAAGAAAGCCCAAATTTTTATCCGTGCAATTTACAATATCATTTTCATTCTCCGATATTACGTAACTAATTAGAATTAAACATCTTGCTCTAATAACTGTTATTTGCGACTTGGTATGTTGAATTAGCGCCTTGATAAGACCTATTTTTCGATATTCAGCTCTGAGACTAGGTCCAATTTGCCTGACAAGGTTACAAAGGAGATGAAGAATTGATTTAACAACATGTAGCCTATTTTGATCTTTGAGTTCGCTGGCATTCAAACCAGGGTGGAATAAGTCTCTAATTATCATATGGTGAATATTCATTTGGACGCACTGTTCACATAATGCGTAACTTTTTTCTGTGCAATTAACCAAAATTGTAAATGCATGCCTAACATTAGCATAGCATAAAATTTGAGCTGGAGTTGATGACTGACAATTCAAATCTGCGGTGCTTGACAAACAACTCACTTCACTGACGTTATCGATAGAATTTTCTTGGCGTTTACCCAAAGCTGGGCTCTGCTGTACGCCGTATTGTTCATATAGACTAATCTTATCAGTCGCAAAATCACTATTCCTGCTTATATCCAAATAATTTAGACTATTTACGGATTGATAGACGTTGTAGAAGAGTTTTATGGAGCCAAGTTCTATTAACTTTCCGATTAGAACCCGTCTAACCTAGTTTTATTAAGACACAAGGTCGAAATTATTTCAAAAATCTTATCATTTAATTGTTCAAGTTGAATAACCTACTTGCTGGTCACTTATATAGCGAGCTTGTTGGCTTAAGTAAGAGAGGTCATCGAGAGTTTCTTCAGTTGTAAAATCCGTATGCTTATTCAATTTGGCAAAGCAATTCTCCATCTTATTCAGAATTTCTGTCAACGTGTAATTTCTTGCTTGACCATTTGTCTGCGACGAAGCGAGACGACCCGATGATGCCTTGGAGACGCCAGATATAACCGATTCACCTAGACTGGACGTGGGGCTAACACTCCTATCCATAATCAATAGTCTACCGTTAGTTTTTGGTTTAGGCTCCATTTCTATATCGGCTTGAACGATTTGCTGTAAGTAATATAGTAATGTTGAAGGCCGTCCGATTAATTGTGGTGATTAACGATCAATTTACAGAGGAGCTAGATATACTGGCGCCAATTTATATGATCTAAAACAAAACTATGATGAAAAAAACTCCTCTACAACTTTTTTTACAGTCTTAAGTATAGAAATTTTTTCCTTAGAAGTTCAACAAGGGGAAGTAGGGTTATTTTTTTTTTACTATTTAAACTAAGAGAATATTACCAGATTAACATAGTCCTATGTAAATAAATATTACATAAAAAATCGTGTAATAAAAAGAAATGAGTAAATAGCTTAACTTAAAAAAAAACAAAGAAGAGAAGAGAACCTTCCAAAAAGTCTGGTCCCCCGTTAAATTAAATTTAAAATGGTATATAGCTATATGTTATATACACATAACTACATATACTTAAATCGCTCTAGTACAGTTAAGGCCTATAGTAATCGTATAAGAATTACTAATAAAAAGTTTATATTGTAGAAGCGAAAGATTTTAGCCACCCAAATGAAGTACACAATGGTATAATGAAATATATCCATATATATACATGCATGTTCTACACGTATAAATAAAAACAATAAACGATATATATAAACGATATATATATATATATGGAAATGGAATCTGTTCCTCCACCTCCTTTAGATTTTCTGTTCTTTTTTTTTTGATTTTTGATCAACGTCTTCATCTACTTACTTACTTACTTTCCCACCCCTTTAACATATTTAGAATTCTATGTTTTTGTTTAGAAAAGAAAAAAAAATATGATTAATAGAATAAACGTTTGAAAAAAGAAAAAAAAAGTAGAAAGGGAAAGAGATCGAATCGTAAATTATTAAGAAAATAGAAAAAAAGAAAATATTATTTAAAGGATATTACTTTTGCTACAGTCGTTTTTGGCTTCAGCGTTGATTCGTCAATACTATTTTCTATACCATTTCTTCCATTTTTTATTAATGTACCGTTTGTTACCTCCGGATGATCCTGTACTGATACGGTGTTGGTGGCGCCACTATCTGTTTGCATAGTTTGTTCGGTACATTTGGCCGACCGACATTTAACCTCTTGTTCTATTTGTCTATTATTATCCCTTTCTTTCAGGTCTTCTTTACTATCCTCTTGAATTTCTTGATCGGATGCCAGAGAAACGCTGGACACAGAGTTGGCAGGTCTCGGAAAACCATTTTCACTTTTAGGCCTTTCGCTCTTTTTTCCTCTCTTCGAAGCGAAGAACTTGCCAAACCTCGAAGAACTCTTCGATCGAGCAGGTGAAGGCGGTAAACCGCTTTGATCTTTCTGTGAAATATCGCTCTGACCTAACATGCAGACATCTGGTTCGAAAAGAGAATTTCTTATCGTTGTTGCCTCTTTCGAGTGTTTTTCCAGGGGCGGACTCGGTGGGGTTTTATGATACTTTTTACGCTGACTTTTTCCCATTTTCCGCCTGTAGATATCAAATATGTTATACAAAACTGAACGAAAGTTAGAATCTACGTCCTCCATCTTCAATATAAAAAATAAGAATGAACATTTTTAACTATTATAAAGGGGACAGAATAAACTAGATATTTGATATCCGCAGCGCCCTCCGACGATCTTCTTGGGTTATAAATCAAAGAGGTGTAAGTATAAGAGCGTGATTATTCTCGACTCCGACGACTATTCGTTTTATTTTTGGTGAAAACTTTACTTCTTTTATTTGACTTTTTCTTTGTTTTTAGGCTTTCCCAACAAAAAAAAGAAAAGTCATGTTTAAATATGTAATTTGTTAACCGACGACTTGTCAACTTTCGATTCGCGTCGCTTAACGGGCCTGATTTGAATTAGTATTGATAACAGAGGGCGCTAATAAAATTAAACATTGTACTACATTTCTTTTACTATACAGTCTTTAAATAAGTAATGAGTTTCCTTATGAAACTTTTCCGCGTCTTTTTGTGGAAAATCTTTGAATTTTAGTCATCTAGAAAATTATTTACGATATACATTTACGTTAACGATAAACTTTAATTTATTTTGATTCCACTAGCGATAACAGTGTACTTATCTAGTAGGTAAATTCAATAAGATAAATACAACGCTCTTTTATTATATATAGGCTTTATCAGTATTTCCTGTTAAAATTTGCAACAAAGGAATCAAATCATATCTTATTCAATTATTTTAAAGGTTTAAAAAAGTTTTAAATAGTAAAGAACAAAGAAGTTTAAAAAGGCCAATTAAAAAAAAGTTTGCTCAACGGCTAAATAAAAAAAAGTAACAATTTAAGATGTTTATATAGTAAATCCGTTAGATACTGATAACTTACCTAAAATAGTATAGGTATTAATCCGTAAAGGGCAAAATCAGGTAAAATTCTCATGTTTTATCAAAAAACCTTCTCCGCTGCGCTGATGTTACGTCTTTAAATTTGCTTTCCATCTGGTGCCCATGTCTGAGCTCGAGGAAAGCCCGAGTGGAACAGGTATCATGGTATTGCTAAGAGACGGACGTTCCGTTTCATGCTTAACTAGTCATATGACTTGTTTCAGTTGGGTTTTGTAATTAAATTCAGATGTGTAAATACAAAGCCTTTATCATCTTACACACTTTTTGAAAGACAATAATGAGTCTTTTATACTTTAATTAGTATTTTGTATAGTTTTTTCCGGTTGTTTGATAACATTTTATTCATCTTCTACAAGCATGAAGTTTTTTTTACATATCAATTTAATTCAAAATTTAATTCAAAAATACAGAAGAATTTATTAACTTTATTTAAAAGAAAATTAGCAAGAAAAAACTCCCTTGGTCTAACTTCACAATATATAATACAAAGAAAAGGATTGAAAGGTAATGGGATTATTTATTCAAAAATTTCTTTACAATTTAACGCTTTGTAGGATTTATCCTTTTAAAAATAAGTAGCAAAAACATCCACTATAGTTGGTTAAGTCCATTAATAATTGACATATTTAACAAAGAAAAATAATATATAGTAGTTATTCTAGACAGTGTCAAAATCAATTATAAACCGAAAGTCAAAAACGCAAATAATTCTTTTGGTAATAGATGATATTAGTACTAAATTTAAAAATAAATTCTATTTTAAATAAATTGTCTATTTGTCTATTTTAAATAAATATTCAAGTTAGCGAGTGTAAGTTTTGTTTATATTTTCAATCAATTTGTGAGTCGCATTTAGTTATACCGATTGGGATTTCCTAAAATGTTGACAGCGCCCTCTGTGAATATTCATAAGTCATAGAAAATGGCGGACGGTTGTTAACTTGTTATTTGATAGCTGAGAACATTTCTCGTAAATAATTCAAAAAGCCTTTGCGATTTTCCAGATTTAAAAACTTATAGGCAATAGTCGCAAAAATGCTCGTCCAAGAACCTGTTCAGGTAAGTGAATTATATGTTTATTTTCAATCCACAGCATTTTTTTGTCCACTTCTTGTTATTTTCACTGTACGTGTTAGTACTCGTTTGTGTTTATCGGAAAAAAAATCTTGGAAATTTATAATCTGCCCTTTGCAGGTTCTTCTTTGGAATTGTTTGAACAACTATGCTTATAGAGACGCCATATTTATCGCGGAGAGGTTGAACGCTGAAGGTAATTAAATTTTAGCTCATCTTTTTTGGTCATGTATGATGCATCAAACTCTTTATTAAATTAAAGATCAGACCCAAAAGTTGCATTTTACGACTAACTAACATAAATATAATTTATTAGGTTTTTCCGAGCTTTTTGAATAAAATTTTTAGCTTAAATTACAAATTAATTCTTGTATGATAGATTAGCGATAATAACTTAAAAGCTCTTACATTTATACTCTAGTTCTTACTATTGTGTGTAATAAACTGGCTAAAAGAGTTCAAAGCTACTTTTTGTCAGCTACAGTACAAAATATTGGATTGGGCATTGCCTGTTTGCGCGAGATGCATTCATAGTGATGTTTGTTAACGGCATCTTAAATATGTTTAATTATGGTTTTCTTTTAATTAATTAATATAATTTCTTTTATTTTTTTAGTATTTAATGAAGAAAGTCATTACCTCTTGGCAACTTGCTACTATAGATCGGGTCAACATGGTAGAGCCTACCACTTTTTAAAAGATGCCAAATTTAATTCTCCAAGAATGAGATATTTAAAAGCGGAATGCTGCTATTCTCTCAAATTGTAAGGAATTACAATATTAAGAATAATGAATAATTATTTACCTACTTCTTTTAATGAAATTTATTCTGAATAGATACAAAGAAGTGGAAGAGGCTCTATTTGAAAAATCCTCATCGAGAATCGGTGGATTAGACATAAATAGCGATATGTTCAATGAATTTCAGGAAGTAGACTGTTATGCTATGAACTTATTGGCTCAGGCTTACATGTAAACTTAAATTTTAATCAACGTAAATGATACTATTTTTAATTAATATTTCTTTTAAATCTTTTAGAAAGACGAGTGCCTCCGATAAAGCAGTGAAATTATTTCGTATGTCCTTGAAGAAAAATCCATTTTTATATTCGGCTATTGAGAATTTGTGTCATTTAGGTTTGCAAAAAACATTATATGATTTGAGCTTAATCCTTCATTAATTTTAACAGCCGCATTTAAAACGGACATAGAAGATATTTTCAAGGTGAACTCAGTTAATGATTTGGCTGCGAATTTATTCCAGAAACCACCGAATTCCGTTTGTGCAACTGATGCAAGTAGTTTGTTCTCAACGTTTTCAACCAATAAAAAAGAGAGTGAAGTAATTATTTTTTATAATTCGCTCTTTTCGGTTGAAAAGTATTACCTTATTAGTATATATATAATTATATCTTTACCTTAAACCAGCAGATTATTAAACCTATGGTACCTCGAAGCCGTCCAACCGAAACGACAAACCATCCAAATATAGAACAACGATGCTTGAGAAGTCGCAAGAGCAACTCAAGATCAACACCCAACACTACCCTACATTCATCGGTACCTCCGCCTCCGCCTAGAAAGCAAACTGTTCGACGGAATGCTTTACATATAGATAAAACCGATCAATTAAAGACTCCTAAACAAGTTGTAGATTTCGAAAAATTTTTAGAACTGGAAAGACCTAAACCAACTTTTGGCCATTTACCTTTAGAATTAACGCCTAGTCCTTGTGGTCCTAGTCAGGCGTTTATAACGCCACCCGTGGGCGTTGCTCTTATGGAAAAATCTCCTATAATTGCAAACGATGCTATTGGACAGAGAAGGACCAGAAAGAAGGTAATAAATTTATTGTTCTCCTTTCTAAAAGTAGGGATTACAGAGGTAAAATAGTTGTGATCTAAGAAGTTGAAAAACATTATCAAATTCTGTGCTATTGTCTAACGAAATGTTTTCATAATCCAGTTATTGGTAGAAAAATCACCACAAAGAACAATAAATCAAAATATCGATGAGAAAAAGATGGATTTGGATCACAATAACGATTGGTAAATATTTTTTTGAAACAAAATTGGTATTTGAATATTTATACGATCGGTTTCATTTTAGTATTATGCAACAAGAAACAATGCCTTTAAGAAGATCCAGTCGCTTATTAAATCCAGTTAACAACAATGTCATAAATGAGAATACTAAATCAATTAATAAGAAATCGTCTCGAATAAATACTAGAAAATTAAAGAACACTGTCAGTAGCCTTTCATCAAATACGACTAAAAACGAACATAGGTAAGTTTATCAATTGGTAATATATTTTAAATTGAATTTCTATATTTAATCTATATCTATTTTTTTGGAATGTTAGTACAACAATAAAGCCTCTGAGAGATACCATCGATATTGTTAGATCCAGATCAAATTCTCAATTATCATCATTTTCTGAAACAAACATTGCTGAGTCAACCGATGCCATGAATGCGGTTCAAAACCATCTCATTCAGTGGCAAAAGAAAGACTTAGGTTGGATTATTTTTTTAAAAAACTTGAAAATATTTTCTTAATGTAATAATTTTTCATATTTAACAATTAGAAAATCTCTTGCATCTATTTAAGCAAGTAGCGTCCATAATCTTGTCATTAGGACGTTATAAACCTCATGATACTGTCAAGTTGATTAAGAGTTTACCAGCACATCATCTAAATACACCCTGGACATATTATCAGTATGGAAGGGCTCATTATCTTTTGGCAGAGTATGACTTGGTAGATATTATACTTTTTTAAGTTTAACTTTTCAATTACATCTAACTAATAAATTTATGACTGCTTTCTAGTCTAGAGAAGCTTTCCAAATTATGCTCGAGTTTGATAAAGTTTATATAGATGGAATTGATATTTATAGTTCAGTTTTGTGGCATTTAAATATGGAGCACACTCTATCATCGATTTGTCATTTTATGGGTAAATGGGCACCCGAAGCCAAGCAGGTATGATTTTTCGATGTTTATACTCTATAAATGATTTGAAATATTGTTATTTTTCAGACTTGGTTAGCTCATGGTAATTGTTTTAGCGTACAAAAAGATCATGCAACAGCAATGAAATTTTTTAGACGGGCAAAACAGGTTTTAAACTTTCATCAAGGTCGTTAATATATTACTATAATATATGCTTTTTTTTCACCGTCCCCTCCCCTTTTGCGCCACCTCACCTAAAGATCGATGAGCATTACTATTATGCTTATACGCTAATGGGACACGACTACATGGTAACCGACGAATTGGAGTCGGCTTTAGAATCTTTTAGAAAAGCTTTGGAAATTGATTCTAAGCATTTTTACGCTCGGTACGTTATTTTCCATTTCATTAATGTAATTTGTTATAAGAGATCTATGCCTTTTCAACAAATTGCAAATTATAGATACTTTTTACCTTAAATATTTCATTGACCTAATTAGGAATTCCTTGAGAAGATGCTTTCGAACTAATTTTTTAATCATTCTAAAACTGATTTTGTAAACACAGCCAAATATTAGTCTTTTTAAATAGATCTAGTGCATTATTTCCTGGAAATGAGTGTTGCTTCTATAGATTTTTTTTTATTTAGGTTTAGTATTGGGTCTGTTTATTATAAACAAGAGAAATTCACTGAAGCTGAATTTGAGTATCGGGAAGCTCTTAAAATATTTCCTACATGCATTTCTTTACTTTGTCAATACGGAATGGTTAGTATATTTTTATATATGTACTCTGTTCTTATTTCACCTAAATATTCTGTTAACCTAAATAACAGACTTTACATCATCTACATCGTTCAGAGGAGGCTCTACTTCATTTAGAAAGAGGCATTGAGCTAAATCCGAATCATCCCTTATGCAAATATCATAAAGCCACTGTTCTAGTTGCGTTAAACCGATTGGATGTAAGTATAACGTTTAATAATTCAAAGCATGAAGCATATATTTTATCTCATGTTTAAGTTTTCGAATTATGATATTTACTTTGTTAACAGAGTGCGTTAGAACTTTTAGAAAATCTCAAAAATATGGTACCAAAAGAAAGCGCAGTGTTCTATTTAATAAGCCACGTGAGTTGAAAGACATAACATTACGAAATGGATTATCAAACAGAGTATTATTGTTAATATTTTTTTATATAAAAACATTAGATATTTAAACAAAAGGACGATTGTGTTAAATCCGCAATGTATCTGAGTTGGGCTAACGATTTGGATCCCAAAGGAGCAGCCAGTTATGTTAAAGATTTGGCAGATCGTAGGAAATTTCAGGATTTCACCATTGAAGGTAAATTAAATAATACAATTCAACGATATAAAATATATTTGACTGTTCAAAAGAAAATTTAACTATTTTTTATTACTTTATTTATAACAAATTTAGACTCAAATGGTTTGGATGAGCATGATGTTTTGGATGGGGAGAGCCAAGTTTCAGACATGGAATCAGACGCTTCTTCTATAGAGATCGTTGGTCCGTTAGGTGAAGATGATGACGAGTTTGATGAAGAATAAAAAAAAAGAAGAATGATATATGTTTTTATATTATTAAACTAAACTTCAATCCGTAGGCTTGTTTTAAAAGTATTTATACATTGGACATACATAACATCTGCCTATTTATAAATTGAATTGAAAAGTAGAATTAGTTTAATTATTGAATAAACCGTAAGTCATGAAAATAGTAATTACGTAAGATGCCTCCAAGGAGGCAACAGCACCTTCCGTATACTATAACGATACGTTCTATTCCAACGAAAACTGGTAAAAGAGAAAGGGATTATTAAATATTTTACCAATATCAGGTGAAGGCCACAGTCTGAATCGGCAGATTTGCATTTTTACGCCTTCCTAATGATAGTTTAGTAGAAATTTTGACTTATAATCTAAGAAGAGTATTTAGCTTAGTTGAATTTTAAAAATTGGGCTATTGTCAGAAAGCAGTAAAAATTATTTTAGATTTTTTTAGTCATCTAATTTCCGCTTGATGATGAATTCACTAGAAGGAAAGCTGTTAAAATGGACCAATTACATAAATGGTGAGATAATATTGTATAATATTTTATTATAATTATTTTGTTTTATTAATGTATTGTAAAATCTAATGATAAGTCTTATATAATCTAGTAGTAATAATTAGCTCTATCAAACTGTTAAGAATTCTGACACAATCATCAGATTTACGGGCTCTATAACTAAATTTTATCTAGAGCTTTACAAGGTCTTTTATAATTGATAACAAATATCTTTGAATGCACTCTACAAAGATTTATTTAGGTTATCGCGATAGTTTAAACTGTGAGCTTTCATTTTCGATACATTCTTATTGAAAACTCTAATCAATAAGATAAACTTGAACAGATTCTGTCAGATATTTGTAAGATTTTCTGAACAATTCAAAATAAAAAAAGAATAAACACGAGTAATAATTGACATAAAAAAAGCATCAAGTACTAAATACTATATATAAATACAGTATTGTAACTTATAGAGTATAAACTATATACTAAATAAAGTTCATATAGACTTATTATTCAATCAATAGCCGCTATGTTTGATAAGTATGGAACAGATGTTTGTGTTTTAACAATTCTGCAAAATTGCTTCCGTGTAGCCTCATTTCTTTCTAAAACTATAATATTTAATTAAAAACAAATTGTGTGCCTTTACTAGGCTGGCAGCCCAGATGGTTCGTTCTAAAAGGAGGCATATTGTCTTATTACCATTCTCGAGATGATATTAATCTGGGATGCAGGGGAGCTCTCAAAGTAAGATTATATATTTAATTCTCCTCATTCGTAAACAACTTTTCACAACATAAACTCTTTTACATATTGAACAAAAAATAGGTATCAGCTTGTGACGTATCACCACATTCCAAAGATCAGCTACGGTTGGATATCACCATTCCAGGGGAAGCTTATTTGTATGTTAGAGCAGCTGACGCAAAAGAAAAACAAAAATGGTTAGTGGCGTTGGGAAGTTCAAAAGCCAATGCAGACAGCCAAGCAAATGTTCCTAACCCAATTGAAGAAGATGAAAAGATAAAAGGCAAAAAATCAGAACTAAAGTTCTATTGCGATCTTTTAATAGAGCAAGCATATAGAATAAGAGATTCTTCGGCGCCTATCAGTAATAATCATAATACGGAAACAAATGAAGATCGCGAGAATGATTTGGACGAAATGGCCAGAACGTTAAATGTTACTTGCGATAATTTTGTAGCAACATTGGACGAAATAATGAAATTGGCAACAACCAAAAGAGGAGGAAAAAAGTATTCTACACCGAAGAAAACAAGATCACCATCGGGCAATGAACATTTGTTAAAAATATCACCATCAACAGAATCAAGTAGGGGATACGACCAACCTCATTCGTCCACTAATGATAGGCCTAGTGATACTGAATCTTTATCGAGCGATAAAGGTTGTAGCAGTGGAACGTTCTTTTCAGAAGTTAATAAGAAGTCAGTGAACTTTGATTTATTTTTTTAATATTCTACTTTTCATTCAATCTTTAATAGAATAATGTGCTGATATAATACCATTTATTTTTAAGGTTGGGAAAGATCATTGAGGGAAATCTAGTGATCACGAAGCATTTTTTAGATATTTGCGATGAGACACTAAACTTATACGGTTTGTTTATTATTTTTATATCATTATAAATGTAACTTACTATTTGAATAGATTCCCATTTTGCGTCCCTTCCGTTTCCTTTCCTCTTTATCTTCTTTTCCCTTTATATGTTTTTTTACTCTATATTTCTTTATTTCCCCCTTCTTACCAAATATTTATAATCGTTTATGTTTTAAATTTTTTTATTCATTTTTAAATTTGCAGATAAATTAAATCCCTCAACATTCACACCGATAAAAATGGAAGTTTCTGGAAATATTGAGGTATATACATTGTATATGTCTTTTTAATTGCAAATAATAAATATATATGTAGATATATCTATATATTCTTTTTATTAGAAAATTCGTGAGAAATATTCTACGGATCCATTAAATTTTGAAAGCATTCAGAGTATGATCGAAAAAGAAATTGCGGCTAAACAAGCTAAACTGCAAAATTCCGCAACAGAAGCCATTATTTTTGTGACTCGTTCGTTACATTTTCTGCAGCTTTTTACAAACGAGATAACCGTCAACGACAGCCATTTTAGTGCTCAAAGGGCTTACGTATTAGCATTAAAACCATATCACGGTTTAGTAGCTCGACAAGTTTATTCCGTAGCCATAAATAGTGTAGTTAATAAAAGGGAATTCAATAATAGTATAATTTATGGAGATGAATCAAAAGTTGGTGACTTATTGAACGACACTCTGAAATACTTTTCAACAAATGTCGCTGTGATTGTAAAAAACCTGTATAGCTTTTTCGAAGAAAAGAAACTTTATGAAACTGTCGGCATTCAATAAAATTAATGCTAAAACTAATAACATCACTAACCAAGAACAATGACAACTAACTTTTATACTAGATACTAAAATACAAATAAAGGAAAGAAAAAAAAAGACTGAAGAATTGTTAATTTCTCAAATAAGCAGCGATGATAATTAAAATATTAGAAAATTCAACTGAGAGAGAGAGAGAGAGAGAGAGAGAGAAAGAGAGATAGATAAACAGAGAAAGATAGAGAGAGAAAAGGAGGAAAAAAGGAGAGAGGCAGTGAAAAAAAAAGAGAAAGTTTTGGAAATAAATCTTGATTTCTTCTTCCGGTCTTTTTTATTTATTTTCTTTTTTTGACATGTCATACATTAATATTTCTAAATTTGTTTCTTGTTTAAAGTAAAATGGTATATATATATATATATATGTACAAATACAGTATATATAAAGTATTTATGTTACACGGGTAGGGACTCTTTTCTAGACAGTAAGTTCAAGACTAATTTGGTATTATATTCAATTTTTAAGCGTTTTATTCTTTTAGACGTTTTATTTTCTAAATCTAAATATAACTTGTTGAAAATAAAACATTTTATAGAAACAATAAAGCCTAAGAGAATTATGTCTACATAATGACCTATCTGGAACTCAATTGTCCAGAAAACAGTTCTGACTTATATATATACAGCATATATATACAGTATATATATATATTACGTAAACAAATGTTAATTTATCTAAAGCGTAAATAGATATATGTAAAAATTTTATTGAAAATAAAGGAATACAGAAGATATATTGAAAGCTTAAAATTTTTAATCTACTTACTTTTTCTCATCTTTCTTCTTATCTTATCATTTAAAAATCATCATATTTCATTGATAATAATCTATCAAAACTATAGTTCTATATTACATATATATATAATAAGATATTTAAAGTCTAGTTTTCAGTGAATTTAAATATTTTTGACTAGAAATATTTGATTTAAAAATAGAATTAAAAGAATAAAAAACTATGATAATTAGAAAACTTATTTTCGTATTTTTCTTATTAAATAAAAGCAAAGATTGTGCGAAAGTATTAAAGTATTGTTTAAAATTTGATAATAAATACGTTAATTGCAAATTTTAGTAAGTTGTATAAATATTTACATTATTAATAATGATGAAGAAAGAAGAGAAATAGAGGAATATGTAGCATTACATTATATCTTACTATATATGTATATCTTTATATATACTGTAAATATATATATATTCTTTTCTTATAGCGATAATTCTACAATTACTTGTTTAAAGAATGACAATGTTAATTCAGATTTGGGAGAACATCGAGTTTGCTCATCTAACTACTATAATATAAGATTATCTTGCTTTAATGAAATGTATTATGGAATGGAAGACAAAAGTAAACTTATTTTACAAGTTGATTATAATACAACTAATTTACAGGAACTTGAATATAAATTAGAGAGTTATAATCCTAAAATATTAATATCGAATTGTTATAATGTCTATATTCAAGTAATAGCGAAATCTCTGCATTTACAAATTGAATATGTAAACTCTTTAAGCATAAATCAAGATTCTCTAGCAAAACTATGCGCCATTGAATCAGTTAAAGTAACTTATCTAAAATTTAAGTATATTGATAAGAAGGATAGTTGTACCAAGTTAATTGATATACTGGATTTAGAGAAATGTAATTCAATAGGGAAATTTCGAATATATAAATATTTAGAATTCCGAATAAAGAGCGTAACCGAAACAAGATATAATTTAAATTTATATAAATTGTTAAGATATTATGAGTTTGCATTGGATTCAATTGTTAATTTCATTGGTTTTCCTAATTTTAGTTACAAGAATAAAAATTTCTTGGATGATTTTACAAAAATTATTCAATCAAGACTCTATACAATGTAATAAATATATACAGTATATATATATATATATGTATATACATACGTATGTTCTAAAAATAGACCAAAGATAAAACTAGAAGTTATTGGAAGATGTCGACACTGGTTGGATGTTGAATACTTTTGTACGCTTAGGAAAAGTCATATAAGAGTAAGAGATCTTTGGAAAAGTGGAAAGAAAATATGCCCAGATGCAATATTAACTGAAACCGATCACTCTTATCAAAAGATAAAAATTATGAATAATTACGAAGTTTCTACTAAAAAATGCTCTAAATTAGCATTTCCAACACTTCAAACGGACGAATATAGACTCTTCCAAGAAAAGTATAACTCGGAAAAAGAGATATGCTCCAGTAAGTTTGAATGATAATTAACTTAAAATCTCTTACAGCCTTCTTATATTTAACACATATTTATGTTCATCTCTTCTTCTTCTTCTTCTTGTCTATCCCGTTATCAGAGAATATTCGACCGAACGACAAAGAAACAGAGAGTAGTACAGATTTTCTTATGTACATAGGCCTATTATGTTTGATTGGCGTACTATGTATTATTGCGGCTGCTTTGTGTTGCTACCTCAAGAATAAGAAGGAAGAAGGACTAGGAGAAGATCATAAAAGACAACAGAAACCTCCAAATAAGCATATTCCACGTCAGCACCACAGTTCTTTGAAACGACCTCCCGCGTATGAATACGAATATGCTTATTATTGATCATTATTAGTATTTCATAATTGAATGAGTTATTCAACAAACGAATGTATCGTAATTAATAAATTTTCGTATTTTTTTCCAAGTTTTTTATTAAATATCTTGAACCTTCAACAATTTTATATATTCAATTAATAAAAAGAGAGGAGAATACTAAATTCTTCGTACTTTTGGCATTTTATCTTACTCTTCAAAGAGATTATTAAAATGTAAAAATGAAAAACAAAGAAGAAAAAGCAAGAAGGTTGACATAGTAAGATTTCTCTTCTATACCTTTCTCTATATCTCCTTCCACTTTAATCCCTTTTATACTAATTCCCTATTTCGAATCAACTTTTGGTTTCTTTTTGTATTTTTTTCGTTTTTGATGAAAAAATTTGGTCTTCTTTATTGCATTTTGTTAATTGAATGTATCCTTTGTAATAATGTAAATTAAATAAAGATAAAGTAACTTTTCCCCTTCGTAAATTGGTTTGTAGTGTTATTCGTTAAGTATACGAACAGCAAATATATAGAATTCTTACATACTATTTTAATACGGATAACTGGAAACTCTAATTTCATCCTTTTCTTTGAATATTCCTTTAAAATATTAATTAAATAGGCTTTATTAGTATTCTTATAGAATCATTCGAGATTTTAATATACTGGATAGTCTATTCTATCGAATTCCTTTGTGTCAAGGTCAGCTTCTCTCTATTCATCACTACTCTTTAGTTAAAAAATGACGTTTTTTTTAGTAGTAAGGTTTTAGTTTTAATTATTTATAGAATATCTTTATCTTAAACAAATTAATCTGTTGGAAAGTACGACATTGTCAAGTCAAATAACATTATTAATGGCCCTTGATGCGCGTCTATGTTGAATGATCAAGTTGAATAATTAAATCAAGCATATGATCTATTACTGTAGTTAATCAGGCGTGTGGATAGCATGTTAAAAAGCATTCAATTTTGTTCAATATAATGTGAAATCACGTTTCTCAAGTTGTTCATTTATTTCATTTTCAATAGACAATATAAGTTTTATAGATGTTATGTATATAGTATATATACTGTATATGTACAGTATATCTATATACTGTATATAAATATATGTTTATTACGATATAGAGATAATCAAAACTCCACCCCCTTTTCAAGCTAATTACAAAAACGTCTTTTATAAATAAAAATAGCATAGAGCCGAGTATACGATCGAAAAGTAAGGACAAAAGAAACGTCAGACTGGAAAACTGTTGCAGTTGCGTATATGGTAGATTTTTTTGCAGCTCATTGATTTCGGCTTCTCTTTGAACGGAAGCCAATTGTTCTTGAATCGGTCGCTACTGTATAATATGCATTTTTCAACAGCTATACGACTTGTCTATAATTTTTTTTTTACTTCAACCATGAACGCCGATACGCCTCGACCGTCCAGCGCGAGCTCTTCCAGGTAATAATCGTTACGTATTGCATTTATTGCTTGATATTTATATGATATAAGGTATCTTATTTAATATTATAATTTGTTGTTGTTTACAAGAGTTTTAGAAGAAAATAGGTAAAAATCGTTGAAACTGTTTTGAACATTTCCCTTAGGGGATAATTAATTTAATATACGTTTAAAGATATAATTATCAAGTATTTCGTTTGGCTATGTAAATAAGTATATATACGTAGTTTATAGAATAAACAATCTATATACATAAATTGAAAGAATTCACAAATTTTGTTTGTTTGAACTGTTGAAATTCTTTTCCTTTCTTTTGTGGATTTTTAAGAGTTTAGACTATTTTATACATTATTTTATATTTTATTACGAGAAAGGAGAGAATCCATATAAAAAAATTTTCCATTAAATTATTCAAGTAGTGGAATAGAGGACTTGGGACTGAATTGAGTCAATTGACTATGTTACACAATGTATAGTATAATAGCGAATATAGGTAAAAGAAGGAAAAAAAAAGCTGTAGCTTTTAGATATTCTCTATCTTAATTTATTATTTAAATAAATGATAGGACAAATCAAAAAAATAATAATAAAATACTTGCGATATTTCTCAAAAAAGATCGGGAAGACCGGAAAGGATTAAAAGACTAGTGAACGAAATTGATTTAAGCGATGAAGATGATGAGGGGGACGCTTGGGAAGATGATAAATTTTTCGAAGAATATTTAAGGAAAAGTAATTATTTAAGGAGGAGAGGAACTCAAGAATCTAATTCTTTATCGGATTACGAGAGTGTTGATAATTTTTCTACAACCGTTTCTTGCTGTAGTTATAGATCGATAGAAAAGTTTGTTAAAGATTTAACGTCATCCTTTTCCTTGAAAAAAGATAAAATACGTGCTATTTATAGTTGGCTAGTTCATAATTACAATAGGGTTGATTGCTGCAGAATTAGAAGAGAACTTACTCTTCTAAAAATGTGCTCATTAGTAAATATTCAATGTGAAATTGTTCATGGGTATAGGAAATCTGAAAATTTTATTCCTGGAGATAAATTAAATGAATTGTATCGCCATCAATGGAACTTAGTGACTTTTGACGACATAAACGGCTTAATAGATGTAAAAACTGCCTTCTCGGAACCGTACGGAATAGATTATTTTTTCCTTACTAAGCCGGAAAATCTTATAATTTCTCACCTTCCGGACAAAGTCGAACATCAACTTTTAGCGAATAAAATTAATGAAGAGAAATTTAGAAATTCCATAAGATCTTGGCCTGCAAAATTTGCTCTTTCAATCAAAACTTTGGCACCTATGGACGGAGTAGGCTTTATCCAAACAAAAACCGGTAAATTTTCTGTAAAACTAAGAGCAAGACGTCATAGTTTGTCCAGCACCCTTGTTGTCATAGGCCTACACGGAGAGAAAAGGGTAGATGAGTACGTTGACCATAGAATATCGAATATTGAAGAGGAGGAAGTTTTCGATTTAGTACTACCAGCTAAAACTCGTTACATTTTAACAATAGTCGTTCAGGAGGAAGACGTACAACTTCCTGTGCAACAGTACACCATTGACTACCAATAATAAAAATTCATAATGCAGAAATCGTTCCCCCTACGCATTTTTACGACACTCTTTGTCACGTTAAAACCCAATTTGAGAGTTTTCAATATTTCAACTTGTTTGCAGAGTCTTTTTTTTTTATAATCACAGATAAGAAGTCAAGGAAGAAAACATTCTTTAATTTCTAATAAATCTATGTTTAATTAAATAAATGAAAAATAAGAATAGCAACTCAAAATGCAATATTCTATTATCAAAATAAGAGAGTATAGATAATATCTCTTATACAGTATTAATTCATGTTTTAATAATCATTTTAAAATCGGAGAGAGCGTGACAATTAAGACAATTAAGTAACGATTGCCGTATAGCTGAGAAATTGTAAATAATTCAAGAATTTATATCTTCAGTTGTCACGGAATTTGAATTGTAAATATTTATAGGATTTATCATTTCAGATCAATTTTGTATCTTTTGGATATTGATCATTTTTTTTATTACTTCTCATTCTTCTATCTCTATTTTCAATCTTTCAAAAGGCATAAATTAACGCCAACACTTTTTGCATACATGTTTCATTGCGGGAGGACAGGAAGAGAGGAAGAAAGGCAGGTGGGGGTGGAGGGTTTGGGAAAGAGTAAATTGGAAATATATGTATAAATATCTCGTTGGAAAGCAACAAAAAAAGTAATTTTTAGTTGAAAAATGAATATAATATATTGGAAACAATAGGGAAAAAAACCATAGAGTTGGTATCAAAGAATTTAATTATAGAACAGTCTTTAAATTATTATCGATAATCAATTTTCAGCTGGAAAAACGGCAAAGATTCTAATTTTTTTCTTCCATATTTTTTTTGATATTCAGCAAAAAAAATGTTGAAATTGTAAGAATAAATAGAATATCCTATAAGAAAGAAACAAGATATAAAGTATTAATAATACTTGTAGTTTCGATATATTGGTGTCATAGGAAAAGGGGATTAATCTGCATCTCACTCTCTCTCTCTCTCTCTCTCTCTCTCTATTAATTATTTTTTTCAATCAAGCCGTATTAGGATTTTTATAAAAAAGAATATCTTTTCAATGAGGATATTGTATATTTTTTATTCTGTCAGCTCCCTTCTCTTTGTTGCCTCTTCTCTCTCTGTCTTCGTATTTACACAATTTATTAGATATATATACAGTCTATATACACTTATGGGTCTTTAATTGGACACTTCTAAATATAAAAATGCGATTCATATCTGTGAAATAATTATTCTTAGACTTATTAAAAATGTCATATGACAGTAATAATAGTGATATATGAATCTTTGAGGGGGGTCGGCCGAATTGGGAATTGAATAGGGAAAATAGAAAGAATTGTAAAGAGTATCAATTTCTTTTTAAATAGAGAAACAAAACATATATGCATAATGAAGAAATTTTTATCTTAAAGTCCATCTATTATGATTTCTACCTGAATAAATAAAGATAACAGTAAATCAGTAATATTTTTTTTAAAAAAAAAAAAAAAAGAAATTATAAATATTCATTCAATTTTCAATGAATGTGGTTCCTTATTTTTTTTCATAAATACTTCTGTTTTATTATTATTATCAATGAATAATTGTATTTCTATATTTTGATTATTTTCGAAGAGAAGTTTATCCATGCGTAAAAATAAAAACTGGTAATTATGAGGTGGTCTCATTTAAGGAGCTGGTAATTTATTGTTTATGTGAATAAATTATTGAATCCTATTCAATATTATAATGGATTATGTATGCCACTCATAATGGATAATGTATTAAAAGAAAACTATTTCAAATAAAATGACAAGAATATATTGTATTGTTTATTCATGCTCCTTTATGTACTGTACATAAGTGCCATAATAGTTTTCTACTTTTATCCAACTAAAAGATAGATAAATAATCTATCCATCAATGTCTTAGCCTCATTCTCTATCTATCAAAGAAAGGTTCTTTAATCATTTTCTCTGTATATATCAATCCCCAGCTGCCAATGACCCATAAAATAGCAGCTTAATACAAATATTTTTATATTTCTCTTAATGTAAAATGGCAAGGGCAATATTAGATAAGATTGATAAGTGTCTCTATTTTTATATAACGAATAATGGTTTATTCTTTATATTACTTGGTTTTCTATTAAATAAATTAATATTACCCGATAATTAAACAGATGTATATCATTTCTTGTCAGGTAAGAATTAGCTGTATGTATAAATCATATTATATACCTTGAAACAGAGTGTTTTTGGATAGATTTCTAACAATTTTTAGTCTAGTTTCGCACCAATCTCGCCTCTAATCGTCCAATAAATTAATTTTAAAAATTTATTTGGGGAATAACCCAACCCTAAAATGAAATCTTCAATTTGGATGGGCGCGAATTAAAAATAGACTATCATTGTAGTGTTCTGCCTTTGTTCTTTTGTTTCGAGGAAACTTATCCTCTAACGCAATATTGCTTCTCTTTAAAGTATCTCTTGGGGAAATTTTTCTATCTTGTTTGAGGTCATGCTAATAATAGGTCCCACCACCAGAGCTATCTACAATAGATTTCTTTTATTTCTTTTCGATAGAAATCGTCTCCTAATTCTTCTCTATGTCATGAGAGGAATGGACAAGTGTAACAATTTTCCATATTTTTATATCTTTTTTAAGTATTTTTCAAACTGCTATTCATTCTCTTTTTAACTAGAATATACTAATTCTTTTTGATTTAATAACTGTTTAGCTTCCAGCCAAATTCTCCCGTTCGTCATCATAGAGAACCATAAGTATACCATAGCTATTGAATTTGTTCAATTATCTTAAGATAATAGCACTCTGTTTATTAGTCTTAAAACAGGTAGAGTAGGAGTCACTTTCATTAAATAGATCCTTTTTTCCCTCATATAGTTTTCAATGAAATAATAGTGTTTCTAGATAAAAGACAAGATAGCGTGGGAGTATATTTTTAAGTGAGAAAATGGTTTAAATTTGATATCTTACGAAACTGCAATGATATATAAGATACTCCTCTTCCTTGTATTAGATTTATAGGTTGTAATAAAAATCAATAGTTTAGTAATCTTCCCACTTAAATAAAACTTCTTCCTTACTATATATACAGTATATACAGTTTAAAGTATACAGTAGAACCTGTCTCTTTTTTTCTTTCACTCGCTCACTCGCTGCGAATAATTACAGCTTTAGATGATTAGCTCCTTCAACTGTAACCTAATCAATTTCTAACAACAATTTCAACTAGTGTTATTGCAATAGTAATATCTTAAAAATATTAATGTAGATGATGTTAATCATAGACAATAGATGGCGTATATAACAATTTGTAAAGGTGAGCCATAAGCAATAATGAAAGAAATTGTATAAAAAGAAACAATTTGTTTTTATTATTTTGTAATAAACTCAAGAGGGATTAGGGTTATTTTCCCTGACACATTAGTCTATTACTAGGTCAATATAGATCAACAATACTATATTCATAATAATAATGTTACTCTGCTGCTGGATGATACGTTAGGTTGTAATCTATATCCTATTCAGATTAAAGAGTCGTTGATAAATTGAAGATTTCGAATAGAGATAAGTAATGGTTCAACGAACGGTACTAATAAGTTATTTATTATAAATTAGGACCTTTAACAAAGTTATATTGTATCTAATGTTCCCTTGATAAATATAAGATCTGAGCTGAATATTTTTCTATTTAAAGGTTAAAACTTTTGTGTACCAGTTTCTTTCTTTCTTCTCTATATTCTATTTTCTTAATTCCCTTTATAATCTATCCAGACATTATTTCCTATGCTTTATTTCATTATGGAGAGTTAGTATAATTTAGGAATCTCTCTTAATACATTTATAGAAAAGTGAACAAAATGAAATAAATTAGATAGTTTGGTAAAGAAAATTCATTTAAAAAAAGAGGAAGTTCCATTTTATTGATATTGAATAAATCACTTTTTCCTATGTAGGAAGTTAATTTCGATTTTAATACTTTTCTTTATGTCTTCAAAAAGAAAAGAATCGCCGAATAGACTTTTCCTTAAAGTTGATAAAATATTACAAAAAAAATGACACCTTTCTATTATATTTACCGTTAATCGATAGATCTTTAGTAGATATATAGAGAGGCCAGAGGATAAAAGAGGAAGTAAAGTTGGTAGGAGAGATAGACTGGAATGTTTTAAGGATAAAAATATTGCTGGGAAAAAAACATGGGGGAAATCGATTTCCAGTAGGAAAAGAATCTCTCTTTCGCATCATGATACCAGATCGTATTAGCAGGGTTCTTGGATTTAGTAAAGAAAGACTAACTAATATTTTAAAAGTTTCTTTTTACCATAATATTCACTAACAAGGCTGTTGCCTGATCTGAAATGCTTTCTCTTGAGACAATTCTTAGTTAAAATTCTCGAAATGGTGATAATCACTCATGGATAGAGTTAAATTTTGTGAGGATTTGATAGTTTTTCCAACCTGACTCAGCGTAAAATACTTTTAGCAGGCGAATAATTATTTTTACCTTCTGCAAGAAGCTTCAAACAATATATTGTAAAAGATACAGCTAGATCTTATACAATCAATATATAACAGTTTTTGAATTGAATAATAAGCAATAAGTGAAAAGGTGAAGCGTATTTTTTCTAGTGCTTTGTAAGCGGTCAATCACGAAATTGCAGCCTCCTTGAAACCGTCTAAGTCTTAGTTGTACAATACAATGAAACTTAGTGGGAACAATTGAAGATACCATCGAAATAGAATCCTCTTTCCCTCTGTAAAGATAATTAGAGCATCTTATAAAATATATGCATGATATCTATCTTTTCAATAGAGATATTCTCTCAAGTCTAAAAATAGAATTAGTGATTTTTTTCTAAATTAAAAAACTGCAATATAAAAAACAAAGGATTAATTATTTACTCTAAATGTTAATATATACGGAAATATACACACATATATATATACTAATATATATATATATATGTATGTCTTGATGAATAATTCATGAACATGTCAATTAACAATCCTTTTAAAAAATTTACTTAATTCAGATAAAAATTTAACAGCTGGGAATCAGTTTGAAAGTATTAAAAATAGATCTGTTCAGTTATTTGTTTGTATTTAGCCTTCGTGAATAGATTCAACGATAGATGTAGATGTCAGTTTTAACAATAGCATAGATACAGTGTATATGTATATATATATATAAAACGC